AAGTATAATATTAGCTATTTATAGTTTCTAGAGCTATATAAAAAGAAAAGGCTAGTAGCAAAATTAAAGAAAGTATTATATAGCCTTAAATAAAGCTTAAAGCTTTAGTATAACTATCTTAGCTCTATATTAGCTAAGATAGGATTTTTAGCCCTTCTTATAAATAAAGGGGTATTTATAAATACGTAATATAAAATTATAATAGTAATCTACGTAGATAACCTCTTAATAATAGGGCCTAATAAAGGTATAATAAATAGTCTACTTAAAAAGTAGTAGATTATATAAAGGTTTAGCCTCTAAGCGAACTAAAAGACTTCTTAGGAATATATATAATTATAAACTAGAGTAAAGAGGAGATATTTATATCCTAGGAAAAATATATTTATAATAAAATACGAGAATATAATAAAGAAGACTTAGGGACTTTTAATACGCCTACTATAGTAAGAGTAAAGCTTAAAAAGGCTACTATAACGCCTTCGTAAAAAGAAATCCTTATTTACTAAAGGGAAATAGGGGCTCTATTATATCTAGCTATAATAAGTAAGCTAGACATTTTATATACTATTATTTCCTACGCTAGATTTACTTTTAAACTAAATAATATATATTTTAAAGCGTTAAATACTATCTAGAAATATTTAAATAAATACCCTAACCTAGGGATAATTTATTATTATAATATCCCTTATACTTATAATTTTATAAAAGGTTATTCCGACGCTAGCTAAGCGTCTAACCTTATAAATAGAAAATCCGTTTCTAGATACTATTTCTATATTTATAAAAATATTATAAGTTAGGCCTACTAAAAGCAAAAATCTATAGCCCTATTAACCTACGAAGCTAAATTTATTGCCCTTAAGGAGGCTAATAAAGAAGCTTTATATTTAAATCGGCTATTTTATACGATAAATAATAGCTTATCTATTAGAATTCCTAATACTATTATAAGAGTCTTTAACTATTATAGGTTATAGGCTTAGGCTACGGCCTAAGCTATATAGTTATATACGGAGGGCCGGATCCTATATATATATATATAGGCTAGCCGCGTATAAAAGAGCTTTATATAGCTTATTAATATTATCCTATAGACGGCACCTACGTATACGCCTCTACTTACTCCGTAATAGTATAAGCTATTAATTAATAGATCTAATAGATATCTCCCTAAAAAGGGCGCCGCTTCCCTAAGGGAGTACCCCGCTACCCCTTAGGCGGATAGGAAGTATTATAGCTATCTTAGAAGCGATTAAAAGCGTAACGGCTAGCGAGAAGAATGTGACGACCGGTGATATTCCCAAGGGATAAACCTGTCGTGGGGTTTATGTTGGCAGATACAACAGGGCGTGGTCTGAGCAATGATAAGTATGTCACGTTGGTGATGAGTCGGAGGTCGTAGACCGTAGACTGTAACCAGGTAATCAAGTGATCGGAATCAGAGATGAGATCGTGATAGGGATCGTAATGATTGTGTTGAAAGCTAAAGAGCTATCTAGTCTAAAGGGAGTGAAATGGGGCAGCTATATATACCCAACTGCCCGTCTCTGATCGCGAGGTGCTGGAGGTGATCACAGAGGTGATCACCTTGATCGATGAACGATCCGTCGAGCACCGCTCGCTTGATCGTAAGGCGATCCACCGATCACCTTCGCATGGTCACGTGATCCTTCAGCGGTTAGTCATCCCTGGCCCGTGTCAGGGAGTTAATAGAGGCGCGGACCCCGCGTTTTAAAGTCGGCGCGGACGTCCGCGCCTGTTATGTAAGCCTGGCAGGCCATTTGGCCGCCGCCAACTGCGCTCGCAGTCGGCCTCACTGATACAGCATGCTTGCTGCATACATATAGCTTCAATTAATTGCAAAGGAGGATATCCCTTAGGTTCGAACCCATAGCCTTCCTATTTGGTAGATTGACGTGACGCAAAGGGCGCCGCTGTTGCGTGGCAAGGGAGGCGCGGAAGTTCACCGCCTTAAAATTGGCCAGCTACAGTGCTACACGCCGGTGCATGTCGGTGATCTCACGATCTGCCTCACATTTTCGCATCGCCGGCATCATCACCACTTATATATGTGAATAAAATGCCTGCTGTTCCTCTGAGTCTCTCTCGCAGTCAGCCCATATACCTGCAGTACCTCTTTCTCGTGAGAAAGGCTGCACCTGAATTTCTCGGCCACCCGGGCATCTAATCGCTCTTCTTCTGCCTTATCCCAATCAAGGTATGCCATCATCTCTACCTTGGTCCATTGCCTCGAGCCGCAGCTCCTTGACATTTGCTTCCAGTCGAGGCACCAGTCATATTCAGTCTTGCTGTAGCGCAATGGCAAGCCCATTGCCTTCGGTATGCCTGGTTGGTCTTGAGACTGCCGCGAGGCTGTGCTCTATACCAAGAGTCTCTTTCCTGACATACCTCTGATAGATGGCTCGTGGGTCATCATATAATAGATTCTCTGTAGTCTCTGTAGTCTCTGCAATTGCTGTAGAGACTGCAGAGACTGTAGTGACTGCAACTGTCATTTTCTCCATGACTGCTGCAGTCTGCGCAGTCTCTGGAACTGCTACCGTCTGTACAGTCTGTGCAGTCTGTGCAGTCCCTGCAATTGCTGCAGTCTCTGCAGTCTGTGCCGCCCGTGCCTCTGCCTGCTGCAGTATGTCGCTATAGCGTAAAGGACAATTGCGAGATGTCATGATGTGCCCTTGCTGGTGGCATTTGCTGCATGTAGGCGGCGCCTTGGCCGTAGATCTGACTCTATGGCTTCAAATGCACTTGGCTCGCGCTGTGTGGATGACTGTGATATCCTTGATGCGGCGACAAGTTGGTCTAGTCGCCGACGAGGCTCTATGAGGACCTGACCAATCTCTTTGTTATCCCGTCGAAGGCGCCAATGTGTATGAAAATGTTGTAGCCGGAGGGGCAGATCTTCCACTATGAGAGACTGTAATGCGTGCGCACAAGGGAGACCGCGAGACTTGGTGAAGCTGCCTGTGCAAGATGGGGTGTTTTTCTCGTTGAGGCGCTTGTGTTGCTTTGCAACCTGTCGCAAGGCTTCGTGTGATACCCAGCCACGTACCGTGCTATATACGGTTCCAGAGAGCTCAATTGGCATCCGTATATGCTGCCTGGCTTGGTTGGCTTGTAGCTCGGCCAGTTGGTTGAGGAGAGCTTGCTTGATTGCCCTCGTTGCCTCGAAGAGGTCTAATGTTGACTTCTTAAGGTGACTCTTCAATAATGCGTGGATGCCTTCCACCCGGGAAGTAGCCACATTGCCGAAGTGAGCATATTGATCGACCCAGGCCTTGACGAGCTTTTCCTTATACGGGTCCAACCAGGTTTCCGTATGTAGCTAACCTCCTTGACGTATCGTGGCACAAAGCGCTTCTCGAGCTCTTCAACTTGTTGATCAAATGTCTCCTCATCTTTCGAGCCCACGATTGAGTGCCAATACCCAAAGAACTCAGCCCACCTCTCATCACTATTAGAGTCCTCATCGTCACGGTCGAAAGCTGGTTTGCAATAGCTAAGCACCGCCTTATTCGCATGCCAGATGCAAAGCAGAGACTTGGACGCAGGAAAGCACCGGGAAATTGCGTTTATGCAGGCGAGGCAGCGATCTGTCAGGATAACCGATGGCTGGCGAATGTCATATAACTCGTATATCGATTGGAGTTGGTCCAGTGCCCAGATATAGTCATTTTCGTCTTCACCACTGAGGAAGGCAAAGGCAATACAGAATGACCGCTGACAGGCATCAACGCCGATCATATCGAGCAGTGGCATCTTATATTTGTTCGTCTTGTATGTGCAGTCTAGCAGTAGTAATTCTGGGTATGCGTTGAGGTATCCTAGAGACGCTGGGTGTGCGAATAAGACTGCTGTGACTCGGCCATCATGATCAAGCTGTATGCGGCTCTGGAACCCCTCGTTGTCAAGCTCATTGGCAAGGGCATGCATTGTGCTCTGGCCAGCAAGGAGCTCTCGTCTGCGCTGTGCGATACAGTTATATATGTCTTGCTGTGTCGCTCCTTGGGCAGTCTGAGAGCTCTGGCGCATATATGTCCGGATATCCTTTGGTGCTATGCCAGCGCTTGAGAGGTTCCCAATAGCTGACTGGTCAGTTGAGGAGAGGCACGATGAGCTGGATGTGCTGTAATATGCAGACTGGGCTCATGGTTGTGGACCGACTTCTCCTCGCCTGGGCGATGCCTGACATACCAGTACGACTTATCAAGGCTCTCTTTCGCATTGATGGAAAACTGGCATCCAGTGATACGGGAGCTTGTAGACCGTTGCCGATCAGCTGGCTTCTGGTCCTTGCTTGTATGAGCCCCAAGTCTACCTCCACGATCGCAGGCAAATATGACTGTGCGTCTTCCGGACCGCGGGTCTCTCGTGGACTTGCCTGTGGTGAAGGCATAGCCTCTTGGAGCCGCCCACGCATTAATTGAGGCAAGAAGAGACTCGCGAGTCGAACTGGCCTCAGGAGGAAGGCAATCGTCAGGGAATTCAGTAAGCCCCATATTGGAATTATCTTGAAGAGCTAGCTGTAGTGCACGACAGTGAGCAGCTCTTTATACACAAAGGAAAGGAAACTCCTGCTTTGTGGACGTGGTGCAGAACCCTTGTAACCGAGGCCGCCTGCGAGGTTTAATGCAGCCTGCGTTTGAGCTTTGGCCTCAATGGGGTCCAAGCACCACGCATGCAGGCGCTCGACCTTAATATGCGGATTATAGCATCGCTTCCGCGGACAACTACTCTGAGCGCAGATGGTATGCTATATGAGGCTGGCTCTCTGTGCGACAGTTTGCCACATGCAAGAAAAGGAGAGTACAGGTCAGGGGCGGCCTGACTATCTTCCGCCTGGGCTTACATAACAGGCGCGGACGTCCGCGCCGACTTTAAAGGCGCGGGGGTCCGCGCCTCTAACGTAATCCACCCCCTTCCCGGTCAGACCCCCTACTCGGTCAGAAAAAGTCTCCACGCGGCGACCCACACTTATGGCAAGACAAACCGAGCACTATGACGGCAACGGGAGACCAATCGGTTCCACGCGAAGAACGGGTCCTGCTCGCCGTCAGGGCCTATCAGCAGGGCCAATTCAAAAGTACCGCAAGGCTGCGGCCGCATACGACGTCCTCAATCGACAGTATCTGATCGACTGCGCGGTGTCATTCGCCGACGCGACGCTCAGATGAACAACCTGAAGTTGACGGCGACGGAAGAGACTGCCCTGGTACAATGGATCTTGTCGATGGACGAGCGAGGATGCCGCCGACAGTGGCTTACACTCGTCGGATGGCCAACTTATTGCTTTCCGAGCGAGGCAAAGATCCTGTCGGGGAAAACTGGGTGCGGAAGTTTGTTGGCCGCCACGGCGAAATCAAGGCAAAGTACTCGCCGATACGACTACCAACGAGCCAAATGCGAAGACCCCAAAAGATCCAAGGATGGTACGATCGAGTCGCGGCGACGAAACAGAAATGGGGATTCTTGACGAGGATGTCTATAACTTTGATGAGACGGGGTTTCAAATGGAGTCGCTGCAACGGCGAGAGTCCTTACCCGGTCTGACCGGCGAGGTCGGGCAGTACTCACGCAGCCTGGAAATCGAGAATGGGTTACTGTGATCGAGTCTATCAACTGCCAAGGTTGGGCTTTACCGGCGAAGGTTATCTTCCAGGGCAAGTTACACCAAGCAAGCTGGTACGAATCAGGAGTGCCTGATGACTGGCATATCGCCGTTAGTGAGAATGGCTGGACTTCCGACGACCTTGCTTTGAATTGGTTAAAGGAAGTCTTTGATCCGAATACACGGCGCCGTACGGTTGGTACGCATCGACTTCTTATTCTCGACGGAACGGCAGTCACGTCACGCCGGAATTTGACAAGTACTGTACGGCCAATTCCATCGTAGTACTCCAAATGCCTGCACATTCCTCACATCTCTTGCAGCCTCTTGATGTCGGGTGCTTTTCGCCGTTGAAAACCATATACGGCCGAAAGGTTCAAGAGAAAATGCTCGCTGGGATCCATCATATCGACAAGCAGGACTTCCTTCCCATGTACTTAGACGCTCGCTGTAACGGTCTCAACTGAGTGTGTTGACAACTAGCTGAGCGACTGCGACGAGTATCCTAAAGCTAAGGAGAAAAGAAGAAGAAAAGAAAAGAAAGGAAAGCTCTCGAAGATGGCACGAGCTTATAAGCGGAGCCCGGTGGGTCTTGTCGAGAGCGGAGCCGAGACCTCACGGGCTCAGCCCGTTACAATAACCCCTCCTTCCTCCCCGTTTCGATCGTTTCGATTGGGGTGGTTTCGATCCAACTTTCCCATGAACTTCTTCATACCTAGCCAGTGCTATTGTGTCTGCGACGTACTTGACTGGCTCCCACGTCGGACCTATCCATCCGACCCATTTCACCAACACTTTCCACTCTCTCCCGACTTTCTTCCTGTCCAGAATCTCTTCCACTTCCCACAGCTCGCCATCGTCCGTCAAAATGGCCGGTGGGCGGTAGTCATCCGACGTCTGTGACGGTAGCGGATCGTCCGCTGCTAAGCGTAAGAGCGACACGTGGAACACGTTGTGTATTCCCGGAGGCGTGTCCAGCCTGCACGCGTGACCCAATGGTCTCCAGGACGGTGTACTTGGCCGACAGCCAATCGAGCTTCTTGATGGCCGATTGATCGGATGTTGCGAAGTCGCAGCCATACCTTGTCTCCAGGCTTGAACTGGTCTGACGGCTGTCTTCGCGAATTGGCGTTCTTCTCTTGCTGCTCTTGCGCTGACGCAATTGCCGCCTGGGCCCATTCCGTTGCCTCTCGAAATCGTTGCACAATGCTTTCAGCCCTGGTCACTGGGGACCTTCCGTCCGTCCGTAACTTCTCCTTGACTTGTATCGGGTCAACATGATACCCATGCGTGATAAAGAACGGGCTCAGGCCTGTCGACGTCGAGTTGTGATTGTTGATGGCCATCATGGCCGCTGGCAACAGCTCTTCCCAGTTATCCTGAGCATAAGCAGCAAAGATCCTCAGATATCTCTCGACTTCCTGATTCGCCCTTTCTGTTGCACCGTCAGTCTCGGGATGCCACGCCGTAGACAATCTTTGCTTCACGCGTAGCAGCTCGCAGAGCCTCTGCCATAGTCTACTGGTGAATTGCGTGCCACGGTCAGTGACGATCGCGCGCGGCACGCCATGGTGTTGCACCACGTTCCGTAGCAATGCTCTGGCCGTCGTCTCGGCCGTGATGTCCTTCAATGACTCAAGAACGACACTTTGGACAGTCTGTCCGTCACGACCATAAGGTTGGTCGAACCGTTCGACTTGGTTGGTGGCAGGTCTGTCACAAAGTCAATTGACAGCTCCGACCAGATCCTGTCTGGAATAGGTAGCGGCTTCAATAAACCGCGACGCTTCTCTCGCCAAATGTTGCTTCGGCCACACACATCACAATTTCTCACAAATTGACGCACGTCTGAATCGAGGCCTGGCCAATAAAACTTGCGGCTCAACAAGGACTTCAGCATGTCCCGTCCGGGGTGTCCTGCAAGCGTTGAGTCATGCGTCTCCTGCATAAGCCGCGTGCGCAGGGGTTCGTGGTTCGGCACCCAAATTCGCTCTCGCCAGCAGAGCCGCTGTCCATCGTCAATCGAGCATTCCGAGAGCATCACGGGCAGTCCCCAATGCGACGGCAGACGCCTCTCGCCTTGCTGTACGGCCTTCGGATGAGCCAATAACGATTGTGCTTGACACCTTCGTCCCATAACTTCTGCAGTTCCGGGTCCGAGAAAGGGTTTTCGATTGAGTCGTCTTGGTCAGTTGTTGCGTCATCGGGTTGATCCGTGTCGCCCTTGGTGACATAACCGCTCTTGACTTTTGTCACCAGGCCACCCTTGTTACGTTGCAGCAGCTGAACACGTCGTCCTTGCAACCGATCATCTTCGGCGCTGTGCGGCATGTCCTGTTCTCGTCGAGACAGCGTGTCCGGTACGACGGCTTCTTTGCCCGGTCGATGCTTGATGGTGAAGCTGTACCGCGATAGCGTCTCAGCCCATCGCGCCTGACGTTCACTCAGTTGCTGCTTCTGGTGAAGTAACGGAGGTTGAGATGATCCGTCAAAACGGTAAAGGACTTCACTCTTCAATTCGGCGTCCCAATGCTCAAGGCAGCGAATGATCGCCAGCAGCTCTTTATCGTGGATTGGGTAGTTGCACTCCGCCGGTGCGTTTTTCTTTGAGAAGAAGGCCACAGGCCGCATGATGCCGTCATCGCCCTTTTGCGAGAGCGCCCCTCCTGTGACATAACCGGATGAATCCGTCTCCACAATCGTCTCTCTATCCGGATCCCATTGCGCAAGGACCGGCGCACTGGTCAGAAGAGCCTTCAACTCCTCGAAGGCCTTGTCGCACTCCTTCGACCACGCAAACACCGCATCCTTCTTTGTTAACGCCGTTAGAGGCGCGGCGATGTTGGAGAATCTGGGAATGAATTGCCGGTAATAGTTGGCAAACCCCAGAAAGCTTCTGACGCCTTTGACAGAACGGGGTCGCTGCCACTGCTGAATTGCCTGCACCTTCTCCGGGTCCACGCGGATACCTTTCCCGGCTTCGACGATGAAGCCCAGGTACTTGACACTCTTTGCCTCAAAGTCACACTTGTCGATATCAATCTGCAGGCCTGCATCTCGCAGTCGAGCAAGGACCTGCCTGACTTTGTTGCGATGATCTGCGAGCGAACCGCTCGAGTAGATCAAGATGTCGTCAATGTAAGCGGAACAGAACTCGTCGAGGAAATCTCGCAACGTGTGGTTTATGTAACGCTGAAACGTTGCGGAGCACCGTCAACCCGAATGGCGTGACAAGCCATTCGTAGAGTCCGTAACGTGTTCTGAATGCTGTCTTCCACTCGTCTCTCCTCGACGCGAATCTTGTGAAATGCTGCGATAACGTCAAGTTTGGTGAGCCACTTGGCCTTGGACAGCGACCGCAAAGTTTCCTCGATCAACGGCAAGGGATATCGGTCTTTCTTGGTGATCGCATTCAATCCTCGATAGTCCACGCAAAAGCGCAGACCACCACCGGGCTTCCTCACGAACAAAACTGGTGCTGACGCTGGAGAACTACTTGCTCGAATGAAACCCTTGTCGAGTAGCTCAGTGAGAGTCTTTCGCAGAACAATGAGCTCTTCTCGTGACATGCCGTACAATGGTCCCCACGGCGGTTCTTTCTCCTTGTCATCAGGACCTCTCTAACTGAATCTTGTGATCACACCCCGGACGACGCGGTGGGAGTTGGTCCGCTTGGTCGCGGTCGAAGACGGATAGGTACTCGTGGTAGTGACGGGGCAGCTTCTCTCGGGTCTGACTTCTTCCTCGGAGTCAATGCCTTCTCAATGTCTTTCAGGCTTGCGGCGAAGATCCGCACTCCATCGTCTCGATGCTTGAACTTTCTTGCTCGGCGAACCATTCCGGCGAACACGAACGCCGCCTGTCCTCGTATGTTGCACCGTTCCTCCTCCTTCGGGTCTCGGCCTTTCACCCAATGGTCGTGCGTCCCGATATGCAAGAGGTTCTGCGATAATCGCAAGGTGACATCCTCCTGGTTCAACCACTTCTTGCCCAGAATCACAGGATCGGTCTGGTCTCGCACAACGTAGAAAAAGCTCTTTCTTCTGGTACCCGTCGATATCGAAGTCGAAGTAGGTCACGGCACAGATGGCCTCGGGTGAGAATGTGTTGACCTGCTCCAACGCTCGAGGTTTAATCGGAATACGCGGCAGGTGAAGCTTGCGGGCAAGGCGCTCACTGATGGTCCCATAACACAGGCAACCACAGTCAACGAAGGCCGTGGTGAAATACTCGATTGATACCGAAATTTACGTAGAGGCCTTCACAGTCCATCTCGTCCTTCTGAGTTGCCCATTCCGCCTCAGCCTTTGCGCGCTCCTGACGGCGATTTTCGTCAGGAGCTACTCGTTTTCCGAATGGTCATCGGAGGTATCCCCGCTAGAACTCTCCGCGGGCTCTGGTGCTTTGCTCGAGCTTCTTGTCTTCTCTTCGACACGGACCTTGACTCTCTGCTGCCGCCGCTCCTTCCCGGACACTTGGCCGCAAGATGGCCAAGCTTCCCGCACTCGTAACATTTGCGCTCCTCCAACGGAACAAATTGCTTTTCCTCCGGGGCCCTCCTGCCGTTTATCAACCGATTTGCTTTCACGGGTTCCCAATCCATCTGATCATCGGACGGGGACGACGTGGTTGGCGATCCGGGTGACGGGGCTTTGTCGGGACTCGAGCGGTTCGGATAAACGACCATACTCCTTTCTTGACCTCTGCTCGCGGCCTTGTTGTCGTTGGTGGAAATTGAGGCTATCTAGGCGCGAGCCAATCGTCAAGAGTAGCTCGGCGTAGCTGTTGAAATCCTTCGGAGACTGACGGCACTGACGAGACTCGACTTGAGCCTATTATTAATTGCTCCTTCCAAGTAATTGATTTGCACCACGTCGGCCCACTCGCCACCGCCACTATCGGCAAGCTCTTTCTCGAACTTTGGGAAGAAACTGGCGAAACTCTCATCAGGCTTCTGCTTCAACGATCGAAGTCGATCCAGTGCTCGTGCCTTTGCGTTCGGGTCCCCGTACCGACGGTTCAAGTAGTCGAGAAACAGATCTGGGGAGCGAGCACCATCGATACCGCCCTGTTCGTAATAAGCAGCGGCCATGTTCTGGGCTGTTCCGCCAACCGGGAGTACACATAGGCGAAGAGTGCTTCTTTATTGTCGAATGCCTGTCGGTCCACAGCCAATTTCGCTTTCATCTCTAAGAACCAGGGACGGAAGTTTTTCCTGGTTCCATCGAATTTCGGCGGATCAGGCAAGGTTGGTTTTACCCTCTTTGATGGGATTCTTTCGGATGTCTCGATCGATTGAGGCGTGTTGTCGGACATCGGTCGATAGGAGCGACTGGTTCATTTGCCGGAGTCGGAGTTGAGACGGCTGTTTGGAGGATTCGGATCTGCGATCGCATCTCTTCGCGTTCGGCCTCTTGGCTTGCACACACTTTCTAGTTTGTCCATCACTGCAGCCAGGGCTTGCATCATCGATTGAGGCTCAAAAGAACCTTGCTGGGAATCGATTGCCTCCATGACTGAAGATTTTCTCGGCTCTCAGGACTGAGGGCGACTTGATCACACAGCAAGTCTGATACGGAAGGGATATCTCGACAACGGTCGAACGCTATCAACGCCTCGAAGGCTCCTTCCTACACGGCTGGACGTTCTGCACAGGGCTTCTAGTCCAGCTGCTGCCGTCCACACTGGGAGCCAAGCAGCAATCACGTACTTCTCGCTCAACCGCACGCCGTACGGAGAGCAGATTGACGCTCCACGTCCTTTGCTCGGGAGATGAGAGCTACGCGACGCGAGCCAAGCTGGCTTTGGCGCCGTACACACACGCACTTTCGTCGCGGGCGTTCCACACAGGATTGCCCAAGCTACTGCCACTCCGCGTACCCACAAAGGGAACTGAACAGCGCTGCCAATTGATTGTGATCAAAGGCTTTAACGATGAAAGCGGAGCTTTAGGATAATGTAACGGTCTCAACTGAGTGTGTTGACAACTAGCTGAGCGACTGCGACGAGTATCCTAAAGCTAAGGAGAAAAGAAGAAGAAAAGAAAAGAAAGGAAAGCTCTCGAAGATGGCACGAGCTTATAAGCGGAGCTCCGGTGGGTCTTGTCGAGAGCGGAGCCGAGACCCTCACGGGCTCAGCCCGTTACACTCGCCGACAAGCACTTTCGCCGTCGAATATCCGAAGCGGATTTATGGCAACAGGCCTTTTTCCGTTTGACCCAAACAGAGTATTATCGCGGTTACAAGTTCAGGTTGACAAAGTCGGTAACGATCACGGCGACAAGAATACTCCAAGTCCCAACAAGAGCCTGGAAGCAGCCAAGACTCCGCATAACGTCAACCAGCTTACCACTCACGCCGAAAGGCTTCTTCAACGCCGGCCACAAAATACAGACTCGCCAGTTTCACAAGCTATCAACCAGCTTATCAAAGGATGTCAAATGGCCATGCACAGCGCCGCCCTCCTTGCCGACGAAAACCGGCAACTTCGGTCAGAAAACCAGCGGCGAAAGCAGAGAAAGAACAGCGCCGTGAATACATTGGCGACGGCGGTACTCTATCGGTTGCAGAGGGCACGGTTAGGATAAAGCAACGGAGAGAAGAAGAAGAAGAGCGGGTTAAGCGACGGAGAGTGGAAGAAGAGGAGAGGACTAAGCGCCGGCGAGAGAAGGACGAGGAGCGCCAAGCGACGACAAGAAGGAGAAGAGCGGGCCGAGCGACGGCGACAAGAGAACGAGGAATGGTTCAAGCTACGGCGAGAAAAGGAAGAGGAGCGGGTCAAGAAACAGAGAGCAAAGGAAGATGAGCGGGCCAAGCGACGGCGGGAAGAAGGGAGCGGGACCAACGACTTATAGAAGAGCTGAGTGTCCCAAGACAGCGTGCACCACCACGGTGTAGTAAGTGCAGGTCTTTTGAACACACTGCCCGTACGTGTAATAGATAGTCCTAATCGAGTTACTTGTCTCTTGGAGTAAATATGTCGTGGTATTGTGCTCCGTTTGTCTCGCGTAAGGTGCGGGTCTAGTCGGTGGGGAATTTTTGACCGAGTAGGGGGTCTGACCGGGAAGGGGGTGGATTACGTTATTGGCTCCCGGAGACGGGTGTCTGCTTAGATAATCCACATTGCTGTAGTCAGCTGACGAGCCGCCTACCCTAAAGCCTGGTGGTGCAGCCTGTCAACGCCAGATTCACCCTTCCCTGCATTTTTACTTTCTTGGCACGCAAGTGTTAAGGAAGTAGCCTATCCATACAGCTTTTCGCTTAACAGTGCTCTTGAAAATTCCGCAACAGCGCCGCGCAAAGCGCCGGCAGCGGCCATGGCACCAGCCTCAGGTTCGCGCGCCGCTCCTGTGCTGTCGACATACAATCGCCACCTGATCTAGCAGCCCGTGCATCTCAGCACCTACTGTCCTCTCCGGCGGAGGCTCGCCCAAATGTCTCAACCCTGGCGGCTCAGCAGCTCCTCGACCGACGTCTCCCAGCGACACGCCCAACGCTGCCGTCGCGGAAGGAACGCAGCCGGAAATAATCCCGAATGGCCCTGGTTCGACCGGGTCCACGGAAAATGCACCTGTCTCCATCATCGAAGCGGCTACAAAGATCGCTCGCGACCAAACGGCAGCCCATGATGCCAAGCTGGCAGTCTTTCGGGCCTTTAGCGAATCATTCGAACAGACAGCCAAACAATTCACGTCCGGCTCCCACAATAGCATCGCAAAGCAAGTTGCCACCAAGTTTCTGAACCTCTGACTCAATCGCTCGCCGACCTTGAGGAACCACCGAAACCTACGTACAGCAGCGTTCTCGCATCCGGCAAAACGACACAAGGACAGCTGGCCATTACGGCCTCCGCCCCACCACAGCGAAAACAGCAAACCACCACTCGTCTCCAAGGACGACCGCCCGTGGTCCCACCCAAGGAAGACCTGCGTGTCTTTGTCCGACTTGACGCCGATGCTCCGGCCCGAAACCATGAAAGATACGCTATCCGGGCCCACATCGCCGCTAGAGTCGGCATCGACCTACGCCGCATCCCGGCAGCCTTCCCGGTAAACACGGGTTGGGCCATCCTGGCATCGGATGTGGCCACGCGCGAACTACTCGTGCAGCGACAGGCGGATTGGGCCGTAGATCTGGACGCGACGGCCGTAGAGATTAGCCAGAAATGGCATTCGTATGCCGTAGCCGATTGCCCCGTAGGCTCACGGACCTACGCGGCGTTGAGATCAACTTCGATGAGGCGGTCAAAGAAGAAATTGCCTGCCAAACCGGACTGAAGCCCATCAGCATACGGACCTCGCGACACGACTCGGGCGATATGCCTACCAAGACCCTTATTGTATCCTTCCTGGAACCCACGCAGAGACCCTGGCGACTGTTCGGCGCCAGCCGGTTCGCCCGCTATATCGACAAGCCCAGCATTCCTAGCCAATGTGACAAGTGCTGGGATTTCCACGCTCGACACAGCTGCGATCGAACGGCGCGCTGCAGGCGTTGTGGCAAAACCGGCCATCGTAGCCAAGAATGCACCGCCCTCGAGCAGTGTGCAAACTGCCTTGGACCCCATTGCGCGGATGACCCCAAATGCCCTGCCCGCCCCAAGCGCGTTCACGGCATGGTCCGGCGCCTGACGAAGGAGGAGAAGAGCCTGGTACGGCAGATGGGAGTTCAGCTCTCTGCGCAGCAGAAGCGGCAGACTCCAAAGGCCAGAGTGTCCGACCAGTCTGATCAGAGCCCTGGCAGGCCGCAGATACTTTCCTTGGAGTCAACGGCGCCGCGGGCAGCTGGAGGAGATGGAAGCTCCGACATGGGCGCCATTTACGAGCCAGCCGCGCCGTCAACCCCATGCATCGTTGTGGCCACAACGCCGCCGCATGTAAGGGACGGCGACCAGTTCCTCCCTGTCGTCCCATCGAAGAAACGACGCACTAGTCCTGTGACGCTACCCTAATGCCTCGCTGTTTTCCACGCAATCGAAGCGATAGGAGGATCTTGCGAATCTTCCAAGCCAACGTAGGCAAGATTCCGCCGGCACACGATTGTGCCCTTGCGTTGGCCGACTCGGAACAATACGACATTATTTTGTTGCAGGAGCCATGGACAGGACTGAAAGATGGCCGATGCCTCACTAAGACGCATCAGGCCTACGACACCTTCTCACCCGTCAACGACTGGGACGGCCGCGACACTCGCCCGAGAGTCATGACATACGTCCGGCGTTCCGCAGGTCTCGTCGCTGATCAAAAGAGACCTGCGGCGACTCGTGACATCCTTTGGCTCACCGTCAACGGCATAACAGTCGTCAACTTCTATCGGCAGCCGTACCACGACGGAGCCCTTGAAATCTTGCTTCAGTGGACCGTACCGGACAAGTGTCTTGTTGCTGGTGATTTCAATGCCAAACATCCCAGCTGGCAGGCCGGTCGACGAGAGGACCGCGGCGAAGAAATAGCGTTTTGGGCAATGGACAATCGACTCGGCTTACTGAATCCTGTCGATGTCCCGACCAACGCACACGGCAATACGGTTGATCTCGCCTTCTGCAACATACCTCTGGCCGACGCTGTTGTCGAGGATCATCTAGCAACCGGCTCCGATCATTTTACCCTTAGTATCACGCTGCCAGGACAAGTTCTGGCACCCCTTCCAATAGGAAAGATCCATCTCAACTCCGACGAGGAATTGAAGCGATTCATTGAATTAGTGGAGGCCGGTGCCGCCTTCATCCCGATCACCACGGCATCTCCTTCCGAGCTCGACAGCTTTGCGTCGGCGCTCGTGAACCTTCTTGGTTGTGCAGCCAGAGCTGCCGGTCGACCTGCCCGTAAGACTACGCATGGTGCGCGGTGGTGGACTGAAGAATGCGCAAAGGCGGCGGCCAATTACCGCGCGTGGAGGAGAGTTCACTCTCTCGGCTTCGACCGAGAAGTACAGCTAGCCAAGAGGAGCTCCATAGCGTGGTGCGCCGGGCCAAGCGCCTTTACTGGCGTAACTTGATTGACAGCTTCACCGATAGCGCCTCCGTCTTCAGGGCGGTCCGCTGGCTGAAGTCTCCAGGTCCGTTTCAAGCTCCTCCTGCAAATTGACGACCGAGTGTATGAGACGCAGCTGGAAAAGGCCACCGCCTTGCGACAAGCCACTCTGGAACGGCGCACGGCGAACGACGACATCCCAGATCCGTGGATCTCCGTGAACACAGATAGGACGATACCCTTCACCGACCGAGTCTCTCCGGAGGAGACCCGCGACGCCACGCTACGCACCGGGAATACGTCCCTGGTCCCGACAATATTACGGTGCGGATGCTCCGCGCTGTCTGGCATGCGATCGGAAGTCTCGTCCACCAGCTATATCAAGGCTGCCTCAGGATTGGCCACCATCCGAAGCCCTTCCGAGAAGCAGAAGTGGTCATGATTGCCAAGCCGGGGCGCAGGGATCTCTACACCCCGCGCTTGGCGCCCCATCTCCCTTTTGTCCTGTCTCGGCAAGGGCCTCGAGCGGCTCATCGCACGGCGTCTAGCGTGGGCCTCGGTCCATTTCGGCGTACTACACCCACAACAAGCCGGCGCGCTCCCGAAGAGATCGGCCGTGGATCTCGTTGCTGCCTTGATTCATGACATCGAGGAGGCATTTGCCTGCAAGCAGGTTGCAACATTGGTGACTTTGGACATTCAGGGCGCCTTCGACACAGTCCTCCGCAACAGATTGATCCTTCGCCTACGGGAGCAAGGGTGGCCACCGAACCTCGCGCGATGGGTCGGCTCGTTTATGCAAGACAGGTCGGCACGCATCCGCTATCAAGATATCGCAACGAATTCATCGCCTCTCCAGTGCGGGCTGCCACAGGATCGCCAGTCTCGCCGATCCTCTTCCTACTGTATACGGAACCAATCTACCGCTTGGGCAGCTCAAAGGGCGTTTCGGCTATGCGGACGACACTGCCATCCTTTGCGTCGGCGATAGCCTGGATGAGACGTCCGCCGAAGCATCTCATCATGTGCGTGAGCTTGTATCGTGGGGCGCCGCCAACGGATCTCCTTCGACCCTGAGAAGACAGAAGTGATGCACTTCTCTCGAACGACGCCCAAGACGGCGCCGCCAGTGCTCCATGGCGAATTTGAGAAACGGCCGGGCCGGGCGATGCGTTGGCTCGGCGTCTGGCTCGACAGCACTCTGTCTTTCAAGACTCATGTCGAGAAATGGACGGCCAAAGCGCAAGCAGTCGCCTTCCATCTCAGGAGACTGACAAACACCAGGCATGGTCCTCTACCGAGCGCTGTGCGACGAGCGGTCTGCGCTTGCGTCATTCCAGTGCTGCTCTACGCGGCGGAGGTCTGGTATCCTGGTTCTACGCGCCCGCGCTGGACCAAGCCGGGCAAGGAAGGACCGTCCAGGATCGGACACCTCGTAAAGAAGATGAGCAAGGCACTCTACACATCTCTTCGGGCTATCCTGCCAGTGTGGAGAACTACACCAACGAATGTTCTGCACCGGGAGGCAGGGATACCGCCGGTCCCTCTGCTGCTCGAGGCGCGCCGGACTGCATTTGCTGCGCGTCTCAAATCCCTGGACGAAGCTCATCCGCTCGTGAAGCGCACGTCGAGGCCAAAAGCCCCTATACTGAATGAAATGATCAAGCTGAAGTACCAAAAGCAGCCAAACCCTTCCGGACTAGGCTGCGGCGCTCGACGAATTGCTACCAAGCTGCCCAAGGCCTGCCTTGCTGCAGCGCGGATTTGTCGAAGAGCAGACTGCGCCTCTGCAGAGTGCATCGAAAAATGAGACGGCGAAGAAATTTCGCGATTGGCTCCAGGCACTATCGCCCCGAACTCTGGTCGTCTATTCCGACGGGTCCCGTTCTACCGAAGGCCACGCCGGATATGGCTATGTTGTTCATCGGGACGGATCCACCGTCTTGCGCGACAAGGGCCGTCTCGGGCCCGCCGAGATTTTCGACGCTGAGGCGAAAGGTGCGTTGGAGGGGTTGAAGGCTGCGGTGAGCCTTCCAGAAACTGACCGCATCTTTGTCTGCCTCGACAACCTCGCGACCGCAACATGCTTACGGGGCACGCCGAGCGACTCCTCGCAAGAGGTCTTCCTTGAGTTTCAATCTTTGGCGCGAAAATACGGAGCTGTGGAGGTCCATTGGATCCCCGGCCATGCTGACATCCCAGGCAACGAGGAGGCTGATGCTCTGGCAAAGGCGGGAGCATCACTGCCAGAACCCGCTGATAACGTCCCGACGCTAGCGCACCTGCGAAAGATTGCCCGACAGCAGCCGGAAGAGGCTTTCAAGGCCTGGTGGGAAGCCTCTGCGCCGGAGCGATACAGAGACCTGAGGCTTAAAGCCACAACCAGCTGCCCGTCAGAATTGGCGCTCTCTCGGCCCCTGCTTCGTAACTTGCTTGCAGCAAGAACCCACCATGGGGATTTTGCTGACTACCACGAAAGGTTTGGTCACGACAATGCGCGACTGACGTGCTCGTGCGGAAGACGAAAGAGCCAGCACACATCTTTTACTGCAGAAAGGTTGCGCCACGGCATCGTATGCGGCTTGCACCTTGGCCGGCTGCAGCCATCAACCGCGCAATCGGCAAGGACTTTGACAAATTCGTCAGGCTGGCGAAAGCGAGCTCCTTCTTCGGAGGATCTGCCCACGCCACTAGACGGTCATCATTCTCCTCTCTCACCCTACCTTTTCCTCTCAATCCTTTCTGTTACCTGCTCCGATCTCGGGCGGCGTCAAGGTCTCGCGACCATGCGATCGCCGAGGTCATCAAGGGCTGCAAGGCCCCAGAAGCAAATTGGCTGATCTGACCACGGGACAGCTTTCTCTTCATGCCTGGACGTCCCGCTGACGGGCAACAGGTTTGTCATGAGCGCCGTTGAGCCGATGAAATGCTGGATAGTGGGTGAAGTGTACGATATGTAAAATGTAGACACCTGCTAGCTCAGCACGTCCTGTGCTCCCCTGCGGAGACCTGAGCGACCAAAAGTTGCTGGACGGAAAATACACTAAACTAAACTAAACTAAATCAACGCCAGATTCGGCCGGGCGGAGGGTGCTCTCCGGAACCGGCCCTGTGAGGCCAAAACGAAAGACATGGCTGTCGCGCCTGAACGTCCCGCTGACGGGCAGCAGGCTGAGCAAAGAAGCGCCTTTGAGCCGATGAAATGCTGAATGGTGGATTGTTTACGTTCTGTGGAAGGGGCAGAAGACGCGGATTGGTACTCGTTTCGTTTCGCGTATTGTGGGCCTACTCCGCGATAGTAGACTTCCAGCAGCTCAGCACGTCCTGTGCCCCGTCTCGGGGACCTGAGCGACCTAAAGGTCGCTGGACGGAAAATACAATAATAATAATAATAACAACGCCAGATTCGCCGTGGCAAGCAGGATGGTGTGCATGCGTGCGCTTACCTATTCTTCAAGTGCAACTATATTTATGAGAAATGATGCTGACGTGATGTAGACGCTACGTTATACCCTCGTCAAGCACCACGCAATTTACCACTCGGCTTGCGGTTATAACCCAAGAGATGACAACAACCAGAGCACATGCAGCAAAAAGTCCAAGAGCGCTGGAATAAGAACCGTATACAGTACGAGAATTGCCAATTTCCACTAGATTGTCGTCCGGCCTTCAGCTCGAAGCCAACACTCGAGAGCAAAGACGGCAGCGTGGACCCAAGGAGCCGAGGACAAAGAGCCCGTGCAGCCCGCCGGCCCCGGCCGAGTTGCCTCGGAGGCCCCACCGCGGAGTTAAGGCGAGATGGCCGCGAACTCGCCCCCCTTTTTACCCCCCCCCCCATTTGTGCTTGTCCCAGCCAGCAATGAACTTGAGACAAAAGCCACGCTCCCACGGCGTCCGTACGACGGCCTGTTGTTGTGCGCCAAGGATGTGTGTGCGTGTGCCACGTTTCCCAAGCCCGTCCACAGCGTCCAGTATGCTCCCTCATGATGGAAGCCACCGGATTTCACCACTTTCCCGTACAGTACTTTCCCGCAACCTCTGAGACGAACCTACAGTACAGTACAGTCTGCTGCTGCCGAGTGGGGCGCGCGGGACGGGGGTTTGTCTGCAGGCCACGTCTCCGCGTGCGCGCCAAAGCCGTCCGTCATCCGTGATTAATAACATGCGCACAACTCACGAGACGGTGCCACGTGTGTATGTTGTGCCAACAGACTTAGCAAAGACACCAGTCGAGACAGGCTGACGACGCCGGTGACGACGATGGAAGGAAGCGCATGGGAAACCGACCATACTCGTCGAGTCTTTGCCCGTTTCGACAGGCCTTGCGAGCAACACCCTCTCGTGCGAGATCTCTTACAGGCCTCAAGGTAAATGGGCACTTCAATCATAAGAAACTCATCCGCCCCCCCCCTTGCGACTCATAACCAACCCCGGATACGATCCCGCCACCGCCGTTGCTTGATGGTGGATTTCAGAAATGAAAATCAAAGTCCATCGGCCCCCCTTTTTCCCTGCTGGCTCCACCCCGCGCGGCCTGATGAATCGCCCCGAGGCAAATCGCGCGAGGCCGGGCTCGGCACCCCGAATATGCCGCGACCATGCACAGAGCACGCATAACTGAAGATTCTGTTTCATTTGCTTCGTTGGTCTATTCTTTGAACAGTGCTCTGCCTGTAGAAGGTGGGAGCTGCCTTGGTAAGCGGTGTGCTGGGATCGTCAAAGCGGCGAGTAAGGCGAAGCGCGATGCCGATTTCAAAGCATTACAGGAGCGAGCCACCTAGAGACAGACAAGAGTCAGCTGCTTACTCGTCGGGCCAAGATAATTAGCTACCCTGCCTTTTGGATGCCGCTCCCGGAACGCCGTGGCCGCCGGCCCCTTTTTCACCCCAACTGCTGGCATCAAACCATCTCACATTTACCTACCAACGCCAAGCCCAAGGCCCACGGCATTTGTCCAGTCGCCTACTGTAGTCAATGCCCACCTTGTATCTGGAACGTACCCGCCCGGCATTTTCTTGTCCGCACGACGTGTAGTAATCCTGGCAAGCCTCTTCGTCTGCAAGTACTTGCCAGGCCTAGTACTTGCGCTCACCCCCCCCCCCCCGTCGGATGCCCATGGAGATTACCCAGTTTGGCCCGAGCCCTTCTCTCCGCTCCTCGACCCTATACCAACTTGCCCATCTCCGATACGGGCCATGTATGTATATTATATGTAGATATAACTCGGCCCGTACCTCAGACGTCACTCTCCGCAGCTCCTCATCCTTGTGACAGGTCCCTTTACGCTCTGATGCAACCTGGAGCATAACCTTGATCCTCCTCCTCAACCCCTCGTCCGGCCCCCAAGCCCGTCTCGTCGCCAACCACTGTCCGCCGCTCGTCGCAACTCTCGCTCCCTTGCCAAAAGACCTGCCGGCAAAAGACAAAGGGGGGAAACCTCCAAACACAGAAAGTCGACGACGACTGCCCGCCAACACCACACAAAATGACGACCGAGACCGAGACGCTGTCGCTCCCGCCGACGACGGCCCCGACGGACGCCACTGCATCCACCACCTGCCTTCCCCGCGAGGCACACAAGCGCCGCCTCCAAGATCTCGACTCGGTCGACTGGGACACAAACATCACCCCCGGCCTGCGCCTGCTCATGCCCGACAGCAAGTTTCCCTGCCTGTCTGCCGCCGCCCCGAGCCGCGACGAATCCGACGATACCGCCTCGGACCGAGATGATTGCAAGTGAGTCCTCCGTAGTGGAAAACACAGCGGCCGACCATGTCGCGAAATCGACTTCTTGTTGACTGACACCGTCTTCGCATTGCCAGCCGGCGCAAAAGTGAAACAAGCGTCGAGGAGTCCTGCAAGCGCGCGCTTCACCACTTTCCTAGTCCAGACGTCAGCTTTCCCATGCCAGCGCTCGAGTTCGACTTCCGCGTCGCCGTCGCCCTCAACCCGGAACCATCGCGCATCGAAAATCGCGTCAAGAAGGAAATCACCACCGTCTCCGCGGGACGATGGTCCGGCTCTTTCGGCCATGGGCGAGTCATGGTGCGTCCAACAGGGGCTTTGTGCGGCGGCTGCCTTGATCCGACGACTGACCAGAGCCAAGGCGGGCGGATATGATCTTGGCCAAGCCCGAGGCTTCCGACCCATCCGCATCGTCGAAGGCGCCTTTGTCATGCAGACAACCGACGAGCCACCCGCCATGTATGCCGCCCCCCCCGGCGTGCTCACGTCGATCGAGAACACCGTGCTGACCGTCCCGCATCTAGACTCGAGATGCGCACGCGAGGCTCCCTCTCCGGGCCCTGCGACATCCTCGACACCCTGCTGAGCCCGCGTCAGCCCAAGGACATTGATCCGCGCCGCTACGGCTTTCGCATGTTTGCCACTGTCAAGTCGCCCGACAAGCGCTATGCCGAGATTGTCAACTGCGGTCTCTGGATTGCCAGCGGAGTGTGGAGCGGCGACGAGTTGATTATCGAGTGAGTTGCCCTTCATCTTTCTCCCGCCAGATATGTCGGCCATCATGAATGCTGACTAGGATGAAAAGCGCGTATCGCGTGACTTGAACGTATAACGCCGAGTTTTCCAATGTCGTGAGAGACGCGAGATTTCGTGGCCGGGGATTGAAGGGAGAAACTGCTCCCCATTGCATTGGGCTTATCCTCTATCGCTCGGCGAGCAGGATTTGCGACGGAGTCTGGGTCGGAGCGAGGTGTTTGGCATCGTGCAGGCTGAAATCCAACATAGGACCGGCCAAGATTTTTGATTTCCTCTGCTATCTGTCTTTGGGTGCTGCATAGCAATGGCGCATGGATGCGGCGCGATATATCCTGGCTGCCAATAACACGGTAAATATTACTTTGCATGCTGGGTCTCAAATTGCTTATTTCAAGGGGGACCATGTTCGGTCCAGCATCGCGATCATCGAGTGCCAGCGGTATTGCTGGCAGGTGAGCTTGCTTGGTGACATGTGAATCCATGGCCTGTTCTCGTTGCAAATCGAAACAGTATGTTGGCGTTTCTTGAAGCCTTGCCGGTCATGTTAGCGCCGCCGTGGTGGACGGAGGATGCGCTGCTCAACTCACTTGTTTGGCCTCGGATCGCCATGCCATCCATTGTCCATATCTCATGGCATCCGACAAGAGCATGTGAGCAACTCACACCGTATTTTGGTCTACTTCAATCGCACCACCACCTCTAAGCAACTCAACCTCCTCACACGGCTCTCGTCGTCGCCCTCGAGTCCCTCGACGAGCACATCATCCACCGTCCCCACCGTGGCCGTCTTGATCTCGACGGCACAGTCGGCCTTCTGCTCGAACCAACTCGCCAGGCTGAGTGTCTTCTGCACCGCCTTGCCGGTACCCATGACCGTGACCGCCGTCGCGCTGGTCCCGGAGTCGGCGTCGGCGCCGCGACGCCTCAGGGCCTCGACGCGGGAGTGGAGCGAGGCGTTTTTGGGTGCGGCGGCCGTGGCGTTGCGCAGTGACTTGTCGAGGTGCTTCTGGACGCGCTTGACGGCGGACATGAATGGCGTCGACGAGGACACGTAGATGACGGGGGTTTTGGACGAGGAAGGGAGCTGGCGGCGGATGAGGGGCCGTTTCTGGATTTTGGCACCTTTGCAGACCCCGTATGCTGTTAGCGGCCAGACCAGACGGACAGCAACGTTGGCGCATACAGAGCAGAGCTTACCGTTTGGGATCGGAGGGAGCTTGCTAGCAGCTCTGGTCGCTGCCTTCGCAGAGGCAGACGGGGATGCATCGTTCTCGTCGGCGGCCGTCATGATGACGCTGTCAGAGTGCCCGCACGCTCGCCAAGGGCCCGTTTCTTTCGAGCTTTAAACAAGAATTCGGCCAAGTTTCTTGCTGTCCGTCAATACCAGCCTGCATACGGAGTAGAGGTCGGCGAAATGGGCATTTTTTGCTTGGGTTGCAGACGAGGAAACGCGTAAAAAGCTACACTCCACCTGCAGGCCCCTCATCTCTACAGGCGTTGTTAGGTATGTATCTTTTCTTTCGGGCGGACCCCAAGCGTCACTGGATGAACTAAAGTCCGTGCCCATGTCAACTGTCAAGCATGTTTCCTCGTGCATTCCCGGTGTCATCCCTCTCCATGGCACCGACTCTCGCCCACACCGCGACAATGATAGGCTTCCACGCGTCTTCACGCAATGGAGGCGCCGTCATCTCAAAGAACCGACGCAGGAGCCACCTCGAGAGCAACCGCCGGTCTAGAGGCCATGTCCATCCATCAAAGAGCTCGCCGCCACCCTAGATCACGCATTGTCGTCGAACCTCTGTTTTGGACGAATCTGCAACTTGAGCTGCTGCGGTGCACCTTTAGCGGACCTCACCCTGTGCCTCCAGCGACCATGAAGCTCAATTATCCTGGCGATGCTCGACGTCAAGCAAAGTTCCATCGCTATTTTGATGGCGGAGATGGCCACCCGGAAGCTGCTGTCCGGGTTCTCATGGGCGGATCCGAGGTTCCATTGCAGTGGTTGTAAGTTGCCCAACGCTCTGCCTTTTCTTCGTCTCTATCTGACCTTGCCCTGGACAGTCCCAATCTGTATTTTTGCCTCGGTGGCTATCGCAGCATCTTGCTACCCTGTTCGTACTTTTGCCTGCGGGACGAGTGTGAGGGCGACAATGTCGGGCCGGTGCCTCCAGTCGCTGCGCACATCGACCACCGCCATATTGTTCGTATGCGGGAGATGAAGTTGTTTCAACCGTGCAATGGTATTGGATACAACCGACCCGGCGCAAAGTTGGCCAAAATCAAACTACGGAAGCTCTCATCCACGCCGCCTTTGCACGAGCCATACTTGGTGGCGGTCCTGATAGCCCTTGCCCAACAACAATGGAGGACTTTGGGGCCAGCAGCGACCAAACGGGTGTCTGGCGTAAGCGTAAGTGAATTGCTTGGCTGTTGTTACCCAGCTAAACGTTTGCATAGCCCAAGCTGTTGTATACCTCAGGCGATGGCGATTTCATGCATTTGTACTCGACAAACATATCATGTACCCTCATACATATGTTTGATGATCCGGATACTACCCCGCCGGTGCCACAGTCCCTCTCGATCCAGATCTCGGCTATTCCGCTCAAGCCCTTCGAAACACTGCGTGATCGTGTTATGGCGCTACTTCTTTCAGCAACAAGCCTTGAAGAGGTGGGCAAGTCGGATGATTTGGTTGTATATAAATAAATTGGTTCTGCGGAGCGCCTGTCCCAACAAACAAGCAGATATGTTGAGACACGCACGTTGGAGCCCGCCTCCACTGTTCCGAGAAAGCGAAGACTGAAGGGATGTCCATCTACATGTACGGCCAGGCCGCGACACTCGTCGGGTTCTTCGACGACAACATGGGCGGCGAGGGGACGCAAACTCGACAATGAGCCGGCTTGGCTCCGGGAAAGACGGTAGAACTGAGTCAGCCGTCTTTCATATAAATATAATATAAATACAGTCCATAAAGGGCAAAAAGGAGACGCTCTTACAGGCGCGGCGCGGTCAATTCGAAAGACTTGAGGTTGCCGAACAGAGGCACAGATGCCTCTGAGTCTGTGCGGTATCCTTGGCACTAACGTTAATCCGCCCCGAGTCGCCAGCCGCCCTCCTATTCGACCATCGTGACTATTAATACTGACCCGCCGACGACGTCTAATTACCAGCTCTTTCGTTCAAGGTCGAGAATGGCTGCCCTTGCGCCTCGCGGGTACCGTTCCGCCAGCGAATACCATTTTCTCCAAGAGCAGAGCGACGCCATTGTTCGAGTCACGTCCTACCATCGCAAGGACTACTGCCTCTCCCTGATGGTTCTCGCCCCGCCAACACGCGGGCATTCATCCCTCGATAGCCACACCCTTCCGGCGGGCTTGTAAGACGGGACTCGGTGCCCTTGACCGGCTACCCCTAGAACTCTTGCATGACGTCTTGCTACGTCTGGACATGCAATCTCTATTTAGCTTTCGACAAACAAACGTCTGTTCGAGACAGACGGTAGATTCTACCAGGCAATATCGGATGGTGGTCTTGCATGGACTAAACCTCTTCTGCGCCTTGTTACGAACACGACTCGCTATTGATGTTTCACTCTCCGACTTTTACCGTGCACTATGCACCAAGGAGTGCACCCTTTGCGGCCAATTCGGCGGATTCATGTCCCTCTTGACTTGGTGTCGATGTTGTTTTGTGTGCCTCCACCAGTCTCCGGAAATCCAAGTGCAGACTCTTGCCGCTTTCAGGAAGCAGTTCCGCTTAAAAAAGGCGCAGCTGCGCCAACTGAGGACGCTCAAAACTTTGCCTGGAACATATACCCTGGAGGAGTCTATTTACAAATCCCGCATTGCCGTCGTTTCTCTTCATCAGGCCCTCTCGATTACCGGACAGCAACCGCAGGCACAGCCGGCCAACTGGGGACAAAATCGGAAGTTAAACTCTATGGGCTCGTGCGCACTTCCTTATTATGAGGGACAAATAGGCAAAGTCGAACACGGAGTCTCGTGTGCCGGATGTCAATTAGCTCTCGAAAAGGACATCATCGGTTCTAGGGGCGAGAGATGGGCATTCGAGGCTCGCAATAAGGTATATGCGCAAGATGGCTTTTTAGAGCACTTTCGATGGTGTGAACAGGCACAATTCCTGTGGAAATCGAGCGGCGAAGGGAACCACCGGCCTGCCGAGTTACCAGCGCTTGCTCGGAGAAGAGGCTGCTTTAGCAAAAGAGAATGAAGATGATAGTATTGTGGCATGGTGTCGACAAAGCGTTCAAGTACAGAGCACTTAGAAAGCCGACAGATTTCCAACGTACCACATACCACTGTCTGAATACCGAAATACAACCCCACGGTTCACGAGCCATGACTTACTCTTCCACTATTCCTCTATCGAGGCTTGTGTATTTCACTGGCGCGTCCGGCTTGACCAAGTGCCTCGAACAGTAGTTATCTGAATTCTTGCCCAATACCTTGGTTACCCGATTGCATTTGGCGTTGGTTCCAGGGCGCCCCCTGCACTGGATGAACTCCATCTCCCTTTTGCAGTCACACGTATATTTGGTATACCTTGACGTACACATTCCTTGCCGAACAAGATGTCGCAGGTTAGGGAGGTCCTAAATATAGGTGACAAAAGCTTACATACGGTTTGAGATGGTCAAATGACGTGAGTACGTTTGACAGCAATGAATACAAATGACCAGTGCAGAAAGCAAAGCTGTACTTGCGATATCGAGACCCCTGGGAGGGCTGGTTTTGGATCTTGATTCTCGCCGACGCGCCAAAGGGGAGACTGAGTGCTTGAATATTTTACTATATTACGGAGCTGCTTGACAAATATATGGGGCTGGCTGCGAAACAAACACTGAAACGTGACCGTTTGTTAAAGCCGCGCGCTTAGCGAGCGGTGGCATGCGGAAGTGGCCAGAATCCCTAAATAGCAACCAAAGGTCCTGCACCGGGCGGGACGAATGGCATGGCGGGTCTCGGCTGACCTGTTTGGCAGCTGTTCGTTGGTCAATTTGATTGCCAGCGAGGCGGACCAACAGCGTTGCATAAGGCAATGAACGATCGTTCTTTGAGCCAAAAGAGGTGCCTAAAAGGAGACCTGCCTTTCTTTCGAATACCCACCCTCTCAGCAAAAAGAACAAGAAAACATCAGAGAAAGAAGGAGCGGCAAACTCTGCCTCGAGAACAAATGTACGAATCTCTTATGGGTTTCCTTCCTCCTCAGAAACACCTGCTCACGGTCTTCCTGTAGTGGGCCATGTCTGGACATCGTACTACAGACCCGGCGATGCAGCCCATCGTCCTGTCTATGGAAGTAGACGATGAAGATTCCTGTGAAAGCGAATATCGACTGCGAATCGGAAACCAAGTAAAGTATCTTGTCATAGCGCCTAAGACCTTTGACAGAGACACGCTTTCGTTCCCTCTCGGATCCCTACCCCGTCTTCCTTGCAACGAGGAATGGACCGTGGCTCACATCTCACGAGACACACCCAGCGGCGACTTGAAAACTTGCATCTCCAACCGAACATTGGCTGGCGTGAAGAGTCAGTGGCATCAGACCAGGGTGGACTGCCTAGAGCTAGACAAGACCAAGCAGCTCACGGCAATGGCTTTCGAAGCCGTCTCACATTCTATCCTCCCATCGTCATCCACCGTCATCGCCAAGATAGCCCGGTTTGAATGGAAGATGCCTCGTATCGAGCAGGAAACGAGAGCATATCAGCTGCTTGAGGGTTCCGGATTGGCCCCGCGTTTCCTCGCCCATGTCCACGAGTGTGGACGCGTCATAGGCTTTCTATTGGAGAAGATTCAAGGACGTTCTGCTTCTTTGCACGATCTGACCGCCTGCGAAGCGGCTCTAGGGGAACTTCACAAGCGAGACTTTCTGCATGGGGATGTGAACCGATACAACTTTCTCGTCACGGAGGATGGGGTCAAACTACTCGACTTTGAAAACTTTGTGGAAAATGCTAGCCCGGAGCCGATGAACAAGGAATTGAAGAGCTTGCGTGACGAATTGCTTGGCGAGTCAGGACGCGGCGGAGGATTCATTTTCCATGACGATGGCAACTGATATTGAAGCTCGAGACGGATCCTGTTAATTTAAAGACGGTGCGCGTAAATTGGTGCAGGCAGATGACGAGACAAGTTTTGTCTCACTCCCCCGTCTTCTCTCTCCCGTCCGGCCTGGCGTGTTGATTTTCGAAACGCGTAGGCGGCTTATGTAGCCACGCTCCAGCAAGCTTGGCTGTCGGCACGACGCCGTCTTACACAAAATTCAGCAGGCACAATCTCCTATTTGTCGATAGTATATCAGCTGTTATGGCTGCCGTGGATCATGACATTGACGAATAGTATTTTCCTGCACAGTTTGGAGCTTGCTGGATCAAGACGCGCTGCGCAATACGTTCTATTGCTACAACCAGCCGACTATTGCAATTACATGGCTCGGCGGCAACTTTGCCAAGAGTGAAGACAACCATGCACTTCTCCCCGAAGAAACATACACCGGAGAGGGTTTTCAACCGCTCTATGCGTCAGAAACGCTGTGCCGTACCATCCGCGATCCAACTCAGGCTCTGAAAACACTGCCTCACCTGCCTCTCCGCCAGCGAAGCCTTCGGCTTCTTACAAAAGCGATGGGTCTCTCGAATCTGTGGCAAATACACACCCAGAATGGTGCCCATGCATCATGGAAACCGCGACCATGCAGATAGATGTCTTCACTGAGGTACGTGAAGCTGGAATCACCTAAGTCCTTGGAACAACTGCCCCTTGGCTATCCCATCTTGGCATCAACGCAAACAAGAATGAACGTCAAACAAGCAACTCCGTCAGACGATCCGCTGATTCTTTACCCACCCACTTGATGATATGTCGATTGCTGCTCTCTTCCATCTCGCGCACCACAAGGGATTCCATCGTCTTCTTCTGGGGCTCGGAAAGAAGCCCGAGCCTGAACTGGTAGCCCTGATTCTCATTCGGCCCGAAGTATCTTTCGTCCAGGTACTTCCGCTAGATCAAACCAAGGCCCAGCTCTTCCTGGCCGCGTAGTTGAGCATCCAAGTCCGCTTCTTCCAGCTCTCCCGTATATGTCGAGAGAGCGGTTGTTCCGTTTTCCCACTGCCGGTCAACGACACGTCGCTGACACCTTTGGTTAGGTTTGCGGTCGCGATCTTCCCCTCCTCGGCTTCCAACACGCGTAGAATGGTCTGAAACCGAGGCTCGTAGGCTTCCATCCATGCGCAGTACCCACCAGTCCAACATTCGGGTTCTTCCAGGAGCAGTCACCAAGGAGGGTCAAAGCTGAACTGCGCGGGGCGCAGCGTACGCAAACTGCCAGTCTATAACGCCAACGACCCGTAGTCCCTTATCGAGGACATCTACCGGCCCGAAGTCTTCGGAGAACAACCGGAATTCGCCGTCTGATTTCAACAGGTCTGGCATTAGACGCCTCTTGATATCGAGGTTTCGGAATAGCTGGCGAGTGATATGTTTATCGCGAGCATCGTCCTTATCTCCCACGGCATCGTTATGTTGGAATGTTAGTTGGGCCATGTGCGTATCGGCGAGAGCGCTGTACCACTTGTCGGCGGGGGCAAAGGTCTGAGATGGCAGGGTGCTTGGTGGCGCATTTGTGTGCACAGCTATTTCCGTCATATTTACGATCAAAGGACGTCCCTTGACAGAAGCAGATTCCTCGTCCACTCCCTCGACGAGTGAGCCAATTCGAGGAAACTTCAGGGTGGATAGCTGCAGTAGGATGTTGGCCATCTGGGCGTATAAAGGCTCCAGCTTCTCCTCGCCGATTTCGTGGTCCAGAGTGGGCCGCTTGCCAGCCTCGCGTTCTGGGTCAAGCAACACTCTGGACATGTTCTGGTGGTTCTTGATGAGGTCCATAACGATGAACGGGCCTAGCCCGGTAGGACTTTCAGCTCTAGGCGTATAATGGTAGACGTACGGGAAGGGGATGGTGGTATTTGCAGCAAGGTATCGCATTGTGGCCACCTCATAGCGAACTTTCTCGTCGGGAAATAAAATGGTGCCTGCTCCAGTCAGTTAGTGGTCTAGAGCAGCGCTTTACACAGCCTACCATCCACCTTTAATTGGGACCCTCATTATAGCTGATGAGCCATCCGTATACTCAATGCGGTAGATAATATTATGTCCGCCCCGGATACCGCATACATTAGCTCTGGTTGGCCAACCCTGTATTTCAGGATCGAGATTGCCGACGGCGCGGTATGCCTCCTTGGTGCGAATTAACTTGTCCTACTCGTCAGTGGTCTCGAGTTTCTGCCAAACAACGTCGTCTTTATCCATGCAGAGGAATCTTGGCCTAGCAGGCATTATGAGCAGTCTGTACGCATCTCGGGTGTGGATTAGATTCGGGTGCTGCCTTAATTCCTTAAGCCACAACACCTTCTGCTCAGCAATATTCTTGGCACTAGCTGCCAGCCGGCCCCTACATCTGCCTGTATTTTGCCGGTAGAGTAAGGGAAGATGCATGTAAATGACAGCCGAATCCTATAGCTGCTGGAATCAGGCGACGTTAACATGCAGAGTATTAGCACCCAAGCGCACATCAAGCATACCTGATGGCAGGAGACGAATCCTGGGGTTGCTCTCTGACCGAAGCGCCCCAGCCGAAAATTAGCTCCAAAAGGGCATCTAGAGCAATAATGTCTGCTGCGTGTTGTTGCTCGCCCTTCAACCGTCTCACGGGGATCCAGGGTCTTCAAAGTTGCACAGCTATGCCACCAACAAAGCTATAAATGGGGAGAGCCATCGGGACGCGCGAGGATGGACTCAGAAATACATGGATATCACTTGGTCAATCACATACTGCATGAATGCGGCTTGCAGGAATAGCTGTGCGTCTGCATAATACACGCGAGATGTAGACTTATTGTGTCAGTTTGCTGCTGTTCATCAAACTAAATCCGATCGACTCCGGAGACAACAATGGCTGTACTCTGCTGCATGAGAGAGTTGCATATTGGCCGCAAGGAGAGCCTATATAAAGCCCCTATCGAACTTCTTTCAGCCAGCTGTTGCGCAAACATCTCGTCGTTAACATCGAACCTTCAAATATTCCAGTCATCCCTTCTCAAACTGCTGCATTAAATCTTGCCATTGCTGCTTCACAATTAGTACAGTGGCCACTCCTGCAAATGCCATTCTTTCGTGGCCGCCTAAAGCACTTAGCATAATAAGAACGTAATCCAGGATCGGTTACTATATTGTGATGCAACGAGTAATTCTCCTTACCCTTTGAAATTGAGAGAGAATACTCTCATCATATCACACCCAAGAAAAATCCTTTCTCGTCCACGTCATAAGTGTTCCAGGGGAGGATGTTATATTTCTCAATTTTCGTGCAGATTTTGCGTTGTCAGCTGTGAAGGGAAGCCTCGCACATTGGCCTAGAAGCTTAAAATCAGCCGTATACCTAGACGTATCATTGGCACTCTTTCAGGCGATGTCTGGTTCATTGAACTATGTGCAACCCAGCTCATTACGATAACGTCGAACGAGGTTATACGGCTAGTCCTTTCCGACCTCAGTTTTCGCCGTATTCTGAGCGAGGTGCTCATCATAGGCAGGGTAGTAGAAGTTCTCCCTACATGACGAAAACTTATGAATATAGGTAACGAGAATATATCCTTCTCGTTTTGACAGCTGCAGTTTATGTGATCTTTCGAGTGTTGACATCCCCTTTTGACTGCTGTTTGACTTCATGTTGTTGTCGCCATGTAGTCTCGTGAGTCGTCACAGTTTAATCACCTTGCATTATCATAATAGTTCCCTGATTCCGATAACTTCAGAAGATGAAATTCTCGTTAATAGGCGCCATAGCTGATAAGTTGTTCCAGATTGACGTTGAGACAGAATATCTTTCATAATTGCGGCGGACCAGGGGATCCCGTAGATCACCGGAAAATGCCTTAAATCCCTGAGAGCTTAGTTCGATCTCATGTAGTGCACAATAACTCTACAGTGTTGGGTTGCAGCCGTCGCTGCCTCCCCCTAGTACTCGTACACGCGTCGCGTCAAATCCATGCCCGTTCATATTTTAGATCCAACAATCGGAACAGTTTGTCCAGAAGTGACTTTTGAGTCGGCCCAAACATTTCTTTCCCGAAAATAATTAGTATCTCACCTAGCACCTGCTGGGCAGCCGCTATATCGCCTGAAGCCTTATTCCCTTCAAACTCCACTAATCTATTAGCTAATGCGTCTGAAATCTTCTTTCCCTCGAAATTGCATATCGTGATCATCTCCCTATATTGCGTAGTATCTGTAATGCCATTTTGAATTTTAAGATTATCCATCGCGCCCAGAATATCTGGAAGGAATTCCCCAAGTATTTTTTGATGGCTGAAATGGGAGGTAAACGATGGTGATCTGAACTTATCAAGCTGTTCATAAGCGTCGAGTTCGATCTTCTTAAACTCGGCTATAGTAGTGTCCCTTAACTCATCTCTCGGCATTGTATTAAGACACTCGTGAACATTTCTGGCGAACGTGGCGATCTTCCATAGATGTCGAATACGTTTAAACATTCGCAAATCAGGCTTGTCTGAATTGGGCTGCATGGAGCGATCCAGGATGAGATTGGCAAGCTGCCTAAACGCGGGGATGATTTTTTCATTCTTCCACGTGCTTCTCCGGTCTTGCTCAGGGACTCCGACCTGGTCTGATGCCTGAACTTGGCTGTTGGAGGCTGGAGTAGTCAACGCAGGATTAAATTCCGAAATGCAGTGGCAAACGAAGTCCATCTGGAAAGCCAATGGATTGTGTGTATAGCGGCAGGGTGAGGTAGCACTGAAATAGAAGTCTTGTTCGAGACGACTGCCAATCTTAAATTGCTGGCGCTTGATGTCTGGGTTCTGGATCTTGGTGGTCTGCCAACGTCCGCAATGTGGTGGTAGGTCTTGCCCGAATCTTTTGTAGAACTCAGCAAAACAAGGCAGATCCTTGCATGCACTCACGAAATCGGAGTTGCGAGGTGCATCCGGGTCAGGAGTGGCAGCGATAGGTGTATTAAAACCGCTAGAAGCGATAAAAAGACCGGCAAGGATAATGCTTTTCATTGTTGCTAAATTGAATTCGTGACCACTCTATGCTGAATAAAGCATGAGACAAGCGACGGGGTATAAGAGATATAAATACTATTTACATGAGGGAGACAGGCCCAGACTCCGGTAGAGACATTACTGAATATTTGGTGCTGTTGGACCCCTGACCCCTGACCTTGACGAACCTACTCCACAAGGGCACTCCCAGTAGTAAGGCCACCCTAAAGAGATAGATGACCTGACCTTCAGCCTCACAGGGAACATTGAACTCCGGCACTACATATGAAGGTTGTAGGGATTTCCTTATAACGAGTCGTGATACGACAACCCTAGGATGTCGAGAAGATTATTAAAGTAAAATCAGTCGTATATCATTTACCTTGCTCCTCTAGAGGTGGAGACCTTATAAATACCTCATCAATCGGATGGACTTTATTTCTTGGCATATATAACAGTTTGCTAGGTTTAATTATTGCTTTTTGCTTACATAAAGTAAATAACTAGGCTAAGGATAGAAGGAAAAGAAAATAGGAACGCATTTTTAGGCAGGGAAATTCCGTTCATATAGGGACACAAGATCAGTAACTAAATACTTTGTGCTAATCATATAAGGGATCTTTAATAATTCAATCAAGTCCTAAAGGTTAAAAGGGAGATAGCATTTATATGCCAGACTCGATACAAAGGACAGTTTTAAAAGTTTTGTCTGATATGATGCAATGGACACTCTAAAGTACTTTGCTAAGCCACTAAAGGTATAACTATATTCTCTTAGACAATGCTGTCTCTCTATGCATATAAAGGGGACGGCCGGCAAAAATCTTTGTCGAGTCCCTGGGCCGGCGATTAGAAATCCGGTTTGTCGTTGTTGATAAGTTCAACGTTAAAGCCTTTCCCAAAGGTTATGATCGTCCTGGGTTGCTCCAATGCCGACCAGTGTTGTGGTTATGTTTCTTGCGCGGCCCTTGAAGAGTAGAACCATCCGAATTGACTTGGCGGTTTCTAGGTCGAGTTTTCGGAAGCGTAAAATGGTCTGACTCGACTTGGCGATTATTCGACGCAATATGGGCGTTCCTTCGCAGAGCTTGCTGGCATATAAAGTTTTTCGGATTCGATAATGCCTTAGTCCGAAGCCCGTTGCTACCATGCTTCATGTTCTCTGCGTTTCTCAACACGATCCGGAGCGCCTGTGACAGAGACGTCTCTTTGTATAAATTCTTCCCACTACGAGCATAGATTGCTCGGCGTTCGATAGACGTAGCGGCGGCTAGTCCAAATAAAACATTAAGAAGAATAGTTATAATTTTCATATTAGCATAACTTGGTTGGCTAGCAAAGTAAGTAAAGTCGTTACAACTTAAATATAAAGTAGAAGCCATAAATAAGACAGCAGAGCCCCTATTTATATCGTACTATAGACAACTATATAATTGCATAGTTAAAATTAGGCAAATATAGTATAATTTGGAAATAATTTCTACTTTACTATAGCATTTATATTATATAGCTTCAATTTTATTTTTATAACGATATTAATATGCCTTTAAAGATTAGAGTAGGAAATAATAAAACTACTTAGCTAGGAGTGCTACGCCCCTCTTAGCTTGTAAGGGTCTGGCCCTAAGGAGCTGGCAGGTGGTCGCGCCATGTGATCCCTTTCTGCTAAGAGGCTCGCGCTGGGGTGCGGCTAAAGAAAACGAAATTAGCAAGTCGGCGGCTTTATTAATTGACTTCGTATCTCGGGGGTTTAATAACGCCAAACTAATAGGGGTTCTTTATAATGAATTTGTTAGCTACGCTCTCTATACTTTCTGTTATACATGTATGCCAGTACATGCGCGCTGATAGGAGTTTGTATTGTGATCGTCCCACGTGTGGTTGAAATGATAACGCTTAGCGTTGCCTGTCGCCGCGCAAGCGGTGGTTTGGCGCCTGCTTTTCGGATCGGGAGATGTTGTGTTTATCTTGCTCCTCGCATTGTAGGGTTTTCATTCTCCAGCTTCCTCTTCCGTCTCGCGAGAACTTCAATTTCAACTGCCGGAGTTATTAGGCGGCCTGGAGGGGTGCAGGTCACAGCAATAGACTGGCCACCCTTTGAGGCCAAAAAAAATACATTGCCTCAGGCCCCTCTCTTTAACCTTGCGGAACGACTACTAGCTGCTTTGTTAGAACTTAGTAGGTCATATAGTCATGATAGCCTCAATCTCCGTACTAATCAGCTGCCTGGCCGGGGGGCAATAGACTCCTACCAACGAATTCGCGATCCTCAAGTTGTTCCCCTACGGGGCCGGCCTCCTGCTGCCGCCCCTGCTGCCTTCGGGCCTCAGTCTTCACCTTAACAGCTCTAGCTGCAGAAACAGCCTCGCCGCCGTCAACCAGCTCCAAGCAACGCACTAAAACCTTCATCTAACCTATGAGCTTTCCTGGCCCAACTTGAAGCTATTCGCGGCTACCTAGGCGTCGTGCCGGGCACACAAATCGGGCTAACCCAACCGCTGCCGTCAACACTACTGCCGATCATACAAACGCTTATGCAGCCGCGCACACACCGGTAGCTATAGGTGCTCAAGCGGTCTAAATTAGAAGCAAGCAGCAGGAGGCGCTTGTCTTCTGCATTCGAGGAACTCGAGCCTAGGCGGCGCACAACGAGGACATCGCGAGCGCCCACGAGACTTCACGCTAATAAGCTCGGCAAACTCACTTTCAACAATAGTTGCAGTCAAATAACACGGCACATATAGGGCCAAGACTTGCCAAGGCGGAGGCAAAACGTTGGAAATCTACAGCCGCATAAGCTTGTATGGCAGCTCGAAGATATACATGTGAATAGCTTTAATTATTAGCGCAATTAATTGCATGGTGCACATAGCTGCCGGGTCTAGCTAAGGGCCTGATTCATAATAACAGCTGAACGGGAAAAACGCGGACGCGCATACCGTTGATTATTTATTACTAGCGTTGGTCTTGGCCGACTTGATGCGTAGCTCATCATCAGCTGTACAGGGAGGGAGAAGCGCCGAAAGGTGTCGGGCGGGGCATCGAATCTGTGTGCTCTGACGCACACCCCTTTTCGCGCGTCTGCTCCGTCGACAGGTGTTCAGCTGCAGATGGTTGCTTGATTATCTCTGCCATGCGAAGCAGAATGGACATTGTGCTGCCGCGTCTTTTCCTGATAAAACATGGCCCCGGACGACTCCTGGGAGCTCCAACATCGATGGCCTTTTGGTCGACTTAACTGCCTCGTCGGATATAGTTGACGGGAGAAAAAAAAGGGACCTACAGGTCCTGCTGCGTTCCGCGCCGTTCATTACTACACCTGGCCCGGTCCTTGCTGAGATCTAGAAGAGTACCCCTACTCTAAACTCGCCGCATATTTCGGCGTAATTAAGAGGCTTAAGACTCTTCCGTCCGTAGTTATATGTCGACCTCTGTTCCTGATGTATCGCGCTAGCAAGGGCCGCGTAGATGCCTTTATTAGGGAAAGTTGCCAAGGAAGACGTCTCTTTCTGCAGTTTCTTCGCTTAATCAATTTAGGCGGGTCTCAAGACTTTTCCCATTCAGGCAGTGCAAGCGGCGTGATGTACGTATAACATTATGGGCGCCCTTCTAGGCGACTTCCACCTCTGGCTTGTACTCGACGATAAAGCTGATGACGATTCAAAGCTGTCTCTTAAAACACTCTCTAGAACCACAGCATTTAACGATACTTGCTATCTAGCGTCTTGAGTCTCCAGCAAGGCAAGAGAACGCCTCTACAAGATCGGGCACGGAGCTCTAAAAGACCGGCTTTACAATAGCTGCTTTGGAGCTACTAAGACGCCCGTTGCATCGGTCCGGAAGCAACAACTTAAGAAAGCGTAATTCTGCTTCTTGGTCTATCTCTGGTTGCCTCCAATAGAAGGCAGGCTCGCCAACTGACTTGCGGACGGCATGGGCATAAAGGTCACGACACCCTTGAAAAGGTATAAAAAAAAGTCATGATGATTATTACGATTCTATAGGCGGGGGCAAGGCGGTAAGGAACGCGGCGGGCAAGTGCGAGACGGTATAATAGTGCGTGCCCACTAAATTTTGGTGGGGTTAAGTCTCTACAGTAAACCTGGGCTATAACGATTAGGGTATATTACGATTATCGGGCTATAACGATAAGATAAGCGACAGATCTATGTAATTGGCTGGCAAAGGGCTTATCTCTTAATAATAACGACATCATCTAGAATTTATAAATAAAGATATTTATTATACTAAAGTATCGTTAAAGGTATATACCTAGTAGTAATTTTTATTCTACCCTAGATATCTTTTTCTTCTTTCTCTTTCTTTTATTATTATAAGAATAATGTTACTATACTATAGTAGCTACGATATATATAATAAGATATCTCTTCCTAAGCTCTAGACGTAACTATATATTATTTTATTTATTTATAGTTAAGCGCGTTATTATATTCCTATATAAAGAGCGCGTTACTTATATAATTAATATACCTATATATACTTTTATATAGTAATTTATATAGTAAGATATATATCTTAATATAACAAATCTCTTACTATAATAATAGAAATACTATATAGAAAAGTATCGTTATAGCCTAGGTTTACTATACCCACGTCTGCCCGTTTCCCGTTCAGCTGTCGTAGATCAGGCCCTAAAGAGTATGTCATCGCAAGATACTTTAGATTATATGCCAATATAGAGAAAATAGACGTATCGTCTAATGTCCGGGTCCCCTGCCTAATATAGCTAGACATACGGAGGATAAAAAAGGTGCATAGGCCACTTAAAAGAGGAGTAATAGTAATTACGCCCCATTTTTAAGATACGTACTAGCGCTAGCCCGCCCCCACACCGCCTAAATGCCCGCACACACACCCGCGCCCGCCCGCATATATACGCAATGCGCTCTTCGCTATATACATAACGCATGCCTCTTAATTCGTTTAAATAATTAACGTATCTCCGAGCCTTTAGCTCGAAGTTGCAATAGTCGGCCCGCTAATTGATCCGGCCTCTCTGGCCTTACGGCTATGTGGGTGGCGGCGGCGGCGCCCACTCTATTGCCTCCCGCTTAACGATTCCTTCAACGCCCGACGAAGGCTATTTAGACGGTACGGTACTTGCCAGACTCGCGCGGTATAAATGGGCGGGGCGGGCTAGCGTTGGTACGTATCTTAAAAATAGGGCGAGTATACGGATAGCAATACGTATATATATAATTAGCAATACTCCTTAAAAATAAGCGTAAGTATAGATAGAGATATATATAAGTACGGATAGTACTACTCTTTATATATATATAAATAGAGATTTATATATACGCCCTATTTTTAAAGATACTTACTATAGCTCGCTAGCCCCGCTAGTTTATACTACGCGCGCTTAGGAAGTAGCTATTCCTCTTAAATACCTAAGCCCGTGCTTATACTACCTATATATATATATAATGCACTCTTAGCTATATAATATATACTTCTTAGTTTACTTAAGTAGTATATTAAATATAACGACTAAAAAATTTCCTATATATAGAAAATTTAACCTTATAAAGGGAAATCTTTACTTTATAAGTAATAAGTATAAATATCTTACTTTTCTTCTTATACTATTAGAGACTATTTTAACTTACTATACTTATTAAAATTTTATTTTAGTATTCCCTTAGCCTACTACCTAGTAAATAATAATTACTAAGTATATATATAGAAAAGATAGATAAATATAAGCTATAAGCGCCCTGCTATAAATATAATTTTCATTTAGCTAGTTAAACCTCTTTATTAATAAGTCTATATTAAGTAATCTACTTAACTTTAAGGCTATTATATAAAGTTATCTATATGCCCGGCATAATCAGGCCCTTTTAGTACTTTCCTTAATTTTATAGTTCTCGGATTTAATATATCTATTATATAAACATTACTTATTAGTTTAACGACTATGAAACCCTTTATTATCTTCTCTGTCTTAATCCAGCTTGCTTTTGGAACAGATCCTCGGGCAACTAGCAAGCTTCCATGGATACCAGCACCTACCCCCCCAGTTCCATGCCCATTTCGTCATGGGCGGTCGGGCTCATCCAGTGAATCGGAGGCGATCTGTGGCACTCGAAAGTTCTGCGAAGATTTCTACCTTTTGAAGAGCTATTCCCCCCTGTTTAATAGCTTGTTCTCCCAAACCCCTGGTTCTTTGCCACAAACCTGCTTCGATTCTCACGAACCTGAACCTATCCTACATCTTGAGGATAATAAAGGTGCGTCTTAAGCAGCATCACCTATTAATATTGGAAAGCGTTGCTACGAGATATGCTATAAAAAATAACTTTTACTAAATATATGCAGACTCGAATTATGTCCTAGACGACGCGACAGCAGCCGCTATAGTACGAAATGGGATGCAACTTGTAGATGCGGCGAAGAAAGATCCAGAAATGAGTACTTGGATAGTTCTCGAAGCTTTAGTTGAAAGAGTGAAAGAACTCGTTCAAGAGATTCCTGGACCGGAGAGGATACCACTCCCTCCAGGAGCTTTGGAGACGGCGGAGCAAGAGGGGATCAATGTTATCGAGGGGGCAGTTGAAAGCCTGACTGATTTAGTTCATGACTTTCTAACAGAGGCTAGAAAAGAATGTGGGCCAGACCCTGGGGAAAATTTTGAAAGAGAGAGAGGAAGAGCGCCGTCTCCCGCGGGAGTGGAAGGGCTTGGAGGAGCGCCTTTAGCAGCAGCTGGGAAAGGGGTTGGGGGGGGCGCCGCGCTTATGGGCGGACTCGCTGCACTCACAGCTACAGCAGGAACAGCTGGGATCGGGAACGGCAAAGAACGAGACCGGGACGGCAATCTACCAGGCAATGACAACAACCAGGAGACGCAGGCCAGCCAAGCAAGCGGTACCAACAACCAGGATGTCCAGGACGGCTACGAGCTCATCGAGATTATTGGGCGGCTCGAGGAATCGGGGTTTTTCAATGATACGCAGGACAGCCAACCAGGCAGCACCAACAACCAGAATGCCAAAGCGAACAACCTACATAGCGAGATCGACAACCAGAATGTCACGGACAGCTACCGTCTAGAAAAGATTCGAAAGGCTCTCGAGGAGATAGGGTTTTGGAACGACACTCAGGACACCCAAGCAAGCAGTACCGACAACGAGAATGTCCGAGAAAGCTACATACTTGACGAGATTAATAAGTCTCTCGAAGATTTAGGGTTGCAGGATGACACGCAGGACAGCCAACCAGGTAGCACCAATAACCAGAATTCCCAGGCCAACGAAGCAGACAAATCACAAGGTTTCTGGGAGAGGGCCATGAGTGGCTGGGGCGAACTTCAACGACAGGCGGGACGTGACATGAGTAGATCCAAGGGTAAACTTGGGCGCTAAAAGTTAACAAACGCGCACCGCGTATTAATATACAGTTAAGGTAACTATATATATTGAATAACCAAGTATCATTATAAAAAAGCCATTAAATGTAAAGCTAAACAAATCGAATAATAGCCTGTTTCTTTGTTCTTAGTACTATGTATCACCCCCTTACTACTAGCGGTAAGCTTACGTTGTAACTTGATTGGTTTATTTCGACATCGATGCATAACTCTAGAGCCCAGCAGAACATTGTTGGTTTAAAAAAGGTGCCTACCACGTCGGCTGCTGCAGACCGTGCCAGGAAGGAAAGGAAGGATCTTTTGCGTATGACATTGTCGTCTGAAAAGGGTTGTCTCTTGTAGAAGTTGCGTGCCAGGGAAAGGTATATTAAGGAAGAGATTGTCTGCCATAGAGGAACTCTTGGCCTATTGCAGAGGAAGAAGCTATCTGCCAAAGAAAGAAAAATCATCTGCAGAGGAAAGGGTCATCCGCCGAAGGAGCTGTCTGCCGGGGAAAATCGTCTGTTGCAAAGGGGGAAGTCTGCCAAGGAAGAATCTGTCTGCTAGGAAAGAAGTCTGCCAACGAAGAAATCGCCTGCCGAGAATAAGTCTTCTACTAAGGAAGAAAAAGGGCTAAAATAAGGCAGAAGAGATATGCCTATAGTCTTAAGGTGCATAATTAGATAGTAGAATAGCTGATAGGCTCGTAGGTAGGTAAGGAAGCCGCCTGCTAGAAAAGACAGAACTTGCCAAAGGCTGCAACCAATAGAGCTATTAGTTCTGGGCCGTTAGTGCAAAAGGGAGCCATCTGTCAGGAAAGATGCATGCCGTGCCGTAGGCCAAGGGGAAAGGAAGATCAGTCTGCTGTGACAGATAGAGCCTGCCAGAGGTTGTACAGACGGAGTCATTAATCTGGGCGGTAGGTGGCTAAGGGAGCCATTAGGACCATCTGATTATGTGAAAAGCAACAAAATGAAAGGAAGCTAGACGAAGAAGACCGCCGTGCTAGAGGAGCTGCCGAAAAAAACTGTCGACGGGGCAGGGGCATGCGAGGCAGAAGCAGCCGGGCCGGGTCGGGCAGCTGCCTCGGCGGCGCCCTTCGCTTTGTGTTTAGGGCATTCTGATAAATTTATGCTTGGTGAATCTATAAAAAAGAAAATCTACGCATACATTTTACTAGCGTTGAAGCTTCTTCGGCAGGGTAATTAACGCAGAACTGTATAGATCTGCAGGTAAGCACGACTTACACAGTGGCAGAGGGCCCGGGCGACCCCCTTGTGTATGATTTCTTATGGTCTCAGCCTTCGTATAGCCTTAAACGGCCCCTCTATATCTAACTAGTAGCATGCCGCCCGGTAATCACTATGGAGCCATTCCGTGGTTAACTTACCAGTTTTTCGTAGTTATTTGGGCCTTAAAGAGGCATTTGTTAATCGAAATCACGCCTCTGGTTATATCGCCATTTTTGGTTTTCGCGACCGTCGTCGGTACATACGTATCAGAAATACTTGACTCTAAATAAGAAAGAGGGCCGCTGCAAGTCTTAACTTACATTTTGGAAATCTTCTAGAACGCTTCTAAGTCTCTGGCCAGCGAACCTTGTTGGGCACAGCCGACGGGTATAAATGTCAGCCTTTCCCCAACTGGCCAACTGAACCATCCACCACTTGGTGCACCTTTTCCGCCAGCATCGTCGTGTCCTCACGTCTCGGCTGCTCAACCACGATGCGCATTCTATTTGGCTCCTGGGAGGCGTTTGATGCAGCCTGCAAGCCCGACCTGCCCGACCCCGATTCGCCAATCCCATGGGTCGTCGAGGCGCCGCTCTGCGCCGTCGAAATCTACGAGGCCATCCTCCACCAGCAAGCCATCCGCACAGAACCGCTCACAGTATGGACGAGCCCGGCCGGCTTTGTCCAACGGCGTGCCTTTCGCAAGGGCCAAATGACCGCTCCCGATTGCCACGCCTTCCGCGATTACGTCGAACGAGACGTCCCATACGTCCTCCTCTCTAAGGCCGAAACCACCACGCTGGAGAAATGGTTGCTACACCGCGACATTCACATATGGTCTCTGTCGAATCTGTTTACCCCTTTTGGAAAACCACGTTTCGTCCAAAACTGGGCTGCTGCGATGGACCACGAACAGGCTGTAGAGGCGTGCCGGGAGCTTCTCCAGGAGCTTGGATTACCGCCGGCCCAACCCCTGGCCAGGAGCCTATTGCCCATGGGAGTCAAACCAATAGCGGTAAACTTCAAAGGCGCGAGGCTGCACTCGTTTTTTAGGGAAGACTGTACGGGATGGCCGTATAACTGCACGCATGGTGTTTGCTTGGACGAACGGAACCGGATACCATAGACAGAGGAACAGCTCAAGGGGAGCAGCACATTCCTGAGGCTGTCTGACGATGACTGAAGCTACACTGATGGACGCCATAGCACTCCCCCCACCACCTTTACCAAAAATAAATTACCCCCCATCAAGCGAGTTTGTCCTCGTCCTCGTCGTCCTCCTTTTCGTCCTCTTCCTCGCCCTTTTCGTCCTCGTAAATGGCGGCGTTATCATCATCGTCGTCGTCGTCGCCGCTGCCGTGGTGGTTCTGGCGGCTGCTGCTGCTGCTGCTGCTGCTGCTGCTGCTGCTGTTGTTGTTGCTGCCGCGGCCGCGGCCCGCAGCAGAGGAATACCGGACTATGGTCCGGCCGCCCCTGATGATCTCGACTTGGGGCACGAGGTGCCCGCGGCCCGCAGCAGGAAAATACCGGACGATGGTCCGGCCGCCCCTGGTAATCTCGAGTCGGGGCACGACGTGCCCTCCTCCTCCTCCCCTGGGCTGGCCACCACGGCCTCGGCCCCGCGCCCTCTCTCGATGATGGCGAGCTGTCCTTGTAGTCAGCCCTCGTCCCTTCCAGCTAGGCAAGCAGGATTATTTCTTCCTCACCAATTGCTTTGTCGGTCGCCGCGCAGGTCGCGGCCAAGTGGCCGGACTGGCCACAGAGTCGGCAGTGGCGTGTCATCTATTCACACATGCAGGTCACCACTGCCCGGCCAGCATCGGAGCATCTTGACCGTCATCGCCAGATCATGGAAACTTGGGAGTTTGGACGTAAGAGCATGGGAATAGGACCCAGGGAGTATTTAACACTGCTGCTGCTGCTGCGGTTGTTGTTGTTGTTGTTGGTTGTGGTGGCTGTGGTGGTTGTGCTGTTTGCGATGGTTGCGACGGTGGTTGGCGGTGGTGGTGATGGTGGTGGTGATGGTGATGGTGATGGCGGTGATGGTGGTGATGGCGGTGAAGGTGACGGGGGCGGAGGGGATGGTTGGAGATGGAGATGGAGCCGGTCATGATCATGGACGTGGTGCTGGTGCTGGTGCTGGTGCTGGTGCTGGTCTGGTCTTGCCCCTGCTACTGCTGCGACAAGCCTGGCTCCTTGCTTCCCGAGCTCGCTGCCCCAGCAGGGTCACCTTCCCATGCTTTCCAGAGGGGAGAACGGGGGACATGATAACACCGTAGCGGTGGGTTGCCCAACTTTCTCTTCTTCTTCCCCCAAGATTTGAGGCCCTTTATTCTTCGAGTCTTGTTCTGCATCGATCCAGACAGACAGGCTGTTGGAGCGCATTTCGGTTTCAGGAGGGCAATAAACACTGGGATGGCTGCGACTAGGAACTCGCTGCTGTGACTCGGTTTCAAGCGACGACTTTTGCGACTCAGCCGACGACTTGGACTGGAACTATGTGCCCAGTCAGCGCCCAGTGATTCTTGCCAGTACCGAGCATATCTTGATGTTACTGCTAAGTGCTAACAGTAACTGGGAGTCCAAATTACTGGAGATGAGATGACAGACCTCAACTCGGCTTAACACAATGGCTTTTGTAGTTGAACAATCCTGGTCCTGTCAAGCTGGTAAGATATCGCTACGCCAGGCGAGATGGGGTGTTGTTAACGCGTATTATAAACCCATTCTCTCCGCTCAGTGCTTTGACAAGTCCTGAGTCCTGATGCGTGAAGGCGCCACAGGCATCCGCCACAAGCGCTGTGGGCCCCGCCTGCAAATGACGGAGAATAATAGTCCGGGCCGCCCGAAGGCGCTGAGTATATTGTACATCACCTAATAACTACTATTCGGCCAAGTAGAAATCTCTATTCGGCCAACACTAGCTAAAAGGCGGGGTACCTTAATGTCCCGCATTAGTACCATCCTTTTGCTATTCCTTTTAGCGAAAAATCCTTAAAAATTCCTAGATAGCTCTAACTACGAAGTAGCGTACTCGAGCGCCCGAGCTAGTAGGGGAGGGGTCCCCCCTTAGGGAGGGGCCCTACTATAGGGGTTTACCCCCGCGCGAGGTGAGCGCGACGTATAAGACGAGTACTTTAAGATACTCAGGATTTTTCTTTGATAACTAAGGCGTATTATAGCCAATTAAAAGAGGGGATTTTAAGAGACTCTTAGCCGAATAGAGATTTCCACTTGGCCGAATAGCAATACTCCTAACTAATACAGGTAAGGCAACCCCTCATGGGTTGCGCAAAAAGCCTTGAGGAACGAAGACTGAGGATTGAGACAAACAAGACGAAGACAGAGGGCGAGAGCAAAGAACGCAAGCAGGCGGTAGCGCCAGGAACTAATGCATGCAAGAAGGTAGGCAAATAAATCGGCCATTCGGGCACCATCCCGCAGCGGGAAGAGGGAGAAAAAGCAAGAAGGCAAATACAGCGATGATAACGGTTGCGGGGTAAGAGAGAGGAAGGGAGTATAAGAGAGGCACCAAGGCACGAATAGGAGAGCAGAAGCGTCTACCCTAGCTACCGATCGAGCAGTTAGGAAAACAACTACAGCATGGCCACTTGCAACGTTTCCGTGGAGTTCTGGTGCGAATTCGGGGCCACGGAGCTGAAGTACAAGCATAGCATCCCGAAGACGCTCGTGACGCAGGTAGGCCAGGCGAGGCCGAACCACGCAGCCAGTGCACTGTTCCTACAGTGGATAAGGCCGATCCTACGGGAGCACGAGGCAGCGTGTCGGAAGGCAGCAGGGTGCGCTGCGAGAGCTGCGGCGGACTCGCAAAGGAGATTCTACAGAGCCCGATATCGTACCTACACGCAGAGAGGCCGTTTGTGCTCGTGGTCGTGTCGTCGTTCTGCGGCAAAGAAGGATGCGAAATTAGGACGAGGCAGGAAATGCAGGACACGATGGCAGAGGCGGGGCAGGCGGGCGGAAACAAGGGCGCGACGCAAATGCAAGGGCAGGATGCGCAGAGCACAGAGGGGAAGGTCTGCCGGGTTTGTGGAGAGATGGCGGGGGCGAGGAGGTGCAGCCGATGCCTGACGGTGGCGTACTGCAGCAGGCAACACCAAAAGGAGGACTGGAAGGTGCACAAGAAGGGATGCAAGCCAAAGGCAAGCTAGGGAGCTAGGGAGAGGAGGGAAGGAAAGTAAAAGGGACAAGGCATAACGCGCAGGACATAAACAAGGTCACGGAGAACAAATAGAGGCAGGCACTATCGTAAGAAATAGGTCGCAAGCTAAAGTTGTTGTTTCAAAAAAGAGATAAACGTTGTAATGTGTAGAGTAATGGTAATTTTGCAGCGATAAGTTTCGTTAGGAATAGCGTCTCGAGAGGGAGAACGGTTTATTTTGGTAAAGGCAAGAGGCGTAAGAGAGCGATAGGTTTATAGTAGGCAGCTCATTTCTGCATGCGATAGCGGATAGGTCGAGCGGGCGGGTCGGAGGTGCTCGCGACAATAGAGTCAAGAGGGGAACCCGGCTTGGCTGCCGGAGCGGGAACGGGCGGGACGCCGCTCGGTCGAGACGAAGAAGCGGCCGGCGGGGGAGAGGAGGAGGGGGCGGCGGAGCTGACGGTGTCCGAAGACGAGGAAGGCGGCGAATTCTGCTGCTGCAGCAAGCGCGCCCTCTTCATGGGCGTATCGGCAAGGGCCGGGTGGGAGCGCTTAGGCGGTGGTGTGACGGGGTCGAGGGCGGTCGGGGCCGAGGCCAAGGAAGGGGAGCCGACGCAGCCGAGGCCGGCGCAGCAACGGAGTACAAGGCGGCGCGGACGGAATCAAAGGTAGAGGAGGCGGATAGGGTCTGACGTTTAAGGGCGTAGCAAGGGGGAAGCCGAGGCGGAGGCGGCCGCCGAGGGCCTGTCGACAAAGTTCCAGCTGTCCGGGACGACGATAAAGACGTAATCGCGCTCTGAGCCCGGGGCAGAGCATAAGACGGTGGTCGAGAAGGCCGACGACCTTTCCAGTGCAGGTAAAGGGACGCCGGGCAGGAAGGAAGAGTTAGGCCTTTCAGCAATTTTCTTGCATAGCACGGCCCAAGGGTTAGCATAGATGGGAAAGATAACAAAGACCTGGAAGGGGTGGTAGCCCTTAAAGGGAATCCGGTCCGGCAGGCCAGGGGTGATGTAGGTAGTGAGCCGGACGAAGCCGCAGCAGCGGAGCTGGTCGGGCCCGAGACCTGGCAGGAAGTCTCCACGCAGGAGGTCAAGGCCAGGCCCGGCGATGACGCCATGGAAGGAGACAACAGGAGGCGTAGACGGGAACTGGCCGCCAGAGGCCAAGGAGCGTGGAGGACGCTAGGGAGAAGTCAGCGAGGCGGCCGGTGAAGGGGCAAAAAAAAAAAAAGGGGCGCACGGCTGGTAGCCTTGGTCGCGGACGATAAGGGCGGGCACTGTGTAGAGGACGGTATCGTCTGGGCCGGCTCAAGACCGTCGCGGCGCTCCACCTCCCAGGCGAGGGCGTAGGGGTGAACGCGGCCGCTCATAAGGAACCATTGCTCGGACCAGTCCGTGTCGACGATTGGCTGGCCGTAGATAGAGAGGTTTAGGCTAAAGAAGAGAGAGGGGCCCAGGTCGTCGCCCTCGGCCCGGAGGGGTGCGTAGTCGGCCTCGAGCAGCCACGAGGGCACCGGCAGGAGGACGCGGGCGATAGCCTCAGCGTTGAGGCCCCTAATGCGGTGCTCGTCGTGGTGGGCGAACCTCGCGGGGCAGTCGGGCTGGGCGAAGAACATCATGGACATATCGCTGCCCGCGCCCTTGCTAGAGCCAAGGGGCTTGCGGAGGTGCGGGGCAGAGCTGTCCGCCGACGGAGACGAAGACATGGCTCGGCCGTGTAGTAAAAGAGCAACGTTGCTGGGGCAAAGCTAAAAGCGGCGAGAAAGATAGGCAGGAGTGCTCCTACCTATATACCGTCTTACGAGTTTAGTGTAAAGAGAAGGGCCAGTGGCGATGGTGTGTAAGAGAAGTCAAAGGATTCTAAACAAAGACGCAACATGGCGTTAGTGGTAGGTTATATAAGGAGCCTTTGTAAAAGAGGGTTATAAGATGCGTATAGAGGAGAGTGCAATAAGAGAAGGGAGAACTTTAAAAGGCGGTCTAGTAAGATGTTGAGAGTTTTAAGACAAGCAGGACGCGCGAAGCTATATTCGAGGAGAAGCAGGCAGCCCTATTCGCAACACGTGTAAGACATGGTTTTAAACTTCAGCGGGCAAGTGTCTAGGGGCATACGGAAGCTTTGACTGATAAGAGCTGGATGACAAGAAGGAAAAGCGTAGCATGCAAAGCATAGGCAAGAAGAAGCCGTCGCGGCGACGTACATATAAGGATCGGCCGAGGCCGTCTAGCCTATCGCATATGGCAGCAGGCAATGGCGGGCGGGCTTAATAGAAAGGCGGCGCCGGTATAATGCAAAGAGCAGCAGCACGCATATAGACATAGTAGAGAGCTACGAGTAAGATATATAGACTTTGTAGAGGATCCTATATGCGCAAGAGGGGTGCCAGTCAGCAAGATAAGTGCAGGGCGAATAATCGAGGCAAGGATTTATACGCTGTTATTACACTTACGAGGATTTACGCCAGGCCTAGTGGCACCATAAGTAGGCAGGGCCAAAGAGGGCAGGTGCAAAGAGGAAGACAAGACGTCCGTGGGGCTTTGGTAGACCGGTGTCGCAATGAAGCCAGCCAACGGAAGGGACCAGTCCGGAGCGGGGACGGGGCAAGCCCGGCGCCAGAAGCCTGCGCAGCGCCGTACACAGGACCAGAGTTCCAGCCGACCACAGCAGCGCCGGCACTTGCTAGCGGCGCCCTCGGAGAGAGCAAGAAGAGGCGTCAAGGAGGCGCCTCCGAGGCGAGGGCGGGGAAGACCGCCAGGACTAGGGAGATGGAGGATCAGCGCAGGCCGAGTCATGCCGCGGGATATCCAGCCTCGGCCGACACCAAGCGCGGCGGCAACTTGGCTGCCGCCGACACCGAGGGCGGCAGGGCACTGGCTGCCGCAAGGCGTGCCCAGCGCCGTCTCGGCCTCAGGGAAAAGCCAGCGCGCACCAAGAGAAATCCGGCCTCTGCCGACAGTAGAGGCCGCCGGTCCTTCGCCGCCGCCGACGAGAAGTTCGGACGTTCCGCGGGACATTCGGCCACAGCCGACATGGAGGGCCGCCGGCCCTTCGCCGCCGACGAGAAGTTCGGACGCGCCGCGGGATATCCAGGCTCTGTCGACACCGACGGCGGCAGGGCGCCGGCTGCCGCAAGGCGGGCCTAGCGCCGTCTCGGCCTCAGGGAAAAGCCAGCGCGCACCGAGGGAAATCCGGCCTCTGCCGACGGTGGAGGCCGCCGGGCCTTCGCCGCCGCCGACGAGAAGTTCGGACGTTCCGCGGGATATTCGGCCACAACCGACTTGAGGGCCGCCGGCCCTTCGCCGCCGTCAAGCGGGACTAGCTCGGCCGTAGTCTCGATCGGAAGCCAGCACTCGCCGCGAGCCATCCAGTCCCGGCCGGCCAGCAGGGCCGAGATCCCCGCCACAACCCCGGCCGCAGCCGGGCTGCTTGTTGGCGGCAGAGATAGCGCCTCGGCAGGTACGGTCGTAGAGCGAGGTAAAGGCGTGTAGCGGTGATAGCTAACCGGACGCAGGTAGATCGGCGATAAGACGGCAGGCGAGGGAAGAGCAGAAGAGGAAACGCCATCTTAGTAGTGGGCAGGCCGAGCGGAAACGCGCCCGGGTCGGTGAAAGGGTGCCGAGACCAAGGGAGCTGCAGGCCGAGGACCTAGCCAGCGCGCTGCGGCACCTCGACGAGGAGTTCGAGGCGGGCGAGAGGCTGGCCAACGAGCAGACGTGGTGTGCGCCGGTGCCGCGCGAGAGGCAGGTGAGGACGGTGCGGAAGTTCTACCGGGCGTTCCACGACGCTGGCACGCTGCCGATCGCGACCTGCACGCTATGCTACCGGAAGCGGGCCAAGGGGGAGCTGAGGGAGATGGCGTGGGAGGGGTGGGAGGGGTGGTCGCGGAGCGGTGTTGCGGGGGGCGGGCGGTCCCCGTTCGGGTGCCAAGCCTGCTTCCCGGAGGGCAGGCCGGTGGCGGTCTGCGCAGAGTGCGCGCGATGGGCCGGGCGTGAGGGGGCGTCGCCGGCCATGCACCTCCATGGGCGGCTCGGCTGCGAGCACGCGTACCCCGACGAGCTAAAGGACCTCACGCCGCTCGAGGAGAAGCTCATCTCGCTCAACTCGTGCTACGGCTTCGTGACGAAGTATAGCATCCCCGGCGGCCAGAGGCAGAGCGTGAGGTACCCGAGGCACGTCAAGGGCCATATCACGGTGTTCCCGAACGACGTGCAGGGCCTGGCTGCAAAGGTGCTCCCGCACCCGCTGGTCCGGGTCATGGACGAGATCCACGTCTCGTGGCAGGGCGCTGAGAGGCCCGGGCCGCGGGACCTATCAGGCCTGCTGTCGGTAAGGCGGTCGGCGGTCGAGAGGGCGCTGGCCTGGCTCAAGGAGAACAACCCGCTCTACGGCGAGGTCGAGATCGACGCGGCGGAGATAGCCAGCTGGGGCGCCGCCGCACGGGTGCCGCCGGTGGTGTGCGAGCGGCTGGAGCGAAACGAGCCGTCGGCGCGGGAGAGGACGCAGACGGCGCAGGTGGTGCCGCCGTCGGAGCGGGCCATGGACGACGGAGGCGCGGCCGAGATCGAGGAAATCCTCGCGATGCTAAGGCAGGGCCAGGACCCCGCCGAGGGGAGCCGCGACGTCGGGCTCACGTGCGAGGACGACGACAGGGACGGCGCTAGGCCCGAAGAGGACGGGGACGTAATCAATGAGGTACCATGCCCCACCCCCCTTTCGGTAACACCCACCTTTCGGTAGCGCAATTGAGAAATTCTCCACCAAAAGTCTACCATTTGAACTACATGAAATATGATCAGAACTTAACATTATAAACACAAAAAATATATCATTCCGTAGAGAAATGGACGCTCTTATATGTACCGGCGCTTTTTACCATTCGCCCGGATCTGGTGGTGACTGGAAGGGCTTCGGTGCCACCTTGACTTCGATCACTGAAGCTGTCTCCACCTCTGAGACCGCCTCCTCCTCTGTGTCAGAATTCAGCACAACGGCTATCTCTTGGCTTTTAATTTGGGGAATGGCTTCTCAGCCACCAAAGCTTCACTGAGAGTCATGAACCGTCTGTTCGGGTTCGGAATTGCTCTCCTCTTCTTGCCTCTCTGCAGCCGGGCCACTTCTTCCTCTAGCTTCGCGATTCTGTTGCTGTGCTCGGCAAGCGTCTGTTCTTGGGCTTCAAAGCCTCTAGCTATCACGGCGTATCGTCTCCGGGTCCCAGGAGTCTTGTTCTTTCCGAAATCGCGAATCTGGCGGCTGTTTCTTGGTGTATCATCAGAACCCAAAAATGGCGCGGACTTTGGAGACGTCTCTACAATGTCTGCGTGAATTTCTGGATGCCGCAATGCCTTGGATCGTGAGATCGGCCAATTCCCAGTGACCCTCCAGCCGGACAATATATTCTTTGCCGTCATTCCAACCTCGCGCGCTTTAGCATATGCCCGTATAAAATTGACCTTATGAACAGGCGCAGAATCGGTCAAACAGGTCAATTTCTGAAGTTCTTTCCGGTAAGCTGCCTTGGGGGCATTGAATACACCGTTATCTAACGGCTGGAGGCCATGAGAGCAGTGGGCAGGAAGGTAACAGCAATAAACGTTGTTCAAAAGCATGTGGCCATCCATGCATCCTGGTCCCGGTTAACAGTAATTCCTACAGAGGTGGATAAAGAAACGCACCGTTGCATGACTTCCATGTCCATCTAATATGATCAGTCTAGCATCTGAGGCATCGGCTGGTCGCGTCTGGGGCAAATAGACCTCTCAAGCCACTCAATAGCGACATGGTTGTCCGTCCATCCGTTGGGCGACGTTATGTAATGCCAGTCGGCTATTTTGCCGAATTCCGTCAAGAACCACTGTTTCTGAAGCTCTTTGCCCTTAAAGATAATGCCAGGGTAAGGACATGGCCGTTCGCGGTGATAGCTTCAATAAATGAGGTCCAGTTGCGGGACTGTGGCCCTTTCAGAAGGGCCTTCCGTTTTGGGTCTGCACTCCCAACCACAAGACTATCCAAACCTGGCAAAAGAGTCTGGTTAGTAAAAGTAATGAAAGACAAGCCAAATACTCACCAAAGCCAGACATAATACCGCCTTCGTCAACATTCACGGTATTTTCTGGTTTAATCCATCCATACTCCTTTCCCCTGATATCGAAGAACCAGTGAACCGCCCGAGGCGTAAAAGCATTAAATCGGTTTGCTTCCTGACGTCTCCCACGCTTGTTCTTGATGTCCGGATGGCGATTGATGAATTTAGAGACCCAGTTGCGCCCCACTGTCCGCTCGTTGTTCAGTTGCTTCATAAGAGCCTCCACACATGCGCGGATCTGACTGTGGGAGGGAGCATAGCCGAGAGACTCTTGGCGGAGGATCCAAGAAACCAAGCGAGCTTCCTGAGACTTACTCAAGAGTTGACGAGGCTGGATCTGATCAGCCAGGGCTACCTGGCCTTTGAGTCTGTCGGAAATAGACTGCTGAGGTATGTCATACTTTTGGGCGGCGCGGTACTGCGACAAGCCGTTTTTGTGACATCAATTATCGCATTAGCTATAATATCCTCCGTATAAATACCCGAGGCCGCTTTAAGGTCATTTTGGTCATGTGGTGGAGGAATAACGAGAAGAATCATCGTCAGGAGGCGGAAGGAGATTAGGGGTTGGATGGTAATTTCGCGTGCAAGGCACGCACAGGCCACAGACCCTGTACAAACATTCAACCATCGAAAAGTAGAATTCAATCAATCCTCTATCTACTCCAAGTGACGGCTTGTGAATATCTTCAAAGCTGGCTGGAATCGGTGTAAGTGAAATTGATGGTTTTTGGTGGGGATATTTTCTAATGCGCTACCGAAAGGTGGGTGTTACCGAAAGGGGGGTGGGGCATGGTAACGTCTTCCGGCATGTTCCCGTTAGATGGGGCGCCAGATGTGGCCGACGCCGAGAAGATTCGCTTCGCCCGCGACGCGGTCGGGCCCGAGGGAGCGCGCGCCAGCCCGAGGACGTGGGTAGGGACGGCGGCCAGAGGGGCGGCGGGCGACGGCGGCGACGGCGAGCCGTACATACAGGTGCGACGCGGCGAGGATTTCGCCGACTCGGCGGACGCCTCCTTCTTTGCAAAGGCCTTCCGACCCTGTTCCCTTGGCTTAGGCGGGCCGAGGCTCGCCGACGAGGACGCCGCGGGAGAGCGCGGGCCCAGCGTCGGGAACCAGGGCGCCCAGGCGGAGCGGGTTGCAGAGGGCCTTATGTCGACGCGGAACATGAAGCTCCAGGCATGGGCCGACGTCGTGCTGCGGCGTCACGGCGGCCGGTTCGCGACGCACCCTATCTTCGCCTTCCTTGTCTTTAACATGGGCGTGCGGTCTAAGAACCGCCAGGCCAGCATGCTAGGCGTAGCGAGGAAGAACTTCGCAAGGGTCGAGGGCCTACTAAAGTCGTTAACGGCGCAGAGGCTCGAGGCGGCCAGGGCCGAGCTCGAGGCCACAGGTAAGACTAGCGACGACGGGGTAAAGAGCCCTCCGGTCCCTCTCCGTGTTCGGCTACCGGCAGCCAATGTCGAGGAGAGCCGCCTTAGTATGCGGAAGAAGATACTATCCTCATCGTTAGGTACGGGGTGCCGGCTATCTGGTTCACGCTGAACCCGAACGACATTACGAACCTAGTAAAGTTACGGCTAGCGGCGCACCGCGGCCGCGACCCCGACGAGGCCGAGGCCTTCCTAAGTGACCTAGGGACCGCGTATAAGCGGACGCGGCTGGCCATATCGGACCCGATGAGCTCGGCCGTCTTCTTCCACCGGGAGATGACGCTCTTCTTCGAGCACTACGTCAACGTCGGGGAGGAGTCGGTGTTCGGCCACGTCGGCGCATACTACGGGCGGTAGAGACCAACGAGCGAGGCGCCCTCCACATCCACGGGCTCCTCTGGCTAAGGGGCAACGCGGGCATTGGCGACGCGCTCGCCGGCCCGGACGCGGAGGAGCAGGCGGCGTACCGGGAGCGCATCGTCCGCTACGTAGATAGCGTCTTCTCTGAGGTAAGGCGGCCGCCTTAACACAAACCCCGATGCCCCTATCTGGGGCAGGCTGAGGGGCCTAAGCTGAACCGAGGCCGCAGGAGCTAGACGCAGAAGGTTACTGTGCCATGCAGGCAGAGCGGTCGGCCACGGCGGACATATCGTCGCGGCTCGACGACGTCGCGCGCTTCACGGACACCTTCGACGAGGAGGCCAACTTCTGCGCGGGCGCGACGCAGATCCATACGCATAGCGCGACCTGCGTAAAATACTCGCTCGGCGTGGGGGCGCGGAAGGGGGACCTCTGCCGGTTTAAGGCGCCGTGGAGGTTGGTGGAGAGGACGGCGCTGACGGCGGACGGGGTGCTCGAGATCCGGCGGACGCATAGCATGGTGAACCGGTGGAACAGGGCGATGGCAGTGGGGCTACGACACAACCACGACATCTCGTTCATCGCGACGCAGCGCAAGACCATGGCCCTAATCTACTATATTACTAACTATACGACGAAGGTAGAGGACCCGGTGTGGAAGCGTGTGCCGCCGCGGCCGAGTTCCTTCCTGTGCTAGAGCCGACGGGAGAGGGCAACAGAAGTGGCGCCGACCGCGACGCCGGCCGGGAGGGCGGGGCCGAAGGGGTAGCGACGGCGGCGGACCCCGTAGGGGAATAAGACGAGAACGTTCCTGCTTAAGGCGGCGAATCGAGTCTTTACGGAGCGGCCGCTGTCGCAGGTCGAGGTGATCGCGCACCTCCTAGGGTACCCGGCGGAGTTTAGCAGCGGCTCAGCGTGGGCGTATATAAACGCAAACCAGCTCTACTGGGCCGTCTTCCGCCGGTGGCGGCACCTCCGACGGGCGAGCGGCGCCGAGGCGACGGGCGACGCGCCGGACGAGACGGTCGTCGTCGAGGAGGCTGGCCTGAGGATCCCTCGTCGAGGCCTACCGGCACCGGGGCGAGCTTGCGGGGCCTCTGCCTTTATGACTACGCATCGCTTGTAAGGTTAAAGCAAAACGGCAGCGGCGCCGACGGTATGGCGGGCTGGGGTGAGGTACCCGCGGAGAGCTGGGCGTCGGGAAGGGCTGGGTGCAGGCGCTTAGGCGGCCGGGTTGCGGGCGACTGTATGCGTCGACGGATACCTCAGCAAGGAGTTCAGCGAGGAAGACGACGAGTCGTGCCACCGGAGGTGCGTACTATAAGACGGGGGCGCCTAAGAGGAAGGCAGAGCAGCTAGGGCATCGGCTAACAGCATCTAGGGCGGCGGTGCAGCACCTGGCCCTATTCGTGCCGTGGGAGTCCTTCCTCGGCGAGGAGGCAGGCGACATTAACAACATCTGGGCACGGGCGCGGAGTCGCTGGCGCCGAGGGTCGCGCGGCTCGCAGACAACGTGCAGCTCCTCCGGCGGTCGGCGGAGGACGCGAAGCGCGACGCCAAGCAGTGGGCCGCCACGGCCGAGGAGGGCGGTATGACGGCGCCGCAGGCCGACGACGAAGGCAGGGGGGCGGCCGAAGGGGGCGAGGAGGCATACCGCGCCGGCGGGCGGGCGACGCGGCTCGGCTCATCGACGTCGTCCGAACGCCGCCAGCGCGGGACAAGTCACGGCGCAGTCAACAGAGCTGCTAGCGATGACGCAGCAGCTCTGCCGGTTCCAGCAGTCGGCGCTCGGGTCGGCGGCCGAGCTCGCGGCGACGGTGGTGGCGGACGAGAGGGCAGGCAGGCGGGTGAACCTACCGGGCTCGGCGCTGTCGGGGCGGCACTGCCGCGGCAAGAAGAGGTGCGGGCCATCAAGTCGCAGCAGAGGAGCGCGGCGCGGGAGCGGGAGCGGGCGATCCAGGGCATCCAGGGCGGCGGGGCGGCGGCGGGCGTCGGGGCCGACCGCGGCGCGGCCCTTCGCGGGGTGATGGGGGCTTCGGCGAGGACGACATCGACGTAACGGCGGCCGACGGCGACGCAGACGCAGGCACGGCGGCGGGGGTGCGCGTGCGGCTCGGCCCGTCGAGCTCGTTCGTCGCCGCCGGCAGGGGCTGGCGGGCCAGCTCACGCTCAACGAGAAGCAGGCCATCGCCCTCCTAATCGTGTGCCGGCAACTCGACCGAATCCGGCAGGGCGACGACGCAGGCGGCGACGGTGGTGGCCAGCTCTGCCTATTCATCGGCGGCGAGGGCGGCACCGGCAAGTCGCGCGTCATCGAGGCGCTCGTCGAGCTGCTCGCCCGGAGGGACCTATCGAGCCGGCTGCTGGTTACGGCGACGTCGGGGACGGCGGCAGCGCGGATCAACGGCATCACGCTGCACTCGGCCTGCGGCCTTACGGTCGGCCAGGGCGGCCGGGCGGGAGGGGCGACGAGGGACATTGACGGCGTACGGCTGGCGGGCCAGGGCGAGCGCTTCGTCGACGGCCGGTCGCGGATGGACTGGCAGGAGAAGGAGGTGCTGGTGATCGACGAGGTCAGCATGCTCGGGGCGCGGACGCTGCACGCCGCCAACGAGCAGCTCTGCCGGCTGCGGGGGTCGGCGCGGGACTTCGGCGGCATCCCGGTAGTGATCCTCTGCGGCGACTTCCACCAGTTCCGGCCGGTGCAGGAACGGTCGATCCTGCTGCCGAGCGCGGCGGTGGCGTGGACGAGGACGGGGCGTTCGCGGCCGAGCAGCGGCGGCAGCACGACAAGGCGCACGCGCTGTGGCGGCGCTTCACGACGGTCGTCATGCTAGACGAGCAGATGCGGGCCGCCGGCGACCCGGAGCTGCGGCGGCTGCTCGGGCGGATCCGCCGGGGCGAGCAGGACCGGTCGGACCTAGAGCTGCTCAACTCGAGATGCTACCGGCCGGGCAGGCGGATCCCGTGGGAGACGGGCCTGACGGTGGTGACGCCGCTCAACCGGAACCGCTGGAACCTCAACCTAGAGGCGGCGCTCGCGTTCCGGGAGAGGCGGCGGACGGCGGCGCGCGTCTTCCTCTCCGAGCATAAGTGGAGGGACGGCGTGCCGACGGAAGAGGAGGCGGTGCTAATGCTAGGCCAGGGCGACGACAGCGCGACCCCGGTGCCGGCCGTCTTCCTCTTCGTGCCAGGCATGCCGGTCGTCGTGAACCAGAACACGCACCAGGGGCTGAAGCTTGTGAACGGGGCCGGGTACACGGCGGTGGACGTCATCCCCGACCGCGCCTTCCCGGCCACCGCGTCTCGGCGGAGCTCATCATGCACTTCGGCCGCCGGCGGGCATCGTGCTGGCCTCGGAGACGACCAAGGACTTCCACTTCGTCGGGATGCCTGCCGGGACGATCCTGCTAACGCCCATCAGCGTCAAGATCACAGCGCAGCGGAAGCGGCCATGGCAGCGCAACGACGTCAGCCGGAGGGGCCTGCCGTGCGCCGCGGCCTTCGCCTGCACCGACTATAAGGTGCAGGGCGGGACGCTAGAGCGCGTGGCGCTGGAGCTGCGGGGGGCGAGGATGACGACGGTCGAGGGAGGGCGGTGCCGTCGTCGTGCGACCCGTATAGCCTATACGTGCAGCTGTCGCGGTGCCCGACGCTCGACGGCATCATGCTCGTATCAGAGGTGCGGGAGCGGGACCTAGTGGGGAACCGGGTGCCTGAGGAGATGACGGCAGCGCAGGCCCGGCTAGAGGAGCTTAGCAGGCAGACAACACAGGAGGCGGCCGACTGGCTCCGCAGGTAACGCAGGCGCCCTGCATTTTCCACACTTCTGACGTAAAAGGAGTGTAGGTTAAGGGCCAGGAGGACGGGCGAAGGGGGTGGTCTGTGGAGGCGTGTGGTCTATGGCGGAGTTAGAAGCCGGGCCGGCTTGGGCACCTTCCTCTATGTGGTCTGCGGCGGCGTATGGTCTACGGAGGCGTTGGAAGCGAACTGCGCAGCTGGAACTAAAAGGGCAGCAAGGGGCAGGGCATTATTTATTTTTATTTATTAACGAATGAAAAGCGAGAACATCGACGAATGAAAAGCGAGAAAAGAACAACCGACGAATCAAAAGCGAGAACGCCAGCGAATCAGAGGGCGGCATTTGCGGGGGGGAAATCGATGGCGAATTTTTTTTCTCCCCGGGGAGGAACCCTAAGAACCTTTCGTCACTCGTTCCTCGTTCCTCAAGGCACACCTTTCATCTGACCCCCCAGTGCACCAGGGCCTGTCCCGCTTGGATTTGCTCGTGAAATCTTTGGTGGAGTCAACAAGATTATCGAACCTACAGAGTGGTATTACGTATGCATTACCCCATACTCTTACTGAAGTTTATTTATTTGATGAGCCGCAAGAGATGAAAGAGGGTCTTGCCCAGTCCCCGGCTCCGCAGCCCAGACCCCATACAGCTCCCACTCGGCTTATTTAAATCGGCACCCCCTACCTCATACTGCAGTATGCAATGGAACTTTGTTTGATACTACTATTTGCCCTCCCTCATACCAGCATACCAGCACCAGCATGATGCCGCTCATTCCTCACTGGCCACAGCCCTCGCACCCGGACATCCAAGAGGTCATCGTCAGCAATACCGCCTACAAGACCAAAAGCGTATCCAACATCTCGCTGCCGCCCTTCGGGACCTTTGCTAAACTTAGTTTCCCGCCGTGCACCGTAGCAGCGCGTGCTACTTATGCCACCGTGCAGACAGGAAGGGACACTCACCTGCTCCTCAACAGCGACCTGGTGTACATCAACCATTCTTGCGAGCCTAGTCTTGTGAGCCTTTAACTTTCGCTGCTTTGTACCCTGCTTTGGGAGAGTGCCAAACCATTAACAGTGGCGTCGTCTGCCAGATCTTTGATATGTCCAGGAACGTCATTCTCGCAGGACCTCGAGGGCTTGAAACCGGAGATGAGCTTACGGTCTGAACCCCTAGCTTCGTCCAGAAATAATCCCTTCTGCTTACCTCTCTTATTCTCCTAGTTCTTTTATCCTTCTACAGAGTGGGACATGGCACAGACCTTTGAGTGCCACTGCGACAAGCCCGCATGCCTGGGAACCATCAGCGGCGCCAAGCACTTGACTTCGGAGCAGCTCAAGGGCGTCCAGCTCAATGATCATATTCGAGAACTGCTTGATGAGAGGTCTCCGAAAGGGAACAGACGCGGTCCACGCAACATCGGAATAAAGGCAGCGTGTTGAACGCCTATGACCGGCCTCGAGAGCGGTTCACGCGAGAATCTAAGCGGCGGGAGTTTTCTAAAAAGCTGACCTGAAAAATCCATTCAGGTCATCGTTCAATAGAGGGACAAAAAGACCGCCAAGACCCCTCACTGGTATGTAGCAGTGAAGCGCAAAGGCGTCTGTTGATGCACACACTCCGTCTGTCCAGCAGACCAGGGTTAATGCATGAGCCTGAAAGCCACCATGCTGCACGACTCAGTGCAGTACGTTAAACTAGCGGACGCAGTCTTGATTGTTTTCTCACCCTAAAATAACATGTCAACGTTGCAGGCCTGGATGCCGGAGGGAAATATTGTACGCTTTGCATAACCACAACGAGTAAAGAAACCTAGGGCCTCCTCCATTCGAAGCATCTCCGACTCGGAATCCCCTACCCCGTCCAAAGACTCCGAGATCACCTCACTTCAGTAGTCTTTCCTGTCCAACTTACCCCGCAAACCCCCATCGTCCAGCAGACTGCCAAACATGGCGGCTTCAAAGAGCCGATTTACCTGCCACGCATGAAGAGCCGCGTGAGCAAGGAGCCATGCCATCTGATCGACAAGCCCAAGCGAATATGCCTGCGCCATAACTAGCCGAAGCTTCTCAGCCAACTCATCCTCTAGATCCGAGCACACAACGCCCTCGGATATATATTGCACCGGACCAGTTATCAGGTACCTCCAGAGCTCGCCCAACACGTCACTTTCCCTGCTCACGCATAGAAGCTCCTTCACCTGGTCACAGGGATCGCCACTGTTGCAGGGCCCCCGTAGCGGTCTGCTGAAGCCAGTTGCACGTAGCTCAGGGTCAAATGCCTCGTCGAAGTCCGCCTCCCGAAGTTCAACCACCGTCTTGCGTGCCTTGGAGTAGCCAAGCAAAGCCCGGCGGAGGAACCTATGTCTGTCGTTCTGGATGTGCCACGAGTATGTTGTGGCGCACATACGAGAGGCCGGCTCGGACCAGCGCTCGCTTAGCATCCTGGCGCCAGTGTGCGCGTATGCATCGTAGACTTTCCGTAGGGCCTCCTCAGTGACCACGCCTGTCGTTGCAATGTCAGCCGTGCTCAGTAAGGCGTTTATCAACTCCGAGTTGTTTAGGTCCGAGCCCACGTCGACGACGTCTGTTGCGGGCGAGCTAAAAACCATGTCGCTGAATGTCGCGGCGGGATCGAACCCGCGAACCATTGCCTCGGTGGATAGCCCTATGATGCTGCTCTCAAAGAAGAACAAAATCTGCGCATTCCGCCTATTTAACCTCGCCGTTTTAAAGGCTACGTCTGCTTTGTACGCCTGCTCCAGAGCGACTTTTCTTTGGATATACCTCAGGCCGATTTTAGAAGCGGCCTTCCTTTCGGCACCACCTTGAGTATGCACTGCGTGGTCGTCCTTCGCCGCCGTTCTAATTAAATCCTCAAACTCTGGGAAGACTTTGTGGTAGCTGTGCTCATAGTAGAAGCCCATGTCAGTACAATAGTTGGAGTATAGAGTTTCAGGGTCATATGCCCCGGCCAACATATTCGCCATCCCAGACCCAAATAGCGCATTGTTAGTGACCAGGGGCTTCGGCCACTTCTCCGCGCCTAGGAGGCGGACTACTTCCGGCGAAGAGGCCGTAAGACCGTTGGATTTACTGGGCAACACGCGTCCGGCAGCGTGCTGCTCGTCATGCCACCTCTGGAGGTCCTCAGAAAGACGCAATTCCACAAGGGTTTCCGTGGAACCTTTCTGAGGCGATTGAAGGCAGTCAAAGATGTGTTCGATAGATAGTATAGCGCTGTTTGAGAGGTCCTTAAGCACCGCTAAACTGCCGTCTTTGATGATACTGCATGCCTCCGCGTATCCTCTATGGATCGGGAAGCTGGGCTCCGGGCCTTCGCTGGATGTGCCTTCGCCCCAGAAATAGGGGCGATTCGTTGACGGTCGGATAGCTGGCTCTATGTAGAGAAGGGGACGTAAATGGCCCTTGCTGCGTTCAAATAGGGATGTATTCATGGCTGATATGGTATTATTGGCTTATGAAAATGTAAATAAACAAGCCTCAGCTAAAGGACTACGCACTCTGCCAACCAAAAGTGTCGAGAAAGTAGTGCATACACCTAAAAGGGAAGGTTTACAACATGGTAAGTCAGAGGATACTTATAGATAAAAGACTACACTAATAAGAGCAAATCTTTACTTCTAAGTAAACTAAAATGATATACTTTCTGCTTCAGCCTATAGCACGAAAAGATTAATTATCAATTTAGCATAAAGCGTATTATTTTGTTAGACTTGAAGAAATTTGATTGGTAGCTACGCTATGTTAGACTTTATACCTCTAATAAGTGAACTTATCGTGTTGCCTTTTCCCTTTTAGGCGGGCACACCATAGTCCCCCACTTTTGGACAGTCTATTAGGCAGAGCGGTCGGTCCCTTAGTCAAGGCGTATAAATGCATGGATAAAAAGCTGGTATCCAAAAGGCCGAAAGTAGGTAAAGAGTACAGTCGGTCGACCAATGAATGGCATCGACTAGGCTGTGGGTTATATAGTCTGGGAGCAAATATCAGCATAAGGAGTAGGAAGACAAGGGAAAGTAGCTTAATAAGGTCTTTTCATTTCCTTATATACCGACGCCTTATAAACCATAGTCTGTTTGCCCCATTGTCGACTCGGTCTTCTTCAGTTATACAGTCATGCTTTGGCTTTCGACTCCTTCGTGAATCCTGCATTCATTGGTACTTATACAGCTTGGTTATGGAGGCTCTCAATTAAATGACTCAAACCACTTTTTATATATTAAATGTCTGTTCTTTGTGGACATATCCGCTTGTGCCCACGTTTTGTCCTCGCCTTTGATCAATCATCGCAATAGTTTCGGTTAAGCCCGAAATAGCCCTATCTGAAAGGGTAGTAGAGGGATCGTGTTCCGATGCGTGCTTTATGCGGTGCTTGACATAGCTGCCGGCCATGGCGCTGGGATAAGACCTTGTAAGAGCCAATCTTCTTATAATGCTTAGCTTTAACCGTCTTCGTATTCTGGACGCCGGGATCTAGAGGCCTGAGACATTCCCACCCAGTCAGAGTGCCGTCTCAGGAGATAGGACCCGATCAAATCATTGAAATCCACACCAGACGAGTAGTTGGGAATTGTGTGGCTCACCAAATCCATGGTGAATGGAACTGCCTGCTCGCTATTCATACAAGTTGGCGGTGCAAAATTACTTAGAGGGAGGCGTGGAAAGCTCATATTTTGGGCCAACGGGTACGGAAGATAGAAAGACATGTAGTGCACGCACCAGCCTAGTGGCCGTCCATATTGATAAAAGTCTGAAGCATCGTAACTTAAGCTCGTATCCTCAAGCTGCAGTCCCCCCAAATTACGACTCTGGTACGAGGAAATCCGGTACCGGGACATGCTCTGATAGCAGATTGACTGCCACATGGCTATGCACTGCAGTAATCTACTCGCCCCGCGCCTTCTCAGGAGTGACGAATTGAAAATGATGACGGATGCAACCTGGCGTGACCTTATCAGCTAGCCAGTGGCTGGCCTAGGACCCGTTGCCTGCGAAGCTGCCTCTATCATGCCTGCGTCGAGATAAATAGTGACGTTGAGATCTTATTCAAGGGCAATTACCAAGATGAGCCGCTTCATCGTTGACAATAGATCACAAGTAAAGCTCAAAGTACGGGACTCTTTATTGTGTCACAGGTCGAGAGCTCCCGCAACTAACGCGTTAGATGCCATTCTTATAATGCCACATGAGCCATGCATTTGTTCGGACAAGTTCAAGCCCAACGTCAATGCCTCCTTGATTGATGTGAGACACCATGACCGTAAGTCCGAAGTGGGAGATTTTGAAAGACCGATCCATAGCGGAAATCTCGACAAGATAGGGGATCAGACAAATCTAGTAAGACAATCGACTTATCGAGATGGCGTTGCTAAGAGCAGGGCTCCGGAATGAAGTCTCGACGCCGCTGTTGACTGGCATGCCACTCACCGAGACAACTGGCTTAGGGCCGCGTTATGGCTCCCCCCATGTGTTTGTAGAGCACCTCAAGGATATATCTAGGCGTTCTTAAAATTAAAAACAAACTTTTGTCCGTTTCCTCGCATATTTTCTTTCAAATAAGCTGTCCCAGCGCTTGGGGCAACTATGCGCGTGTCGCTGCCCCCTAACCAAACTGGACTTATTCCCCAAAAAGGCATTAAATCTCCATCCCTGAATAAGACAATACACGGGCCTCGATCCATCTACACGGTCTTGGGTCTGGCACGAGACAAATGCAAAGGGCGGCCCCCCGCCTCCCACACTGAATTTGTCATATATGTTGCCCCCTGATGCCCCGATGGCGAGCTTTTACGCTTCATCAAACGCCTCCGACTGTCGCTAATGACGGCTGCAGCCGCATTGATGGAATGAGTGCAAGATAAAAAGCATCATTTGGCATCACCGCAGGTTGCTTTTCTCTGCTCAAATCAATCCTATGAGGAAATCTTTATTGAACCAGCCCCTCTCCACTTCTCTTCTCCTATCGCTCCATTTTTGTTGACGCGAGAGCGTCTAATCCGTGGATCGACGTGCTCATGTTCCCGGACGCTTTTGATTGTAACGAGACTAATACGCTCTGTCCTCCGAGAGCCAAGCCGCCACAACTCGACCATGGGTTCTACGAAATCAAGCAAGACTCTTTTCGCGCCTGGATCTAGCAGCGAGAGTTCCAGCTCTCGAGACGTTGAAGACGCCAGCCACAAAAAATGGCTCTAGTTAATGGGCCCTTGGCTTTCCTTATCGGGCCCTTGAAGTGTGGCTGAAAGTGTGGCGGACTGTCAAACCTACTTTGCGGCTTTGCTTGCACGCGCGCCGGTGCACACATTTGCCGGCGTCATAGGCCCGACAGCATAACTGCATTTCACGTAGAGCCGTTAAAAGTAGGGTGCTTAATGTAATGTCAATGAGTGAGGCAATTGAACAGGCTCGTGGAACATATGCCCGAGGCTACGTCGCTACAACGACACAGTCCCTGATTAGGCTCTCGCTCCGTAATGCAGCTACGGCGCTCTCTGCAGCAGCTTGCCAGGTCTCGAACTTGCGGCGGAAAGGTGACTTCATCGGTGCGGCGTTGGTGCGTTGGGGATGCCCTCACCTTGGTATGCGTTCGTGCGTTCGTACGTTGGCGTGCGTTGTATGCGCGTTGTCAACTTTGTCGCGTTCTAGCTGGATGCACCATTGACTACTCGTGCCCGCCTCCACTTTGGGATTCGCTTTGGCTCACCCACAAGTGGGGGCGTGCACGAGTACGGAGGCCGTATTGACAGCTTTTCACAGTTGGCGGCTAATGTTTTGGCGGGGAAAGGGACGCGACAGTCATGTGACTATTTTAGCCACACTTTAAGGGCCCGATAAGGAAAACCAAGGGCCCATTAACTAGAGCCCAAAAAATCGGCCAAGTATGCCTGTCTCTTTGGCGGCAAGAGTTTTATCATCGGCCCTCGCATCACACCATTGCCCGATTCGCTCAAGAATGACAGCATCTACCAAGGTGACGATTCGGGTGCCGCAATCCTGGAAAAGCAGCTCGCCGCGGAAAAGGACCAAGCCATCCAGTACCGCACATGTAGCTGGCAAAAGATGGCCGGCCTGCTATTCAGCGAGTATATCTCTCTCGCCGTTATGAGTTTTCCCATGGCGTATAGCATCCTCGGTCTCGTGCCGGGTCTCATCTTGACTATTGTGATCGCCGCCATTACATTATATACCAGTCTTATTCTCTGGGAGCTCTGCCTACGGCATCCCGAGGTCCGCGATGTGTGCGACTTAGGCCAGATGCTCTTGTGGAACAAGAGGTGGGCGTGGTGGGCTACCGCAGTCATGTTTGTTCTAAACAATACGTTTGTTCAGGGCATTCACGTCCTCGTCGGCGCACAATACATCAATACTATGACCGAGTTCGATAGCATCGGCGGCTGCCGAACCGTCCAGTTTGCTCTCGTCGTCACCATCGCAGGCTGGCTCGTGTCCCTACCGCGCACATTCGACGTACTTTCTAGGCTCGGCGCCGCCTCGGCCTTCTTTGCATTTATATCCGTCTTTCTTGCCACAATATTTGCTGGTATTCAGGGCAAGCCCCCGGGCTACGACCTGCTCACCAAGGGTGAGCCGACAGTTAAGGCTTGGCCAGTGCATAGTACGACTTTTGTGCAGTGCGTCTCGGCGTCTCTTGCGATGAGTTTTACATTTTTTGGGCAAATCACGTTGCCGAGTTTTATTGCCGAAATGCGAGACCCAAGGTAAGCTTCCCTTAATTACCTATTCACTCTGGATAAATCTCAGGTGTGCCAGCCTGTCCGTGGCTGACGAGTGTTGCAGAGAGTTTCCCAAGTCGCTTTGGGCCTGCACAGTCGCCGAAACCATAACTTTCAGCATTGTTGGCGTCGTCATCTACGCTTATACCGGCGATCAATACATTGTTCCACTGGCGTTTGGGTCGCTACACGACTTATACAAGAAGATTTCATTTTCTTTTCTAATGCCGACTGTCCTTTTCCTAGGATGTTTATACGCCTCCGTAACGACTCGTTTCATATTCTTTCGGCTATTCCGGGATACGCGGCATACGAAAGATCACACTCTCGTGGGATGGGCTAGCTGGGCGGGCATCTTGCTCACTATATGGATTACAGCTTTTATTATTTCGCAAGTTATTCCCTTCTTTTCATCGCGTAAGTATTAAACTAGTTCCAGAAAATACTGGAAGTATATACTGACTTTATTAGTCTTGTCCGTCATATCTTCGCTCTTCAATAGCTGGTTCGGCTTAATATTCTGGGGTATTGCCTTTTTCCGGATGCGTCACGCCGACCACATCATCGGCAGGTTTCGGAGCCCAATGTCTGATTATCTACTACAAGCTATCAACGTCTTTATCATTGCGGTTGGCCTTTTCTACCTGGGCGCAGGCACGTACGCTAGTGTGGAGGGCATCCTGGACGAATTTGAAGCAGGCACCGTGAGGGGAGTGTTTCAATGCAAAAGCGATGGGTTGTGATTTGTACATATACTGAAAAGAGCAAAAAGCATTGAAACTGGCATTAATTCTTCATAAAGTACTATGACTTCTTCAAACTCTATCAAGATCAGTTTGCTTGTCACGTCGCGTGGCCAAGCATCACATATATGGGAAACTTCTTGCGGCCTATTCTTGCCCATCACATGCAGACAGAACACATCATGGGCTGCTCATGCCAGCGAGAAACTTGGATAAAGTGACTGTCAGGACAAGAAAGGGCCTATAATACGCGTTAGTAACACCTCTATCGGGGGTGCCCTCATTTTGCATGGTGTAGCGGTATTTTACCAGCTTGAGAGTTACATTATCTGGCTGCCTTCGAGCGCCTTGAAGGCAGGCATTTGAGGCTGCAGCAATTGTAAACTGAAGCAGAAGTCACGCCGTAAACGCCTGTCGCCACAGTGAACAGGAGAGTAACCCGGGAGGCGTCTCGGAGGCTGGGTGCTCAATGGGAAATCGAGAGGGAGATGTTTGCTCTTTGACGGTGCCCCAACGCTGAACAAGCCCAGATTAAATTAGCGAGTATATTGCTGAACGTGAATTCTGCGATTATTCATGCTTCTCGCTAAGGGTCACCCTGTCTTTTGATGCCCTTGTGCAGTCTTAATCAAGGGCCGTGACTCCATGCTACTCCAACGGTGGACAGTGGACGACAATGGCGAAGGCATTGCGCGTAAATATTATTACCCCCGGCGCAAACGGGCCAACGACAGGGCATCTCTTGGCAGCCACCCGTATTCATAGAGCTTGCCCAGCCACAGTGGCAAGGGTGTTTGCGGCCACTGGACGTCGCAAAGGTGTCAGCTCGCGTCAACGGCAGTCATCGGAGATTATCAGCCAGTCATATGCCATTTCATAAGCGGGAGCTCCCTGGTCCGAGTATGCATTATTTAAGCGAAGAAAGTGAATAAGATGCATTTCGGTGATTGGGCCCACCCCCCTGGACGACCAGATCAACCCTGAATCCTTCAATTTAATCGAGACACCAAGGATGCTTGTCAGTTGATGATAGGGCTGACTTTGACTCGTAAAGGTCGACACTTGTCAGAACTAGATTGCGGACATCACGGGATTGGTAGCATGCAGGGACTTCGGGGCGTAGGGCCCAGCGAGAATTCTTCCCAAGAAGGGGGCACACAGAGAGCTTTACATGCATACATGCAGCTTAATTATATCTCTCTCTTCCAGCCTCTCTTTTAGGCTTATTCATCTAATCCTCATGAAGTTGCCTTATTAAGCAGACTACAGAGTTACAGTTTCGATAACCATTAGGATTTCTTAGAAAATAAGCTGGAAATAGATATCTAGAGCTGTGTGCGTCTTTATAAGTTGACCGCCGCCGCATTTAGCCCCTCCGTCGACGTGCCCTGTCACCCTCGACCGCTTCCGTCACCTTCACCTCTTAGGCGCACCCTGTGGTGTTGAGCCCACAAGTTATCCTTACATGTTGGTCCGTGACACTCGTTGGGTACCTTGTTGGCTTTCTTCGCTTGACTTTATTATGTTTGAGGCATTTTCATTGAACTCGTTCGTATCCCTGAAAGAGGGGGAATCCACACTTACGATTTACTGTACCGGCATCAAAGCTTCTCTCAAGCGGGGTAACGCGTGACTGTATAAATCTACAGATAAGCACAACTTATACAGTGGCAGGGGGATCCTAGTCACTCCTCCGCGTTGAAGGTCTTTTGGGTCAACCTTCATGGGGTGACTCTTCAAGACCCAAGTCAAAAGGAAAGGCCGTCGGCAGGAAGGGGCGCGACTAATGGCTGATCGGGCACACCGCAAGGTGAAATTCCTTTTTCTTACTCACGCTGGCGCCGTCCGAGGGCGACGTCATCGAGCTGCAAAAGCTTCCAGTGAAGCTCGTCAAACAAGCGGTCTCCAAGTTATGACAGTGAAGTTATGTGAAGACACGAACAGATGCCTACTCGCGGATACACAACCACCCCGCGAGCCTGCGGGTATGGCTCTTCACTCTGGTCGCACCCCGAACCGGCAAGGCAAACTATGTAACGTTGATCATCGGCCTTTCGGACTGCGTAAGGGTTCCGGGGGCCCTGTCAAGAGGGGTTGGTCAAGCATGGCCTGGCGGGATCACCAGGTGGCCCGGCCCGCGTATGACGGGCCGAGCATGCCATTATAAAAGCTACCGTGTGTCTCTCTGCGATCCTGGTAATCCCCCGTGCTTACCACCAGGCAACCCAGGCGAGCAACACGGCAGCAATGGATGCTCTTCAACAGACATATAGCGTCGTCGCCGAGCGATGGGTGTCCTTTACAACCGCCCTTGTCTTCTTGTTCATGATCTTGGTCGTCCCCAACGCGTTGCATCATGCGCGACTGTCGGCCATTCCGCTTGTGGGAGGGGAGGTTGGCAGCCTCGAGAAGAGGAGACAGGCGTATTTGACTAGTTCCAGAGCATTGTACAATCAGGGCTATCGACTGGTTGGTTCGCCGAGCTCCCAGCAGTGTGAGACACCAAGCTAACATGATGCCTGGCAGTTCAAAGACGGGCTTTTCAGGATCACGACCTCGAGGAGTAAGCAGCGTCTTGGGCCCTCGCTCGGGAACTGGAGGAAAGCATCAACTGACTTTAGACGGCTCCAGAGTCCCCAGTCGTCGTTCTATCCAGCAAGTTCTTGCCGCAGCTGAAGAAACTACCCGATTCAATCATAAGTGTGAATGCTGCCATCAATGAGGTTCGTGGCAAACTTGATTGCGCTTGGACGCACTTACGGGATTGACAATGCGTCTAGATGATGGAAGGCAAATATACGGGGATTGATGCGGACCTTCCCATCATTCCGGCCACGATCAAGGCGCAGTTGACCCCGGCGCTCAGTACGTGACACTGTTTGCGCTGCGCATGCTTGGCTGACTTGCACAACCTGGAGACTGACGGCTGAATAGCACGGCTGAATGCCACCATCTCGCAGGAAGTCGGGGAAGCGCTCGCACTCGAGATGCCGGCCGCCGAGGACTGGACGGAAGTCAACATCAACCGGATCCTGATGCGGGTCGTGGCCATGGTCTCGGGCCGCGTCTTCATCGGGTCTGAGCTCTGCCGCAACGAAGAGTATCTGACTGCGGCTATCAACTACACCATCGAAGTCATGACGGCCCACCGAGCCGTACAGGGGACTCGGCCGTGGTTGCGCCCGTTCTTGGCGCGGCGGCTGCCCGAGGTGAAGCAGGTGCAGCGGCGGATAAGAGAAGCCGATGCGTTCCTCAGGCCCGTCGTGGAGCAGAGGAGGATGGCGGCCGAGGATGAGTCGTATGAGAAGCCGGACGACATGCTGCAGTGGTTCATTGATGCCCGGGGCAAGTTCACCCGCGAATCAAGCCAGGACCTTGCCAAAATTCAGCTCCTCTTGAGCTTTGCCGCCATCCACACGACGACTTTGACGGCTACCAATGTGTCAGTCTTGTTTAATGGAACACGCGTGGTTTGATTGGCGGCTCACCCTGCATGGATAGGTTCTACGACATTGCTTCCTTGCCGGACTTTGCCTCGCAAGTCTGCGACGAGATTCGAGAGGCTCTGGCGAGCAACGGCGGGGCGTTTACGAGCAACGCGCTTCAGTCGATGAAGATGCTGGACAGCGCTCTCAAGGAGACGCTGCGTTTGCATCCGCCGGGACTGGGTAAGCGATGAAGTCGATGACCGTCTTGGGCTCTCACATGTCGACTGACGCAGCAACAGCCTCGTTCCAGCGCAAGGTCCTCCAGTCGTTTACACTGTCCAACGGACAGGTGGTACCGGAGGGCGTCATAATTGAGATTCCGACCGTGGCCATCAACTCGGACACGACGGTGTTTCCCGACGCTGACCAGTTCGACCCGCTACGCTTCTACAAGCTGCGGAAGAAGGCGCGGGACGAGGGATCCGTCGAGGCAGCAGCGCTGAACCAGTTTGTGAGCATCAGCCCGAGCAGCCTGACGTTTGGCTACGGGCGGCACGCGTGCCCGGGGCGCTTCTTTGCGGCCAACGAGATGAAGATGATTGTGGCGCAGGCGCTGCTCAAGTACGATTTTCGGCTGTCCGAGGGCAGCTGTGAGCGGTACCCCAACATTGAGTTTGCGGGCATGGTGGGTGCTCCCTGAATACTGGCGTTTCGTCTCATAGACTGACTGACTTTGACAGTCGCTCCCTGACGCATCGAAGCGGTTGCTATGTCGGTTCAAGGATCATGGACGGGGAGCAGAGGTGGATTCGGGGCGTATTGTTGGGGCGAGCTTAACCTTGTAACCGAGGGCAACGAGCGTATGATATAGCGTCAATGATTTAGGAGCAAAGCTGCACAATACAGCCGCATCTGTTGCTCCGTCTCGTGATGTCCAAGCTGGCGTTTTCAGGCTCCATCAGGCAAGTCGACCGATGCTTGCAGAATGAGACGGGCACGTGCCGGTTGGCAGCTGCATGTATGTACCTCGGGGTACTCGTGTCGACGAGTTTCGGCTGTTTCCGAAGGTCCGTCATGTACCCGACTGCAGCATGCAAAGAGATTGGGGAGCGACTGAAAACAAGCTCAGCCGCCTGTCTGACAGTCAGGCTGCATCACGAGGGAAGCCAGCGCTGCCAAACGACGCTTCGTCGTCAGAGGATGCCGTGAAGCTGACTTGGCACCAAAGGTACCGGACAGGTACCGGACAGGTACCTACCGCCGCCCGGTTAGGGTTGGACACAGCTGCTCTGCACATACTACCTTCGGAGTACGGGTGCCTCAGGTACCTAAGGTAGGTAAGTAGGTACCTACCTACCTTACAGTATAGATTTACCTAGCGATAGCCCCATCTGTGGGGCCCCCATTGCCCCAGACCGCCAAGATCGTCTCAATTTGCTGAGTTTCTACGGTACGAAGTACCTCATGTCCGAGATACTTGGCACCCTGTGGCGTCTCTCTCTTCCTTTCGCCTCATTTTCTCCCGCTTTGCTATTGCCAATCCCCGACTGCGAGCGCTCCCGATCATCGACACCATCGCCCCCAGACACGAAGGGAAAACAAGGAACAGGAGCAAGGAGAAACAAGATAAGAACTCGGCCAAAGCGCCCGTCACCGAGGGAGGACGGAGCTGGGTAGGTCCCACAGAGCCCACCCTGGCCGAGCAATAAAAAGTTGCTCATCAAGAGAACCTGCCCACAGAACACTCCTCGTCCGTTTCCGACCCGACCCTCCTCGTTTCCCAAAGACTCTCTCTCGCCCTCGAGCCTCACGCTCAAGCACAACACCATGTCCGGCCCCGCGCCCCTCCGCCCGGCCTTGAAGACGGCCGAGGATGGTGATGGTGACAGGTCGCCCTCAGCCAGCGGCTCTCTCAAGGGTAAGAAGACTTCCTCTTGCATGTGTGCCAACGGGGCTATCTCATGACGACTGCGCTGCAGCCTGGTGCGGAGAGGGGGCCACCATGACAAGATGCCCTCGCGACTGGCCTGCCCTTTCGCTCCTGACTCTGCCGCCTGTGCTCAGCCCCGTTACATCCTCAAAGCCTTGATCAAGCCAAACTGGACTGCCTTTCTCCTCCAGCTCGTGCGCTTCATCTATTGAGCCGCCCTTCATACAAATCCGCTTTGACAAGTCTAGGCTTACTCAACGTACAGCCGTCCAAATCGCCGAGCCTGTCCACCCGGCCGACGAGACGGCCCAGTCGGGGCACCAACATCACCACCTGACCCGGTATCAGTATTACGGCGAAAAACTGCTGTCGCAGGTAGGGGAGTGGCTAGAGCATGAACGGCACAAGGCCGGGCGGCGCCTCAAGACGTCACACCGGCGCAAGTCCAAGTCTCCACCCGTCGAGTCGGGACCCCTCGACGGTGACAAGGCCAGACGGCAGAGAACCGACTCGATCGGGTCGCAGTCGAGCGACGTCTCCCTAGACAGACTGCAGAGCATTCTCGACGAGTCCTTGTCCCATCTGGGCCTCAGCGCCGTGCCCCGAAGCACGCCAAAGGTGTCCCGGACCAGACGCCGAGCCAACTCGCGCACCACGCTGTCGCGCGCCGTCTCTTCAGACACCGAGTACGTTGACGGAGATGCCATTGTGCCCGACTGCGACGCGTGGCTCGACAACTCCAAGACCATCGGCTACACCGGCAGTAGCACCAGCACCGAGGACGTGGCCGACATGGCCGCCAAGGCCGAGCGGGAGCGGGAGGTGTGGCTCACGTTCAAAAACGATATTATCCGCATCGCCCACACGTTGAGGCTCAAGGGATGGCGCCGCGTGGGACTGGAAAGAGGAGACAGCATCACCGTCGAGCGCCTCAGCGGCGCCCTGACCAATGCCGTATACGTCGTCACCCCGCCGTCCGACCTCGCCGAGGCCGAGGGCAGGAATCCGCCACACCAGATTCTCTTGCGTATCTACGGCCCCCAGGTGGAACATCTCATCGATCGTGACAACGAGCTCAAAGTTTTGCAGCGACTGGCGCGCAAGAAGATCGGCCCTCGCTTGCTGGGAACGTTCAAAAACGGGCGCTTTGAAGAGTACTTTAATGCCATCACCCTCCAACCGCTCGATCTCCGCGATCCCGAAACCTCGAGGCAGATTGCTAAGCGGATGAGGGAGCTGCACGAGGGCATCGACCTGCTTCCGCAAGAACGAGACAACGGCCCCGGCGTGTGGAGGAACTGGGACCAATGGCTCGACAACGTGGCAAAGATTATCAACTACCTTGACAAGCAACTGGAGAACACGGCACAGGATGCGCGGCAGGTTTCGGTCATCCATGCTTGGAAGGCCAACGGCTACGTGTGCGGAGTGCATTGGGCTCAGTTCCGAGACACAGTGGCAAAGTACAGAGCGCACCTGAATAGCCTCTACAAGGACCCCAAGGAGATCAAGGAACGCCTCGTGTTTGCACACAACGATGTGAGTTGATGATTTGCGGGTTGCGGCGTAGCTTTCTGACTCGTGACGAATAGACGCAATACGGCAACATCCTCCGCCTCCGCCCCGATGACGAGAAGTCGCCGCTCCTCCAAGCCGCAAATAAGCACAAGCAGCTCATCGTCATCGACTTTGAGTACGCAGCCGCCAACGTCCCCGGCTTGGACTTTGCCAACCACTTCACCGAGTGGTCGTACAACTACCATGACCCCGTCACGTCACACGCCTGCAACACCGACCGCTACCCTACGCCCGAGGAACAGCGGCGCTTTATCAAGGCCTACGTCGATCATCGGCCCCAGTTCCCGGCAGCGAGCTCCACCCCCCGGATGCGCCCCGTCGACAGCGGCTCCTCGTCGTCGTCGAGCAACGTCAACACGCCGTCTCTCGTGACGACGCAGTCCTCGAGCTCCATCATCGACTTCATGCTCGACGCCCGTGCTCCTCCGGGCGGCTGGGGCGCCGCCGAGCGCGACCGCGAGGAGCGGAGCAACCAGCGGGTGCGCGAGCTCATGGACGAGACGCGCCTGTGGCGGCTGGCCAACAGCGCCCAGTGGGTGGCGTGGGGCATCGTCCAGGCCACGGTGCCCGGGCTGGACGCCAACAACGAGCCCCTCCCCGAGGAGGAGGCGCTCAAGGCCGAGCAGGAGATTGGCGTCGAGGACTTTGACTACCTGAGCTATGCGCAGGACAGGGCGCTCTTCTTCTGGGGAGACGCGGTGCAGATGGGCATGGTACGGCTGGAGGAGCTGCCGGACAAACTGCGCGCAAGGCTGAAGATGATTGACTACTGAGCATCGACGCAAGGGGGTTGGATCGCGCGAGCGCCGGTTGAGGATAGGATTTGCACAACAAACAGATGGATGCAAGGGGTTGGGTAATCTCGGATATTACCTGGGGCCTGTTTTCTCGATCTATCCACGGCTTGCTGCCGTTGTTCATCTAGCAATGGCTCTATGTGTTTCTAGCGAATGTTCTATGCATTGTAATAACTCGTGTCAATTCTCTGGGGATGCATCACCCGTTCTCTCGTAAGCAAGTAAGACTGCACTCAACGGGAGCTAATGAAGCAGCAGAGAAAGGGATACAGCGACAGTCCGCGGCCGAGTGAACGTCAGACAAGCATCGCCATCTCAGGCGTCGAGCTTGAGACTGTCCAGCATGGCGTCGATCTTGCCCAGCAAGACGTCGTAGTTGATGGCGTCGGACGCAAATTCGTCGTCGGCCGTGTCTCCGTCTAGCGTGCGCACCGCGCCCGCGTCGATCTGCTGCTCCCCCTCCTCCGCCTCCTGATGCTGTCGCTGCCCTGTCCCCCCGGCATGAGACTTTGCGGGGTGGGCGCCTTTGTCAGAGGGAGGCGGCGGTTCGTTGTGCTTGGGAAACTCAGGATCAACGTCGTCGTCGCCGCCGCTCGGATCGGCCGTCAGCATGTCCTGAAGGCCGGCGTCCTCGAAGCGCAGGCGGAAGCGCTCCGACAGATAGTAGCGGATGTCGTCGAGGAGCTCAATCGAGTCCGTCTCCTCGCGGCGTCGGATGCGGTCGGCGCTCTGGCGGATGAGGTCGTGGAAGTCCGGGTCGTCGATGTAGTCCTCGAGACGGCCGGCGAGGTAGCGCGCAGCAAACTCCTCGAGGCGCTGGACGCGGAGGTCCCAGGCGGCGTGAATGACGTCGTAGATGTTGATGGGCTCCGTGCTTGCGTCGGCGGTGGGCACGCGCGTGCGGTCGACGAGGGCGTTGGCGGCGCCGCTGCCGAGGGTGCTGATGGCGACGGCGGCCTTGCTCTTGAGGCCGTCGAGGAAGAGCATGTCGGCGGCGTAGAGAAGGTCGAGGGCGTGCTCGAGCGGGCAGGTGACGGACTCAGTGTAGAGGAAGCCGAGGACGAGCTCGAGGACGGCGGGCGAGCAGTCCACCGTGACGACGCGCAGGTGCGCCGATGTCTGCGACTCGACGTACTCGCCCGAGAACATGCGTTCAAAGTAGGGGCTGCGAATGAGCATGGCCTTGTGGGCCGGGTAGAGGACTGTCTTGGGCCGCTTATTGCCGTCGCCGCCGTCGCCGACCGGGATGCCTTGGCCGTTGAGGATCGGGGGTGTATCGGTGCCATGGTCGGCGCCCGCCTCATCGGCGCGGAGCAAGACGTCGGCAAAGGCGGCGTTGTCGTAACCAAAGCGCACGTCGCAGACGCGTTCGGGGTCGAGGACCATCTTGCCGCCGAGGACGTAGGCATGGAAGAAGTCGCCAATCTGCTTCAAGGCGCGCTCCTCCTCGTCCCGGTACCGCTGACGGGCCAGCCTTCGATCGCCACTGCTGGCCAGGAAGGCCTCCCAGAGGCGGGGGATGCCGAGCTGCTTGCTGACGCGGTCAAGGCCGCGCGCGACGTCCTCCTCATGCTCGGCCGGGCTGCCGGCGGGGACCAAGTCACGCGGCAGGTCGCCGAGGTAGACATGGCGCAGTGCAATCTGCAGAGCCTCGACGGGGACGGCGGCGAGGGTGGACCAGGCGGCCGTGTCGGGCTGGGCCTCGAGCCTTGTGCGGAAGTAAGGGGTGCGGGCGGCGAGGAGGAACTTGTGCAGGTGGAAGCGGCCATGGCCGGCGATGAGGCAGATGTCGGAGGTTGGGGGCGCGGTGCGGGCGAGCAGGCCCGAGATGTGGGTGGACCAGTAGAGATAGGGGTCTGACGTCTTGGAGAAGTCGTACTGCAGCAGCAGATTGCGGATGCGGTCGTTGAGGGCGTTGTAGATGCAGCGCTCGCCTTGGAACGTGTTTCTCTCGGCCAAGGCGCCTGGGGGCAGCTGTCAGCCGTCAGTCTGTCTCGTACAGGGCATGCTTGTCGAGGGGGGGCATAAGCATTACCCGATTCCAACAGCAGCCGGACCAGCTCGTAGTGTCCGCAGAGACTGGCCTTTGCGCGGGGCCGGTCAGCGACGACACCCAAGTTGCCACATACGATGTGGGTACAGGGTAGGCGGGCCTACGATGATGAGGGGCGTGTAGTCGAAGCTGTCCTTGCCGTTGATGTTGACGCCCAGGTTGATGAGCTCCTGGCACTTGCGCAGGTCCCCGTGGCGGCAGGCGACGAGGAAGTCGTTGAACTCGGGGCTCTGGTCGAGCGGGTTGTCGTCGCGCAGCACGCCGCTCTTGATCATGCGCCGCTCCTCGCCCAGCTTGCCCTCGAGCTCGTGCTTGCGCAACACCATGGTTGTCCCCCTTCCCCGGCAAAAAGCACGGAAAAATAAGGGGCACTCTAAGTTTCAAGATGAAGCAAAAGAAAAATCTATACTAAAAGAAGACGCCCGACGGAGTTGGGTATGGACAAGAGGAAAAAAAGGAAATGGAGATTCTATATCGAGTTGATGGCCTCAAGCCGCCACCAGAGGCTCTAAAGCGACAAGGAATGGATGACAAAGCGGGTACTAGATATTCGTACTTTGTACTCCGTACCGGTGACGTCCTCGGCGGCCAACCTATCGATAAACGGCTATACATCGGAGAATAAAAAAGTAAACCCGGAGCAAGACAATGTTGCCGTTGCCATGGCAGCTGCCCCCAGACTGTTTACTCCCGGCAACCGGACGGACCGCTTGGCCGTCACCGTGAGACTGAGAGCGCTCCTTTGCACGCACGCACGCACGCACCGTCAGGCAGGGATCCGTGTGGCTGTTGCATGAAAAAAAGGGCGCCCCCCTCTCCCCTTATGGCGCTGAGCCCTCCATCGCAGACTTCTTCAGAGCTCCCTCTCACAACAACAGCCACCTTTGTCGGGGCTCCGGTCCACTACTAACCTTGCGCAGGTATTATTGTTCCCGCTCCTCTCCTCTCGTCCTCCACTGCCAACGACGACTCCCTTTTACGCCTGCTCCCTCCTCCCGCGGCCGCGCAGTCGGATAAAGCTCTCCTCTCTATGGGACTTGACGCACTGCATCATCTTTTGCCTTGGCTCTGTCGACAAACATAGCCCAACATGCCGTCTTCCGAGGACAAGTACGATACGCTGGAGAAGATCGGTGAGTCTGGTCAAGGAGCACAGCCTCTGTCCGCGACGACGCGCTCCTCGCTGCTCCAACCAAAGCCGACCAACATGACTGACCCCCCTCCTCCTCCCCCCCCGGTCTAGGCCATGGCTCGTTCGGCGTCATCCGCAAGGTCCGCCGCAAGGCAGACGGCTTCATCATGTGCCGCAAGGAGATCTCCTACCTCCGCATGTCGCAAAAGGAGCGCGAGCAGCTCCACGCCGAGTTCCAGATCCTGTCGCACCTGCGACACCCCAACATCGTCGCCTACTACCACCGCGAGCATCTTAAGATCAGCCAGGACCTGCACCTTTACATGGAGTACTGTGGGAACGGCGACCTGGGACGTGTCATCAAAGATCTGCAGCACAAGGGCCACTACGCCCCGGAGAGCTTCGTCTGGAGCATCTTCACGCAGCTCGTCATGGCCCTCTACCGCTGCCACTACGGCGTCAACCCCCCCGAGGTGGGCGCCGACGTTCTGGGATTGACGCAGGGCAATGCCAGCGGGAACCCCAAGGTGCCCGCGGGCACAATGACGATCCTGCATCGCGACCTGAAGCCGGAGAACGGTACGCTTGCCTCGCGCTCCTCCCCGCGGCGTGTGCTGACTAGGCGCAGTCTTTCTCGGCGAGGACAACTCGGTCAAGCTCGGCGACTTTGGCCTGTCCAAGATGATCAAGTCGCACGACTTCGCCTCGACCTACGTCGGCACCCCCTTCTACATGTCGCCCGAGATCTGTGCGGCCGAGAAATACACGCTCAAGTCGGACATTTGGTCCCTCGGATGCATCATGTACGAGCTGTGCGCCCGCGAGCCGCCCTTCAACGCAAAGACGCACTTCCAGCTGGTGCAGAAGATCAAGGAGGCCAAGGTGTCCCCCTTGCCCGACATGTACTCGGCCGAGCTCAATTCCGTCATCAAGGACTGCCTGCGGGTGAACCCGGACCGGCGTCCCGACACGGCGGTGCTGCTCAACATGCCGGTGGTGAAGCTGATGCGCAAGGAGAAGGAGGTGGTGGACCTGAACAAGGCGCTCAAGGCGCGCGAGGAGGCACTCAAGCGCAAGGAGAAGGAGCTCGACGACCGGCTGGCCAGCCTCGACCGGGAGACGACGGCGGCGCGCGACGAGATGGAGGCGTCGGTCCGGAGAGAGTGGGAGGTCAAGGCGCGGCTCGAGATTGACCGGCAGGCCAACTTGGAGATTGAGTCGCTGAAGAAGCGCTTCGAAGACGAGGTGCGGGTGCACGTCGAGGCGGAGCTGCAGCGAAGAAAGAGCGTTGCCTTTGTCGCCGACGAAGCGGCGGCGGCCGCAGACGATCTCGGGTCGTCGGTGGCCAAGTCGGACTACCCTCGGTCGTCGACGGGCGCGAGCGGCGACGAGTTCCCGTCGACGACGGACATTACCGACTGCTCCCTCGACAGCCCGGACGCGTCGCGCGAGGCCAAGCGCAGCACGCGGACGCCCTTTGGCCGGGCGCAGACCATGTTTGCCGGCACGCCCATGGACATCGAGATGGCCTCGCCCAGCCCCATTGCCATTGCCTCGCTGTCGCTGTCGCCGCGCCGCAACGGCACCACCAAGGCGCCCACGACGCATTCGGGCAACATCTTTGCCGTCAACAGCGCCGTCAACGGCGATCCGCGCTGGGATCTGCACCGCGAGCCGACGCTGACCGACTCCGACGACGAGGACATTGTGCCTTCGCCCACGCGCCACATCCGCTCCTCCAAGAACCCCTTCACCTCCAAGGACCGCCCCGTCTTGACGTCGCAGAAGTCGTGTCCCGCCCACCAGCAGCACCGGCTCAAGACAAAGGTGTCGAGCACCGGCCTCGTCTCCAAGGCGACGGGCATGGCCGCCAACGCCGCCGCCACCGCCGCCGCCGCCTCTACCCCTGGCGGCACCGCATCGCAGCCAGACCATCGCCAGCGCTCGCCGGGCCGCCAGTTGAGTAAGATTCCCTCGGTGGCCGGCCTGCACGAGGCTTCTGCAGCCGGGAACAACAACAACAACAATAACAACAACAACAACAACAACAACAACAATGCGGGAGGCGGTGGCGGCGGCGGCCTCGGTCGCAAGACGTCGGTCAAGAAGGACTGCGGGGGCGGCGAGGCGCTGAGCAAGATGGCGGCCAAGAACAACATACGTGGCCGCACGCTGGTGGAGCTGCAGCAGGCTCGCGCGGGCGGACGGCCGCTGAGCGTGGCGTCTGCGGAAAACATCAGCCCCAAGCGAGCGGCGTTTCGGGACCGACCCGCCGTCGCCGACCGGAGAGTGAGCGGCAGCAGCAGCGGAAGCGGGAGCAACAGCGGGAGCCGGGGCGGGGTCGCCGTCGGGGGCGAGCCGGTGGCCGTGTGGGACCCGGAGCGGGACGAGATGCCGAGCCCATTCCTCGTCCGCCAGCGCCGAATCGCGAGGGTCTAGCAGTCTCTCTTGCGTTGACGCGGGCGAGCCAGTCAACCCTGGGACATTGCCGCATGAAGACCACGGCGACTTCTCCTCGCCTTCTTACCTTGTTAGTTCTTTTTCTTGCGCCGACTTTTGTTGATATCCTTTTATTTTGTCGCATCCTTTCAAGAGCTCGACGAGGAGAGAGATAAAGGGGGGAGGTTGGATAGATTGAGGAGGCAGGAGGAATTTCCGGAGCAAGCCGAGTGGCAGTAAAGCCAGCATCGAGGGGATACATTCTACGGCGTTTGGGGATACGATGGGCGTTGCTTTTGAACAGAGTCCTTGCGCGCTGCCGTCTTTGCGCCGCCGAACACACCCACCCTGGCCGGGTCTTTCTCTTTCTCTCTATTCTACTCATGCATCCGTTTCCCCTTCTCTCGCCATGGGCGGACGACGACGACGACGGATCGCACGAGCGGCCGGACAGCAGGCAGGTCGTGGTGTTCCAAGCATCAGTCATGCTGGGCGGGGAAGCATGACACAGGGGGGGCATCTCTGGAACGGGGGCGGAATGTACGTGTGGCAACAAGACAGACGGAGATTGGTGGCGCTTGACGAGAGCAGCGCGACGTGGATGCGCCTCGACTCAATTCCTTCACTTTTTCGCGTTCCGTTTGTGTGTGCGGCGTGACGATGGGGTCGGCTGCTATGCGGCGATGATGCCCTTGTCGGATGCGAGCCCATCTGTCTCTCTCGATCTGCTAGCTCACGGCAAGAAAGCCCGGATGAGGAAGAAAGGCGGGTAGTAAAGCGACTCGCATGTCCCAGACTGCCTCCTCTATACTCCGTACCTGCAAGACGGGCTCCCACCATCCTACGAGATGGGAATGAATGCCGTGCGTAAACCCCTGCCGACCTGAACGACGCCCCTTCTCGCCCTCTCCGCTCGCCCGCTCGTCCCGTCCAGCAGGGCGGAGGCGGGTTGACGACACACACACGCACGCACACGCAAGCAAACACGGAAAAACAGAGAGTGAGTGTGTGGGTGGACAGCCCCCGACGAATCGACGCCCGTTGGGACGAGGGCGCCAGCCCGGCCCGGCCATATAGGAACCACGGCCGAGCAGACGCAAAGCATGGCGGCCCAACCGCGCCACCGACTTACACCGAGGCCTTGGTTTCCTTCCTCCCTGCCCTTGGTCGTTCTCTGCGCGTTGCCGGGAAATATCGATTCTTTCATCTTGCTTCTCTACTTTCGTATTCGTAGTCTTTATCCCCCACCCCCGAGGCATCCGAGACATGCCGTCAAACCCCTCAACCGTCCCTCACCCATCCGCCCCTCCAGCAAAAGGTCGCGAAGCCCAGGCTCACGAGCCTTGCGATTCGATCGTCCATCGCGCCGAATGCATGACCGGCATTTCGCCTGCCAAGCCCCCCTTCGCGCCCCCTCCCTCCCGTCCTGTCGTCTTCTCTCAGTGTCTGCCGTCGGGACCAGCCATCTTGCAGCTGCCACGCCAAGTTCGATAAGCCATTTAAGAGACGCATTCGCGGCAGGCTGAAAAGGTCATGTGGATAACCTGGGAGCAAATAAATAGAGGGAAGGAAAACGTGTCATGAAACGGCTGATCTTGGGTTATCGGCCGGCCATGACGCAAAACTGAGGGAAAAAGAAACCATCAAGACATCAAAATAAGACGCGAGAGGAAACATAACATATAGATGTTTCTTTTCACCTCGTCACCACCTTTCAGAAATCCTGTCCTCAATACTTCGTACAAGGGGGGGTATCCCAAACAAACAAGGGTGCGGCGCGAGACTGGTGACGAGTGCGTCCCTCAACGGGCAATAGGACAAACGCAAAAGTAAACAGACAACCAACGCCGTATCAGTTGAACCCAACGAGCCGTGAGGCCTGTCCTATCTTTGCCCAGCCGCGAGGCCTCATTCCATCTTTCAGACGCACTCCAGCTCCAGCTATCAGCGGAAAAACGCCCCCGCCTACAACGTAACCTCACGTGGTCCCCGATAAAAGAACGACATGCCATGTCGCAGCAGTCCCGTCGTAGCCTGTGGCACCATCCTGACTCCCAGTCATCCGAGTGGCTGGTATTTCGCGACACGCCTTTTCCGCAAATTGTGACTGCCACTGTTCCCCGTTTCTCAACTCTTCCTCACGTGGCTTTTGGAGGAACGCTTGTCCTCGCAGCGAGTTCCCTTGGTGCAGGAATGGAGACAATGAACGAGAAAGCGAGACGTCAAAGGAAGAGGTTTCCTGGTGCTTTTGTTGGGGAAAAATTGGAAGAAAAAAAGAAATTAGACCAGAAATGCCTCAATGCTTGTGCTTGTGTGAGGAACCATGACGATGCGAGTGCGAATGACCAGGTCGATGTGATGAGTGTTTGTGTTGTCGACCTGACGAGCCACTCGTCTCCAGTTCTCGCTCCATGTGTTCGACTCGTTGCCGATATCCCTTGACAATGTCCTTGATGTGGGATATTCTGTCAAAATCGACCTCGAGTTCGTCAAGCTGACGCAGAATCTCTGTGTAGCGCGCGATTTCGGCGTCGGCGCCGTCGATGATGTTGCCGGCGCGGTCGTACTGCACTTGCGTGAACATTTGCGCCTGCTCACTGAGGTAGCGAATGTTGTGTTCGATGCCAGCCATCAGTCGATCAAAATATCGTCCCAATGCCGTCAAAGAAGAGCTGTCGAGGAGCAGCAGTCCCTGGCTGCTGGCGCGGCTGGCTGCTCGAGAGCTCGTCGATCCGCCGCCGCCGCCCAACGCTGCCTGGCCCTGACGCAGCAGCTGGATTTCTTCGGCGCTGAGGCCCAGTTGCGTGTCCGGGACGGCGTTGGCCGCCATGGCGAGACCGCGCGCACGAGGCGCCGGAGCGCCCGGAGAGCAGGACCGCCGTCGACTTAGCCGGGTCGGCGAGTGTTCAGGGAGACGGGAGCCGGGCGCCGTCGTCGGGCACCGACAGCGATGTACAGAGGGGTATCGTGGTAACAGTGGCGGCTAGGAGCATCAAGGGTGCAAGCGGTATTTGCCTTTGGTCCGGCGGCAACGGTGCACAGAGCGTCATGGTATCTAGCCGGGAGTCATGGAGAGGATGGGCACGGTCGCGGATGGAGGGTGAGGTCTTGGGATGAGCCTTTTTAGCTCGCCTTTGAGCCGGGAAAAGCAACGGGCTGAAGGGACAGGCGAGCGTCCGTGTTTGGAGGCTAAGCGCGGTTACGGGATCCGGCCTGGGAGGATTTGGGGCTGCTGCCTGATTGGAGAGGGCGAGGGCGGAAGCAGGGCGCCGCGAGCGGCTGGTCGCGCGTCAGAAGCGGGCGCTTGCGACTGCCTGTATGGACTTGGATGACGACGATTCGGCTTGCGCGTTGGCAGCGGGAAGAATAGGACAACGGAGGAGGAGGAGGGGTTCCCCGCTGGGATAGGGCTGAGATGGACCGAGGCTGGCCAAGAGTTGAGGGCGGGCTGAGGGGGCCAAGAACCAGTCAGTCGTCGTGTCTGTCTGTTTGTCAGGTTCTCTGTTCAAACAGCCTCTCCCCCTCCCCAGCTGGACAAGCATCCAAGCCTATGCGGAGTGCAGCGCAAAGTGGAGGGCTGCAGCAGCAGTTCGCGCGGCCCCAAGCGAGTCGCAGCACCTAAAAGCCCGCTGTTCCTGCTTGCGCCGCACTGCAGCTCGAGTGCCGACGGATGCGCAAGGGTTTCTGGCCAGCCGCTGCTGGAAGGTGTCGATGGAAGCCGGAGAGCATCAGAGGTGGGGGTTCCAAGGGGAGCACGAGACGAGGGGAGAGGGCGGAGGAGAGGAGAAAGAGAGGAGGGGGACGGGAGAGAGACGGGCAGAGGCAGGTGCTCGCAGTGGTGTTGGGTTGGTGGTGGTGGTGGTGGTGGTGGTGGTGGTATGTAGTGGCAGGAGTAGCGTAGCGGTATCGTACCTACCTAAGGTCGGGTGGGTACCCAGAGCCGTGTGGAATGGAATGATCAGGCACCAGGTGGTAGTCAGGCAGGTCCCTACCGGAGGAAGGAAGCTACTTGCCTACTTGGGTAGGCGGGCCATCTTATGTAAAGATGGAAGCTACCGTGGCTGTACTTGCACCTCCGCACTGCGAGCTTCTCAAGAGTGGTGGCGGGAGTTTGGCCGCACTGTATCACACTAAGATCTGCTTCCGCTTCCGTGGCCAGCGTGCCAACGACACACAGTAGAGAGGGACAGCAAACACAAATGTCTGACGAACAGGAACCTCAAAGAGAGAAAATGGGATTGGAGAAGAGCTTTGAGATTCAATCAAAGGCGTTTCATTGTGCACAAACATGATCTGACCCTGCTTGAGGCGCACGTGCTTTGCGTACAGTGTCGACGCAAGATGCACAGTGGAGTCAGATATGTACCTGGTTCACCATGACGGGGCACGAGGCAGAATACAACGCAATCTCCCTCTCACGACGAGCGACGGCGGAGATGAAGGAATCGCCAAAAAGACGGGACTCGCTTCTCTCACGAAAGCTAGACCCGGCGTCCATCCCGCCCCCTCGCCATCTCGACGCCGCTGCTCAAGCCCGCTGGAGCTCGGGGTTGGGCGAACGGGGCCAGTTGGAGCAAGCCGACGTCCAACATGGCGACAGATATGCAAACCGACGGCCCAAGTCTCGGGGAGGGTGTGCCATCCGCCTCGGCCGTGGCTTTCGGTGCGACGGGAGCACGGGACGCATACAATCAGCAGTCACAATGCGACGACGACGAGACCATGAACCGCCGCCGCCACCACCACCGCCTCCTCCTCTTCCTCCCCGTCCACCACCACCACCACGACGCATCGTCGCCGAGCCCGCCGCCGGTCAAGGCTCGCTTCGCCTGGCCCGTGGTCACGGCGGAGATACGCCTCTGCTAATCAGCGGCCCGCTCATCCAGTCGCACATCCCCCTCTCATATTATGCAACAACCCAGCATACCGGCACTTTTCTACCCTCGTCTTCCCCTTCAACCACTATCCTTGTGTGTACACACCTGATTGCGTACATGGCAATGCAATGCACGTGTGATGTGAAATCTCATACATGCGGAGAAAGCAGCTTCCCTCTTTCTACCTCCGTTCCGCCCACCCCCCGGTTGATTTGCCGCGAGCTGACTGGCACAGGCAAACGGTTGCGACGACGCAATGCGTCCATGCATGCAAATCGGCCGCTCACGGGTAGTACCTTGCATACATGTCGAGCTGCATGGACCGGTGTGGCTCCCGCACCTCTGACTGGCCCCAAGGCCATGCAACCGAGGCACGATGCTTCGCGACGGCGAGAATTGGTCCCCCAGCCCATCCCTCGCTCGCGTTGGCGCCCACTTCACCGCTCACTCCGTTCTCGGCTCATGCGAGATGGTCAAGCCAAGATCCACAAACTGCCGAGAACCCCAACTCACAAAGCACGGGCTCGCCTGACTTGGGGTTCCGCAGACCACCGCGCACACGTGGCTTCTGCTGGTCTCCAACCTGCTCCGCTCCAATGCAAAACTCAACGAAAGCATGGTGCAGGTCGTAGAAGCCAGGAAGTATAGGGCAGGCAGGGAACTGTGCGGCAAAATCTCCGAGTCCGCTCTCTGGACTCTGTGTAGCCCCGTGTACTGACGACACGACGACCTCATCACGATGCTCCACGCCATTACAAGCGTCATTGCAAACCAAAAGGTCCGATGCCCCATTGTGGGGGCCCATCGGCCGCATGGGATGCATGCATGCACAGAGCAGCGGGTACGACACGTGAACCCTTGAGCAAAGCTTTCTGACCTCCCCGAGCCAGCCTGTCTCCGGGCGACTTACCCTTTATGCCAAGATCAACTTGATGCGAGGTCAACGTTTAGACGCTGGTGCAAAAGCCGACACCGCTGTGATCGCGCCGCTCACCTTGGGGCTTGCGTACGCAGACCCGAACTGGCCCCATTGACAAGGTTGCCATGACGTACCATAGGATTTGGGCTGAAGATGCTGCGGATCCTCAGGTCTGGGGATTGCATGGCGCGCCCTTGCCAATGCCGTTGACACAGATCCGGGCATCGGAAACCCTGTCAGTCGAGACTCAGGAGTCGGGAACGTGACGTCTACGCATCCCGGTGCGCATCCGCGACGACAACAGCTAGGTGGTGTTCTGGTCTGATGACAATTTCTCCACCTCTTTTAACTCCCGCTCTAGAGTCATCTCTTCCGAACACTACAAGTGCTGTGCAGCTACGACTAGATCCGACCAAGTGCAGGGATGAAGCAACCCCAGAGTGCAAACCGTCTCATCCGTTGCCGATGGAAGCGGCAACCCCAAGTCCAGGTGCCAGATGTGAAGACGGAATGAAGCCGGGTAACTCCCTATCCGCCTAGCCATGCCTTGCGAGGCCATCAGAACTGTCATCCTGCTGCCGGCTTCTCACGCAGCCCTGTCCTGGGGACTGACTCGCTATCCTCACTCCCCTCCCTCACCTCGAGCCTCGTTCAGACAAAGGGGAGACCAGGGAGAGACCTCGAACGAAGATCCCTTCACCCTGTGGCGATCGTGCTCGCCGCGCAACCTCTACCCTGGCGTGGGGATGGGCGTCGGGCGTCTTCGCTCGCCGACGGCGTCTGTCGCAGGAGCTGTATCAGTTCGCAGTCGTGATCCATCCACGGGGAAATGCGAAAGTTGCAGACACCCCGGATCGACGGTCGGGATGGGCGTGGGATGATCCAACGTGGGGTGCGCATCCGCATCCCGCGCCTGTTACCGATGTCCCCACGAACTGGCGCGTGAGGCTCTCGCAGCCTGCATGACAATGGGGTCGACACGTGAGACACAGGGTCGGGCTACCTTGGTCAAGGATGAAACGCGAACGAAATCGCCGGGCTACCCTCTCGTCTCCAGGCATGAAGATGGGAAGAGGATGAAACGCGGCCAGGATGCTGCTGCGTATTTCCCCGAGGGCAATCAGACCAGAGTATTTGAAATTCCGAAAAGCTTAGACGGTCGGTTGTCAAGTACCCCCTCGGTCAGGGATAGCTCTGTCAAAGTTCGTTATTCCGTCACCAGCGTCGGAGCCCTCGGGGCGAGGAGGTTCGTCATCCAATTGATACCGAAGCCGAGGTTGGCGCTGCGTCTGGAGGGGGCAAGGGCGTATGTCGAGTGGAATCAAGCAGTGAGTTTTATATCGGACTCACCATGGTCAGAGGAGAAGAGGCTTTGTCTGACCTCTTGGACGAACCCGTCTACTCTCTATGTTTGGCTGATCCTCATCCCAGCTGTGGACTGCACTCAGACGGAGTGCATCTCAGCCAACAGATACCCCAAACTCGCACCTCCAAGACACCCCTCACTCTCCCAAAAATAGGAAACCTGGCAAGGGCGGTCACAAGCCTAGCCTGGACTGATCTTTTTTTGTCAAACATGAAGCAGGCTGAATTATTTTTAATGTGCGATGCTGAGTGGGCAAGAGGAGTCGGCTGACGCCTTGTTCACGTACTGGAGTCCTTGTCTCCCCAGAGTATCGGATTGGGTATCGGATAGACGCCTGGATCCCATCCGATCAGGGCCCGCCCGGATACGGTCTGCCACCGGAGATGAAGAATAGAACGTCGCTGCCAAGGCTGGCCGAGACGATAGGAAGAAGCCAGCCGTCGACCAACTCGCAAGCGTGAGTCTGAGGCAGCACCTCGAGTCCCCTAGTGTCTGGTGTCTCTTTGCCAGCGTCGTATTACCCCCCTACCTGGCAAGCGTTTCGAAGATTGCGCGAACCGGCGGCCTCTGGAAGGAGGCGATGGCTTGAAGCAAGGCACCTATCTACCCTCCACGTGTGTGGCCGTCCAGTCGAAAGTCGCTTCTCGAATCCGGTAGCGCATACAACGGCAGCATAGATACTGTCTGGGTGCCCGGGGGACTGGAAACGCGACTCTGAGGTCGGAGCCAGGCGTCGTGTGTATCGGTTTTGCCCATTTCGGCGCCCCCATCCCCACCGCCAATGGCACCCTTGACATGACACCGGCATCCTCCGCAGTGAGACATTTCCCCTTTGGGGCGAAGGGCCTGTCTTTAGCGTTGAGCCAGGATCGGTAGGTATCGCCCGCGGGAACCAGGTAGAGGATACATGCTTAACCTGCTTTACCTAGGGGCTTCGAGTGTTAGTATTCCGTAGTCGCGGGCAGCGGGTCGAGATATCATGTCGAGCATACGGAACCGCCGTTGGAGATTGGCCGGTGCCCTACAAAGCATAACTCTAAAAGCAATCCAGAATGGGATCGTCAATCAGGGTCCCTCAAGGGCGCGGCAGCCAAGAGCACCCGAGTTCGATTTCCGCGCCGATTACGAGAAAGGCCAAAGAGCAGCATGTGTCCATCGCGACCGACGGCCGGCCCCCTTTTCTCTTCCTGAGCATACACGATGCGTATCGGAGCGAGAGAAGCCGCCCATTCGTCTTCGCTGCAACCCTCCCCTCCCCTCCCTTCAGAGGCATTCCACTCAGCTCGTCAATGCCAACCAGTGCCTGCGACCGTGAACCTTTTTTTCCTTTCCCTTGCCGGTCGCCGGGGGGCCCGCTTCTCCCCGCCGTGCCGCAAATCTGCGAGCGTCCCAGCTGACTCTTTCGGACTCGTCCCCTTGACCTTTTTCCAGCTTGTGTCCCCCAGCCTCCTTAACGCCATCCGTCTGTTCCCCATGGCAGCAGCTTCTTTTGTCCCCGGGCTCAAACCTCTTTTGACGGCCCCCTGCCTTGTACATACGCGCAGTGTAACCTTTTCACCGCCCCTTGGCGCAATGCAAGACAGAGTGAGCGAGTGCCAAGTGCGATAGCAGCAACGTGGGGCTGGTTGAAGAATGCGTCTCCATCTTTGCTAGCGTGGGCGACGATGAGCGAAGGGAAAAAGAGCATCGCCCATATCGAAGCCGGTGGAGCTTTTCGCTGTCGCCTGTACCAAGTATACGTGGTTGTCTGGTATAGCTATACCATGCTGCGGTTATAGATACATACGTAGACTCCTTTCATGGCTCTACTGTCTCCGTGTCTCCTCTCTCGCGGCAACGCATTCCGTCCAGGCAACATCCTTCGTGGTGGCAGGGCCCCGTCGGCCATGTATGTACACATATCCATGAGCCGGAGCAAATCCGCAGCTCCGGGACAGATCGCGTGCGGCCACGGGCATGACCTGCCTATGGTTCGGGCAGACCCTTGGACGAGAGCCGCAGTAACCGGCGTGAATCGAATGATCAGCGTCGCTCCCGCTTGGCTCACATGGCGCCAGGTAGGCTGGTCTCCATCTCGTACCGCAGATGCCTGCCGATACGCGGACGGTAGATGGAGCGAGATGCATAGCATAGTCGCAGCGGCCCAGGGCTCGTCGTCGATAGTCGCCCGGCGGACCCATGGCTTGGCACAAGGTGCAGTTTGTTGATATAGTGCCGCGATGCTATTGAATGCCCCCTCTCCCTTGTAGCCATCTCGGAACCTTGTGGCCCCCATGCAGTCTCGACGCAGGCTATAGGATGTGCATGCAGGTCGAGGCTCCGAGGGAAATGGCTCGATATAGACTTTGGCGCCGCCTAACCGACATGAGCTGGCCCGGAAGACACACGGCATGTACGATCCGTACATGGTACATCCATCCATGCATTATGTGCCGATATGCAGTCCGGCTGCCGCTGGTTGCAGTCCAAACGGCTCTCGCCTCCTCGCTCGGCTGGTGTCAAGAGACAGAGCACATACATGACACAATGCTACATGCACGAATAGTTGCCCTCCCCGAGGACCACCAAAAAAGGCTCGTTAGGGGCAGATCTGCCGGCCTTGGTGGCTGGGTGGCTGTAAGAGAAAAGGAGAGCCACATGACGGGTGCATGACTCGGCCCAGGGCTCCAAAACCAACCCCCCCCCCCCCCCCGGCTCTCCTTGAATCGCACGTATCAGCAGCCGTTGGAATCAAACCATAACAAGCCTGGTGCCTCTTTGTCTGCATTTACGTACTTGTAAAAGGGAAAAGGTGGGTCGAGGGCTCTTGTTGAGCGCTGCCAATTCTGGCCCTCCCTCTCTCCCCTACATCTACACCCCCCCCGGTTCTTCTTCTTCTTCTCTTCGCCTGTCCGAAAAAAAAAATACACAACGTATAGTACCCCCCACAAGTGAAACCCACCGCATAGTTGTCGATCATTTCCCCCTCTTCTTCGGATGCTGCACGTCAAGGCCCTGTTGCTCTGTCGTGGCTAGCTAGATCGTCTGGTTTTGCCTTGGCCGTCTTCTTCGTGGCCTATCCTGTTGTATAACTGCTACCTACCTACCTACCTACCTACCTACGCTCTTGCACTGGATCGATGGCGTGGGAATTCAAACGAGACCAAAACGAAAGTCGTCAACACGCCGTCATCGAGGCAGAAGGGGGTGTCCTGACTGGTTCCTCACGCCTTTCCACGCAGTAAGCACGTCACAAGACAGACTGGAGCATCTTAAGCAGGATAGCGATCGTAGTGGTATTTTGAAAAACGAGGGCCCAAGCCTGCGTCGAGTCTGGTACATAGCGACTGTTGGTATTTTGCTCCCTGTACTCCGTCCATTCCCAGTCCCGTTCAACGCCACGCAAATGCTAAAGTCCAGACCATCGCTTGCTCTGCCCTTGATTTCCTCAACGCAACGCCGTGAATTATAAATGTGGCTTTTGGCGCAGCAGTCGCGTCATCACTGCCGACCCCAGCCACCGCCCCAGATGGCTCCTTTCCCTTCATACCCAAGGTCATCAAGAGACATGTGATGTCCTCGCGCTGCCGGCGTCAAAGCTGTGGCAACCCCGCTCGTGACGCTTCATATTGCTGCGTACGCTGAAGGCCTTGCCGCAGCCGGCGTGCGGGCACTTGAACGGCTTCTCCCCGGTGTGCGAGTGGCTATGGATCCGCAGGCTGCTCGGTCGGCTAAAGGCTTTGTTGCACGTCTGGCAGATGTACCGGTCCTGGTTCTGCGCGTAGCCAGCCCCGTGCGACGGGCTGAGGTAGTGGTGGTGCTGCCACGGGTTGGCCCCGGACGACGGGGCCACCACGACGGGGATGGACAGCGGCGGGAAGCTTTGAGGGAGCGGCTGCTGGTAATACAGGTTGGAGATTTGCGGGTGCGGAGATGCCGTGGTTTGCAAGGGCGACTGATAGTAGTTGCCTACCGGAGGCTGGGTCGAAAAGGGGCTCGGGGAAAAGGACTGGTGGCGGACAGGAGGCCGGCCCCCTCCAATCGAGTGTCGGTGGAAGTCGGTCTCGAGGGGAGGAGTCGTCTCGTAGAAGCGGCCGGACGCACCAGCCGAGACGCCCGAGAGCAAGTTTACGGGCTTGCTCAGTGGCGAACTGTAACTGTCGAATGCGGCGTCGGCTCCCATGGGCGGTGTCGGGGGCATGCCCCGCTGCTGCCAGGATTTCGTGTAGCTCGAGGCCGGACGACTATCGGCATAAGGCGTCTCCTGGCGGGTGTGGTACGAGGTTGAGCCAGCAACTGGGAGGCCCGGTTAGTGCTTTGTCCTTTTCATCAAGGGAAATGGGCGCATGCATACCTTCGGCACGAGGGGACCCGGTCTGAGAGGCGAGAGAAGGCTCGTTTGTCGGCGATCCAGCGTCGACCATGCCCAGAAGCTTTGAGATGGAGGGAAGAGAGCACCTCGAGTCTTCCATCGGAGGTGAAGGAGGCGGTTGTGGCAGCTGAGTGTGACGGAAGTAGTCGCTGTGAGGCGACATGAACTGCGTAGTTGACATTAATGATGCGGCCATGGTTGCTGAGCCTCAAGACGTCAGGGTCTGAGGATGATTATAGAGGCCTAAGTGTGTATTTGCTGAGCAGTAGTAGTAATAGTAGTAGAAGTTGTTGTAGAAAGGACAGAATAGAGCACCGGACTTGGTTTGGGAGGATGGAGATGGATGGCGTATGTAATTAATTTGAATAGAGACGGAGATCCGAGGGCTTGGGATGGACGGGGGTCAACGACGTATAAGTATGCCCGAGAGTCATTCCGCAGTAATAAAGTAGGCTAGAGGGAGAGCGGAGACAGAAATCAGATCTGAAGTACGCGGTGATCCATAGCTGGTCCACGTCTTGTCACAAAAGTCGGCAGTGGGCCCTGACAAGACTTTGTCCATCGGGGGTGTGTACGGGAAACCTGGGACGAAGAAAGAAACGGCGCAGGGGGAGTGTGTGAGAAGGAGAGGAGAAGGGAGAAGGGTGTGGGGGGGGGTATACGGGCTTGTCACCGGCAGCTGGAAACAGCCAGCGAGGCTGCCGGAGATGCCCAGCATTGTCCCAACAAGGTTGGTTGATGAGCTTGGCTGGGATGGCCTTTGTTACCGGTACATGATAAGGGTGGGAATGGGGTGAAGATTCCTTGCCGTCCAAGTACAGGGGGGCGCCAAGGAGGAGGAGTGCGGCCAAGGGGTGCGAACCAAGAGTCTGTGTGTGCCTTGCCAGACAGCAAGCCAAGGAGTACGGAGTACATTCGACACAAGACGTCATGCTGGCCTAGTCGGACTCCCAAGGGTCGTGCGGGTGGCCGAAAAATGATGATGGTAGTGGTGGTGGTGTGTGTCGTGGTCAAACGGCCGGGTGGATGTCTTCAATGCATGGGCCGGAAGAAACGTGATCCTTGCCCTGCACCACCCCATCATTGCCGCCATGCTTCTCTCCGCCTTCTAGCGTCCCAATGACACATGCTGTGCGTGCTGTACACATGGTGCGCACAACAACTCTTGTTTGGCCCGTCAGGGGCATCGAGGACACGACTGCGCTGCATCCTCCAGGCGCTGCAGTCTGTCGTGCCACGCACAAGCCCATCTCATGGGCCCTTTTCGAGACCATTCTTCTTCTCCTCCTCTCCTGCTCCTCCAGGGGTCGTAGATCAAGGCCCTGTGCGACCGGATGTCGGGCTGATCTTATGCCGGTTCTGGCCCCTGCGACAAGGGGGGGGGAGGGGGGGCGTGGGAGTGTGATTGAGGCTAGCCGTTCGTGGGCAGCCTTGTGAGGTCTCATTCTTGGCACCGGCCCTCCGAGCCCCGGCATTGACTGGCCAAACTCCTTTACCCCACGACTAGCCGGCACCGTCGATGCTGCTCGCAGGAGTGTTTCGGGTGCCTCTACAGCTGAGAGTATCACATCGAAACGCCAACCTTCCCAGCTTGAGAAGTCATCGGCTGTCAGAACAGACGCTCATTCACCGGACCCCTTCTCAAGTTAAGCTTAGCTGCCGTGTCGGTCGTCGGCTGACCAGCCTCTTGGCCAACCTGCCATGGCACCTCTGACACTGGCTTCTCGACTGCGCGGCCCGAGGCCTCCCGTCCAGCTGTGGCGACCTTGTCCGTGAGCAATGGTCCCCTTCGTGTTGCCAGACGTCTGCCACCCGCAACAACATCAGAGTTCACGGGCCACCACCGCCTGCATTTCGAGCGGTGGAATTCTTCGAGCGACGGGCAACAGAGCGGCGTCAATTCCTGATCTTGGCCGTTTGATCGGCTAATGTGCTGGTCGTCGCTGCCGACACCTGAGAGCCTTGGCCACCTGCAGCAAGGCAAGCCGCATTTTCGGCTGCGCGCTCGACCCGCTCCCGCTTTGCTCCTTGACCGCGGCAAGATCCGTTATTCGCGTTTGCAAATTGCTCTACTCCGTAGGCGCCCACGTTACAGGCTGGGACAGGAGCACTGCTCCATCTGGCGTCCAGGGATTCCTCGGGCGAATCGGCGCAGCGACTTGCCCAGCAGAGCCGCTTCAGATGCAAGGAACGTGTCTCGCTGCACCCGCCTTGCATGGATAGTGGAATGGGCAGCCAACGGCATGCTCTTCAGCACAAAATATGCTGAAGGGCTTGAACACGTCGACAAAAGTCCGCAGTCGTCCACACCGCGCTTCTGACCGCTCGTCAGTTAGAAAGATGGGAGCCTGACACGGCCCGCGGAGCAAGTTGAGACGGCGAAGCTGACCGGTCTCTCGATGGCCCTGGCTCTTGGTACGACTGCTCAATCTCTGCACCGTCACGCTCACTGACCTGTTTGAGTTGGTACATGGCAGCGCCTCGATTGCAGGTGCCACCGTCTTGATCCTTGTAGCCTGACAAGTGACAGCCGTACCATCGGCCTCGAGCCGTTTGCAACTCCGCTGTCAGCCCCAAGCAAAGCTACGTTGCAGCGCGTTTTGGTGAACAAGCTCCGTGAAGCTCATGCTCACCAAGCAGTGCCTGAGGCTACTCAGAGCCTTCACTTCTGTGCCTTAATGGCGCAGACTCGAGCATAACCGGCCTTGAGCTGCAACCTTCGGCCATGAAGTCCAGACAGGAGAGCACGGCCGGTTGTGGAGGAAGACATCACCCAGAAGAAACGGGAGGCAGCGACGAGTCGGGGACTGCGGCGTCACGGGTCCTCAGTGTTGGCTCGCCCTCACATCACATCATTACGTGCTGGCCCCTGACCATGTTAATTTGGTCCGACGCTTCGGGGCAGACGCTTGGCCGCATCGTTGGCGGTGAGCCGCAGGTAGTGCCGGGCCAACTTCCCGAACAGGCGCTGGGGCAAACGGCCTGGCGCCGACCAGCCTTGCATTTGGCAAGAAGGAGGTCAATGGCCATGCGGATGTGCTGGCTTGGTGCATCCGTGGGGCGGCGCGGTGCGGACTGGCGCCTCCCAACAGCACGAGGAGCAGTGGGGGTTGTCACCTTGCAGGCAAAGGCGCCGGATGAAGATCCGCTGATCCCTTTCTTGACCGTCGTCTTTGAAATGGATGAGGCTGAAGCTTGCAGAGCTCGGGGCAGTTCGACACAGTGGAGTAGACGGAGGAACGTGACGGCGGCCTGGATTTCAAGGCACGCCGCCGCGGCACGCGCAACGGGAAGGAAGCACCGATCCATGGATGCAATGGGCAAGCACAGCAAAGCATGTCTTGGCCAGACCTTTCAAAGTGACCGCCTCTACCATTTTCGCTGCTCGGCAGACATCCAGCCGCTCCACCGAGGACCGGCGTTGTAAAGCCAAGGGAGTAGCCGCGGAGAACGACTCGGCGCCAGTTCATCAAGTCCATGAGATGCTGACCTTGGCACTGCAAGCAGCTCCTCCCTCAGCCAGCCCTGACCGCCTCGGGCGGCAGCTTTCCTCATTCTCCTACGGCGCGAATACGGACTTGACATGGCCTGACGGGCTTCCAAACCCTTGACCAAGAGACGGAAATGACCGGCTTGAGCTTGTAATAACGTCAAGGGGCTTGGCTATGGCCAAGATATGCTGGGCGCTCTGCCGCCCTTTTCTACGCCCGTCATGCGGCCGGATGCATCCCCAGACTGGGGGGACCTGGCACAGCATCGCAATGGCATGCCAGGATCCAGGGTGGTGAATAACACCAACACGAGAAGCCCTGATAAGCCGAGTCCGACGACACTAACTCATGTCCTGCGTGAGCCTGTCTGCTAATGACTTTGAATGTCGTCGTTTGTAGCACGACGGATCCGATGCCCGCCGCACCGCTTAAACTGACTCGATGGATGGACCCCAGCCTCTTGTCAGTGTCGGCTCCCGCCGCCCACCCCCGCGGCTGATCCATCACCTTGCCCTGGTCCCATTGTTTCTGCAATCTGTGCCATCGGAACGCTCTTCCGCCACCCTCCCTAGACGGCCGACGCACACGGAACGCGACCGTGCGTGCTTCCGGGTGCCCAGGCAAACGGAAAAAGGAAAAAAGAAGCTCTTCGCTCTGGCGAAATGACCAAGGAGCAGTGAGTTTCGGCTCGCCTCAGCCATCCTGGTCCAAGGCGACGATCCAGACAGGAAGCCCCCCTGGCCCGTTCACGCGACACGTGGAGTGCCACCTTGTGCAAAGCCACTTGCCCTTGCATGAGCTCGGGGACCTGCTTGCTATGGCTCTGGCTCTGGCTCTGGCTCTGGCCCTTGGTGGTTGAATAGTAATTAACCATCGCGCCATGCGCATGGCCCTGAGCGTCTCTCGACGCAGCGAGCCAGGCGCTTGCCTCTCGAGGAACCTGCACGGATTCGTCTTGGAAGGTCGACCGGCTGTCGCCCTCGTGTTGGTAAGCCTGATTTCGGTCCAAGCTCCATTCTGTGCTTGGCAGTCCGTGCCAGATATCGACGACTCTTCACCACTTGGACCCGTTCCCACGCTTGACCGGCCCAGAACCAACACAAGCCCCCCTGCGCACGTAACCATGGATGACGGGCCAAACCCCGCCCAGAGGCCCATCAGTCGGACAGTGGCAAGCGTGGACGCCTTGCGCCATTGGACGCTACCCCATGGAAGCTCTCTGCAACCTTTTATGACGGGGGCCAGCCAACTGCTGGAACTTTTGGAAGCTTTTGAGGGTCTAGAGTCGTGTAACCCTAGAAGGGTCGAGTCCAATTCGCTGCTGGTGTGACGTGGAGATCGACCTTGCAGGCATGTGCGGCGATCACTCTGCGGCCAGCCTTGTGTCCCACATCCCCAGGCCATGCTGCATGCTGGCGGCGCGCCATGATCGTCACAAGCCTGTGGCCGGCCTCCTCTTGCACTTACACAAGTTCTAACGCCCATGCGCTGCAGGAAACAAAACACAAAACATAAAACACCCAGCACGCATGGGCGTCAAAGGCCCGATTGCGTTTTCCCAGACTTCTCACTGAAGAATCCACGGTGCGTACTGACTCCTTACTTGCCACTCTCCTCTGCGCAGGTCGACTCCAGCTCAAGCACATAGAGCGAGTCCTCGCGTCAGCCAGTCGAGGGCGATGTGGCATGCCTAGAGGTCTTCTTGCTCCGCCCGGGATGAGAAATCTTGCTATTGGGAGACAACTAACAAGGTCTGTCTAATTGAGGTCCACTGCCCGAGGATCCGCGCCCCCATGCGACCACCATGATGGCGTTTTGCCTCGAAACCGCCCCGGGCAGGAGGTCCAAGAACCTGGACTTGATTCACAATCCCGGGCGCGCATGTGCTCTCCTCTCCCCAAGTCTTACCCTCGGCATCTTGCGTCCGCCTCACTGGTCGGACCTCAGCGCCTGAACAGTAATTTGCGCAGTGCCAAATGAGCTCAACTGATACTGACTTGTCGGATGGAGATGTACAGCATGTGGGAATTATCAGACGTAGCCAGAATGGCCATCGATGACGGCTTCTTCTCGTCTAGTTTGTGTGGTCGTTGGCGGACGTTGCTTGGTCACAGCTCGCAGAGAGCCTGACCGGGTCTCCAGGAAGCTCGTGACAAATGCAATGGAGGGAAACGCCGATGCATAAGATGGCAGCCAGGAAATGGGTGCCTTGGACAAACCCTGGCCGGCGATAGCGTACGGTAAAGCCCACGTTCGATGTTGACAGTGCCTTGCAGAGCCCGCGGATCAAGGCCCCTGATGATGCATGTACATGGCAAGGTAGGAAGCCGCCAATGGGAAGCCCAGGGGCTGACGGACCAGGCCAGAATATCCCAGACGCGAGAGTTGAAAGTATCTATGTACGAAGTAGGGCTCAAGGGAGTGCATGCAACCGGCCACATGTCCGAAGTGGCTGCCCAGTCTGGCAGCCGTCGCAACTCGCCCCCTTCCCTGCCCTTAATCTGGAAAACAAGACACGGGCAGCCTGGAAGACGAGCGAGCTTGCTTCGGGGTACAAACCGGTGGTCCCTTATGTGGTGCCAGGCGTAGCATGTACGGAGAGTTTCTCTGCGGCTTGCTGCTCTCAAGGTCGGTCAAGGGCGGGAATCCGTCCTGATGCCCAAACGGGCATGATGCGTCATGAGAGCTCGCTCTACACCCTTTGGACGGGGCGAGGACAGGAAACATGCAATCGTCCGCTGCATCACGACTTTGCCAGATACGTGTACCCATAGAGATCCCGTGCCGCCTGCGACGTTGCGTCTACTCGCGTTATATCGTCTCCGCACCTACAGGACAGCTCACCCCCCTCTTGATTTTCCCGCCAAAGCAAACTCATAGTACCTAGCCACCTACCTGCCAGAGTTGGACATCTCGCCAGCAATCCTGCATGAAGAATACAAGCTGGTGTGCAGTAGCTGCTGCTGCATGTACGTCTGTTTCTGGAGTCAGCGCTGATGGCATGGGGGTGGGGAGGGGGTGCTTTCGACTCCGCGGCGACGCTGCGTTGGCCGAGCTTGAGTGCTTCTGCAGAGCGGGCCATCACACAGGATGCCTAGGCCGGTCGCAGACGTGAGGTGTCACATGGGGCGGAGTCGAAACCCGTCGGTTGAAAGACGGCTGCCCTCTCCTGGGGGTCGGCAACGAAGGGCGAGGTGGTTTGCGGCAGGAAGAGCTCTGGTTGCCAGGCCGCCTCAGTCCCATCTGTGCAGAGATGACACCATCGGTGCAAGTGGAGGAGATGAAGAAAGGCCGAGTTGAGTTTGCTGGCCAGCACGATTCCGGGCACTGGCCTGAGATGAAAGCCATGCACATGCTCCCCTTAAGAAGCAGATAGCGGCGAGGGCCGGCTGTCGCTGCTCATGAGGCTGCTCCTTTGTTTAGTCGCGCGAGGAACTAGTCTCGTTGGCGTAAGAGGGCCCCCGCCCAACCGCACAAGTCAAGAGCGTAAGCAGTCATGGGGCAGGGCTGGAGCGGTGTTGACGGAACGAAACGGGCTTCGGCAGGTCGTTTGTCGGCCCTGGCTTGCTTGACGAGAGGGAATCCGGCCGGCATGGGTAGGAGTCATGCTGGACCGGGGCGAGATGCCTAGAGGCGGCTGCGTATCTTCGAACCGAGTAGCCGCCAAGCTCTACGGCATGTGCGTAGTCGGAAAGTCCGGGGAAGATAGCATTGTAGGTTGGGGTGGCGGTCGCGGCAGCGTCGGGACGTGAATCGTGGGGGGAAACAGTTGTAGCTAGCGTGGGATTCAGAGATTCTAGAATCCGAGAGTGAAACAGCAGCACGGAAGAAAGATCTGGGGCAAGTGGGGAGAAGGAAAAGAAAGGGAAAGGGGACCCCAGGAACCGCGAATGAATCGGGGAAGTCCCTATTATTGTCTACTTTGGAGCTGTCAGCCAAGTCTATTAACCGACGATGACTCGTAACGCAAGCTACGACGACAGGGCTGATGCTCGTAGCGGTCATTTCCGTCGAAGTCCTGGAGGCCCACCGGGTCCTGAAAGCCTGACGGCTCCTGGGGCGGCTATGAACGACGGATGCCCGAGCCCGCAGAGGAAGACGGAAATGAAGCCGACTTGTAGAGTCAGTATTCCACTCGCCCACAGGGCAAGAAGTAGGCCGTGCTGATCACCCGCCAACTCAAAATCGGTCGCGGCCGGTCGCGTCTGGAGCGTGCGGAGCCCCTCGGCGTTTCACCGCGGCACGCCACAGGGTCTTTGAGTGCCTGATCGCAGGTGAGTTGAAGTTGTCCCCGTCGCAGGCTCGCGTGCCGTGCTGTTGGGGCGTGGTGGGCGAAGAGAAAGGAGTCGTGCGAAGGGATGCGCGAAGGCGAAGGCGGAGGAGAATGCAGCAACTGGAAAGCGGCACGCAAGTCCTCGCAGGCCTCGTGCTAAGAACAAAATAAAAGTAAAAATAAAAGGCCGTCGGCAGACGACGGGTGTCAAAGTTCACCGCTCAGGGGGTGGGGTGGCCGAGTGTGTCGTTGCCTGCTGAGTGCTAGCGCATCATCGTCGTCTCAGCGGCATTGGGGGGGGGGGGCCGGTAAAGTACCCTGCATGGCGGGTGCACGGGGCAAGGTACCCCCCGCAGCGGCCAATCGCGCTGTCGGGCCCGGTACTTGAACGGCTGACCTAATGCACATGTGGTACAGCGCGGGCGACTCGGAAACACTGGACCGGGCCCGTTTGGGCATGGTGCGGCCTTTACCCTCTGCGGCACGCCCGGCTCTTCTGTTTCCAGGGCAAAGACGCTCGTGCATCGCGAGCAGGCCGGCGGAGGGAAAGGCGACCGTTTCAAAATACAAATCCCTCTAGGCGCCTCCTCCCATCTCTTATCTGCCGTTCATCTCTCTCTCGTCTCCTCGTCCCTGTCGTCGCCCAAACACCCATCCTTCGTTTGTCCCCAGCGCCATGCTTGTCGCATTTCCACAGCCCTAAGCAACCACGCCGTCTTCTGCTGCCTATCTTTCCGTTGGTCGACTGCGCGCGCGCGCGAGAGAGTGAGAGGAAGAGCGAAAGAGAGACGATAATACCCCAGCTCGTGCAAGCACGAAGAAGGGAGAAAAACAATGGATTCTCCCCCCTCCAACGGCAAGACGTCCAACAAGGCCTGCCACAACTGCCGCCGTCGCCGGCTCCGCTGCGACCGCTCGTATCCGCACTGCAACAAATGCCTCAGCGCCGGCAAGGAGTGCCTCGGCTACGGCAAGCTCTTCAGATGGATCGGTGCCGTCGCCAGTCGCGGCAAGCTGGCTGGACGGACCTCGTGCGCCCCCGACGACGCCCCGCGCAACCCCAAGCCGAGCAACCCCAGGTCGGCCAAGCCTTGCCTCGCCAGCCCCGACCGCGATCATGGCCAGCTCGTCTGCCGCCCGTCCACCGTCGACATTGGTCCCGTCGGCACTCCATGGACCCTCGTCGACCCCGTCTTCCAGGACATCGAGCCGTCGCATCGCCGCTACCTCAGCTACTGTATGTTCACCCGCCAGCCCCTTGCTGTCCTGTCCCGACTGACAGATCGCAGTCACCCAGCGCCTGTGCAGCGAGCTCATGCCGCTCGACTCGTTCAACGTGAATCCCTTCTTCAACCTCCTCCCCCTCAGCAGAGTCCACCCCCTGCTGCAGCACACCCTCGTCGCCGTCTCGGCCTCTCACATGTCCAACCTCATCAAGCCTCGCCTCCTTCCCGCTGCCGACCCCAATAGCTTGGCAACCCTCCCGGGCGTCGAGGAATCGTCCAGACACGCCTACCAGCATGCCCTTGCCGCCAAGCACAAGGCCCTGAGCCTCATGCGCGACGCCGTCCAGCATATAGATTTTGCCAGCGCCGACGTCGTGCTCTCCGCCGTCGTCTTCCTCATCAACCTTGAGTTGATCGACTCGGGGAAACATGGCTGGAAAGCCCATTTGAAGGGTGCCGGCAGGATCCTTTCCCTCCTGCCGCCCGCCCTGCCCGGAAACGAAGACCTGAGAGACTTGATGTTTTCAGACAGCTTGGTGTAAGTAAGCCCTCGTCCGGGCCTGTCTTGGGACCGACTGCTCACAGCGCCGAAGTTACTTCGTCATGGGTTCGGCCTTCATCCCGGCCCCCGCATTCGAGGTCGGGCCCTTCTTCCAACCTTCTCACTTCCCAGACATGCTCAAGAAAGCGGCCGCCTACAGCTATAACAGCTGCCCGGCCGTTATTCTCGAAATCATCTACGAGGCGTCTCAGCTGTCCAACAGGACCGGCGACCAAGTCGCCGAGGACGACATGGCCGCCGCCGGCCTGAACCTCATGCAGCGCGCCCGGGCCTTTGATGTCGAAGAGTGGGCACGCAACGAGGACAACTTCCGCTCCATGCGGGCCCCCGTGCTGCAGACTCGCTTCCACGCCGGATCAGCCTTTCGACTGGCCGTCTGTCTCTACATCTTACGGTCCATTCCGACGCTAAGTGCCATGAAGTGTCACGATGACATGGTCGACGCGCTTGCTCGCGATATCATCTACCATACTTCGAGCGTGCCCGACGACGACCCCAACCTCAAGGTCATTACATGGCCCATCTTTGTCGTCGGAGCCGACACCAGCGACCCGGCGAGGCGTGAATGGGTCCGGCAGAAAATGCATCTCCTCGCGGCTTCCTGCCCCTGGGGGTTTTTGTACACCGCCATGGAAACGCTGGAGAAACTCTGGAACATGAACCTCGCCGCCAAGGGGCAAAAGTGCTGGGTCAAGTTTCTCAAAGACAACGAGATGAACTTTTTGGTCGTGTGACAAGGCCATCTCAGCCATCGCAGGTCGACAATGCTCTGTTGTTCACCCGCCGCCGTTTGACAAAGAGCCGTACTTGCCGCCTGGCCTTGGATTGGATCTAGGTATGTCCGTCTCTCTTCACTGTCCCCCGGCAGTCACGCTGACCCGCTGCACAGAAAGTGCGAGGCCTTCGTCTTTGCGGCCCACTTTCGCCACCAGTGGACAGGACGAAAATGAGAGCTGGAAACGCCGCATAAAAGGACAACGGTGCTTAAGCAAGGGGCTCGCACCACACAGATTTGAGCCTTACCGAACTGGCACATGGCCTTGCGCATCCGGTATGTGGCACCGCCATGAGGGTGTAACATAAAGATCAGCACGTTCGCGGTGCAGCTCTACGGCACTGGGATATACAAGTCAAACGGAGAACCAGGCCGATTCGTGCCCTCTTTGATTTAGGTGGTGACTCACGTCGGTGCCTCCCTTGAATGTCTCTGAAGACAGATTCGGAAGAAGGGGTCCCACGATTTGACGTGCTGTCAAGTCTACTGGGACACATGACGGGAGAAAAAAGCTGGTCAACTTTCAACTCGCGCCTTATCGACGGTCGCCTCAATCTTTCGGCCGTCGCCAACGTCCAATGCAAAGTCGGAAACTGCAAGCTCTGAGCCAGTTAATTCATGCTTGCTGCCACGCCACAGCACTGACAGCAGAGGCTATGAATCTCTCAGCATCAACTACACGGCTCTTTGCACAATTGGATTAAGATTCATTTGTCGCACGTATATCTGCCTGAGTGCATTGGATGGGTTTCTGCATGCGAATACCAACGTCTCGTTCGGTGCTGGGCCGCGACGAAGACACGAGTGCTTGGCCATGGCATCTCTCCCCATTTCAACGCTACGTCTTGGCTGGGCCCTCATCCTGTCCAACTTGCTGGGGTTGGGGAACAACGCGAGACTGCGTCGATCGTGTACGGGGGAATTGAGCAGGCTCTGGGTGACTATATGCGTGTAGTGACGGATTCATAGACCGAGTTTTGCTTTGCTCAATTCGGCATCATAGATGTAGCGCGCAATGATGGAGCCATTCCAGCACGTACCGGTTGAAGCTCTAACTGGCGACGGCGTGCATGTCTCTAGCTGTCCCTCTATCGCTCTTCTGCCTTTGTCAAAGCCACGACACGCCGCCTCGGTGTTGCAGACATGATTGACGGAGATACCGAGGGTGCGAATGATGAGAGAGACGCCAGCGACGGAGAAAGGAGAGAAAGCGGCTGACCCAAGGATGCAAGTCTGAGTGTGCAAGAGCCCCGGCCATTGATGCCCGCGGGTTTGGTGCTTGGAGGCTCACCGGCTGTTCAGAAACAGAAGGCCAGCATTGTGTAGAGAAAAAGCACCGCGACTTTCAAATATTTCCTGTGGCTTTGAAAAATGGCCCATGGCTTTCAGCCATCGATTTCAAGCACCCGTGACAAACGCAGGCTTTGTTAGACAAGGCTCGCAATGCCAAAGGAAACACCAACTGAACAGCTGCATCTGTAAAATGCGCGCACGGCTTTGTCGACACGGTTCTGTCTCGACATCTATGCACTCTGGTGCGTTGTTGTGGGAGCTGTAGGCTTGAGAAAGTCGGGTATAAAGCTGCTCTATAAGTCATGGACGGTATGGCTATAACCCATCACCAAAGACTCATTACTTTACACGCTCAGACTCATCTGGCACCTTGGATATCAACATCTACTAAACGGCTTCCATACGCTTTTTTTCTTCCTCGTCTACAGGCAAAGCTCTTGGGGAAAAATTTCCAGAAACGGCTGCATCAACGTCCCATTCGCGGGTTAAGACGATATATATCCTACTCTTCAATATGGCATACATACTCTCCTTCGGCTTCTCTCAGGCTTTGCGGAACTCACCGAAAATATACGAAATCGCGAATAAGCTCCAGAAAGTGACTGATCCCAGAGGACAAGTGCAGGAGGTGTTGCAGGAAATAAACACGCTCCTCCCTAGAGGCACACTCAATGTACACAAATGGTCGGCTGCGTACAAGCAATCTCCGTGGGTGAGCTCCTCGCACAAGAAAAACCCGTACAACACAACGAAGTCCCTTCGTGGGCGTCACACTTTCAGGTGCCTCGTCAACCTATATAAATTCGCAGTTCTGAAACAGTCATACGGCAGTGCATGGCAAGTCCCGAAGGGGGAGAGCGATAATTTAATCGACATTTCCCTTGGTTTTCTAGCTGATAATTGCAGGACCGCAAGGCGGTCAAACTGTGCCTGTTACTGCAACATTAACAGTGGAGAGTCGATGAACGAAGAACAGACCAGAGGCATTGAGTGTCTACTCAGCTTGGTCTCAGGTATGATTTTGGCCGAGTGCATCGGCGATCACGAATGCAATTCCTCTTTCTTCATGGCGTTCAAGGCTGAAGCTGAGCGCGTCTTCGACTGCCTCGAATTTGGCCACTATCAATGATGACAGGGAATGTGGGCTTGAACGTCCTAGCTGTCATGGCCATCATGTTTTGCCTCCGTCGTCAGTTCCCGTTGCTTTTAGTATTTATATATATATATCTATTTACGATTCAGATCCGCGTTTCATTCCTATGGCTGTTTAGACATTTGTCGCTCCCTTTCTGAGTGTTTCGAGCTGGCGGGGTCTATCTGCATCTGCCAGCTGCCCGATTAATACATATACATGTAGATATGCTAAACCTGTTACCGTTCTGAGACGGATACCCGGCCAGTATCCGACATTCTAGAACGTTCATCTGGAGCTGACGAGGGCGATTGTGGCCTTTATCGGTCAGCATGTAAAACACCAGTGATGCAATGGCCGCGACGGCTGTTGGTCACCACGAAGAATAGGCGCTCTGACGTGCTAGCAGAGTCCTCTTGGGTCAGACAAGTTGTACACACGCGTTGTCGCAGAGCTGATGCGACTCTAAGAGACTCGACTGACATTAACTTGGAGATGCTCCGCAATGTCATCAAGGTGTCTACACAGGCCCGTCCCTTGCCTTGTTCCGCACATTCGAGCTTCAGATTCTTGAGCTTATCTTGGGTGCGGCACCCTTGCGCCAAGCGGGAGTTTATATTGAGCAATGGCCGCCGAGGTAGGGCCCGACGAAGCAGTTTGGCAAGTTAACTTGAGCTCGCAATTCTGATATGTGCAGGGAAAAGTGCCATTGCGCCCAGCCATTCCCGTGATCTATCTGAACGAACCCATAGGCGAGTCGAGAAGCTTCGTTGGTATCTAGAGTGCAGCTACTTGCGGGCATGGTGGCTGAAGTATTCGAAGGGCAGTTTGACGGGGACAAAGGCAGACACCCAAAGCAAGCGCACCACAGGGCTAAAGATGGCTAGAGTAGTTTAACATATTTACAGACATCTCGATCATCTGATCACCAAGGAAACAAGTGATTCTATGACTCCATGACTCTTTTAAGTCTGAGTATATCTGTGGATGGCACTGGACTGCAAAGTCATTGCAGGAGTGGGACCATTGAAGGGGACAATCTTCCCCGTCAAAGCAGCAATCTATCGAGATGGGGCAGATACTAGCAATAAGCAGAGTTCAAAATTACATGTATAAAGCAGACCACACCGACCCGCTGAGATAAGGACGAGTGAAGAGGTGTAAAAGAGAAGTCGGTCCCAAAACCATCTGCCCTACAAGCCACAGTCCTCTGCAAACGCCTTTCCGCCAGAATGAATATCCTCATCTTCCTCACTGTACTTGCGCAGCTAGCGACAGCTGAACCGATAGGGGACAGAAAGTATCGATCTGGTGTACGTATAAATTCAAGATCAACAGAGAATGTAGTGTGTTGCGGTTAAACAAGCACTCGACAATTTTACCGGCTGACCACCGGGTGCTATAGGGGGTAAGTTGTGGACTTGTCCCAGTCTCAACCCGAGAATGGCGACGGACAAGCCATATCATACTGATTCTGTATTATCAACAGCCACAGTTTGTAAGTGACGCAACCTTCCACGGAAACTTTGCAATAATGGCGGTGGTGAGCTGATGTCTGTAATATCGGTACGCAGTGTGTAAGTCCTACAATCTCCCTCTCGCGGCAGAACATATCTACTGCTCATCACGGGTCTCAGCTAACAGCTAGTTCTAGCTAGTAAGTAATCCAATCTCTCCGTTGACGGTTGCGTCGAAGCGACCTTCGCTAATCACCTTTGCCAGTTTGTACGAACCCCACGTATCTGGACACTGACTGGAGTAGCAGCTGATACTCTTCAATGTCTAGAAAGTGAGTGGAATTCTTAATCCACACACTCTCATGGCGAGCTGGCGAATCGCAGACTGAGCTCGGTTGAATGTAGCTTGTAAGTCTGTTGTGCTCGAGTCCCGACGACCGCAACTGCTAACCCGGAATAAACCGAAGTGTGTAGGTGCCTCCTCTTAAGCTATTCTCATTTTTATATTTGTCAATGATTGTCTAAGAGCAGAGACGTGATGCCAAGGGCACAATCAGACATTTTCTAAGCCAGATCGGCCAAAATTTTGAACAATTTTGCCATCAGATCTTCGGCTCAGGGTGTATTATCGATGATAAATGGAATAAGCAAGATACGGCCGTTCCAGGGGGTATACAGAACACCGGTTGCACGACGGTCATTTCGCGGATGGGCCGCGCGGTGGAAGCGGCAGGATGATAAAGAAACGGGCTCGACCCTTTGGCCCAATGTCTGCGCGCCATCTGATGTGTCCGAAAATGTTGGCGATTCGTACGTTCAAATGCGTCTTATCAATGGCTACCTGGGTCGTTGAACCGTAAATGACCGTCCTTGGCAAGCACAATACTTAACTGTTTCTCACGTCCTGTATTGAATCCACAGCATATGTCTTTATACTGTACTTCGTACGCATGGTACATGCACGCTCTCGGGAATCTTTTGTACCAAGAAGACTAAACATAGGGGGCACATTGATAAGTTGAATACGGATTTTTCAAGCTGGTAAAATACCGCTACACCAGGCAAAATAGGAGCACCCCCAGTGGAGGTGCTATTAATGCGTATTATAGGTCCCTTTCTGCCGTGATATTATCAATCAACCCTCCAATCTCCCCGCCTGCTTATTGTTTAAATCGCCGCCGTCAAAACTACTTTCAGACTCCGGTTTAACTGCCAAACCAATAGCGCGAGGGTCAAAGGGTGAAGCTCCGGTGTCGGCGTAAGCTTGCTGGGGCCGAGTTGCGAGCGTCCCGATTCTGGGGAATGATTGACCTTGACCTGACTTCCCCGGCGAAAACGCACCACAAACAGCGCCGCTGCCAATTAAGAAGAGCCAATATATCATTTGCCACTTGGTGAGACTGCGCGTGGATTCAGGGTTAAAACCCCAAGTATCCAATGTCGCATTCCCGCCGGTCGTGATCCCAGAGTCTTCTCAGATGTCTCACTGACGAAAGTGAAGCGCAAGAAACAGGCCATCGAACATGAATACCTGTCAGCACTGTAACCTTCCATGGTGTCTATGGTGGTTGAGCCAGCGGGCAGGTGTTCGTGCCGGCATGATAGACTGGATGGTAAGGCAGAAGGTTACGTGACGAGGTCGCAGAGGATGGCGAGCTGGGTTCCGTCTAGGATCCCGCTCCTCGCCCACTGTCCCGGTACGATGCACTCCCTCCCCAAATCGCAATCCATAGTGACTTTATCGTCCTCAGCCGCGCATATGCAGATATCGGCCTTGAGCCGGACCCAAATAGGCTACGCATCGCATAGCCCACCATCAATATTGTGCCTGCTTCGTTCGCCTCTGACGGTGGCACCACGGTCCGCAAGCGAAGCCCATAGCGCCGGGAATGGGCCAAGCAACTCGTCTCTCCCAGTGACTGAGCGAGGGACGAGCGTCATGACGTTTCCCGGCGACAGCTGAATGCGCCCAAAGTCGTGGAACGCGGGCAAGATGTGTGTGGAACAGAATAAGCCAGTATGTTATTGATCCGACGAAACCCAAGTTGCTGCGAGATTTTCTCGCCTTGAGTCGACCTTGTCCGAAGAATCCAGTCTTCCGGTTCGGGCCCTGCTCAGTGTCTATGAAACAGACGAGGCAAACAGTGTGCCGAGAAGACAGGCTTGGAAATCGATCGTACAATCGATTTGATCGAATCGATTAATCGAATCGATTTCGATTTCGATCGATCGATTAGAAGTCCTGCTCGATCGATATCGTATCGATCCAACCTCCAATCGATCGATTTGATCGTCGTTCGCCATGTCCATACAAGGTGTCCAGGGTAGGCTGCGTAGGTTGGATGCGTGACGATGCTGCCGCCCGACGCGTCTGCCAAACACCCTGGCAAACGACCGGGGGTCCCAGGCAGCCAGTCATATCTATCTTGTTGCCGCGCGTCGCGTGTCGACAAAAGTAAATTGATCTCTCCGTCTCTTGCGTTTGCAAGTCCTCCCGTTCAACGGAATCAGTACGCGTCGCAACCAGGAATTATTTCGGGCCTCAGCCTGTCCGAGTAGACTTCATACAGATTCGACCTTATCAGCCTCGCACCCTTCGATTTGACCTCGCCCACATTGTTTACGGACGTTTCCCACCATGGACGCGCTTGATGAGGACATAGAGATCGCCTCCTCCACGCCGCCGCCTTCCGAGCCGACAACCAGTTCAGCATCAACTAAATATGCACCCATGGGGTTTCAGATTATGAAGCTTGGACGACTGATAAATTTGGGCGGTTCCCCGGCTTCACGATTTGCCACGACCCTTCTCGAGAACGGACGTGGTGGTGGCAATTCGGATTCAGAATGAAGGACAACAGGTCACGGCCCCACAAGATCGTATGGATCTGCGAGAGATGCTTCCTCCGGGACAGGCCGAAGACAGCACATTACGTCTTCATCGCTTCGACTGGGGGAAGCGTCGTCCGACATCTGAGGAAGGAGCACAAAGTCGTGGTTTGTGCCACCTCTCCGTACCCCATCTCCACGTCGTTCGATCATGCCCGCTAACTTGTCAGCCACCTTCTAGACAACGTGCAGGCTCAGTTACCGGGAGTGGAGGTGCAGAACGGAACCTGCTTGATATGCTTCGCGCCGATCCGACGAACCCTCGAGATCAGACTCTTCTCAGCAATCTGCATACGTTATTCGATCCGAAGATGAATCAACTGCTCCTGCTCGACTGGCTTACATATCATAACCTCCTTTAATGTCGTAAACTCTGAGCGCTTCAGACGACTCCTTCTCTACAACAACCCGGCTCTCCAGGAAGGCCAGATACCAACTGGCAAAACGCTTGTGAATCTGCTACTAGATGAGTATAATCGCGCTCTTGGTCCGCTTTGCGAGCTGCTTCAAAGAGCGAGAAGTATGATTCATTTTACCTTTGATGGCTGGACTTCCCGACAAAACACATCATTCCTCGGTATCAACGCCCACTTTATCGACCAAGATTGGAACCAATGGGAATCCTCTTGGCTTTGCCGGCTCTCGCGAAACGCCATACTGGAGCAGCGCTTGCAGATGAAGTTGCAGATACAATATGCGCGTTTGGTCTTGAAGACAGGTATAGAACCACAGTCAACACTTCTTGGGTCCGTTAGCTGACAATCTTGACTGTTATCCGGCGTCAGAATCGGGTACTACACGCTTGACAACGCTACGAATAATGATACGGCTGTGGAAGCGCTTGCCGCTGAGTTCGATTTCGACAGGAAGAGCGTCGCATCCGCTGCGCCCTCATTTTCTGAACCTGGCCGTCAGGGCTATGATGTACGGCAGCAAAGGGATAATTTCAACGAGTTGCTTGCTCATTGGGGCGATAAGGACTTTGTGGCTGAAGAGGAAGAGCAGCGCCAGTTGTCCGACGCTATCAATGAGCTGGCGACCGACGACGACTTCTGTGTGCCGAGCATGGAAGAAGGATTCGAGGTTGAAACAGTCCCAGAAGGCAGTCAGGATCAGGACGTACTGCCCGACATCATCAATGGCGAAGAAGTGGACAAGTACCGCAAGTTTGGGCCATTTGGCAAACTTCACAATATTGGCATTGCTCTTCGAACGAGCAGTCAACTTCTCGAGGTCTTTTACGAAGCTCAACGGCAAACCGCTCCTACTGAACCTATTCTTACGTGGGTTCAAAACGTCTGCACTCGCTGGCAATCCGATGAGGCGATGGCCTCACGCGCTCTGCTGAAGCGTACGGCTTTGAACAGGATGTTTTCCATCATCGAGGAACGATGGCTTGGCAAAGGCGGCAAAGAACAGGACAAACCAGCGATACTGAAAGAACAACTTTCCCTTGAAGAATGGAAGGTCGTTGTTGCGGTTCAGAAGATCCTTCAGCCATTCAAGATCGCCTCGAAGCAACTCCAGGGCGAGGGTATTGCTGGTAAACGCTCCACGTCAGGAGGGTTCGATGAGTAGAGTTCAGGAGTTATAATCGAAGAGAACGAAGATCAGACCATGAAAGAGGTTCACCTGTTCAATGACATGGACGCAAGAACTCGCAGGGTTTTGAAGATTTACATCAAGCTCGGATGGAAGAAGCTGAACGACTACTATAGCAAGCTGACCTCAACCGCATATGTAGCGGCAGTGGTGTTCCACCCCTGCAAGAAGTGGCGCGCTCTGGAACGGCTTTGGAGCCAACTCCCGTCTCGTCAGACGTCGGAGTGGGAAAGAACATATGCGAGAAGCTTAGCGACAGTCTGGAAAGAGAGGTACAAGAACATGGCTCATCGGCAATCCTGCGATGGTGTTTCAGCGGATACGACTAATAGTGGCTTGGACTATATTGAGCGTCGATTGGCGTTTAGTCGATCATTGGCTTGCCCTGAGCCTCGAGGGCGGCAAATTAAAGGACCAAAGCAGTCAACCGCCTTGCAAGAACAGGACGAGCTTGATCAGTACCTATCAGAGCCGCCGGTGGAAAATATCGCATACAAAACGGACCCAATCGCTTGGTGGAAGGACGTTGGTGTTGCGCGGTTTCCTCGGCTGTCTTATATGGCTGTTGACTACCTTACCATCGCGTCGTCTTCAGCAGGAACGGAAAGAGATTTTAGCAGCTGTGGGAGGATGATAACACCACTGAGATCTCGCCTACGACGCCATATTGTGGCGATGGCGCAGTGTCTTCGTTCCTGGAGTAAAGCTGGCATCTATCAGCCGACACTTCCTCTTGGTCTGCTTGAAGGGGACAATTGGAGGCAAGTTCTTCAACTGATGGGCAAGATCACCTAGATAGGGATGATTTTTAGTATTGATCGATTCGATCGTCGATCGATTCGAATCAAACAGCGATCGATCGATATCGATCGATTGAAGGTGACGATCGATAAAATTCGATCGATCAGGCTCGAAAATCGATCTATAAGATCGATTTCCAACTCTGCGAGAAGAGAGCCTCGCCGTTGGCCGAATCTTAGCCAAGGGATGGTGTGCTTCCCTTTGGCGCAGAAGTAGAGGAAGACGCCGCAGGGTTGGTGGGCAACGTGTGGGTGTAAAGGCCTATACGAGGAGACAGCGTATGGTTGAACAAGCATCGGCGTATAAACCGAGACGCGACATTGGCCCTGGGGCCGGAGCCGACTAGGCAAGATATCCCCAAGACCATAAGATATATGTTCAGGAACATGGCCATCACCACATGGAAGATTCCCTGCGAGACCATGTTTCCCGATGAGGCTTGGTCGAGCCGCCGTGCAAGTAGGTCTGCAATGGAAGGGCCGTTTTGTCGAGATGGTGGCACTTTCGGTAAGCAGTTTTGCGAAGGATTTTTATAGCGTCGTCACAATCGCGAGTGATAAAGTTATCTTGGTGAGCGACACGAGAGGGGAAGTTGAATATAATTAGAATGGAATGAAAAGAATGAAAGACAAGGGTGCACGGACAAGAACGGGACAAAGTAACAAGCAGAAGCAATAGACAAAAACACAGGAGAAAGGTAGGAAGAGGAAATCCAAAGAATGGATTAAGGAAGGAAATAATAAGAGAGGGGAAGCAGAGAGTCCGAGCCTCGAACTCCCTCTTGCGGAGCCAAACCTCACTCCCAGAAAACGGGGAACAGAACTCGCTCTTTATAGACAAGCTTTTTCCAGCACAATCAGTTCCGCAAGGCAAACGACAACAAACGACGAAGGCCATCGAGATACATGGGCGGGTCACCGATGTGCGAGGCAAGGTCTAGCAGGACAAGTTGTAGTCATGATTTGGAAGGGTCATCTGATTGAAGCCATGTCGTGCGACTACCGGCGCACTGCAAAGAAGTGATGTGTAATTTGATCGGCAGCACTCATCTTGCGAGCTAATTGGACCTCGATGGTGGTCAAGCATGAGACCCCGGAACCCGGTGAAGCTGCCGTGAGTTGGCTGACGGAGATGATGTCCGAAAGCCACAAAAAGAATACATGCATATGATACAAGTGTCTGGTAGTAAACAAAGTTTTGAAACATTGTCGGCCTTTGCCATGTGGAAAGATATGCAAGTTTTGGGGCGAGTTTCCCGGCCTCGATTTCAATTTCCAAAACTGAAGTTGCAGGAGTACTGGAGGTGTTAGGACAAGAAAGGGCCTATAATACGCGTTAGTAACACCTCTATCGGGGGTGCCCTCATTTTGCATGGTGTAGCGGTATTTTACCAGCTTGACAGGAGGTAAATCTAGGCGAAAGTGGCAATTGCAAACGTGAAACATTCACAAACAAAGCTCATTATACCGAAGTGCTGTACTGTACATGCGTGCTTGTTGCGAATACTGTAACTTGCTTGGTGCAGATGTGAAATAGATTCCCCTGGGCGACTCATCTTCATCACCGCTCTTCTTGTACAACCTCTCCCATGTCTTCGTGAGCAAAAACTCACACCGAGACGCCCTATTCCGAAGCCTTGCAGTACAGTAAAATTACTTTGTACAGCTGCACGTACTTTGTATGTACGCCGGCTTTCATGCCAAGCTGCATTGCTACACGTCACTCCACATGTGATCAACCATCAACCCTTGCTCTTTGACAACGTGGAAACTTTCATCTGCCTGCGTACTCTTCTGAGAAACGGGTCCCTCGTCCTGTCAACAATTTCAAATGACCCAGCCAACGATCGGTTTGCAATGCAATATGCTTTGGCCCCTCCCGAGCCCCATCGTATCCGATGAAGAACTCTCGTGATGATGTTCAAGCCTGCCTGCACGTTGTGTATCAAAAGACATGAGGGATATATATCCGAGCGGTCTCGAGACTCCAAGTATGGAGCCCACAACTTCTCACAAGGGAAAGCTGTGTACAGTACGTACTATTGCACATGAAATGTAGAGCGACAGAGACCGAAATCAAAATGAGCGACCCTAGACGGACCCTCAAGCAATTTATGTATCCTCGTGGAGTCGTGTCGTAGCGGCAGGTGCAAAGTCTCCAATTTCGGCTCCAGGAATGAGCGAACCATGCTCCTTGGCCAGGAAGTCGGCGAGCCAGCTCAGGCACTACACCGTCTTTCAAAGTCGTGAGCCTTTCTTCTGCTGTTACTGTGTGCAGGTATGCACGTAACTGCCCCGTCAGGGATATCCAGCACCGGGATGCGGGACAACTGCCGCCTCGAAGGCTGAAACATGTAGGGATCAGGCAACTCATGCTTTTGGTTTTGCATCATGGCACTTGTGGCACAGGCAAATCTCCTACCTCTCAAGGAATGTCCTTTTGCGCGCAGCAGGCGTCTTGTTCCAGCCTTGCCTCGGCCTTGGTCCCCTTGCCCGCTGCGTATCGCCGTGATGCTCTGTCGATGCAGCCCATACACGATTGCCTTTTCAGTTGATCAGGTCCCGGAAAAGACTGTAACCGGAGATTACACTTCTTACAGTCTATAGTGTTACCTCACGAACCTCGTATCCCACAGCTTTCGCCGGCCGAATCACGCCACCAATACACTTCTCCACATCTGAAGAATTATGTATTTCAATATCCGCCCGCGACAGCAGAACAGCCAGCATCATCTTCACCTGCAGCAGCACAAAGCCCGAGCTGGGGCAGGCCCTCGGGCCGGCCAGGAAGGGCAGATATTCGCAGCGGTTCTGCACGCTGTTTGTATTCACACCCAGCCATCTCTCGGGCCTGAAGTCGTCGGCAGTCTCACCCCAAATCTGCTTGTCCCGATGCAAAAGGTGGACTGAAGAGAAGAGCTGCGTCCCCCGGGGCAGTACGACGGTGTCGTTGTCTCTTGTCTCAACTATAATGGGCCGGGTGACCCTGCGCGCTGTGGTCGAAATTGGCGGATGCAGACGGAACAGCTCGGTCACCACGGCATCCAAGTAAGGCATTGAACGAAGAGTGTCGAAATCGACATGGTCTGCGTTGCATCCTTTGCCGCGAAGCTCTCTGCGCAGCTTGTGTATAACCTCGGGATGGCGGCTGAGCTCGAAAATGGCCCAGAAAAGTGCGAGCGCGGAAGCGTCGTGACCAAGAGAAAATATCTGGCGAGCCTGAGCAAGGACATCATCCGTCATTGGCGCTCTCTGGGAGTCTCCAGACTGCGTTGATAACCTCGTCAGGAGACCAAGTCTACAGCTTTCTGAATCCCCAACCCCAAGATTTCGACTCAGGAGGTTTATTACGGCTGTTTCGATGTCGTCTCTAATGTCCTGTTCGACACGATCCGGCACTCTAAATGATTTCCCGGCGATGAAATTGCGGAGGGCGTGTCGCCAAAGGTGCGATGGGTTTCCGACAATGTCGCCGTATCGAGCCAGCGCGGAGACGAGGTCCCCTGCTGAGTCGGACACGTTATCAACGCCCAGGGCTATGAACCAGACAGTATCAAGCGCGTAAGCCTCCATGGCCTTGCGGAGATCATGTCCGGATTTGCCGTCTATAATCTTTTGCGCATGTCTCTGTGCGACACGCAGGATGCCTGGATGCGAGTCCCTCAGAGCCGTCGGGCTGTTGAAGTCTCTGAGAAACCCGTTCCGCCAGCGGTGCCAGTCCTCGCCATCAGCCGTCGCGGCGGTGTAGCCAATCAGTCGTTGGTTGATGCCGAAAGGGCCCTTGCCATCTTGACCAAAGCGGGTGATGTTATCCGTGTTCTTGGCATAGACCTGACGAATGATGGCCGGGTCCCGGAGATAGACGATGGGGATTGTGCCAACGGATGAACAGGACAGGCCGCAATCTTGGGCCAGCTCGAACAAGGTGGTCATGGTCGAGGTGTAGAGGCCTTGGTTGCACATCTGGGGAAGGATGCCCAAGACCGGGTAGCCCGCAGCCTTTGGCACATTGCGCAGGGGGGAAGCTGTCAGACTGTTGACGCAGTCTGACACGTGGACCCGGATGAGGTTTGACTGCGACCGTAGGACCCGGTAGGTGGCGGCGACGAGCGGCCTCAGCCTCACTTGAAGCTCTGTTAGGATCCTCGATAGCGTCGAGACGCCGACGAAGTCAAAGGGAGTCATGCTTGCGGCCGGGGCTGAAGAGAGGAATTGCGGATCGGGACATGCGGAAAGAGGCCCCATGATGAGCCGAGTATGGCTTTGAGCCAGATAAATAGATGGGCGTCTGGGTTCAAGATGCTCGTACAAACGGCGATCAGTAGCGGTGAGCAGCACTCCATTCCGAGGGCATTCGTCCAATATAAAGACGAAGCAAGCGAGAGACTACATACAGTCTGGACCACAGCAACGGCGATGTGTATGTAGCTGCTGCCGAGGATCGAAAACGATACGCACGCGTGGCGTGACGGTGACAGACTGCCGGGAAAAAGGAAATCAAAGGTATTATACCCGCCACCCTGCATGAGCAGCGAGAGCTAAAAGGCTGTCGATGGAGCGGTGCCCATGCCAGCTGCGAATCGCCGTGACATACAGGACGGACGCCCACTGCAGGGTTCCGCCCCGAGGCCATTCTCGGTGAAGCAGCGCTGGACAAGGCGAGACGCAGCTCTGCGTGTGTCCCGGAACTTGTCATGGGCTAGTGCTGCATCCGTGGCCTGCCGGCATGCGGCAGCTCGCTTTTGGGCAGCAATCCGGGGCATGCGGTTTGGGACTTTTGCCCTCGCGTGAAGCGGAGTCCTGATCTGATGGTGATACCCGGCATCAGATGGCTGCACGACAGGCATGTTGCGGGGTGATCTGGCTGGCCTTTACGCTCTGCTTGTCTTCTCTTTCCTCTCTCCTCCTTGCCCGCCTTGCCCGCCTTGCCCTCCTTGCCCTCCTTGCTAGGTCTCCTACCGGTCTTCATACCCAGCCCCCGTCGTTGTTGGCTCCGCGTAAAGACGACATCATGGAGCGGGAGGCTCGGGCCCTCCCCACACTGCATGCATTCACCTTCTCTTCTTTTCGGCCCCGGGCGCACCAGTCTCTCTAGCTCGCCGCGCGTCTGTACTCCATTGGCATTGATCTCCGACGGACGCCTGCATGCATGATGCAGAACGGGTACTCAGACAGTCGGACAGCTACGGGACCGATAATCCGCGGTCAAAGTCATCGGGCAACGCGTCGCCTCGCCTGCAAACTCAACCGGATTCCTGGGGCCTTGTGCACCCCGTGTCCATGCAGTTTCCCCGGCTGCTTGTGGGGCTGATTCGACCATTCGATCAAGGGTTGACCCAGTACATGGCAGCCATCCGATCTGGCAAGAGACTTACTTGCATAGACGCACATGTACTTTGCATATGCATTGCCACGACAAGGTCCGGGAGGACTGAGGATGCCGGGGATGTGCACATGTATCCAGCGGGCCCAAAGGAGTATCCATGGGCAAGAAGCTCTCGAGGAATACGGAAACTTCCAATTCGGGACAACAAGCTCCGTCTCGGCGCGTAACTGGCCAAAAGGCCATCATCAACGTGCTTTGAACGGGCTACGTGTGGATTAGCTTCGTCTTGCAACGTGACGAGTTACTCATATATTCTATAAGAAAGCATCTTGTTCCGCCAATGCCAGCTTCGATACAGATGGGGCAAATCATGGAAACAGAACTTGAGAATACGCCACAGCCCCCCGTGATGCTTCAATAGTCTCTGACACGCACCCAGGGCCTAGTGACCCAGCTTCGAGGGTGCAAGTTGGGTATACGTGCATCTCCTCGAGCACTAATGCCGTTGACGGATGATGGCCTGTGAGTTTGGATGATGCTCTGGAATGCCTGCCGTGTCTCCGGAGGGGAGCAATGCGAGCCGGCTGCGGAGAGCTGCAGCCTTGCCGCGGAAGATTGCCTGCGCCATCTCGCTTTAGCCTATGGTGTGGTATCCGTGAATACAAGGATATTTCCGGAGAACCCCCCGCGGCAACTCGACAAACGCAGTCTTCTGGCAGCTGCAGCACGGGCATGTCCATATGGAGTAAGGAGTGAGTGACGTGGGAAGTGGCGTGTACTATTGCCATCCGTGTCGGTGACGACCCGCTACATACAGTAGATTGCCCAGCTTTACTACCTATTCTCCATTCAGACTCTTGCCCATCAGTTGAAGAACTTGCCTCCAATTGTCCCCTTCAAGCAGACCAAGAGGAAGTGTCGGCTGATAGATGCCAGCTTTACTCCAGGAACGAAGACACTGCGCCATCGCCACAATATGGCGTCGTAGGCGAGATCTCAGTGGTGTTATCATCCTCCCACAGCTGCTAAAATCTCTTTCCGTTCCTGCTGAAGACGACGCGATGGTAAGGTAGTCAACAGCCATATAAGACAGCCGAGGAAACCGCGCAACACCAACGTCCTTCCACCAAGCGATTGGGTCCGTTTTGTATGCGATATTTTCCACCGGCGGCTCTGATAGGTACTGATCAAGCTCGTCCTGTTCTTGCAAGGCGGTTGACTGCTTTGGTCCTTTAATTTGCCGCCCTCGAGGCTCAGGGCAAGCCAATGATCGACTAAACGCCAATCGACGCTCAATATAGTCCAAGCCACTATTAGTCGTATCCGCTGAAACACCATCGCAGGATTGCCGATGAGCCATGTTCTTGTACCTCTCTTTCCAGACTGTCGCTAAGCTTCTCGCATATGTTCTTTCCCACCCGACGTCTGACGAGACGGAGTTGGCTCCAAAGCCGTTCCAGAGCGCGCCACTTCTTGCAGGGGTGGAACACCACTGCCGCTACATATGCGGTTGAGGTCAGCTTGCTATAGTAGTCGTTCAGCTTCTTCCATCCGAGCTTGATGTAAATCTTCAAAACCCTGCGAGTTCTTGCGTCCATGTCATTGAACAGGTGAACCTCTTTCATGGTCTGATCTTCGTTCTCTTCGATTATAACTCCTGAACTGCTAGTTCGAGGTGGTCAAGGAGCATCTCTACCACCGGGAAGTACTCATCGAACCCTCCTGACGTGGAGCGTTTACCAGCAATACCCTCGCCCTGGAGTTGCTTCGAGGCGATCTTGAATGGCTGAAGGATCTTCTGAACCGCAACAACGACCTTCCATTCTTCAAGGGAAAGTTGTTCTTTCAGTATCGCTGGTTTGTCCTGTTCTTTGCCGCCTTTGCCAAGCCATCGTTCCTCGATGATGGAAAACATCCTGTTCAAAGCCGTACGCTTCAGCAGAGCGCGTGAGGCCATCGCCTCATCGGATTGCCAGCGAGTGCAGACGTTTTGAACCCACGTAAGAATAGGTTCAGTAGGAGCGGTTTGCCGTTGAGCTTCGTAAAAGACCTCGAGAAGTTGACTGCTCGTTCGAAGAGCAATGCCAATATTGTGAAGTTTGCCAAATGGCCCAAACTTGCGGTACTTGTCCACTTCTTCGCCATTGATGATGTCGGGCAGTACGTCCTGATCCTGACTGCCTTCTGGGACTGTTTCAACCTCGAATCCTTCTTCCATGCTCGGCACACAGAAGTCGTCGTCGGTCGCCAGCTCATTGATAGCGTCGGACAACTGGCGCTGCTCTTCCTCTTCAGCCACAAAGTCCTTATCGCCCCAATGAGCAAGCAACTCGTTGAAATTATCCCTTTTGCTGCCGTACATCATAGCCCTGACGGCCAGGTTCAGAAAATGAGGGCGCAGCGGATGCGACGCTCTTCCTGTCGAAATCGAACTCAGCGGCAAGCGCTTCCACAGCCGTATCATTATTCGTAGCGTTGTCAAGCGTGTAGTACCCGATTCTGACGCCGGATAACAGTCAAGATTGTCAGCTAACGGACCCAAGAAGTGTTGACTGTGGTTCTATACCTGTCTTCAAGACCAAACGCGCATATTGTATCTGCAACTTCATCTGCAAGCGCTGCTCCAGTATGGCGTTTCGCGAGAGCCGGCAAAGCCAAGAGGATTCCCATTGGTTCCAATCTTGGTCGATAAAGTGGGCGTTGATACCGAGGAATGATGTGTTTTGTCGGGAAGTCCAGCCATCAAAGGTAAAATGAATCATACTTCTCGCTCTTTGAAGCAGCTCGCAAAGCGGACCAAGAGCGCGATTATACTCATCTAGTAGCAGATTCACAAGCGTTTTGCCAGTTGGTATCTGGCCTTCCTGGAGAGCCGGGTTGTTGTAGAGAAGGAGTCGTCTGAAGCGCTCAGAGTTTACGACATTAAAGGGGGAGGTTATGATATGTAAGCCAGTCGAGCAGGAGCAGTTGATTCATCTTCGGATCGAATAACGTATGCAGATTGCTGAGAAGAGTCTGATCTCGAGGGTTCGTCGGATCGGCGCGAAGCATATCAAGCAGGTTCCGTTCTGCACCTCCACTCCCGGTAACTGAGCCTGCACGTTGTCTAGAAGGTGGCTGACAAGTTAGCGGGCATGATCGAACGACGTGGAGATGGGGTACGGAGAGGTGGCACAAACCACGACTTTGTGCTCCTTCCTCAGATGTCGGACGACGCTTCCCCCCAGTCGAAGCGATGAAGACGTAATGTGCTGTCTTCGGCCTGTCCCGGAGGAAGCATCTCTCGCAGATCCATACGATCTTGTGGGGCCGTGACCTGTTGTCCTTCATTCTGAATCCGAATTGCCACCACCACGTCCGTTCTCGAGAAGGGTCGTGGCAAATCGTGAAGCCGGGGAACCGCCCAAATTTATCAGTCGTCCAAGCTTCATAATCTGGAAACCCCATGGGTGCATATTTAGTTGATGCTGAACTGGTTGTCGGCTCGGAAGGCGGCGGCGTGGAGGAGGCGATCTCTATGTCCTCATCAAGCGCGTCCATGGTGGGAAACGTCCGTAAACAATGTGGGCGAGGTCAAATCGAAGGGTGCGAGGCTGATAAGGTCGAATCTGTATGAAGTCTACTCGGACAGGCTGAGGCCCGAAATAATTCCTGGTTGCGACGCGTACTGATTCCGTTGAACGGGGAGGACTTGCAAACGCAAGAGACGGAGAGATCAATTTACTTTTGTCGACACGCGACGCGCGGCAACAAGATAGATATGACTGGCTGCCTGGGACCCCCGGTCGTTTGCCAGGGTGTTTGGCAGACGCGTCGGGCGGCAGCATCGTCACGCATCCAACCTACGCAGCCTACCCTGGACACCTTGTATGGACATGGCGAACGACGATCAAATCGATCGATTGGAGGTTGGATCGATACGATATCGATCGAGCAGGACTTCTAATCGATCGATCGAAATCGAAATCGATTCGATTAATCGATTCGATCAAATCGATTGTACGATCGATTTCCAAGCCTGCGGATAACAATACCCGTTATATCGAACCCGAGGGCTCTTCCTACAACGTAGACACAGCGAGCGGGGATAAGCTTTGGTGTGGAATCTTGCTTCGGGGGACACAGCGACCCTCGGCGGACATGGGCACGGTCTGTCTCGCGAACCCAGGAGACAGGAGTTGAAGCGTCTGGTCAGTGACCATTGGACACCGCCTTTGACGTGACCGAGGTGGACGACTTCCTCCCACAAGAGGGCCAGACGACATGCAATGTAATGTGATAACTTGATAAGGAGGGGCGGAAACTCTGGGCTGTCGTGAGCAGCATGTACTGAACCAGACCAACGGCACGAGGCTAGGAATCAAAGCAGTCCGCGTGAGCTGAGCACACGTTACACCAGTCGTGTGTGACAACAACTCCTGATGTTGACCTTGCCGGTCAAGGTTGGCCTGGGACGACGTCCAGGTCAGCCATTGGAACAGTTGAGTGACCAACCAAAGGGGAAGCCTCGATGCGAGCACCAAAGCTCCCAACCCTAGCCAACTCCCTAGCCGTATCTCTTGCATATGTTCGTCCATGCCGTCGGGAACGGCATCATCCCACCCTCATGCATAGGCATGGCGGCCTTTCCCCGCAGTCGCTCACTGGTTCAAGCCTGTGTAAGGATCTCTTTCAGCTAGGGGGGAACGCATTTGAACTTACAGACAACCTCACCGCCGGGTCAGGATGGCGACAAGCTACCACAAATGCGTCAAAAAGCTGGGGAAGCGGCAGGGATCGCCACTCAAGTCCGGGGAAACGTGGTCAGGCTAAGGCATCGATGAGACAAGTGTGCACGGGTGGTCCCTCTACCAAGGTAAGCAACTAGCGATTTCCCCTGCCCAATGCGGCTCAACGAGCATATGTATGGATGCCCGACGACTTGACCACAGCCGTGCGCCCGTCCGACTTCAAGCATCAATCAACGCTCTTTACGGGAATGCAGCTTGTCACATGAGGAGAACTCCGGTTCTTGCATGGATGCAACCACGGCGCGACTTGGTAAGCGAGAACTAGTAGGATTCACAAGCATACTAGTGAGTAGAGTCGAGGAGTCGGTTGCGCCTCCGGCAACAAGTGACGCAGCTGGAAATATGGAGCTTGGACAGAAATCATATCACCGCCTATGGAACAGACGCTTGAGCCCGGGAGGGTTGATTGTTTTCTAGAGTTGCACTGGCATTTCTAGTTGGTAAAGGGTCGCCAACATCAAAGCACTCGAACTGCCCATTTCAAACACTTTGAGTCGATGGAGATTCTACCGACACATCAAATGCGTCCTTTACAACCCCGTGTGCCTCGCAAAGCGGATCCCTTCGAAGCTTCAAGCATGCCATGCCCCCATGAGTCGACATTGCCCTCCGTCCTACTCTCATATAGAATCTCAAATCCGTCCCTGTCTGAACTTTCCATATCTGCTCCTCTCAGCCCATGTGTCCACCAAGTCATGAGCCGTTCTTCTCGCATCAAATCAACCACGAAGCTGTAGTTCACTTGCAACAGTGGTGGCAGATTGGAAGACGCGTAGTCACAAGTCGTTCAGCGACTGTATCGGAGAACATGGGCGGGCGAGGTCGCCAGACCGAGTTCACCCACCGCGGCTAAGCACCCAACTCTGTTGTCGTAGTTGAAGCAGGCGCCTCTCACTCCAATTCGCGAAATTGCCATCAAGAGTATCGTCTCTCACCCGTCGTCATGTTTGGTCCACGGCATGCTAGTCCTCCTTTGATTGTTGAATCAGACGTCGCCCATCCTGGCAAGCCGGGTTCAGGAGGCTGCTTGCCGCCGGGTTGCCAGAGCCCTTTGCCCGATGCGAACCAGGTCATCATTGAGAAGAGTATCCTTCTCGAAGCCGTTGACAGCTTGGTCCAGGAGCGTGGCGGCGATCTCGCTGACCTGGACCTGGGGCAAACCGAAGACGGTGCATCCGACCGTCTGGAGGGCCTTGACCAACGGCCCTGACCTGCCCGGACCGTCGATCAGGCCAGGTTTGGCGACGGCGGCCTGGACCGCACCCTCGGATTGCTGCGCGAAAGTGAGGATGCGCGACTCGGCGTCGCCCTATGCAGAAGATGAGATTGAGTAGACGGTCCGCTTAGAATCGCCCAGGACAAGCGGAGACGTACCCGCATGAGGCAGTAGTCGCCCAGGATCCAGGGTTTCTTGGCGGGATCGCGCTCGGCGTTGGAGCCGCTGACGTAGATGAAGCGGAGGGAATTGCTGGCATCGTGCCGGGGCAGCCGAGAGATGGTCTCGATGCCTGCGATGGCGTAGTCGCGAGAGATTTTGCAGACGTGCTCCCACGACATCGTCCGGGCCCGAGAGGGCGTCACGGCAATGGTCCTGCTCGGCCCGTCAGTCCATCAAGGGCGGCGGCCGACAGCAGAGGGGGCGCAGCCGGGGCGGCACACCATATACAGGCATCGGCCCCGGCCAGCTCGTGCTTGACGCTGTCCGGATAATGCTCAAAGTCGTCGCACACGACCGACTTGAGCTTCGCCGGGTCGGCGCCGGGCGGGACCGGGGTCTGGCGACGGCCGAGGGCCACGACGGACGAGACGGCGGGATGTGAGAGGGCCTGGTGGATCAGCTCGGTGGCGACGAAGCCCGTCGAGCCGGCGACGATGAGCCTCATGTTGACGTGAAATTGTGAATGGCCCTCTCTGGAAGGCGGGCGGGCGGATCGACGACGTCAACAACCGGGAAGCGCGGGGGTTTTGCTGCGGAGAAGACCGCGGCTAATAACAGTGGCGTTGAGATGGACCTGTTTACATCTTAGCTCACACGGTGCGTGCGTCATACAGGTAATATAGAATATAGTCGCGGGGATACGGACGGTACGCCTGGTATAACGTTCGAGGCAGGCAGCCATGGTACGAGCAAAGCCTGTGTGATGTTGAAACGGGCCAGAAAGAGCTGGATATATGATTTTCTCATCTCTGGTCTATGTCTTAATTTCGACTAAATATACTGCTCGATCCTCATGTCTGATTCATGCATGTCTTACTTTGAATTCCAGTGTCATGTTCTCAACCACGTGCTTCTGATATCAAGCTCACCTTTCCCGCTGGCCTGTGGAAGGGTCTTCACGTCATGAGCGTTTGTTCGCGGAATTGAGTCGTGGATTGAAAGGCTCACTCGTGGCACGCAGTATTTCATGGTCTTGCATTTTCCATATGGCTACCCGAAAGAGGGAGAAGGAGGATGTATACATCTAGTCCTTTTGCACCTTTCGGATGCGCTTTATTAATCTTTCAACGTCATCTAATGCTCTAGCTGACTGAATCGAGCGTCCTCGTGAACTTTCAGTTTTCAGACTTGCTGAACTTACGTTGAGGGAAGAAAGTCCAAGATTTAGCAGAGGAACAGAGTTGAAACAGGCTCGCCGGTATATGACAAAAAGAAGTTTCCGTCTTCTTTTGTCTCACAAGCCTTGAGGTAAGCAGCAAGGTTAGGATGCATTCCGCTCTCCAAATAGCGGTATGCTGCTCTCAATGTTACTATCACCTCTCAAAGCACTACGGTTCGAACATGGACTCCTGCATAATGTGATAATATATGAAAGTAACAGACGCTCAGAGAGTTACCAGTTCTGGATACTTGTGTACCCGGGCCAATCTCCAGAATCGTGGCCAGCTTCATCATACACCGTCGATGCTTTCAGTCATCAAGATCCAAGGCGTTTCGCAATCGAAACGACGTGGCTCAACGGCTCGCCGTTGTCGTTGAATATGGGAAACTGAGCCTCGCAGGGCACATAGCCCGCGTACCCGTCGCAATCGCACCTGTTGTACGAGTCGAAGAACGGGCCGCATCCCGTCCAGCTCGGGTTCGTGCACATGTTGCGCTTGCCGCCGCACTCGAAATGCGGTGCAACGGCGCAGATGCCCTTGACCGCTGCGTTGAATGTCACGGTGACGAGCGCGCAGTAGTGACCGGGCTCGCACCTGATGTTGTGCTGGACAAGCCTCGTCGTGCTGGTGTCTTCGGCCGTGGACTCGCCATACTCGGACGACATCTCCAGCCCCGCGGACCCTTTCAGAGGGGGGGCTCCTACATCTACCCCGGCCGACAGCCTGCCCCCAATCTTCCAGCCTTTGGTGACGCCGAGCGACTTGGTCTTGGAGATGGTGAACCTCATCTCATGGGAGCTGGTCCCGTTGTTGGTAAAGGGCTCCTGGACCGTCGTTCTGTAGAGGACCCGCACATCGCTCACCTCTTCGAGAAAGTAGCGGTCAAAGAATCTCGTCGACAGACACCAGGGCTTCCATTCGAGACAGGTGCCGACGGTTCCAATCTCCTTGTCATAATACGGCCGGTTGTTGGCGTCGACGGTGAAGTCGGACTGGATCCGGGATGTGATGTCGTCGATCACCGACGAGTGGAGTCTGTAACTGAGGCAACTGACGCATGCTATCCATATTGAAATGACCGAGGCCCGTCTGGCGAGCATGGCCGCAGAAAGGGCCGGCACGGAGTGTCCGGCGAGCGGCTTCAATTGTAGGTAGACTCGGCGATGGCTTCAGTTGCAAAGATTCGAGACCAGCTGCGCTCGCCGAGGCCCTCGGGCAGCCATCGGCGTTCTTAATCTAACCGATAAAGCCATGCCCGTACTCCGCAACGGTCTAGCGATGAAGCAATCATCACGTTACAATAAGAGTCGTTATCATTTATACCGGCAAAGAGTCCGTCCGAGCCTAGCACCACCCCAGTTGTCCGTGACGCTAAAATACATCCCTGATGCCAGTCAGTCAAGCACCCTCTCGGAGAAGCATGCGCGTCTCCGGCGCGGGCATTGGCCGTGGCGGGCTGGCCTTGACCAGCCATCCCTCCCGTCCACGCCGGGCCGCTGGCCAAGAAGAGCAATTCCGACGAGCAGTTGAGCGTTTTTGCGCGTGAACTACGACGGATTCTCTTCTTCTTGGCAACATGAGCTAAATCTCTGGTTCCCCACAGCAAGAAGTCATGATGGAGGTTGATGAGTCCGCATCCAAAGGGGCCCGTTGACGTATTTCCCTCATCCCATCCCCTTCAATGCAACTTTAGCACGGGGGGAATGCACACAGGCGGGTCTCATCCCAGACATGAGACCCTTGCCTGTGCTTTAGACATATACCCAGGCTTCAGTGTTGACTAGATATGCACGTTCGCTAACTTGACCAATACAGTACACAACTCGGTTCATCCAGATCCTTCGCCCCGGCTCCGTTCAAATATGTAATGGGTACTCGACTCCAGGCCTTCATCTGATGTCTCGACGCTGGAGCCAGGACCCTAAAGGTGCGGACCCTTGGGTCAGCGTCTTATTAGATGGAGCACAACGGGGCACCATCTCCACGTCTCGGCTCAATATTGACTGGATAAGAATCATCCAATCACTAGTTGGGTTGCATGGAGCAGCACTCCAAGATCCAATACGCCTGGGCACGTTTCCGGTAGCAGCTTTCTTACTTGACGGCTGCGAACATACATAAACCTATCACGGTCGGCGCCGGACGCAGATATGAGCATGAGGCTGGATATTTGGTCGCGAGAAGTCACCAGCAGGGCTCGTGGGCTGGTGACCAGGCTTCATGCAATGGTATCAATTCGCATACGTATACTCCGTACACCGACGCCGAATGGAAACTTGGGGCAGTCAGCCAGCTTCCAGTACAGAAACAGCCGCAGTACCTGGCGAATAGCGTACAACGTGAGGCATCCTTGTAGCTCGCGGCTGCAAAAGTGTCCAGGATGCCCCTGGTCTCATCCAGTCTGTGCCAGCTGCTGGTCGGCTAGTTCAGTCCAGTCTTTACACCGCCGTATCCATCATTTTAGCGATATTTCTGCGTGAGTCCATCATGGTCTCCACGCTCAAAGATGGGGGCGAGATAAAGGTCGGGAAGATGACGCGAGAGCCTAAGCCGTGTAAAGGGCGATCCAGCTGATGCCACGCGCGCATAAGGAGCTCGCTCCTCTTAGTTTAATAACCTTGGGGGCCTTTCAAATAAAGTTGTCGCTTATCTCCATGGGACCATAGCCACAGAGCATTACTTCGTCTTGCCGTTGCCTTCTCCATCACCTATCCGTCTCCTCTCAATCGCGGGCGACGCGCTCCTAAGTGGTGCCCTGCATGCGCCTCATCACCATTGCTTGGGTGGCGGTCGTCATCCTCTTTGCTTGGGTGGCAGCCGACGTCTCCTTTCCTTTCTCAATCGACTGCCAACTCGAGGGAAGAAACTGCAGTTGGCTCGGCAAGTGGCCCTTCTGCGGCTCGACCAGTGACCGCATTTACGATGAGTATGCCGGGTTACAATACGTCACTTCAACCAAAGATATGAGTATTGGAGCCCTCTGCGGCCTCAAGGTCGGTAACGCCAACCCCGGCCCTCAATGCTGCCAGTCTTATGGCCTAGGGTGCCTGAGTGGATATAAGCGGCTCGTGTGTTCCGATCCGGTATGTTTCACGGGGCAAGGATCCTTTTTGCCGGTGGCTATCTAATACGAGGTGCCAGCAACCTGAGCCAAGGCCAAAAGACAAACAGAACGACCCGGCTTGCAAGTCGGTGAGAGCCAGAGCCCTGAAACGAGTGAGACGGACCAGGAGGGCCAAGAGACCAGTAGAAAGAGTAGAGATCATAATAGAGCTAGATATCCCTTGAAGCAATGTGATTGGTATCGTGTCTCCCTTTCAATACGAGGGGCACGCCGTGAGTGCTCACTACCATCGGATCTGAGACGCTTTGAAGAGAGATGGCCCTATTTCTGACCAACAACAGGCTTCTGGCTTACTGAACCACCTTGCTCTCCGGAAATGGTTTCCTTACGAATAAAGCGTTGATGATAGCACCTCCCGCGCACCACACGGCAAACGCCCAACCAAAGGTATTCCATCCGGGACTCTGGTATAAGTAGCCTGCAATGACGCTCCCAATGACGCCCCCGAGGGCAAAGGACGTCGTAAAGAGCCCGAACCCAGCTCCATAGACACACTTGACGCCCCAGACGCCCAGCTGTCTCTTTTCCTCGGCTTCGCTGACGTAGGTAGTCTCAGCCATCAACGGCGTGCTGGACAGACTCAGAGCGACGCCTATCAGCGTCAACAGCACGCCGAGCAGCGCTTTTTCCGCGGTTGTATTGTCCATGACGAAAACGCAGGCAGTCGAGGAGCGGAATCGACAAGATGAACCCGGCAAAGGTGAGCCATTGTGTTCCGTATCGGTCGGTCATGGCGACGATAACGGGTGAGAAGAAGCCAGGGAGGAAAATACACAGTAATACAAGGCCGGCTGCCAGCGAGCTCCAGTGGAACGTTTCCTGGACGAACGGTGGAGAGGCGGCGCAAAGGGCGAATCTATGGCTCATCAACGTGAGTTTTCATGGAGACAGCAAGGATAAAGACCGACTTGGAAGCCGACTGCATGATGCAGCCGGCAAGGGCTGCGAACAGACGGCGGGATTTGACCAGCGACACGCAGGGGCTTGTCTTCCACCCTGTGCCAGACGTGGTGGGAAGGCTTGTTCTTGCGCTGGCTTCAGATGCTGCGACATGTCCTGCCTTATCGCCTCGGGTGTCTCTCCTGTTCTCATTGTCTGCCGGAGTCTCCGGCGTGAACGAGGCCCCTGTGTTGCCGACAAGTTCATCGCCCTTCCACTCCCCAGCCCCCCTTTTCTTCAATCATGAGCAAGCGCAACGCAATATCGCAGGCAATAAGTCCAAAGGCCAATTAGTAAACGGCATAATAGCCAGCCTTCTCATACACAATGCCGCCAACGATTGACGACAGGAGGAATCCCACCGTCATGGCCCAGTTCACTCACCCGCTCGCCCATCCCATTCTGTCCTTGGTGGTATCCGCGAGCAGAGCCAGACCAATTTCCCAGCAAGTGGCGGCACTTACGCCCTGGAGAACGGGGCCTACGGCGATCAGAGCCATCGTTTTGCTCAGGCAGAGCAGCAGCGTGGCGGCGGCGAGTGCCAGCAGGCCGATGAGGAAGGCAGCTGTCGCGAGGACGTGTAGTCGGCGTAGAGGCCTAAGATGGGGCTCCCGAGACAAAGGCCGAGGTAGTACAGAGCGAGCAATATGCCGTCCATTTTGCCACTCGGCCTTGCGGTGTCCCAATCCGCTCGGTAGGGTAAACGGCAGCACGGGCTCCAAGAGTCCGTACAAGTAGATGTCGGTGAATACGGCGGCACAGACGACGACAAGGACAAGCGAGTTGGATCTGGGAAAGGCAGCTGAGTACAGCTGAAGCGGTCGGTTCTTATTAACAGATCCCTGGCGTTCCGTAGCTCCGCACCGTTCTTCTTGAAGCGGCGACGAATGACTCCCTCGGCCAGACAAAAAACTGGAGTTACTTGGGCTGAAGCCCGGACGATTGCTCATTTTGGTGAAACGCAGGCCTGGTAAAGGCGATAGGATGTAGAGAGGGAACATGCATCGAGCTTGATCAAGGTCGGGACAAGCTCATCCAAGAACTTGGCAGAGATTAGCCTGGCCTTTTCGATGCAGAATGAAATAGTATCTGTATTTAACCTCAACCCCAAAGACCCACGTGGGGTGAAGCCGACGGTTTGACCGTCAAGGACCGAAGGATTGCATTGTCACAAAGGGTCCGAGAACCAGAACACCGGTTATCCACAAGTCGCCAAGCTTTCAAACGTAGCAAGCGTCATGAACCGTCGCCTATAAGGTCCAGGAAGATGCCGATTTAGTAACATAAAGTCGAGGCCAGATTCGTCGTGGTCGTTTGCGACACCAGTCTCTTCCATCATGTATAATAATCAAGGTTCCCTGGTTCTCGTTCTCCACGCATCCAGACACGCTCAAACCCCCTCTTTTTCCAACACAATGCCCTAACTCCATACCTGGACAACCTTATCCCCGAACTCTGGCGCAGCTTTCGGCTTGTCTTCATCAACGGCGGTAGTATCGCTCCGGGGCTTCTTGGAGATACGCGAGGGGCGTTTTCGAGCCGGCGGCAACCACTGTTCGGTGCCCCTCCATTCCATCATGCGGTGCCTGTAGTAATCGGCATTAAAAGACGAGGGGCGATTCAAGGGAATGCGGATTATGCTGGAGTACGCGAGCGGAAGCAGGGCCAAGATATAAAAGCGCATGGTGAAGGGGTTTTGGTGGAGATTCTATTATAGGAAATGTTTTGGATTGGGGTGACTGAGCCGTGTGTACTAAGAGAAATTCATCGCCTCTGAGCGGACGCGTTGCTCTCTTTATACAAGTTCTTTGATCGCAGATAGATATTGGAGCTGTCGCTGCCGTTGCTCGTTTCCTCGGACGTAACTCTGCACAATATGCATGCGTCGGGTCAGCTGGACTGTCTTGGTCTCGTTCGCGTTTTCCAATGTGTCCATGATATTGGGCAAAGGGGCCGGCCATTGTGCGACGCCAACCTCAAGATGTGCTTCAGCTGTTGATGGCGGAGGTCAGATGATCTGGAGTTGGGTCGGGCCAATTCCACGACGCCAATGACATATATTATAGTCAATATTCGTTAAGATGCATCAAACACATCATAAGTTCTCCTAGATTCTCCTAGAGAAACAGCAACGTGAAGGCCAGTTGTCGAACCTTAATCCAGGTCCGCGGCCAAGGTGCCGCCTTGCTCAGACCGAATCCTACGTCTGGCGGAGCATAGGGTAACACCTGTGCGGAGAGCGTTCGTGGGCTGCAAGTATCTGCACGTAAAGCCACGCAGATGGGTTTCATTCGGTCGTTCGCATCATACTGACCCGAGGTTTGATGCATGGGCTGTAGCAGGAGAGTCTGTGGTTCAAATGTCGGGTCTTGTGTTACACGTGCTTTATAGAGTCGCAACGCGCGTATGTGTGTTCAATAGTTCTTGGTTCAGCTCTTTAGTGTTTTGAGGGAGGGCCTCCGAACTGACCGGGCGGCTTTCGCTGTCCCGAAGTTGTCATGACAGTCGAGACTTGCGCTTAGTATTAAAGCTCCCAAGGGCATCTTCATGCTTCACCACGACAGGTATGAGGCACCGGCTAACCGAAGCGGCAAATATGGACCAATTTGACAATTCCACTACCTCGTAATTTCCATAGCCGAGCGTACGCGCTGCTTGACCCCTTCCTAGGACGGTGATGTCAGAAATCGAATGCTCCCAAGACCAAAGGAGTGACAGCGCTGCCGGCCACCGTGGGCGGATGCAGTACGCTACACGTAGCCAGAGGTACTCTTATTCCTTGTGAATTGAGACAAAGCAAAATGATAACAGGTGGCGCCGAGTGGGCTGCCGATCCCTTGGGTTGATGCATTGTGCTCACCAAATGCGCTCCCCTTGCTTGCGGACTGAGAAGGAAAGGAGGAGAACCAACCGTATCGGATGAAAAAGGTCTTGAATAGCTGGAAGCCTCTATCCATCAGTTCTAGAATAGAAGAGAGGCCGCGCAATCATCGAAAAAGTTGTATTCCTCTAGAGTACCAGGCCTGCTGTCGCCCGTGAGCATGCCGGCGTCCAGAGCTGCGGATTCGTGCTGAGACTTCGCCGTTCGGGCGGGCCTCGGATTCAGCTTTGATCTCCCCCGAGGTCATACCAGGGAACTCGTCCTGCATATCTTTGAATGGGTGGTCGTGATACTTGGTTTGCCATAGGTGGCGCCTTTGCCTCGCCTCACCACGACCATCACTGGGGCCAAGAGCTTCTTGCTCCGCTCTGTTAAATACCGTTTCTTTTCCTGACGGTCCAGCAGACGATCCAGCATACGGTGCCGAAGTGGGAGCGGCCTGGGGAGCAGCGCTGCTTGCTGACCCAGGGCCGGACTGGTCACACGCTCAGTAGATGGTGGCCGAGGCCCTCGAGTCGGGACTATCGCGGCTTTTCTATAACGTTCAGCCACCCTTCGGGCTGCGGCATGCACGTTAGCATCTTCTGGAAGAGGTTTGGAACACTTGCCAGGTCCGTCGGCATATCTCGGCGGGCGAGAAAGCTGGAGTTGGGCGACAGGAAGTAAAGCTCGTTCTACCCATCGCTGAACTTGATAAGAAATTCTAGGTATGGTATCAAACAGTCTGGCTGAGCGTGGAGAGCACAGTCAGTCTGTCGAGCTTGAGTCCCGGGAGGAGCTTCAGCGCCTGGCAGAGCCGGTAGACGTTGCTTTGATGAGATTGAAGCAGTTCACCCAGGCATCACCAGTGACGCGCACGCATCAAACAATGGATCGAGTCTGCAGACATAAAGTTATTCATAGAGACGAGGACAGCCCACTGCCGGTGATACAACGAGCCACTGGTCACACATCCTTGGCTTGACTGGGTCGCTATATGTCGGGCTCCTGAGACATAGAACGAAATATAACGACTCCAGAGCCGCGTTCACGTTGTCTTTAGCATCAAAAGCAGGAGCAATGAGGCATCGGGTGTTTATTTGATTCTGCGGCCCTTGATCGAGTCTATGCCTTTGATCGAAGTTGCAAGGGAATCCCTTCACTTACCCGCTTCAAGACGTGCCGCGCCTTAATTTCATAGGCTTATAAGGAAAGTCATACTAACAACGCTCATTGGGATATGAGTCGAAGAAGAACATTTGATTGTTGAGTAGCGAGAGTTTTTTGGTTTTCGCAGATGATACCTCATTTCTTTTGAAACAAAAAGGAGTGCAAGGAAGCCCATCAATCCAGCTCATCCGGCTGCTGAAAGTCACGGCGCGATCCGTCCGCCACGCCGCCGTCGGCGAGAACACGCAGCGCCAGCATAGCCATACCCTTGGCACACTTCATGGCAGCAGCATGAGCGCCGTCGGTGGCTGCCGCCTCGGCAAACCGCGGGCTGTGAATGGCAACGTCTGGGACCGTTGGGAGATTGAACGTCCCGTGGAAGCTGGGGACCGTGTGCGATACGTTGCCCATGTCTGTCGACGCCGTGTACGGCTTGTCCTGGTGCAGCTGCACCTTTTCGCCGACCTGGGCCATTTCCTCGACATATGTCTTGCAGAGGGTATCGTTGGCTCTGAGGTTGAGGTACGTCGGGAACCTAGAGGAACTGTTAGCATCTCTCGGAGGCATGTTACCAGAGGAAGAGAAAGGCCAAGCTTTGACAGACATGGTGATATTATGAGTGCAGCCAGTTGCCAATGCAGCGGCTTCTATGCACTTCTTGACCCTCTCAAACAGCTTCTCGGAGCGTCTCATGGAGGGGGCCCTGACGCCCCAGTGCATTCGAGTATAGTCAGGGATGACATTGGGCGCGAGACCCCCCTCCTCGATGACGGTGTGGATCCTCTCGTCTGGCCGGATCTGCTGCCGCAGAATGGCGACGTTGTTGTAGGCGGCCACGGCGGCATCCAGGGCGTTTGTTCCGTTCCACGGCTCACCAGCCGCGTGCGCCGTCTGGCCATGAAACTCGACGCGGAACTTGTGGCTGGCGAGGAACAAGAGGCCCGCCAGCCCCGAGTAGCCGGCACCCGAAGGGCCCAGAGCGTGCTGGGGCATGGGATGGGCCATGATGGCGGCGGCGATGTCGCCTGGCGGGTTAAAGGCCCCCTTGTCGATCAGGACAGCCTTGCCTCCACCGCCCTCCTCGGCCGGCGTACCGAGTATACGCAGACGCCCCGGCAGCTTGAGGGCCGACATGGCATGGGCCGCCGCCAGAAAGGCCGCCAGAGACGAAACGGCGATGAGGTTGTGGCCGCAGGCATGGCCGATCTTGGGCAGCGCGTCGTATTCGCAGCACACGACAACTTGGCGGCCGCGCTCGCCGACCGAGGCCTCGAAGCTGGTCTCGAGCCCGTACGCGCTGCGCTCGACGACGAAGTCCAGCTTGTCCAGGTACGACGTCAGCGTGTCGTGCGCGATAAACTCCTTGAAGCAGAGCTCCGGGTTGGCGTGGAGGACTTTGCTGATCTGGTGGCGCAGGGCGTCGCTCAGCTCGTCTACGCGCCCGCTGACGAGGCCGCGGGCCCGTTCGAGGTCGACGGAGAAGGTCTCGGACGCTGTCGTTTCTGGCATGATTGAGCTGCTATCTTGTGGTGGTGGACTGGTGGCGCCTGAGCCGAGCCGAACAAGACATATATGTGAATGGGCAGAGGAGGCGGGGAAAGATTAGGTGCGGGCAAACTCAAGAGTACAGGCAGGCTCAAAGATAAGCTCGTCAACGTCGACGTCTACAGTAAAGGTTTTCAACGAATCGCCTTCTTCAGCCTGAGAACACGGCAGCATTGGGTTTCCTTGGCAATTGATGCTTGACTGCAGCATATTCAAATTATCGCTGCATTTGTGGTCTGTGTCAATATTCAACCCAGATTCCTTGCACGTCCGTAGCCTTGTTTTCACAATGGTAAATATAGACCACCACCAAGTCGGGGGAAATAGATCATAAAGGTCAATTCATGGCTTGATGCTGAGACAGCTCAAACGCTTTGGACGTGGGATGCGAAAACACACGAGTATAGAAACCTCCACCCCGAGAGACATCTCTAAGCCACCAGGGACGATTTCCCACCCGCCTCCCATCAGCGCCCGTGTAACTCGTCTTGGAGGTCTACACGTCAATACTCATCCATCTTTGGTGTATTGGCGGGCGGGTCATACGTAATGACTCTCATGATCATGTGAAAGGCCATGAGCAAGTCGTAGGCCAGACTCTCGACGCGCTTGACCATTGCCTTTGCGTCCTCCTTGCGCAGAAGGGAGTGATGTTCTTCAAACGTCTTGACAACCAAGTTGCGCAGTCCTCGGTCGCCTTCCACCGTCGACGTGTAGGCGTATTCTGCCGCCTGGATGAAATCGTCCGAGTCCCAGTGTTTGCCGACTTCCTGCTCAAACTTTCTCATTGCCAGATCTTTCAGACCATCGACCGAGTATTTCTCGGCCAAGGCGTAGACCATGGCGTGGACTCTGAGATGGTGAACCTTTTCGAGGAACGCGTGCTGGCGGGCCGCCGCCGTGTCCGCATCGTCGAGGGAGACGGCAGGATAGGTAAGATGGTAGAAGAAGTACACCATCAAGCGCACGATGCGAGGGTCGTCTTCAGGGAGGTTGACTACTCCATTGTGGCCCTCCTACCCAAGTGTCAGTCTGATTCATATGGATCGGTCCATGCCTGCTTCGGTCACTTGAAACGCGTCGTTGCAGGCGGCTGCGAAGAATCTCGATCTTGGACAGACAATCGCCTTGTGAACGCGATACTCGGCCGAGCCGCAGGTGATGGTAAAGTCCGAGTAGGTGCCAAGGTTATAAAGCCTGTTCCATCGGGCGTTAGACTCCAATGACGGCGGCAGCATCTCGCGGAGCGTGCTTACTTGGCGAGGGAGAGCATCAGCTCCTTTCTTGGTCTGCTTCCCATGGTTCAAGAACCAGAAATCTCCTCGGATGAAAGACTGCGCTGCGGCCGCGTTGTTCAAAGAAGCACAATGCAAGCAAAGCCAACGTGCAAAGCCTGGCCGTGTACCAAGAAGGGGTGGTTGAGTGCGAGGGGACCGGTGAGCGGCGTTGATGGAAACGTGAGTTTGAATGTGACAAAGGGAAACCAGCGGGACTCGACATTGGCAACAAAAACGAAGGGGATGACGCAACGGCAGCTCGGGCTAAGCTGAGGCGGTGAATGGGTGGGCGAGCCAACCCCAGGGCTCGACCAGGCCCCTGACTAAGAACCCGTCGAATCATTTGCAAGGCCTGGTGGTGCTGTAATTATTCTTGCCCAATAATCAAAGTCTCCTGGTCTGGGCCAAGCCAGGATTTCAGTTACAGTGTCCAAAATAGAAGCCCGAGGTCGTGCTGTGCCGAGTTTCATCAGTGCAATACCAACGCCGAATCGTCGCTTTCAGGAGTCCAACAGGATCAATCTTGCACAAGCCCGCAGGCGGAAATCCTCGGGTATGAAACTGGAGCTGTGATGATGCCTGGGCGCGTTGAACTAGAATTGTCGGGCCCTCACCCTCCTTGGTTGCCTACGATATTCTAGACCTTCGAGGACCATGACTCCGAACCTCTAAGCATAAACGACAATATTCATGACAAAGGCAAAGGAGACATCATGAGGGTCCCGCCTGCCAGAATTCAAATCTCTAGTGGCCGCATACACACAGTTCATAGCCGTGTGATGCCCGTCGCGTGATATCGCAGAGAGTGCGGAGGCAAGTCTGTGGACATGCACCATAAAAGCACGGCGAGCAGTTTACTGGGCCTCGGTATTCCCCAACTTGGTCCCTTTGTATGAAAGTCTTCAGCACTATCAAAATCCATAGCTCGCTGCTGTAGACACATCGACAGAATCCCGTCGACGACGATGCCGCTGTATGCACGGAGTAATCCGAACGCTACTGCAAGGCACTGAACCACTGCAACTCCAGTGTCTATAGCCCTCGGCGATGAGCCATTCCCGAGATATGCATGTGTCTCGCCCTCCTCTCTTCGCCAAGCAATCGCGTGCGTGCCCGCTTCTGCGCCCCCGACGTGATAGTGAACCCTCACCTCGACAGACAGAGTGCTGCACCCGAACACGCAAACGGAGCTTCGTTTTGGCAAATCATCGTCCGTCTGCGCGCTTGGCGAGTCGTTGCAATGTCCGAAAAGATGGGATGCGTGGATGCGGCGCCGTCCAAAGACCACAGCCACGACCCCGCGTCCGACTGCCTCTCGGCAGACGAGCTGAGCCCGGACGAGGACAAGAGAATCCTGCGCAAAATCGACATGTGGTGAGTGTCCAAGACTTCAGTCGTGATGTTCTTCCTCCAAGGAAACAGGGCCGTTCAACACAGCATCCCGAACTGGGCCGGTTTTCTAACGCACAAGGCGCCGCCCAGCTTGCTGCCCGTCATGGCCTTTTCCTACATGTTCCAGTTCCTCGACAAGTCGGCCCTTGGCTTCACGGCCATTATGGGCCTGCGCGAGGATCTGCGCCTCAGCGGGACCGACTTCTCGTGGGCAAGCGGCATCTACTACTTTGGCTATCTCATTGCCTCGTATCCCGCCGGCGTCATCATGGTCCGCTGGCGGGTAGGCAAGACAATTGCCGCAGCCGTGTAAGTCTAGCGAGTTCCTCATCTCAATGGCTGCGTGCGTGGCTTCGAATCGTGGACGACGAGAGTTGGGTATAGGCACACACATCTGAGGCTGTTCGGCTGCAGGGTCCTCTGGGGCGTCGTCCTCGTGCTCACGGCCACAACCACAAACGCAGCCGGCCTGCTGGCCGTCCGCTTCTTCCTCGGCGTCACCGAAGCGCCCATCGCTCCCGGGCTGACCGTCGTCGTCGCCATGTGGTACAAGCGCGCCGAGCAGCCGCTGCGACACGCGGCCTGGTATCTCGGCAACACGACAGCCGGCATCGTCGGCGGCCTCGCGGCCTACGGCATCGGCCACATCGATGGCATTGCAGCCTGGAAGGTAAGACGAGGAGACTCGTGCCGCGGTACGGGCTCTCGCCCCCTGAGGTCTCCAACGCAGCTGGCTGAGATGTGGCTGCGTTGCAGGCCGTCTTCCTCATCTTTGGGGGCACAACCGTGGCCTGGTCGGTGGGCATCTTTTGGCTGCTCCCCGACGTCCCCATGTCGGCCTGGTTTCTGACAAAGGCGGACCGCGCCAAGGCCGTTTCACGGGTGAGGGATAACATGACAGGCATCAAGAATAACGAGTTCAAGTGGCACCAGTGCCGCGAGGCGCTCCTCGATGTCCAGACGTGGTTTGTTGCGGTGATCCAGCTCTGCAGCAGCATTCCCAACGGCGGAGTGCACAGCGTATGCCCTGCACCCCCCCTCCCTCTTGTTGGTGGGCGTCGGCTGACTCTAGACAATGCTGCCGTGGTCTCGCAGTTTGGATCCATCGTCATCGAGGGCATGGGCTTCGGCCAACTCACGACGTTGCTGCTCCAGAGCGCCAGCTACCTGGTCCAGCTGGTGCTCGTGCTCGTCGGCACGGCCGGCAGCACACGCTTTCGCAACACACGGACGTACTTTATGACAGTCAACTTTGCCCTTGCCGTCGTCGGCGCCTCGCTGGTCCGACAGCGCCCGGCCGAGGACAAGTGGACGCGCTTCGCCGGGTACTGCGTGAGCATGGCCTTCAGTGCCAACTTTCCCTTGGTCATGTCCATCATGTCGGGCAACTTTGGGGGCTTCACCAAGAAGGTGACTGTCAATGCCATTGTGAGCCTCCTCATTCTTACCTCTTCGGCTGTTCCTTCAACGCTAAGCATCCCTTGTTGCGCCTCGGCAGTCCTTCATCGCCTACTGCGCAGGCAACATTGTCGGCCCGCAGCTCTTCATGGCGCGCGAGGCGCCGTCTTACACGTCGGGCTTTCTCGCCATGATGGTCTGCTTCAGCCTCGGGTTCGTGACGTGCATCGCGCTGCGGGTCTATCTGTGGCGGGAGAATCGGAGGCGGGATCGTGTGTGCGGCGTCGCGGAGGAGGGCGGCGTCGAGGGCGGCGTCATGGTGAATCTGATGGACAAGACGGACAAGCAGATAGCGCAGTTCAGATACGTCTACTAGCCCGGGTCAAAGCTGGCAGCACTGCTGGAGCTGCAACGCCGCATTGACGTGACTCGTTGCATCTCGAAACCGGCTTGAAGATTCAAGTTGGAGGTCATTGCAGACCCTAAACCCTAACCAATCCCGCCCAGTCCCGACCACCTTCCCCACCCCGCCGCCGCCTTGGTGCGTCAGCGGGCCGAGTCTCCCTCCGTTCCGTCCGCTTCCTCAGTCATCGCTCAACCTGACGCCAATCTCTAGGCCTCAAGAGTCATCGCCGTTGCGAGTTTAGCCCTTGTATCGCTCGTGCTCTTCCTCAGCAGCCTCGTTTCCAAACCCCGGCCATTCTCGACGCCGTCGCCGCCGCTTCCGATCCGACCATGACGACGACGACGTTTCCTGCCGCCGCCGGCAGCTCGCTCGCCCAACTCCTCCCGCCTAGCTGGAAATCGCAGGTGACGGCCTGGCTGGCCGAGGACACGCCGACCTTCGACTACGCCGGCTTCGTCGTCGGCGACGCCCCCCGAGTCGCCACGCTTTGGGCCAAGTCGGCCGGCATCCTGGCCGGACGGCCGTTGGTGGACGAGGTCTTTGCGCAGTGCGGCTGCGTCGTCGAGTGGCGCCTCGACGAGGGCGCAGCCGTGGCGCCGGCAGACAAGCCCGTGGCCGTGGCGACGGTCCGCGGCCCCGCGCGCGGCCTGCTGCTGGGTGAGCGGGTGGCGCTCAATGCGCTGGCCCGGTGCTCGGGCATCGCCACCCGCAGCCGCGACCTCGTGGCCAAGCTGCGCGAGGCCGGCTACACGGGCATCGTCGCCGGCACGCGCAAGACGACGCCGGGCTTCCGGTTGGTGGAAAAGTACGGCATGCTGGTGGGCGGCGCCGACACCCACCGCATGGACCTGAGCGTCATGGTCATGCTCAAGGACAACCACGTCTGGAGCCGCGGCAGCATCACCGACGCCGTCGCCGCCGCAAAGGCCGTCGCCGGCTTCGGCCTCAAGATCGAGGTCGAGGTCCAGTCCGAGGCCGAGGCCGACGAGGCCATTGCCGCCGGCGCCGACGTGGTCATGCTCGACAACTTTACCGGCGACGGCGTCCGCGTCGCTGCCCGCAACCTCAAGGAACGCTGGCGTGGCAAGAAGCACTTCTTGCTCGAGGTCTCTGGCGGCTTGAAGGCCGACAATGTGGCACCGTATGTGTGTCATGGTACGTCCCCGTCTTGTCCACGCTGCGTCTCCTCTTCCCGCGCCCTGCTTTCTCCTGGGCCACTGTTCGACGCCAGGATGTCCGTTGACCATGTGCACGCAGATGTGGACATCATCTCGACAAGCTCCATACACCAGGGCGTTCCGCACGTAGACTTTTCCTTGAAAATCGAACACTAGTGTACCGAAGACGCGGCACCGTCCTGAACCTGGAGCGTGGCATGGTTCTCTGCCTTGACTATCATCTCGCATCGTCCCCTTGTTCCCAGTCAGCCACCTTGCCCCGCCGTGAGTTCGCTTCGCCGCTTGCCATCGTTCTTGGACACCAAGAGTCCTATAAATGACCCGCTCAACTCTTGTCCGCCTCGTCCGTGACATGGGCTCCGACATCTTTGGCGTCAGCTCCCGGTCCCGAACCCTGCCGGTGGCTCAGGGGGTTCTCCTGCACGGAGGCGCCCTTGTCGTCCCCGCTGTCCGCAGAAGCGGCCGTGGCGCCGCAGCAGGGGACTAGAACGCTGGCCTCGTTGCGCTTGGACGGGACGTCGAGCGCCGGGTTGCGGGTGAAGAAGTCGGCAGGGCGCAGGTGAATCTGATGGACCTCGGCAGGCCTGGACCAGTGTCAGCTGGGTTGCTTCAAAAAAGTGAGTCGCCACTAGGGCGACGGAGTGGGAGATGGCGAGAAACTGAAAGCGAGAGAGACAAGGGCAACAAGATTTCTTACATGACCGGCCAGTCCTCAACCCGAGGGTTGTGCGTCAGGCCGTACACTGTCCAAACGACGGGACTGCTTCTTCTGCCAGCGTCGTCGCCTTGGCCGCGATGCTGCGCCTCGGCCGAGGCCCCGTTGCTCGCCTCCTCGCCCGCCTCGGTGAACCAGTCTCCTCGCTTGACCATGGCAGCCACGCCGCGCTGCTCGCCGCAGCTCTGGTTGGTGAACTCGCCGGCGGCCCAGAACTCGCCGTCGCGGAAGCCGGTGACCCAGGCGTCGTGCCGGGCGAAGGGGGCGCGCCTGGCCAGGACGCTGTCCTCGTCGGCCAGCATCATCTGGGTGGCCGGGGCGACGAGCTTGTAGCCGACGTTTTTGCCCGAGAAATCGTTCTTCTTGTGGGCGTTTTCGAGGCGCAGCATCCGGTTGAGGCGCGGCTCGGCATCGACCCAGGTGGCGCGGTCGACGGGGGTGCGGCAGACATTGTAGAGGTTGCCGTAGGGGTTCTTCTGCGGGTCCATCTTTGCGCCGCGGCTCTCCTCGACGACGACGCGCGAGTCGCCCGGGCGGTACGAGTCGATGGCGGGATCGATGCGGGCGGCAAAGATGTGCTGGTGGTTCTGGGCGAGGATGCCGGGGCCGACGACGTTGCCGTAGTCGCTCGTCTTGCCGTCGTCGATGGCGACGACGCTGACGATGCCCGTGGCGCGCGTCTCGAGGGTGATTGCGCCGGCCAGGTCGAGCTTGAAGGCCAGCACATACTCGTAGTTGGCCAGGGTGCAGACGAACTGGACGACGAGCTCGCGGGCGCGGGCGACGACGGCGCGGGCGGTGCGGAAGTTTGTGTGCTTCCACAGCAGGCCGGCGTCCTGCTCGTGCAGGCAGACGACCGACTTGGCGCGCGTGGGCGAGCCGTCGGGCGCAGCCAGCCAGGCGTCGAAGTAGTGGATGGCGCCCAGGCAGTCACAGCCGAGTTTGAGGCTATTCGCGGCGCGGCCGACGCCCCCGTCGCCGAAGTCAAAGGCCTGCTTGCGGTGGAAGGGCGGGCGCGGGTCGGCGTAGGGCACCGTCAGCTCGCTGTAGCTGAGGCGGTATGCCACGGGCCGGTGGTCGAAGCACACGTCGTGCAGCACGGCGCCCTCGCGCGGCGTGAAGCCGAGCCGGAAGCGCCACCGCTGCCACTCGACCAGGCCGTCGGCGTGGGCGACAAAGGACGCGCCCTCGGGCTGGACCACGTTGAGGGGCCTGAGGTCGGTCCGCGGCGGCTGGTCCAGCAGCTCCGGGACGTACTCGGCGGGCCGCGAGCGCGTAAACAGCGGTTTGGGCTGCTGCTGCTGCTGCTGCCGCGTCTTCGTTTCCGGCTCGAGAGCGTCGCCGGAGCCGCCCGTGGCCAGGCGGTCGATGCGGATCACCTGCTGCGAGACCCAGTCGATGATGGGGATGATGGGGATCGGGTAGGCGTAGTGGTTGGTGTCTGGGTTGTTGCGCGAGGCGTCGCGGGCGAAGACGAGGCCCTGCATGTAGCGCGGGTTCTGGTCGGCGGTCCCGCCGTACGGCCACGGGTCGACGGTGATGCGGAAGCCGTCGGGCAGGGCAAAGCCGGCCATGGCGTCCTTGAAGAGCTGCGAGTTGACGACGATGGCCTCGCACTGGCCAAACTCGCCGCTGCCGACGCCGTCAGCCGCACGCACCCTTGGGCGAACACACTCTCCTTCGCTGCTACTTACACGGTAAAGTACGGGTATGAAAACTCATCGGCCGAGCGGCGCGCCACGACCCGGCCGGTCCCGAGGTCCACCACGGCGCGGGTGTGGACGGGCCGCGACCCGGCGTCGACGACGTCGTACTCGACAATGGCCTGGCGCGGCGGGCGGGCGGGCGGCTCACGGTGGCCCCCGGTCAGGGCGGCGGCGGCATGCTCGGCCTCGAGAAAGGGGACCAGGTCGGCCTTGCGCGGCTCGTCGAGGTGGACGGCGCGGAAGTAGAGCGACTGGCGGGCGCCGTGGAGGCCGACGACGGCGTCGCGCGCGGCGATGCACTCCTGCCGCAACAGCGGGGCCAGCGGGTGCGGCGGGTGCGGCGGGTGCGGCGGGTGCGGCGGCGAGCTCGTCGACATGGTGTGTCGGGGCCGGCGGCGGACGGCGATGCAGCGAGCTGTCCGACGAGCTTTCCGACGAGCTTTCCGACGAGCTTTCCGACGAGCTGTCCGAGGCGGAGGAAGCGGGCGTGTGGCAGCAACGCGAGGGCGGTTTACAGTTCCAAGTATAAAAAGCAAGCCGAACAACAAGGCACGCCCGAGTCGACTTTTACCATGACATCACCCGGCCAGGCTACTCCGCACAGGGCGGGCGAGAGGGTCCGATGATTATTATATACATGACGGTCCTCCAGCTGGCGTGGGAGCGGAAGCGGGCCGTTGGACGTGGCGTGCGGAGAAGACAGAAGTGAGGGCCGTCAGCGTCCGGGACAGCCGAGGGCCCTATCGGCTCCGCTCTCGCCTCCTCGCACATGGACGAAGCCATCATGTCTTGTGTGCAAACATGGAGCCCAACGCTTTGTCGTCTCCTGCTGTGTGTCAGTGAGCAATGTCGCCTTTCTTGGCTTCATTTTCTTCACCACTCCGCGAGCTATCGCGTGCACGGAGGTCGGCTTGCTCGGTTGGGCACTGGACGTACAGAACAGCATCACCGTGACGTGGTCTGTCCTCCGCTCGACGTCGCCGACCTGCGGCTCCCGCGCTGGTCCAATCAAGCGCTCCGGGAGTGCCTCTCGGCGCGGGCGTCGGACCATCGTGGGGGCTGACATGTAGCCAAGACTGGCAAACAGATGCAGCTCGGCAGGCAATACAGCTGCAAGAGGCCAGAGGGGGAGAAGCGACCGAGACACAAGGGCCACGTACATCAAGGCCCAGTCGTTGGACAAATGTCATTGTGCGATGGAGGGACCTGGCCAGCTTCCCTCGTCGGCGGATCCAACGACTCGCTCGTTTGCTGCAGGACGTGGGCGACCGAGAAAGGCCGAGGTCCGATTACAAGGCTTGTCAGCGCGCCAAGAGCCGGCAGGGCTCAACACGATGCGGAGCAGAGAGAGAGGCTGGGGGCGCTGGGCTATTCCCGTCGAGGATAGCGTCCAAGAGCGACTTTCCGCAGGCTTGAATTGAAGCCTGTAGGAATAGCAAGTGCGGATAGCAAGTGCGGATAGAGTGTGTGACAATACGGTAGGCCCGAGGCTCTTCCGCACACATGGCCGTTGGGCACGGTGCCTCGTCCCGGCCAATCACGTCTTTTCTCTTCGGCCGACTTGCCGTCCGGACCGCGCGGCAACCGGCCGTTGGCACAGAAGCCTCCCGGCATCGCAGCAGCCGGCGCCGGGCTGAGGGACACGGGGCCACTCGTCTCTTCCGGTGCAGCCGTCTTCGGGTCCCAAAGCTGCCAGCAGCTTCCCTCGGGTCATTCTTCTCCTCCGATGGCCAGGGGCTATTATAACTTGCTGCGTTCCTGGCATAGAAACTGACTGGCGGCCTCGCTCGCTAGTTCGGACAAGATCTACCAATATGCCAAAACTACGGCCCCGTATTTCATACTCTCCTGACTCAGTGTATTCGCCGACAGGAACAAGATTGAAAGGGAAGCGTCTTTTTCTCTTATCGCCCCCCCCCTCCCCCCTGTCCCTCGATTCATCCTTCTGGGCCCTGCATGATGCGCGAGTGGCCGAGTCGACGATGGCTTCGGACCAGGGAGCCGAAGTCTGTGCAGCTGGTCTTTTACGGGGTAAGGGAGGGGGGCTGACGCAGGGACCGAGGCCGAGAGGCTTGTCTGGTCTCGAGCAGGACTTCGGACTTTATTGGATGCGCAAAAGTCAATCAACCAGGCCGAGGGAGAGCAATGGTCCCAAATGTGTTACAGGGCCCACCCCTGCAGCGGGCCGCGTCTCTGCATCGTGTCATTTCTTCTTTTTTGCCCTGCTGGTGGAAGTCGAGACGTCGTCGGAAGCGACCTGCAATGCGGACTCAACCTCCGGTAGGCTGACGAGGGGGCCAAGACATGGGATGCGCTTCCCGTCGGCGAATGATTCAGTCGTCGGGTCTGCCACGGGGCTTACACGACTCGAGGGGCGCATTGACAGGACGAATCAGGGCGGGGAAAGCCTCGTCGTCTCGTTTTTTTCTCTCGTCGCCTAGCCAGGCTGCACGGCCATGACATGGTTGGGAATCGCTATTATGCATGCCTACGCGCACGTGCATGGGAGGACCATCTGTGTATGCTTGACCGGCCACCTGTGTTCACGCTTCTCGTCGAGGTGGGATATGAAGGCCGCGTGCACCGGACGATGCTGTGGAAGAAGACGAACGCTTGTTGGGCGATCCATTTGGGCGGCGGTGCGCGGAACCTCGTACTGTGCCCAAGTATGGATACGGATACGGATATGGCGATGGCGGCGGCCTTCCTTGCCAGCCATGGATGGCTCTCTCTCTCTCCCCCCCCCCTTTGGCAAGCGTGAGAGAGGTGCAAGCACGCGAGGCGAGTGAAACGCCGGCGGCGGATGATGCGCCGACTGGCCCATAATAGAGTATGCGCACTACAGAGGAGCTAGAGAGTTGGAGCGAGGGGAAGAAAGGGAAAGAGAGAGGGAAAGAGAGGGTCGTGGTGGTGCCTCATTCCTGTGACCCACCCCTTGTTTTTTTGCGTATTAGTTTGCTCGCATTCCTCGCTCTAGTTATTCCTCGCTCTGTTCCTCACTCTATTCCTCACTCTATTCCTCACTCTATTCCTCACTCTATTCCTCACTCTATTCCTCACTCTGTTCCTCGCTCGTCCTGTCTCTCTCTCTCCTTGGCCGACGCAACCACCCTCTTTTGCATCCTTCTTGTTGACCTCCTTCCTGTCTGCCCGCCTGCCTACGGTACTGTACCGCTCCGTACCTACTGCGCTCCCTCTTTTCATCACACGACTCTGCTATATGTAGCCTGGCCAAGACCCTCTCTTTCTCTCTCTCCTGCCGTCTTATCCATACGAAGCATCCGATCCTGGGCGCCATTGCCTGTTCTGGGCACTACCCTCTGGCCCTTATTTTTAGCTCTCGTCACCAAACTCTGGCCCCCGGTCGTCGTCGGCGTCGTCGTCATCTTCAGCAGCGGCTTTGCTCCGCCTCTGCCGTCCGTGCATCCGCCCGCGCCGGCCCCTAAAAGTTTACAGCATCCACAGCCGCAAGCCGTTGTATTTATCCTTCTGTTCGTTCCTTCCTTGCTTCCCTCTCGCTTCGCTTGATCCACCCCGCGCCCCTCCTCCAATCTCGCTCGCGCCTCGGCAGCCGCCTCGCCATTGGCTCATTCCGTGCTCGAAACCGCGGATCCCTGCCGAAGAAAAGCTTCATTGGGGAAAAAAAGAAAAAAACATCTGCCTTGTTGTCCGCCAGCACGCACCCCCGACAAGACTGTCTCGTGCATCATCGCATCGCCAACATCGCCAACATCGCCTGCCTGCGACCGACGACGGCGGTGACTCTCGATGCCCACGTCGCTCTAGCCCCCCGCTGCATTCGTCAAGCGAGCCAGCCTCGGCTCCACGACGGCTTGGCTTGACCGACGCGTCTCGCCAACCTTTCTTTTTTCCTCTTCTGCCTCGCAGCGCCCTCCTCGTTCGCCGCCATGCTCAACTCCCGCCGCGCCCTGGCTGCGGCCGCCACCCTGCTCGCCCTCTTCTTCTTCGTCTCCCGAAGCCATGAGACGCCCTCGATCCTCACGTCTCAGCGCGCCCACACGCCCGCAAAGCCCGGCTCCGCCGCCGCCGCCGCTGTCGCCGGACACGCCGTCCACACGTGGTCCGCCGGCCGCGCCGCTCCCCAGAAGCCTATGATGGACATGTCGCGCCTGTCGACGTACAACAAGCTCGCCTACGCCTTCCCCTACGACGTCGAGGCAAAGTTCCCCGCCTACATCTGGCAGACGTGGAAGACGACGCCCGTCGACGAGAGCTTCCAGTTCCGCGAGCAAGAGTCGTCGTGGACCGAGCAGCACCCGGGCTTCATACACGAGGTCATCTCCGACGACGTGGCCAAGAGCCTCCTCGGCCTCCTCTACGCCTCGGTCCCCGAGGTCCTCGAGGCCTACCACGCCCTCCCCCTGCCCGTCCTCAAGGCCGACTTCTTCCGCTACCTCATCCTCCTTGCCCGCGGCGGCATCTACTCCGACATTGACACCTACGCCATCAGGAGTGCCATCGACTGGATCCCCGCCGAGATCCCCCGCGAGACCATTGGCCTCGTCATCGGCATCGAGGCCGACCCCGACCGCCCCGACTGGGCCCAGTGGTACAGCCGCCGCATCCAGTTTTGCCAGTGGACCATCCAGAGCAAGCCCGGCCACCCGGTCCTGCGCGACGTCGTCAGCCGCATCACCAACCACACCCTGACCCTGAAGCGCTCCGGCGAACTGGCCGGCATGGTCGGCAAAAACGTCATCGAGTTTACCGGGCCCGCCGTCTGGACAGACACCATCATGGCCTACTTCAACGACGACCGCTACTTTGACATGAAGGACAGCACGGGCCTCATTGACTGGCACAACTTTACCGGCATCGACGCGAGCACCCGCATCGGCGACGTCGTCGTCCTGCCCATTACCAGCTTTTCGCCCGGCGTCGACCAGATGGGTGCCAAGGACTACGAGGACCCCATGGCTTTTGTCAAGCACGACTTCGAGGGTGAGTTTGGTGTTTCCCCCCCTTGCCCAGTACTTGTAGGTGTCCTGACCCGGCGTATAGGCACATGGAAGCCGGAAAGCGAGAGGCACATTGGCGAGCAAAAACCCGAGGCAACCAAATCGCCGTGATGCCGTGCGCGACGCAACGGCACGACCATGACTTTATGCCCAGGCACGGCACCCTAGCTGCCGATCCGTCCCGTGGCGTCGAGCGCCCCGCTCACGACCTCGGGACGCCTCCCGACTCGAGCCGTCTCTCTCCTCTCGGCCTCGCAGGCGCTGGGGACGAACGGGTGGTCGGCAGCCGTCGTTGGGACTGCCGTGTCACGATATTATTTCCGCCATTTTACATGGCTTGCATACCTCACCCCAGTCGTGGAAGCAATGCTCCTCGACCTTTCCGAGTGACGTGCGCCGTGGGGTCGCACTGGCAAAGGCAGCCGGGTCACGGATGGATAGATGGCCGTGTCTATGGACTAGATTTGTGGTGGGGGTGTTTTTTCTTCTCTTTTCCATTTTGTTTCTCATGATTGTTTTACCACATCGTTCTAGGGCATGGAAGCACAAGACGACTATATGCATGGCCAGCGACTCGATAGAGATGTCCGCGGCACCGGCGCGCGTGATTTTTTTTTTCAGGGGCGGTACGAGTAGAAGGGAAAGGGGGGAAAGTGGTATCCGTACTCGGTATGAGGATCGACGATGTTTGATAGGCACGCGCGTGTTGATTCGGCCTGCAGCGATGGGAGCGAACTGCCAAGCTGCGGGTGCGGGTGGAGAATCAAAGGGAGGTCTCTCGACCTGGGGCCAATGTCAAGCCATGGAAGCACCGCATTTGTCCTCACGAATGCTCGTCGGTGGAGACGAGTCAGTGGCCGGCTGGGTGTTACGGAGTGCTTTCACCCTGGTCCTAGCAATCACACACCGAGAGTCGGCTGAAGGAGCAGCGGAGGCGGGCACGGAAGCGCGGAGCCAAGCTCTTTTCCCACGCGTGTCCTCGGGCTTTGGTCTGGGGTGTTGTGCGACGTTGCTTTCGTAGGTACTGTAATTACGTGTACAGTATGTGCGTATGCGCTGGCATTGGCCCGGAGCAACGGGCTGAGGAGACAGACGCCTGTATTCTTTGAAAGATAACAAACAGAGCGTCGCATACGGTATTCGCCCCTTTGCTGGCGCCGTTGTCCAACCTTCCAATCGGAGCGGTGCGGCGGCTGCATCTGGCTTGCTGCAAGGTACTCAATGCCCTGGTGGGCCGTCGAGGCAGCGCCCACGGAGAACATGCCCCGTTCTGGTAGATGATAACTTAACACAGTGACCTCTCCGGGCTTGGCGATATGCACATACAGTACATACGACTTCTGCAGTGCTGCGGCACGGGGACCACGCCATCGTCACCTCGAGCGTGACGCAAAGGTAGCCCGATACGTACAGTACAGCTAAGCCGCGCCCCTCATCCTCCTCCCCCCGCACCCCCCGTCCCCCAGTTCTTCCCCCACAGTTCGCTATAGCTTCACTTTTTGCTTCCCCCGCGCGCTGATACGCGTCTCCTGTGAAGAGAAACTCAACCCCCCCCCCCCCCCCCCCCAAGCGACGTTTATTTTCCGCCCTTGGCTTTGATACGCGGGCTGGCTGGTTGGTTGGCCGGGATAGATAGGTAGGCGGGGGATGCGGCTCCCGACAACATGTCCCCGCGGCGGCGCGGGGCGCGTGCTGCTGCTGCGCGGCGGCGCGGCGTGCGGACGACGGCGGGCGGTGTCGTCGGCGGCGGCTGGTGCCGAGAGATTGAGTATTCGCTGGGGGCCGGGTGAGGTATGTCGTGCGTCTCTGAGCTGGCCCTGTCTGCGGCGTCGGGGTGCCGGGCGTGCAGGACATCTAAGCCAACGTCCCATCTCCCCCCCTCACCCACCGTGCACAAACTACACGATAGCCTCACCTCAAACACCCCACCCCGCTAACCACTAAACCTCCCCACCAGCCGCCGCTCTACACCGGCACCATCGCGGACCACTTCGCCGCCACGGTCGCGCAGCACGGCGACCGCCCCGCCGTCATCGCGCGGGCGCCGCGCGGCGAGGACCAAGGCGACGCGGAGACGACGCTGACGTACCACGGGCTCGACGTCGCCTCCAACCGCCTGGCCGCGTCGCTCGCATCGCTCGGCGTCGCCGCCGGCGAGCGCGTGGCCGTCTCCCTCGGCAACGCGCCCGAGTTCGCCACCCTCACCTACGCCCTCTACAAGCTCGGCGCCGTCCTCGTGCCCCTCAACCCGGCCCTGTCGCCCGCCCAGGTCGTCGCCGCCCTGCGCCACCTCGACGCCCGTGTCCTCGTCGTTGCCGCCGTCGCCGACCTGGCGTATAAGCCGGCGCGCGGTCGGTGTAATCGCCCTCTCGTCGCTGCTGTCACGGCGGCCGGCGAGGGGGGTGGCGATGGGGGGGGGTTGGGCGGGGAGAGGGTGCGCAGCGAGGCGGTCCCGTCGCTTCGTCATGTCGTCGTCGTTGATAACCGTGCCCTTCATCGCGGCCACGACCCCGGCGCGTCGTCCAGCGACGACCGCTGGCGCATCCACGACAGCCGCGGCGCCCTCGTCTCCTACGACGCGCTCCTCGGCCAGGGCTCCGCCGGGGCCGTGGTCCCCTCGCGGCCGCTGTCGCCGTCGGACACCATCAACATCCAGTTCACGTCCGGGACCACGTCGACGCCCAAGGCGGCCATGCTGACGCACACGTCCATCCTCAACAACGGCGCCCTCATCGCCGGGCGCATGGGCCTCGACGCCGCGGACCGCATCGTCGTGCCGCCGCCGCTCTTCCACTGCTTCGGCTCCGTCCTCGGCTACATGGCCACGGCCTCGGCCGGCGCCGCCATCCTGTTCCCCAGCCCGGCCTTTGACCCCGTCGCCACGCTGCGCATGTGCGTCGACCACGCCGCCACGGGCCTCTACGGCGTCACCACCATGCTCGTCGCCGTCCTCGACGCCCTCGACCGCCCGGGCGTCCTCGACCACCGCCGCCGCAGCCGCACCCCCCTCGCCGCTCACCTCCGCAAGGGCATCGTCGCCGGCAGCAGCGTGCCCGAGTCGCTCATGCGCGACATCTACCGCCGCCTCGGCCTCGCCGACGCCGTCATCTGCTACGGCATGACCGAGACCAGCCCCGTCAGCTGCATGACGACGCCCTCCGACCCGCCGGCCAAGCGCACCTCGTCCGTCGGCCGCCCCATGCCCCACACCGCCGTCAAGATCGTCTCCCCCACCGACCGCTCCGTCATCCAGCCCCTCAACACCCGCGGCGAGCTCGCCGCCGCCGGCTACCTCGTCATGGAGGGCTACTACGGCGACCCGGCCCGCACCGCCGCCGTCCGCGTGCGCGAGCCCGACCCGGACGGCGGGTCCACCGTCTGGATGTACTCGGGCGACGAGGCCGTCATGGACGACGACGGCTACGTCTCCATCACCGGCCGCATCAAGGACCTCATCATCCGCGGCGGCGAGAACATCCACCCGCTCGACATTGAAAACTGCCTCTTCCAGCTGCCCGGCGTCCAGGAAGCCAGCGTCCTCGGCCTCCCGGACGACCGCCTCGGCGAGTCCGTCGCCGTCTTCATCATCCCTGCCCGCGGCTGGGCGACGTCCGACCAAGGCGGCGCCCACGACATCGGCAAAGACGCCGACACTCGCCCGTCGGATGACGGCAGCCCCAGCCAAGGGACGCTGACCAAGGACCGCGTCCGCGACTGGGTGCGCTCCCACCTGTCGAGCCACCTGGTGCCCAAGCACGTCTTCTGGGCAAGCGAGTTCCCAAAGACGGCGAGCGGCAAGATTCAAAAGTTTAAACTGCGCGACACGGCCACCGAGGCGTTGAAGGCCGAGGGCTGACGAGGCCCACGCACGTGAACTACTACATGGACACAAACATTGGCATATGCATACTGTCTGACTAGCTACTGTATGTACAAAGCACGAGTATTCGTACAAAGGACGGGCATTCGTATAATTCTCAGCACACACTGTCTGTCGTGTCTGCGCATATCCTGGTCATGCATACAACCCGCGGCAAGCCCGTTTCCGACGTGCATGGGCGGCAAGCCAGCCAGCCTCCGTCGCTGCGTGAAAAAACGCACGTCTGTTTCAGCCATTTCAAACTCGGGCCTCCTCCAGCCTGTGCACAATAGTCCTCGTCCAAGCATGGTGTCGGCTCGCGCCCAGGCCGTGGCTATATTCTGCCGAGTACGGAGTAGTAGTAAAGGAGAAGAAACATCAAGAACCCCAGATCATTTCATGAGTAAGCTGCTTCTCAGCCAAGGCAACAAGCCAATCGTCCGATCGTCTAGTAAGAAGGGGGGACATCGCCTGCGCAAGAAAGAAGCCCTCCTCCGCCCAGAAGGGCCTATCCGATGCCCCCGAGCGCGCTGCCAGGCCCGAAAATTCCAGTTCTCAGGTACCATTCAAGGCACGGCCAAACAACCCCAGGATGAGTCCAGACAATCAAAGGGAGCAAACAGAAAAAGAGCACACCCAAGCAGCGCTCGACGGGGGGCGGCGCAACAGAAGAGCCAGAGAACGCAGCGCAAGGGCCAAGCACGCAATTCGCGCAACTGCCCGTTCGCCCTCACTCGACTTGCTTCTCGCATCCGATGCGCCCGAGCAACTCCTTTCGATCGCTGTGCCCCGGCAGGCTCACCCCCGAGCTGTTGGCCTGACGCTTAACCCCGGTCCGGCGCTCCCAGCCCTTGAGGTCCAGCGCCTCGACGCCAACCTCCTCCTCGAGCGGCTGTGCTTCCTCGTAGACAAACTCGTCGTCCACTTCCTCCTCCTCGTCCTCCTCCTCCTCGCCCTCGTCGTCGCTCCGCGTGTCCTCGGCACCGTCTCCGCGAATGACCTTGATGGCCACGCGGACAATCATGGTGAACCAGATGATGGTGATGAGCTGCAGCAAAAGGAGCGGAGTGAGAAAAGCCCACTTCACGGTGTGGTTGAAGCAGACGCGGCCGGTCGGGCTGAGGAACGGTTCGATGAGGTAGTACAGGCCCGGTGGAGCGTCCTCGGGCCCGACGAGGTTGGAATTCGGACCACTGTAGCACCCTAGCGAGATGATGTTCGGCGCATGTGCGTACACGGACCAGCACACCAACACGTAAAAGACGTGGCGGGCCACGAACCACGACAACATAAAGACGCCAAAAGCGACGTCACAAAGGGTGTTGTAGCCGGTGTACTTGAGACACTTGGCGACCTGCGGTTTGACGGTCAGCATGCACGCCATTGCCGGCTCGCCATGAATCCCATGGCGCCTCGACCGGGCGAGCTTACGGGGAAGAATAGATCCACAACGTCCATGATGACGAGGATATAGTTGCCGATGCGGGTGAAGCTGTAGCAGTAGCATGAGGAGATGAGGGCCGTGGTGATAATGTGGTGGCTAAACATTTGCCAGTGGTCCTTGCGCCGGTCCTCGATGTTAATGACGATGATCTGTTGCAGCCAAAAGGCCCACTGCGCCAGGATGTAACCCTTGGTCAGGCCGTTTATCTCTCTGTCGGGCCAGTCGGTCCAAAACTCCCTCATGTTGAGGAAGTAGGGCGAAGTGCAATAGATGTACTAGATTGCCCGTGTCAGCACCGACCTCGGAAGCTGCGCAGCACAAAGCAGAGGCGCCATACCATGCCGAGGGTCCAAAAGACGCTGTAGTAAAGCAGCAGCCAGGCCTGCTCGCTGAAGCGAGTCAAGATCTTACGCTTGGCGACGCCCTGGAGTCTGGCGAAGGGTGCCAAGACGTATTCCATGGTGCCGGCGCGCAGGCCGGTGAAGAGAACGATGCAAAAGGTGAGGAAGTAGGCGTCGTCGAAGCCGATGCCATATTTTTCCGTTTCTTGGTTGTAGTAGGCGAGGTGGAAGAACTTGCGCGTGTGTGTCCTTGCTTTAGGGATGAAGCCGTGGGCTAGGAATAGAAGAGCGAGGAGGTTAAAGGAGAGGCCTGTTGGGCGAGAAGCGCAAGGTCAGCGTTTGCGGGAGACGCGTTGGAGGAGCAAGGGGTAGAGAGAGCATAAGGCCACCTCGCGCATCGATCTCTCCTTTGTCGACCCGGGCGTCCAAGGCCGGGAGACACGAATTGTCGAAGCAACATGGCATCATGTTCTCGGCCAAGAAGTTCCCATGGCTTGGCTGCCTCGGAAGACGAAGAGGACGGTGGAGGGGACAAGAGACGGACCTATTTGGTTCTCCACAAACCAGCGCGCCAGGTGCCTCCAGGTGCCGTCGTCCTTGCGCTTGAGTCTCCGGACGAGGACGACATTGCTGCCGGAAGTCTGCATGTACAAGGGGCCGTTCATGTTTGGGTTGCTGGAGCCCGTCTTGAGCTGCAATCGCGCAGCAGACTTGGCGGCGCCGACAGCGGCCCTGTCCATGGGGGGCGACGAGTCGCGGTGGTCCGAGTCGCTCATGGTTCGGTCGGATTCGGCGGCGGCGGCGAGTGAGAGGGGAGAGAAAGAGGAGAGAAAGAGGAGAGCTGGAATTGGGCGGTTGAACCTCTGCTTCTGCCTCGTTCCGCCACGGCGAGGGTTTCTCGTAGGAGGAGGAATAGAGGAAACGGGAGGTTGGCGAATGCTTTGTACCGAGTACGTCGAGAGGGTACGGGAGACCAGGAGGTACGGATAGGGCTTTGGCGGTGGACGCCGACGGGGGGGCCTGTGGCGGGGGTCCGCGCCTTCTGGTTGGCGGAGAGCGGGGAGGTCGGTTAAAAAACCAAAAAAAAAAAAAGTGACAGCTACTGCCACCTGTGTCGTTTGAGTCCGGAGACGAGGTACGGGGTACACGTAGTCGGTACCTTGGGGGAGGTGACGGACGAAGCCAACGTGAAACTGCGAATGGAGGGGACGAAAAGGGCGCTGCACCGCGGCGATGGGCGAGAGTCGGAGCAAAAAGAGTCGACTCTCCCCAGAGAGGCGACGACGGACGAGAAGAAGATGTCGGTGTACATGGTGAGGTTTTGTGTGTCTGCATGTGTCTTGGATGGTGGCTTTGCACATGCAGCAAGTATCTTTTTGCACTCATACAGTGCCCAAAGCGACTTTTGCTTGTCGCCGGTGTACCGTGCGCAAACTGTGCAAGTGCCTTTAAGCTGGTGGAGAAGATTTGAGACAGATCACCACCAGAGACACGTTGGCAAGTTGGGTTCCGACTAGGTACAGTAGGTAGTGGGTACCTATCTAGCTGGAGTACAAAGACTGCTAAAGAAGCCGCAAACTTAACTAACCTGTCAACGGCCTCTCACTCAAAGCTGCACGAGAAGAAGGCGCGCGTGGAAGAAACCAAGGTCCGCCGCGGCCATTAACGACGATTTGGCCGAGAAAGGGGGAGGCGAACACCGAGGTTGAGTTGCATCTGAGCCTGCAGTACGAAACACACAGTCGCCTTGCTTTGTGCATCAGGCAATGAAAGAGCGGCGGTGAAAAAGATACAGCCATGCATCCGTATGTACGTGGGCGGCGTCAACACGCATGTACAGAACCAAGTATTTTGAACTTAAGTCCCCCAATCGCTCGCTGTGCCGTGATTTGGGATGCTTTTCTGCCCATTCATCCATCCAGGTACTGTATACTTGGCCGAGCCCGGCACTGTCGAGTGCCGCTCTCCACAGCAGCTGCTGTAAGTCAGCGCACCCAAACTCCGGCACACCCCATCTACGGCATCATTTATTACAGTGCTGACCTGAAGGTACTTGATACCCACCTTGCAGATACCAAAAAGTCTATCTCGCCTTGGAATGTGAGCCCCGCTCAAGGCAGCTGATGAAAAAAGACAAGACCAGACAGCACGGGACTGAAAAGCGACCATGCCTAAGCCCGTCTCTGACAAGTGTCAAAAAGGGCCTTCGACAGCTTCGAGAACCCCGAGAAGGGTCCCCTTTTTCCAAGACATTTCTCGTCGTCTCTGCGTGACGCGCTAACCAGTCTTCAGCATGCGGGAAGCCGTTGTAATAGTACGGATCTATTCGTAGGCCCCTATTCTGGACCATCTCCAGTCTTCCACAAAGCCGTCCCGACCAGCATAGAACTGTCTGCCCAAACGGCTGCCAGATCCGGAACCATTTCAACCTCCCTTCCTTTCCGCAAACGAAAAGAGTACCTACCTCTACTGTGCATACTGTAGTGTACTGTAGCTACGACCCAGTCCCGTCGTTCCACCAAAGCAACGCTTCAGGGCCTTCATTTCCCGCCAGATGCAACACGCTCGCTGCCAGGTACAACACAACGGCAGCGCCCACTTGGTGGCATTTGGCCTGGGCGGGCTGGGCTATTCAATCGGATCACTCGCCGACAAGCAACCCAGCAATCGACATGCGTCCATTCGTGCTGCTGTCTGCAGTCCGTCGTCACCCCTTTGCACGTCACCCACCCTAGCTGGCCGTGATTTCAGGAACTTGTGTGATGCCTTGCCCCTGGCCGAGTTCCCCAATTCATCTGGACGTGCTGTTTTCTACTGTACTGTGCTGTACTGTACGTATTCTGTGCCCAGCAAGTCTTCTTCGCCGCCACGCACTCCCATCGACGGAACCACAAAACCTGTGTGCAAACAGACATTCGGCATGCTTCAAAGCCTTCTTTACGTATCTACCTATGATATTTTGACTGTTATGCAACGCATCAAGACTACGCCGTAGATTGACGGACCTCACCTTTCCCTCAATTCATTGTCAAAGTATCGTCAATTCGCATCACCACCGCAGGCTCCAGCTACCCTAGAGCAAGGCAGTTGGCGAAAATTTGACGCCACATTGGCCACTAACCAATGTTCAGCACCGCCACACTCCATAGTACCTACACCAGGCACCAGCCCCGCAGACCTCGCTCTCACCTGACTGTCTGCCCTTTATCGAATCATCATCCATCAACTTTTATTCGTCATCGCCTCTCCCTCCCTCTCCCACTTCCACCCACCACCATCCACCCCATCAACGACGCAACGACACTCCCGCATACCGTACAGAACCCCCTCCTCCCCCTCCCTCCCCCTCATCGCGCAAACGCATCGCACACGCACACGCACACACGCGCGCCATGGCGTCCAACTCCAAGTATCAGCCTGCGCCGCAGCAGGACCCGGACGGCTACACCCACGCGCCCCCCGCCTACGCCCACGCCGAACCCTCCGCCTCGGCCCGCGACGAGACCCAGGGCCTGTTTGGCGCCCCGCGCAGCAGCGAGGATAACCTGCCGGATGACTTCAAGGTGAGCCCCCTTCCATTTACGGGGAGCACTGGAGATCGGCCTGCCGCGAGAGGACATGACAAGGGCAGCCATGCCTTGACTTCAACGCCGCTGACACTATACCCTCCAGTTTGGTGGCTCCGTCGCCGAAGCCACCGTCGATATCCGCAACCAGTTCATCCGAAAGGTCTACACCATCCTCACCGTCCAGCTGCTCGCCACCGCCGGCGTCAGCGCCCTCACTTTCTTCAGCCACTCCTACAAGATATGGATCCAGAGCCACCCGGCCCTCGTCTGGGGTTCCGTACGTCCTTCCCCTTCTCCCAGCCTTGCCGGACATGCCCAGAAGCTGCCAAGAGAGGACTTGTCCACGCGCTCAAGATGCGTTGCTAATGTGCTATAATGCCTCGCAGCTCTTCGGCTCGCTCATCTTCCTGGGCCTCACCTACTGGAAGCGCAAGTCGTATCCGACCAACCTGCTCTTCCTCTCCCTCTTCACCGTGGCCGAGGCCTACACGATATCCGTCATTGTCTCCTTCTACAAGACGTCCATTGTCCTCAACGCCGTGATTCTCACGGCCGGCATCTTCATCTTTCTCACCGCCTTCGCCTGCCAGACCAAGTACGACTTCACCTCGTGGATGCCCTACCTCTTCGGCGCACTCTGGGGTCTCGTCCTCTTCGGTCTCGTCTCCATGTTCCTCCCTTACAATTCCACGGCCGAGCTCATCTACGGCGGCCTCGCCGCCCTCATCTTCAGCGCCTACATCCTCGTTGATACCCAGCTCGTCCTGCGCAAGCACCACGTCGAAGAGGAGATTGCCGCCGCCATCAGCCTCTACCTCGACATCATTAACCTCTTCCTCGCCATTCTGCGCATTCTTAACGGGCAGTCGAATAACTGAGACTTAAAGAGGTGCGGACATAGGTGGGCGGCGACGAGATGCAGAAGGGCACTGTCCTGGTCTCGTTTCCCCTCCCTGGTGTCCTGTGAGCGCAAGAGAGTTTGGGCTGTCGGCGGTCACGAGGGGGTATGTTTGCGACGCGAAGCGAGGCGCAGACTGGATTACGCACCTGCCCCGAATCTCCCTCTCCCTTAACCTTTTCTCTCTGCATTTTGTACTTTACTCCGTCCCTAGATTGAATCGTCAAGTGAAATAGCGTTGACCGCACGACCCAACGCACTGCGCGTCAGCGCCTGTGCTTCTACGTAAACCTCGCGGCCGCGAGTCTCTCCCGACAGTCTCCCGGGAGTTCTCCAACTCGACGAGGGGCATGGAGGCGCCCAGAGGGCCAGAGGAGTCACAAGTATTCGATATTTGCATTAAAAGTCCTTGAAAGGCTAAAGGCAAAAGACAAGAACAGAGATAAATAAGCGGCATATCGCAGGGTAAAGGGCCAGGCAACAAACAAACGAGGTACCAATACAGCTAAACCAGGCATCAGAGCTGAGGCGTGCTGTCGGCAAGGGGTCAGCGTGATGGCCCAACCGGAAGAGTGTCCTCCGCGACCTCATCTTCATTTTCCCACCCACAGTTGCGTGCCAGAGCCGTTCCCGTGCACAGCCCTGTACCCCCCGTACCGAGACACCACCCGCAGCGTCGAGAAAACAGGCCCACCTGCTCCATCGGCTTCCATTCCCGGAGCACCCGCCTTGGACTGTACCATCATCTCGGCCCTCGAATGCTGTGCAAAGTAGGGCAGCCGAGAGGCAAGGGAACAAAATTCGATTCGAGTGTGCTGCAACCTGGGGAATACTCTCTTTCCGCTCTCCAGTCATGAGGAAGGGAACAAGAACCAACGCCGAGAGCAATACATAGACCAACGTCGCGCTTTTTTGGGACACCGCTGAAAGTCCCCATCGTATGTCGTCTGAAATGCACTATTCCGCGGCTTCGCCGTTGGCTTCGGGCACAGGAGTAGACTGGGACGCTTCCCGCTGCATGCGAGCTTCTATCTCGCGAAGCTGCGACTCGCGGGCCAGGAGCTCCTGTCGCTTCTCGTTGATCTCACGCTGGACCTTGAGTTCGATCTCTCGGAGCTTCTCTTCCTCGCGCCGAAGCTGCTCCTCCTTGAGACGAACGGACTGGGAGGCGAGATCTTCGGGGTTCATTGAACTGTCGGCGCTGCGGCATTCGTCAGCACATGGAACAAAATACGCCGCGAACAAATCAAGTCGACATACTTTCCAGATGCCCCGTCGACACTCTTGGACAGCTTCTCGGTACGATAATTCTCGTACAGGAAATCGTGCGTGATTTCCTTGAGGTCCGCGAGGTGGCTATGGAGGAGAGCGGAACGGATGGCCAAAAAGTCCGAATGACGAGGGTTGTCGACCTCGACGACGCCCCAGGGGTATTGGCGAGCGCGAACCTTGCGGCCGCTGATTTCGACAACATCCTCGGAGCCCACAATAGCAAAAGGCATGAGTCCCCGTAGCTCAGCGTTCTCCTCAACGGTGTCCTCGTCATCCTCCTCGATATCGTAGGGGAAGTTGTAGACGGGGATTCTGTAGTGCTCAATGTCCTCCATGACCAACTTCTTCGACTCGGCCAGCTCTGCAGGGGTGAGAGTATCGGAACGTCCAATGACGGGGATGACGTTGACGCGAGGAGCCAGGCGCTTCATCAGTTCAATGTCGAGCTCTCGCAGGCTGGGCATCATATGTGAGCAGAGTGCTTCGAGGGACCAGGTGCCGCAAGAAAAGCGCTTACCCGTGGCCGGTGGGGGTGATGAAGTAAAGCATGGCGTGAACTCGGTTATCCCTGAAGCGGGGGTTACGCTTGATGCGAGACTCCTCGGCCAAGATGTCATCGTATTGCCTTTCGAGGTAGCCGACGATTTCCGCAAAGCTGAACAGATTGATTAGAGGGAGACTAGATGAATTGTTGGCTTGAATCAAGGCATACCTAGCTTCGTTATCAATCTGATCACCGAAACCAGGTGTGTCGACGATGGTTAGGGAGATGCGGGTTCCCTCCTCGTCGAGCTCGAGCTCTGTGATTCGGTGACGTTAGCCGAGGGGGGGTTTTACATCGGGGGTCGGCAGGAGCCGTCACACACCGACAGTGACGGGCTTGATCTTAACGCCATCTTCAACATGAGCATCGGTGGCATCGTCCGAGTCTTTGTGCTGGAGGACGTCCTTGCCACAGAGTGTGTTGACAAAAGTGGTGCGGCCTGTTGCAAAGTGAAAGGAGTCAGCTGTGAGTGTATACGCGCGGTGGACAAGTGGCGTGATGGTCGCAGGAGTGCTGGGTCAGGGGTTGGGGGGAGCCGCAATGGGTGTGGGAAATACCAGTTCCAGAGGCACCGCAAACCATGAGGCAGAACTGAATGCCCTTCTTGACGTTCTTCTTCCGGCGAATCATCTTCTGTGGACGTGCATCAACGCGTCAGCGAGCTCGAATGAGCGACGGGACAGAGGGCCCGATTGAGGCTCTCCCAGTAACCCGAGAGAGGCGACGGGCGCGGTGGACTCTTCCAAGAGCTGCGACGAGCCAGAGGGAGACGGGGGGGGAGTGATACGTACGGCGGGGGACGACATTTTGACGAGAAGAGGCTCGTGAGGAGGCCTGGGGAGAAGACTTTGATGGGACGGCTGCAGCGGGCAGAGTCGACTCTGGGTGGAAAGAGGGAAAGGGAGAGTGGGAGGAGGCGGAGGCTGCGTGTGCGCGTTCGATCACGAAGCGGCGCTCTCGGGGTTGAGCAGGGCAGGAAGATGGATGGAGAGACGGTGAGATGGTCGGAGGCAAGGCAAGGGTGGAGAGAAAGGGGAAAGGGGAGTCCTAATGGGCGAGGTACTGTACCCGGGGTTGCGTGCATCCCAGGGCACGCAGCCAGGTACCCTTGGCCGTAGCACGCCCACGAGCCGGCAGGGCACCAGCTGTCAGTGCCCGGAATACCGTACCTAGCAGGGTCCCGTAGGTACGGAGTACCTCGCTGGCCACCCAAGGCGGCAGGCGGTGGGTGGCCCTGGGCCGACTTTGCAGGGCTCATTTTACGCCTGTCCAACTGAACCCCCCGTGGCGCCTGCAGTCCCCGAGTCCCCGCCGTGCCAGCAGATTGGGTGGCTGATTTCTGCCCCTGCAGGTACCTTGTCGGGTCCCTTGGGCAGCGTTTGCGGTACCGTGCATCAGATCGGGAAATTAACTGTACGGAGGGTATCTATACTGTGTATACGGGTAGAAAACGCAGAGACATATGGCGAGATACTTTATTACAGTACGAATATCTCGGCTGTCAACACCAGCCTCCTCCAAAAGTCATCAGCGAAAGTTGAAGCTCGTCGATTCGAGTGGAGAGTCAGTACCTTGCAGCTCCGCAGCCTGCCATCAAAGCGTCACTCATCTCACAGCATGTGCTCGCGATGGTCCGTCAACGGGCGAGCCGGACCACTGTTTCTTGGGCCGGCCAGTATAATGGTCAGACGCGGAGTAGATGGAGCTTAAGCAGCAGACAAAGGAGAGGCTCGAGACCATCTCAAGACCACACATCAGCGAGCGATACAAGAGTGCAAGACCATCTTACCCAAGCCAGTAAAAGGAGCCTGAGTCAGTACAGAGGAGCGTCGAGGTCCGACTGGCACAATCCAAGGTGCCCATCTGCGGCAGATTACCCAGCACAAAGTACCTCGGGTCACTTTCTGGGGAAGGCGGCAATTCTTCGGAAAGCCACTTGTCACCTTGACTCTGCCAAGAACCATAGTCGCGTGCCCGCAGGACTGATCTTCCTTCCGAGTTGCCTGAAGAATTCGAATTGTACAGTACTTTATTACAGTACGGAGTAGGTAGGTAGGTACCTAGGTAGGTAGCCAGGCGAACCTCTTTGTTGAGAGGCATTCTGTCCCGGTCTCGGGTCGGCGTTTAAATCGAGTAGAAAGTATCTCTGCAACTTTCTCGATTTATCCTTTCTCTCTCTCCGCCGTTCGAGTCCTACCACCCCGCCGAGCAACAAGAGGCCTCTTCTTGGTTGGACGACGACACTCTCTAGACTCTCTCTCTGCACGCTAATGGACGGGTGTGGCTGGTTCCACCACCACAGTGGCTGAGCGCGGCTGCACGCCCGTCGAGTCTAACTTGGTAGACTCACGGGCCCGAAGTCCGCATCACCAGATTACCTTATCTCTCCATTTTAGGCCCAGGCACGGAAGATGAGCCTCGTCATGGGACAACTGAAAGTCTCGCTTCAAACATTCCTCTGCCGTAACCCGGTCGCCTCCAACGTCCAACCTCGCCGCTGCGTCGCCGCCGTCCGCTGCCCGCATCGCTCCATCTGCCCGCCGCCGCCTAGCCAGTAGCCGAGCGCTCATCGACACCTCGCATCGTTGCCTTGCGACGAGCTCCATCATGCGCGACCCCAGGACGCGATAGCGCTGAGCCGGGCCTTTGACATCTTTTCTTGCTCGTCCTGTCGTCTCCTCCACGCGCCCGTCCCCAACAAACCAGCTCGCAACCATGAACGTGCGCCCGCCCATAGAGTCGTCAAGCCCGACGGCCGTGCTATCCGTCTCCTTCAACAGCGATTCCAGTTGTTTCGCCGTCGGCCTGGAGTCTGGCATATGCAGTGAGTCTCGCTCAGGGCACCCGCGCCTGTGGTGGAAACAGTCCCCGTTGACCGCCACGCCGCCTAGTCTTTCACACCAAGTCCTGCCTCCTCAAGGCATCCAGAGGTTTGATGCCCTTGGCCGCTGCCGCCCATCCGGATGCTGACAGATGCCCAGACTTTAATGCTGGCATTGGTCTCGTGCAGATGATGGGCAAGACCAACTATCTCGCCCTCGTTGGCGGCGGCAAGTCACCCAAGTTTGCCATGAACAAGGTAAGAACAAGGAGCCCGCGCACTCACCCCGTCATCTTCTGACCTTCGCTCAGGCCATTGTATGGGACGATATGAAGGGCAAGGTCGCGCTTGAAATCGCCGCGCTCAGCCCCATCCGAGGCGTCCGACTCGGCCGGGAGCGCATCGTCGTCGTCCTCCAAACCAGCGTACGGGTCTACTCCTTCGCCAAGCCCCCCGATTTGCTGCACGTTTACGAGACCGCCGATAACTTTCTAGGCTTGTGTTGCTTGTCCGAGAACAAAGCGGCTTTCCCTGGCCGGACGCCCGGTCATGTCCAGCTGGTGGACCTCGTCACGGGCAGCGTCAATATCATCCCGGCGCATTCGTCTGCCCTCAAGGCCCTTCAGCTGAGCTGCAACGGAGAGCTTCTGGCGAGTGCCAGCGAGACCGGCACTCTGATCCGCGTCTACGCCACCAGCAACTGTGCCCGGATCGCCGAGCTCAGACGTGGCATCGACCCAGCCACCATCTTCTCCCTTGCCTTTTCCCCCTCAGGCGCCATGCTTGCCTGCACGTCGGACAAGTCCACCCTCCACATATTCGATATTCCCAATGCCCGCTGGCAATCCGCGAGCAGGGGCCAGCAGTCGAGCGCTTCGGGAGCCGACAACGATGTCGGGAAATGGGGCATCCTGGGCAGGATCCCGCTGATGCCGCGCGTCTTCTCTGACGTATACTCCTTCGCCTCGGTCCCCTTCGAGGCGGGCGACGACGCCATGGTCGGCGGAATTCCCTTCTCCGAGGGCACAGTCCTGGGCACGACGAGACCGCCCAAGGGCGTCATCGGGTGGATCAGTGACGACAGCCTCGCCGTCGTCGGAGCTGGCCAAGACGCCAGGTGGGAGAAATTTGTGGTGCTCGACGGCGACGACGGCAAGCGACACTGTGTGCGGGAAGGCTGGAAACGATATCTGGGAAACACGTGAATAGACAAGTTGTGGGAGTGGACGTGGCATTTCGGACGAGGCAGGTTTGCGGTTTATGCAGGAGTTGGCGTGGGGAGTCATGTTCCAACTTTCCCTTTATGCTTGCATTCAACTAGTTGTCACGCCGTCTCGGCGAACGACTCCTACTTCTTCTGACTCTTTTGTCGTGGTCATCAAGGTCCTTTCTTGCATGCCGACGCTCACTGGGAAACCCTCGGTCGGGCTGCCGCTTCTCCCTTTGCCCGTCTCGGGTCCTATGTCTTTGTTCGTCTGCGTCGTCATCATCATCTGTGTGATAGCGTCGCCGGGCTCGGGCCCTGGAATCGTCGCGCCGTCTGTGCTCCTTGCCGTCCCTGTCCTTGTGCCGCCGCTCGTGGTCCCGAGAAGGCTCGCTCTCGCGTGATCTGCTGGGGCGATCCGCGTCACGCTCATCGCGGTTTGGCCTGTGGGACCGATGGTGCCGGTGCTTGAGTCTTCTCTCCCTCTTTTCGGCTTTTCGTTTCGCCTCATCAACCTCTTTCTTCTTCTCCTCGATGAAGAATGCCTTCATCGGATCGTCATCGTCGTGGTCTCGCATGAGCTTGGCCAGCTCTTGTTCCTCTGGCAGCAGAGGGCGCTGCTTCTCCTCCTCCCCCTTCTCCTCCTCCTCGCTGCTCTCATTGTCGGAAACGGGCCGCCCCTCCTTGCGCCTCATGTCCTCCCAGGCGACCTTGAACTCGTCCGGGTCCTCGTCATCGCGGGCCTTGTAGCGCGCATGGTCGACGCTGATGAGTCTGCCGCCAATATCGGCGCCGCCCAGGTTGTCGACGGCTAGATCGGTGCTCCGCTGGTCCTCGTACTTGAGCCATCCGAAGCCTTTGGACTTGCCAGTCTCCTTGTCGCGCGCGAGCTTGAGGAATACCGGCTCGCCGAACTGAGAGAAGATTGTGATGACGTCGCCTTCGGAAAGATCATATGGCAGCCCGCCAAAGTAGACAAATGCCGTGTCGCGATAGTCTGTGTGCCAGGAAGCGCCGGTCGAGCTGCGTCATGGTCAGCGCGATGAGGCGCATCTGCGGCAGGACAAGGACGTTCAGCTTACATTCCTTGCTCAATCTCTTTCTTGTTGAGCGCTTGAATGGCGCGAATCTTGTTCATGGTGGCCCGTTTGTGCGCAGGCCGCCCGGCGTACAAGGGCGCCGGAAGAAAAGTTGGGTGTGGTGCTGCGAGGCTTGAGCTCTGGAAGGTGAACTGACATGCCTGTCTCGCTGACGGCTCGCTGACGCAGCAGTGGCCCTTTGGCGCGTCCGGTGCCTGGAGAGTGCAGAGGGAGGCTCGCGCGGGTCAATTTCCTTCCGTACGCCGACGCTAGCACCGCCGACTCCCCACCATGAACGTTTGGCCTCATTGCGTTGGGTAGACGAAGGGAGATAGATGACACTTCGTTTGACAGACGGTGCTGATACTCCGCGCTCGACCACCCTCCGGCCATGTCGTTTGCTCGCTGCGATTAGGCCCTTACTCATCGACACTACTGACGACGCCATTCATCGACCCCTGAACAAGATGCTCCGACCTCGGCCTTGATTAGTTTAAACGGAAACCTCCTTGGCCAGTGACGACATCGAAACGCGCTCCAGTGCCGACGACGCGTCGCCGACCCGAAAGCACCTTGGCCTATGAACTAGCCGACTGCCTTTCCCTGCGAGAGCGGAAGCCACGGCAATGGCGGGCGGAAACGAGCGAGCTTCTACGTACACGGCCGCTTCAGGAGAGTCGGTCGGCCGCAATGGCGACCAGAAGCGGAACCTGTGGACATCCATGCTGGAGTCGGTCGCCAGCGGGAAGAAGCTGCCGGAAAAGAATATACTGGTATTAGGTACGTGCGATTCGCTCCCGGGGGCAAGGTTGCTTCGGCCGAGGCGCTGACAAAATCCAGGCGGAACCCCCGAGTCGCAGCGAGAGTTTCTCGAATCTCTATCTGGCACGACCGCGAGACGGAGCTTTGACAGGCAAAAGATGCCACCCATCGCCAACAACTTTGCCCTAGGATATACATACTATGACGTGCTCGACGCCGATCAAGAAGGTGAGCGCTCATGGCCCTTGTTCGTGGCTCGGCGACTGATGGTGAACAGACACCCTGGCGCGCGTTTCACTCTACCTCCTGTCCCAGCCATCAACCGAATTCGCTCCCCTCGTCTCTCCCCTACTCACGGCCGAGACGGTGCCAAACACGACGCTCGTCATACTCCTCGACTGGTCGCAGCCGCATTTATGGCTACGCCAACTATGGAATTGGATACAGGTCCTCGAACAAGTCATGAGCCACGTCAAGGCGGAGGCGCGCAACGAAATGGAGGAAGTCATGGCCTCGTGGAAAGAAAGGGGACGTGGGGGCGCGACAATAAACCTCGACGGAACACCATCCACGACGGGCACCACTGGCGATGGAGACGGTTTGTTGCCCCTCGGGCCTGGAGAATGGACGGAGCCTCTTGGTCTGCCGTTGTCTGTTGTCTGCCAGAACGTAAGACTTGCCTGCCCTTGCCGTCCTTGCGGACCTCCGTGGCTGACACTGTGCAGGCACAAAAAATGGAGTTTCTAGAGAAGAGCATGGGATGGAAGGAACCAGACTTTGATACGGTTCTGCAATACCTCCGAACTGTGCTGCTACGGCGTGAGCACCCCTTGACCGTGTCCCGAGGCCTTGGTTGCTAACTGACTCTAGATGGCGCTTCTCTCATCTACACTTCGCAAAACACAACCTCGCAGCTTCCCGTGCTCCTTCACTCGACGCTTGGCATCACATCTCTCTTAAAACGACAGCCTCTAAAGCACAACGTCATTGACCGCGACAAAATCGTCGTGGCCCCCAACTGGGACTCTTGGGGTAAAATCCGCATCTTGGGCGGCACCTTTGACGCCGAGCTCGTCTCCAGCGGCTGGGAGGAGGACATCAAGTTACCTGCCGGCTCAAAGATCCCGACTATGGAGGATGACGGGCAAGACGCGGGCAACCCCCAAGAGAACGGCCACTCGACTCGGGGCCCCAGCGCCATTGCGCAGTATGAATATTGGTGCCGTGACCCCCACAGCGGTGGTCTAGCCGTCGTCGAGAGCGCCATGGGCGACGGGTCGGCGGTCGGTGTGGAGAGCGAGGATCCGCAAGAGTTCTTTGAGCGGCAGCTCAAGATCCTCGAGGCCTTTCGGTCCAAGGCGCCCGAAAAGGCAACCGAGAACACGGTATCCACGGGCGCGAGACGATCAGACCCTGCAGACGAGAAGAGCGTCAACGATCACATCGGGCCGGTGCAGTTCAACATGGGCGGCATCCAAGTCGATGCCGATGACATGCTGCAACGTCTCAAGGTAGGGCTTCAGCGCAGGCCCCCTCTCCTTTTGTTCTTCCTGGGGACCACTGGGAGCATGTACGAGCAGGAGAGCCGTGGCTGACCCACTACAGGACCGGAACGCGCGCGTGGCCTCGTCCGGGCCCGACGAGTCGGACGACGAGAACCCCGTGAGCAACATGGCCAAGGAAATCGACACGGAGCAGCTGCAAAACTTCTTCAGCGGGCTGATGAACAGGACGGCTGGGTCGATGGATGGACCTCGCTCGTGAGCGCCCAGCTGGCGCTTTCTCGTGGTTGGCGAGGAAAGGGACATTGAATAAGGGGCCGCTGTGGCTTGCAAATAGATACCCCTGACGGAGAGAAGAGAAGTTGTTTGCAAGCGGAGTAAAGACATGCTCGAGGCGAATTGTAGGCCTGCGCCTGATTGGCGTCTATCAAACAGTCGCATGTGGACGCTGCACGAGTCTACGGAAGGGCTATCGAATGCTCCGTCGTGCATGCATTTCGGCATCATCAAAGAGGAAAAAGAGGACGGAAGCCCACCTCTGTCTGCCCCGCAACCTACGACTGCTCCCTCGCCGCCTTGTACTCGACGTGCACGGCCGACACCTCAACGCCCAGCCTCGCCATGACGACGGCGGCCAAGAGGCCCGGGAACAGCCAGGGGTGCTGCAGCATCTCGGGCTCAAAGGCGTTGACGACGGCGCGGGCGCGGGCGCAAAAGGCGGCGTCGTCCAGAAGGGCGCCGAGGCGGAACAGGTTGGCGGCCGACACGGCATTGGTCGAGGGCAGCGACGTGTCCATGCCGTCCTTGAGGCGGAGGATGGCGTGCGGCGACGACGCCGTCGTGGAGAAGAAGCCGCCAGCCGGGTCGTGGAAGAGTCTGATCTGAGTCTCTGCGGACAAGGGGGACCGAGGTCAGTTGATGCTGCCGATCTGCTAACAGGAGCGACGGAAGCGGTGCTTACTTTGAAGGGTGTCGGCGAAGGCGAGGAGGCTCTCGTCACCCGTCGCGTCAACCAGGTCCAAAAGACCACAGATCAAGTAGGCGTAGTCGTCCGCAAACCCCTCCGTCTCCCTCCCGTCCCGCCATATCCTGTACAGCACTTCGGCGTCTGGGTCCCACATGCGCTTCTGAATAAACCAAACGGCCGCTCTCGCCGTGATCAGGCACCGCTCGGCCTTGGCCTGCGCAACCTTCTTGAGGGCCGCGGCAGCCCGCGCCAAGGCGGATATCACCAGCCCGTTCCAGCCCGTGACGACTTTGTTGTCCAGCGCGGGCCGCACCCGTTCTCGCTCCCGCCTGGCCTTGAGCTCCCACTTGGCGGTCTGGATGTACTGCTCAACAGTTTCGACGGGGATGCTAAACTGGGCCGCGAGCTCCTCGGGCGTCTTGACCACTCTCGGGATGTTTTGGTTGATAAAGTCGTCGTTGGGGTCGTGGTCCTCGTTCACGTTACCATCCTCCTGAACATCCCAATACGCCGCGACGACGGGGCTGATGTGCCTGTCGGCCGCATCAAGCACCGAGTCAAACTCCCGCCTAGTCCAGAGGTACCAGGCACCCTCTCTCATATCGGAATCGCCCCGCCGGTAGTAGGAATCGGCAGCCTCGCTAGAGGCTAGGCAGCCGTCGGGGAGGGCGATGGGCTCCGAAGTCAGATACTCAACGAGCTCGCCCACGACGTCGAAGAACTCGCTGCTGGCCTGTCCACCACAGACACGCCAGGCGTCGAGATACAGGCCCAGTAATAGAGCATTGTCGACGACGAGTTTCTCGAAATTGGGAAGGCTCCAATCCGGGGTGACGGAGCAACGCGCAAAGCCGGCGCCTCCAACGTGGTCGCGCAAGGACCCATCGCGAATCTTTCGCAGCGTCCCGATTGCCATGTCCGACGCGCGTCTGCACTCTGCCTGCCCGACGACATCCTGCACGGGGCTGGAATATTGTTGCAGCTGTAACAAGAATGCCAGTTTCGGCGGGGTCAAGAACTTGGGTGCGCGTCCAAATCCTGCGTGGACGGGGTCATAGGTGCCGGCAATGTGTGTACAAGCTTCCTCCAGCTGGTCGAGGTCCAGCTCACTAGACACGGGAGCATCTCTGTCCCTGGCCCCTGCAGCGTGCGCCGGTGCTGGGGCAACCCACCCTGGCGGCGCCAGCGATGGCTGGCCGACGATGCCACGGGTGCCAAGAGTTCCCTCGGCGGCAAACTCTCGCAGCTGGCCCAGGATCTCAGTTGCCTCCTTTCGACAGCGACCTTCCTGGTGTCTCCAGATGTCGTGCACCTTTCTTAGTATGGTGAGAAAGTCTGGGGGGTGGTCCTCGTGCTCGGCCATTGTGCGTCGCGCTGTGCCGGGGCCGGGCCAGAAGGTGCCTCCAAAGACGGGTTCCAGCTCGGGCGTCAGAAAGAGGTTCAGCGGCCATCCTCCAACGTTGCTGACGGCCTGGACATAGTTCATGTAAATGGTGTCAATGTCGGGGCGCTCTTCTCGATCGACAATGACGGGGACAAATGCGTCGTTGAGTATGGCAGCGCATTCGGGGTTGGAAAAGGACTCGAGGGCCATGATGCGACAGACTGCAGGCACGCATAAGCTCGACACGGAACTGCTGGGCTGGTGAGAGGTGACTGTGCGAAGGGAGAACCCACAGTGGCAAGCTCGGTATCCGACGTGCAGGAAGATGAGCTTGTTCTCTCTCTCGGCGCGCCGCACCGAGTCCGCATCCAGCAGCTGCCATTTCACCAGACTATCCTGCCCGGTCTTGACGAACGGACTCTTACTGGAGCTGGCTCGATTTCGAAGAGTCGATGGCTGACCGGCTGACGTTCCCCCTTGGAACCCTCCACCGTCGATGGCAATGGGGCTGCAAACGGCCGTCAGGTGGGATACGCCCATGGCGAGCGAGCGAGCGAGCGTGCCTGCACTCAGCGTGAAGAGCACGTCGGTGGCGTGGGCAGCTCAGCCGTTAGAAATGGCCCTGTTGGAGGATTTCGAGTGCAGATGCAGAGTTCCTTCTAGTGTTGATTTCTTTCTTTATAGTGCGCTAGGTCGACTTGAGGGCGAAGGCTCTGGCGGGGATTTGGATCGTCGAGTTTGGCGGGGCTGGTGACGATGTCTGGGATTGGCGGACCAAGGCTGTCAGATCTACGGGCTAATGCACGGGCCGTTTATCGATAGGCCTCCCCGGCCGTGGCTACGTACCTCTGGAACCTACAGTGCATGTATTAGTACCTATTACCCAACCTAGGTACCACGGCAGGCCTGCCTCCAGCGCCGCGAGCCGGCCTGCGTCTCACTTTCATCCATCGTCCTTCTCCTCCTCCTCCATGCCGCAGCCCAGGGTGGCCATCTTGCACAGCCATGGCAGAGCCAACGTACACCGTCTTCGTGCGCATCCCCATCCCGCGAGGCGACTTTGTCGACCCGCCGCCGGTACGAGCACTGGTCCACGCCGAGCTGCTGTCCCCCCGGCCTGCTGACCATGTCGTCCGTCTAGGTGCATTGGGATCCGACCAAAGATGAGGCTCTCTGGAAGATCTTGTCCGGTGCCGCGCAGACCGACATTGACTGTGAGTTCCCCACACTCCATAGCCGCCTTGACGCGGCTGACGATTGGCGCAGGGAATCTCGTGTACGTCTCCGGCGCCGTCATCGCGCGTCGACGACGATGCCATGACCTGAGTGCTAACCTTGCGCAGTGCCCAACGCTTCGAGGTCCCCGTCGACTTCCTTCTCCAGCAGGTGGCCTATCTGACAGAGCGACACGCATCGCAGGTCCGCGCCCAGGTTCGCAAGGCCACGGCTGCCGCCAGGGGCTCCGCCGCTCCCTCGCCGGTCCCGGGCTCCGAGCATCCGCGCACCGCCTCGGCTCTGTCCGTCCGGCGTGACTCGCCTATGCCACGACATGACAGCGGCAGTGCCGCTCCTGCGTCCATGGCTGGGTCCGGACGGCCGGGTGCGTCGCGCAATGCTTCAGCTAATACCGCGACCCAGAAAGACGCCGGCGGCTCGTCCGGGAGACTGCCCGTGTCTGGTCGTACTACAGACACGGGCGGCCGGAGGCGCTTGTCGTCGTTGCCCGTAGCGTCGTCGACTGCCAAGTCACCCGAGGCCACACCTGGGAACGACCAGGGAAGGGGGGCGTCGCCGGGCCCGGCCGAGTCCACCTCGTCCGATGACGATGGGTCCAGCCCCGCCCAATCTCGCATCATCCGGCGGCCGCCCCGCTTCCAGCAGCAAGAAGCTGCTCAGTCATACCACGACGTCGACAACGACGACGACGACGAGGACGACGAAGAGTCGGAGCCAGCGTTCCAGCCGTATCGAGCCGCACCGGAGCATGCGTCAGCCCAGGACCTGGCTTCCACGCTCAAGGGTGACGGCCGCATCGCTGCAGAGCGCGGACACCAGGGCTCCGGCAAGGATGCTGCCCTGCAATCCCACACGTCCGACTCGTCGGCGAGCTCGGCGGCGAATCTTCCTCGACCCGGCAAGGCCCACGAGCAGGTGATGGGTGGCCCTCTGTCGTCGCCTCGCCGTGCCGCCGAGTTGGCGGGCCGCAGCCCTGCAGGCAAGCGCAGAGCCGCGTCGCGCGAGGGAAGCGAGGGTACACCGAGCATGGGGAGCAGCTTCAGCGACCTCGATGGTAATGCTCGAGGCCCGTCTCTCTTTGTATTGTCTTACTAACCAAGTCGATAGATGCATCCGTGACGCAGTCGGCACTGGAGGAAGCCTTGGCCAGCCATATGAACCGCGGGGCCATCAGCAGCCGTTTCAGCATCAGCCAGGCTTTCCGTAGCCGCTACACTCCCGGCTCCTCCAACAAATGAGGTTGGCCCATCTATCGGCGTTGAGGGTGCAAAGCAAGTGGCAACTTGATTGGATGGAAATTGCGGCATCTGCACGGCGTCTTGGTTTTTCTCTCAACTACGGATGGGTAGAATGAAGCGATGGTGAATCGGCGACTCTTCTGCCCTGTTTGCAGATGCTGCGCTGGCTCTGTCCCAAACGGAAAGCGATAAATCCTGCAGGGCTTGGTTGCCTCAGGTGACGACGGGGGAAACCACCCCCCACAAAACACTTCCTTCCGTTTCGTTAAGCCGCACGATAAAAGAATCTCCCGTATTCAACGCACCTTTTCCTACCGCTCGGCTGCCCTTGACCTTTTTGTGACTCTGCCCACGCACAAAGCCTTTGGCCAGAGCACACGACACGACAGCAAACGATAGTAGTTGCCATCATCCACCATTCATTCGCTCGCCATGTTTCGTCGCCACTGGTCGGGCCTCCCCAAGGACCCTGTGTTCCCTGCCGACCTCAAAGGCCTCGGGTATGTCGCCACCAGGACCCTCTTTGGCACATCCAGGCTGTTTAGCTGATGCCCCACGCTCAGATACTTCGTCAACGCCCAGGACGAGGTTCGATCGATTGCGGACCCGCACTTCTATTTCAAGTTCTTCCTGAACCGTCACCCGCGTATCAACTTTCGCCAGCGCTTCAGGTTTGATCGTAAGAGCTTCTTCTGATCGTGGACAAGCGAGAGACTTACGCCCGCGGTAGAAGCACTGGAGCGCCTCGTCCATGAGCGCCTCGAGAAGCAGGGGCTCCAGAAGGTCGCCTTGCCGCTGGGATCGGCGCCACAGGATCGCCATGTCCCTGTTTTCGTGAGTCCCGACCTCATGTCCAGGGCTCGCGTCGTCGTCATCTTCGGCGAGCCCTCGCAGGATCTCGGTGTCCTGGCCGGCCGCGTGCTCAGCGGCCCTGGCGGCATCGACAAAGGCAGCATGGTCTCGGTTGTGCAGGCTCTCCAGGCGCAAGCCTCTTCGGGAACCGACTCCTCGCCCCCTGGCGTCGTCCTCGCAAACACAGGCCAGCTGTACTGGTGGCCGGAGGGCAAACGCGGCCTCACAGTCACCTCTAGTGCCAACATTCCCCTGCCGAGCATGGTCCACCTCGGCAGGCAGCATGTGCCTGCCCTGAACTCGATCCCTCAGAACGAGGATCCGGCAAGCCACGTCAACTATGTCTTCAGAGAGGTCATTGGGGGCTTGGCCAAGCAGGATGCCATCATCAGCCTCGTTGCCATCGGAGGATCTTGCGAGCTTGTGACCAAGTTTCTGGACAACGAGGTGAACTGGGCGGCTTGGGGAGACAGGCTGAGTTCCATGCTTTTGCTTGGACATGTCTACCCCGACGACGGCCTGAAGACACCAGCCTTCAAGGAGTTTCTTACGAAGGTAATTCTGGGACGACGCCCTCCGTCCACACACACGTACTCACCAATCTCAGCGCACCCGGGCGTACGTCACTTCGAACCTACCCCTCGACACAGCGCTCGCTCCGCCGACCGGCAACGCACACCAGGGTATCCCCAACCTTGGATGCCCGTGCTACTCCTCGTCGGAACCGTTGTACGACGAGGTCATCCTTATCCGCGCCCTCGAGTCAGCACTGCGCTACGCCGAAGACGCCGCCACGACGTCCGGGTTCGAGAACCCGCCTGTCGAGATCGTCGTCACCGACGAGCCGGAGGAGCGCGAGTTCACTGACGAAGACTGGGCAAAGGTGCCAGAAGATCAGAAGCCTTGGGTGTCTTCGACGTCCTTTGTCTAAGGGGTGGGAGAAGATGGAAAGGGGTTAGTGTTGAGTGAAGAGGGGATGGAGTAAGAAGGGATTGCCCCGTCTTGATCGGAGCGGGTGCATGTTTGGGACGACATTCCGAGGCTGGTTTCACCAAATTTGCAGATAGCCGATGAAGAAAACAGGAGCGTACAGATGTTCCAAGCCAATAGTGATCCTGACGGCCGTTCGAACGCAGTCCGCAGACAAGAAAGCGTAGCCCAGCGCTGAAACGGCTCGACGCTGTTCACCGCCTTTACGCTTTAAAATATGAAAGAAGACCCGTCTCCGGCGGCACTATGTCCTCCATCAGCTCCGCAGTCCTCCTCATGCGTTCCTGCACCACGGCCTCCTCCGCCGCCCAGCGGCCCTCGGCATCTTTCGGCCCGCTCCACAAGGAAAAGATGGCTGACTTGGAGCCGCTCTTGCCCTTGGCCTCCTCGGCCCTCGCCAGCCGCGCCACCATCGTAGACCAGTTATCCAGGCCGGTGGCGAGACATTCCCGACACGTCTGCTTGGCCCCCTTTTCTGTCTTGCTCAGAGCGCGGAGCTGCTCCTCGGCCAAGTCGACCCCATCGCGCGTCCATGCCAAGCCGTCGGCGTGCGACGAGTTTGCGTACATAATCTCACCAATGTACAGATGCAGAGATGCCTCCTGACAGCGCTCGTACGGGCTGCGCCAGGGGGGCCGAGAGCCATCTACGGGCGGTGCGGGGTATGGCGGCGGCGCAAAGAAGTTGGTGACTTGTTGATACAGAGAGCGGCGTCTGGGCTTGGAGGACGCCTCGGGAGGAGGGATATCGGCGAGGCTGCGCCGCGTCTTGAGCAGAGAAATATACATGGGGAGGGCCGACGAGACGTCGCCCCTGCGGGCTTTGAAGTTGGCGCTGGCGGTGAGGGCGTCCAAGATGTTCATCGAGGCCGGCTCGACGCCATGTTTGAGGACCAGGGTTTTGGGATCAAAGGGCAGGGTGGACGGCTCGCTCCCTTTGGTGGCTTCCGCCAAGGCCAGGCTGTACAGCGCCTCGGCCCCGTCGGCACGGCCCTTGAACTCGACGAAGCTCGCATACTCGAGAGCCGCCTCCATCATTTGCCGCGACATGAACCCCTTGGTCGCGAGAATCTTCATGTACCAGTTGTCGGCGGAGGGATAGGCCGGGTCGCAGTCTTCTTCGCGAGGCGCGTGAGGGTTACCCGGCGGAATGGGCGCCGGGCGGGGGTTGGATGGGCCGATGACGAACTCGGGAGGAGAGACGACGTTGCGTGTCCGGTCGCGGACCCAGCCATCGACGTGCTCGGCCGCCTTGGCCGCCAGCATGATGGCATCAAAGTAGCCCCTCCGCCACTCCTCCGAATTTGCGGATATATCATAGTGTATGAACTCGCCGGGAACCTCCAACGCGGGAACCTCCCGATCCGACAGCTTGGTCAGGCGGGCGCCGTCGGAGCCTCCGTCCTCCAATCTGAGGAGGGCCGTTCTTGCCAGGTCCAGCGCCATGGCCCAGTTGACATCACCGTCTTTCGGGTCCTTGCGCCTGTGCGCATCTCTCAAGAACTTTCGCGTCAGGTAGTGCCACTCATGCGGTGTTGGGAAGTCCCTCTCGCCAACCTCCTCGTGGATGGCAAAGGAAATGGCGGCGACGGCGGCGAGGATTCCCCAGAAGGTGAGGGTGTATCGGACCACCAACTTGGCTTCGTGCTTGAGCCATTGCCGGCGCTCGGAGGTGAAGGATCGCGCGACCGAGGGGCTGGCTCTGGGGACGAGGAGGAAGGGGAGAACGGGGCGGGCCTTGATGGAGTTGACTGTGGCCAAGCTCCGGCGGCAGGACGGTGGCGGGAGGGGTCGAGACGCCGTGGCCAAGGCCGGGCGTCGGCGGACGACGAGCCGGGGGCGCATTGCGGTGGGCGGCCCAGGCCGGTGTTGTCAATCGCCTAGGAGCTTTGCGGTGTTGGACATTGCTCATCGACAGTCGCATCTGCGGCGGCCAGGAAAGTTGGGCCGTGGCAAGGCGATGACTCAGCACGCACAACACCGAGCCTTCATCGCCGCCTGTTGCCACTCGACCAAGCTTGACAGGCGCAGCTGCAACGCAACTTACAATGTCACGATGACAAACATGCCCTACTTAATGCCAGAGTTGCTAGCCAGTCCTCGGCTTCAGTTAATCGCCACGGCCGTCCTCTCCGGTGCGACTGCGGCATGTCTGCTCTTGGGATACCAGGCCCTCGACAGGGAAGAGAGGCTGAATGAGCTCAAGAGCGCCATCCCGTCACTGGCAGAGAGCCAGCATGGCATTAAGAAGGTTCCAGTGGCTCCATCAAGTACGATTGACGCTCGCTGACGGTCCCGGGTGCAGCTCAACGACTTTGGGGCACCAATGTCGGCCGCCGACAAGGAAGATGCAAGGAACATGGAGCTGGCGAGACGAGCGCAGGCCGGCGACTTTGACGAGGACCTCATCAACGAGCAGCTAACAAGGAACCGCGTCTTTCTTACGCCCCAGGGTCTTGAGAAGCTTCGCGACTCCTTTGTCATCGTTGTGGGATGCGGGGGCGTCGGCTCTCACTGCGCGGCCTCGCTCGCACGATCCGGCGTCTCCAAGATTCGCCTCATCGACTTTGACCAGGTCACTCTCAGCTCCTTGAATCGCCATGCCGTTGCGACGCTCGCAGACGTCGGCACTCCCAAGGTCCAGTGTCTCCATCGCCGGCTCATTGCCATTGCGCCCTGGGTCAACTTCGATCTGCGCCAAGCCAAGTTTGACGAAGCCGTTGCGGCCAGCATGCTGGGACCCTGGGACGATGGCACCAAGCCAGCCTTCATCGTGGACGCCATTGACAACATCGACACGAAGGTGGAGCTGCTCAAGCATTGTCACGAGCACAAACTACCGGTCATCAGCGCCATGGGGGCAGGATGCAAGAGCGATCCGACCAGGATCGTCGTGGGGGATATTGGGACGAGCAAGGATGATAGGCTGTCAAAGGCGACGCGGCGGCGGCTGAAGCTGCTGGGAATCACGAGTGGCATTCCCGTTGTCTACTCGACGGAACAGGCCGGCGAGGGCAAGGCGGAGCTGCTACCCTTGCCAGACGACGAGTTCCACAAGGGCTCGGTTGGTGACCTCGGTGTCATGGCCAACTTTCGCGTCAGGATTCTGCCCGTGCTCGGAACAATGCCTGCCATCTTCGGCCTCACAGTTGCGAACCACGTCATCCTCAGCATCGCCGGCTACCCAATCGACTACGTGCCCGCCAAGGGGAGAGAGAAGATGTACGAGGGCATCCTCGCCTATGTGCAAGGCGCCGAAGAGAAGCTGGCCCGGCTGTACGAGCCCGACATGGTCGGCTTGAAGACGCCGCTGACGGTGGGCGACGTGGCCTTTTTGTCGGAAGAGCTGTACAGCGCGCGAAGCATCGTCAGTGGCATCCCGACCAGGCTGGTGCTGATTCGATGGCGCCGACCGGACAGGACGAGCGTGAGAGTCATCGGCCAAGGCAAGGACATCCAGAAATGCTCGACGGTCCGCTTGGAAGATCTGGTGTGCATGACAAAAGAGGAGGCTACACGGCATGAAAAGGAAATCTTCAAGGCCGGAAAGAGGGTCGAGGACTTGTACGACGAGGCAACGATTGAACGGGTCGAAGCGAAGCTTACCGAGGCGGCATCGTATGGACAATACAGGTAACGAGTCCCGTCAGTATCGTCATCGCCGCGGCGCCCCGATGGCTTGCCTTTCAACTTCGGTCCTCCCACGTACCGTCTTTCCATGGACATTCCGCCGGCCCGTCAGCCGGGAGGTGCGTGAAATGCAGGGCAGCGGCCCGAGCGAGGGCTCATGTAGGTAAGCATCGGATCTAAGCACGGGCACAAGACAAGCGAGTTGTGGGAGGGCGGTGACAACAGCCGCACTGGCATGGTGGACATGTAAGAGGAAGCGAGTCGGCACGAACGAACGGGGACTCACGGCCAATGCCTCGTTGGGTGCACATCGGTGGCGTCGAGCTGACGGCAGCGTCGCGCACATAATTGGATTCCTCGCTCTCGGATCCGCCTTGGATGTTTGGGACGATATCGTGACAGCAAATTTGTCTTGTGTGTGCTCATTCCCCTCCGTGACTGGCTGTCACACCCTTGGGAAACCTGGGGCGTTGCTACCGAGACGTCTTGTCCTTTGGTTCACTTTGTTTCCGTGTCTAGTCATGTGGGCTGTCAGCTCCGACTTGGGCGCCCCGTCTCCCGGAGACGCAGGCGCCTTTGTTAGGCAGGTATCGAGGCACAGCAACAATATCGGAGTTGGGGCCCAGCGGCCAGGGGCTTTCTTGAATGCATGATGCAGTTCGCAAAGCGGGGCAGACAAGATGAGGCGACGAAACCACGGGGTTAGGGGTTAAGGCTTTACGACGATCTCAGCTCATTAAGAGAGCTGGTCGTCCCGACTTTTAAGCCAAGATTCAAGCCAGGCGCTTACTATTGGCCCGGTAGCCGTTGGCTTGTGTGTCTTCCATGGCAAGTGGTGAGACGTGGCGGATATGGCTTTCATGTGCATGAAGCTACAGCTTCATCAATATCTTCTTCGTCATCGCACCTTTCAGCCATGTGCCGCCATGTGGTCTGTCGAGCCACGCAATTGGGGGCCTTTGGTCAGATGCCTGCATGGGAGGGATATGGAATCCTGGGGCACCCTTTCTTCTGGCTCCATCTCTTCGCTCGCACCGACCAGCCAGCTCCTGGCTCTCGCTTCCTGCGTTAATGCTACACAATCTGGTGGTCCGTCGTTGAGACACAAATTTTCCTGCCTTTGCACGGAGACACAAATGTCGGGGTACCTGTGCCACGATGCAGCCGGAGATGGAAACGGAACCAGATGCCTCAAATGACCGGCCCCCATGACCTCTCACCTTGTGCCTGCCCCACGATGCGCCGCCGGCTATTTCGGTCCATCTCGCCGTGCTCGCGACGTCTGTCTCTCAAAGCACGGGCAGAATCCAATTGCGAGGCGGGGAGAGTCGCTTGCGTCGAATCGCGATCCAACTTGTGCCTGCTGCGTGCTACCGTTGCCGAGATCGCGCGCCCGTTTGCCACCGTTTCTCTTCCCGTAGACGTGAGGCTGGTGCTGTATACGAGAAATTCTACCCTCAAGCCTATGCTTGATGCCTGGTGTGCGGTGTGTAGAGGTAGGTCTGGAGCGTGCTCTTTGAGACTTGCAAATCTGCAACAACAAGTTGAGCTACGAGGTGACATGCGGACCGGAGAGCCTGGGAATCGATGATCAATAGTAGGCAATCTTCTAGTCAATGGGTTATAGAAACCAGTATTTACTTCTCTTACAACGCGATGCAATAGTCACTGCCCGTTTCTTACGTCCTCATGCCAAAAAGGATCCCAGAGCAACCATCTAAACCTCAATGATGTTGGTATCACTCCCATGGCTTGACTTCATGCAGCCAACGCCAGCAAAAGACATCCGGTCACACAAAAAACTATAACCACTCTATCCTAAAGTCATCGCGCGGAAGAGATCACCGCGGAAACTAGCCTTCGAGTTAGAGACTGCGGGCTATTTCACCACAGCTTCTGCACTGAAACCAGGCCAGGCAACACCAGACTCTACCTACTCTTCCTCGCCGCTGCTGGCACCTTCTAGCAATACCTGAACCACCCAGAGGAGCAAAAGCCCTACTTCGCCATGCTAGCACAATACGTAGTTCCAAAACCATATTCTGCTCTGCTTACATGCCAGACTGCATAAAGGTCTTACGCAGGAACGTTTAGGTAAGAGCTAAGTTTTGAACTAGTCTCTCGCGGCCAATGGCAAGTTTGGCACTGCACGACTCGTTTATTAAAAGGTGTTGTATATTATTTGATGACCTAACTTGTCCGGATCTGGTTCCCCGGTCAGCTGGTCGGGGTGATGGCGCAGCATGACGGTTTCGTCGTCTCGCCACGCGCCTCTGCCCCTTGTTTCCGACCTGCTATCAGGCTATGCCAATGATATATCATGCTATTCCCCCCATTGAAATTCTCCATCTCCGCAGCGCCACGTAATCCCTGGGGGTTCTTCACGTGGTAATACTTGCTCACCCTCTAAGCCTCGCGAGCTCCGCTACACTCGTTAGCCCCCTGTGGTTGAAGAAGCTTCTGGAAACTGCAAGACTGGTGAAGATGCCGGCGTCGTAGAAGTGGCGGGAACGGGAGTTGTGGGCCAGCCAAACTCCTGAATGCTTGGAGATTGATTGATCTTTATCCACCACGGAGCCACCGTGCTCTGTCGACAGAGTCACATTCGTTTTGTTTCTCGCGGTTTCGAGCTGCAAATGTTGGTAGTCTTTACGCTTCATTTTCTCTCGAAATGACGGCGATCAAGTAACCGTCTCACATTGCCAGAGTGTATAAAGCCAATCCGCCGAAGCATCCTGTTCTCACCTAGCCATTCAAATTAAAATAGATTGTCCTCCTTTCCCTATTCACTTGTCCTCGCGATGTTTAATGCATTCCCAGTAAAGGAGAGAAAGGGAAGCTTGTCTCTTTAACTAGGCTGTGATTGCCTCTTCTTGACAAGAAACAGTCAAGTCAGACGACCCAGTTAATCCAGCCCGGCCGAAGCAGGCACAATAAGACATTTGGTACATGCAGTTTCATGTGAGGCACTCTAGTCTAGAGACTTTAACGTCATTTCTTTTAGCCTAGCGAGTCTTTCTAGCTACAGCTCGCTTTCATCTCAAAAGTCCAGATATTGACTTAAATCTACGTCGAGTCACTCTACCGTGTATACTCTAGCACAGTGGTATGCTCTACAGCTTGAACCCAAGGTAACTCCTCGTCTCACAACCGCCCCTATCCCCCGGTTCCATGGCATAGACGAGTTGCCGCGTCTTGCATATTGACGAAAGCCAAGCCGGGAGCAGCCAAGAGCCCAGCATCGATCCGGCCTGCCATCGTCTATCTACGCTGCTGCTGCCGCCTTGCCCTGTGATACTGACGGGGAACACGTTGGCAGGGTTACAACTCCAAACTGACCCTACGACGAAGTGGAGTGGAATGCGAGGCAGGGTCAAATGGGTGCTCAGCCAGCACCTATGGATTACACTACATGACACTTCTGCCGTTCGCGATGCATCTAGGCGCATACGCATTCATTTTGATTAGCTCGCCGTTTTGTGATGGCTCGCTCGACAACGTCTGACGACGACAGGGAAAAAAGACTGATGCCAGCATGGGCAGTCTCGTGTTATTTTTATCGCATTCGGAGCGCACGGGGTCGTGATTTATTGGTAGGCCCCAGCGTAATGGGGGCCGGGGAGCCGGGCTGCCAAAAATGTATTTTTGACAGAATACGCCCATGCCATGATCTGGTGGCGACTCGGGCTCCAACGCAATGTTCGTTGTAACTCTGCGTGAGGCTTGCCCTGTAGGCGATGCTTGGTGGTACTGCCAGCGGGGGCAACGAAAACGAGACGTCGACCAGTAACAAACTTGAGACGGCCAGAGCCAATGAAGCCCGATGTTGGCGGGCAGAGGAAAGAGGCGGCTCCGCCCAAGTCGACCATTCATGTCGAACTAGGAGCAGGCGCGTGGCTCGCTGCCGAACCAGGGCCCGGTCCACGATAAGCTGGCGTGTAGAGGGTCTCCAAGGCCTGGAGGACACGCGTCAGTGCTTCTTCCTGGGGAATTTCCCATTCGCCTCGAGTCATGCACAAGGTGTGGTAAGATGAGAGCCTGAACAGCGCGGTGCTGGGCAGCTGCACAGATGCGGCACCGCGCAGACGGTCGACAACACGAGAACAAACCTTCTCTTGCCACTTCTCGGTTGACTTGTTGTGCGGCGGGCGAAATATGAAGGGGGAAGAGAGAAGAGCATGCCTCCAACGCAGGGCTGCAACGCAGATGTTGCTTGTCATGATTCCGCTGGCCACGCATGGCGGGGCGAGCGAGGACAGAAGGTGAGTCGAGATGATGTTCCGAGACACGGAAGCGCAAGGCATGCAGCGTGTGATTTGGACATACTAGCAGATTCGCGGACGTTGGATCATCCGTACTCGCCGGCCTGAAAGGCGTGCTCAGGCGAGTAGTGACGGAAAGCTGGCCCGCGGGGGGAGCTGAGGCCAGGGTTGTAGAGACTGAGCCCTTAGCATCCAACCGAGGCCGAGGAGGACGAGGGTAAGAAACGAGAGCTGCGCCATTGCTGACTACCACTTGGAAGAGCCGAGGTATTCAGCCAAGGCAACGCGCTGTGCTTGCCTGCGCACGACTGGCGGGCGGCGCTCGTCATCATCAAGGCGATGCCGTTGAGGCTCGGGGCCGATGCCAGGAGGAGGGCGACTGAACAAAGCGCGGAGGGAGACGGACGGCCGCGTGTTGGGAGTGGTGCTTTAGTACTCCGTACGGAGAAGGATTGCCCTTGACATCGACCGAGGACTCAGACACGTGACTGTAGCAGAGTCCGCGCACTCCCATCCGAGGCTGTTGTCTGTCTTCGCATGCCAGACGCACACCGCCAGCACCAGCCGAGCGGCAACTGGCAGCATGCAGTCGCGGGTCAGGCAGACCGACTCATATTCGGAGCCCGCGTGCGCGCATGCCGTGAACATGTTATGTATGATGTGACAAGCATCTCACGATCACAGTGTTCGTAGGCCGCGGACTGCCCAGACAGGGATGGGCTCAGGACTCACCGCTCGTGATCAGAACAACCCCTGCTGCTGCGCCCACAGCGGACGCATGAGGCCAGGAGTCGCAAGTATAAGAAAGGTGCTTCTCAGGCAGACGGCAGGCAGCAAGTGTTGCCTTGTAACCGCCTTGAATGATTAAGAGCCGCACGCCCTGTCCGTTTTACTTATAACCGTCTATTCATCTCGATGCTCGTCTCCCTCCCTCCCGATATCCCCTCTTAATTCTACGACATTCCTCTTTCCTCGCCAAGAGACGTCTATAGCCAAGGACGACAACATACAGTACAGGTGGCGAGAATTGGTGCACATGAAAAGACGACACAAGACAGACAAACAAAAAGGTCAGTGAGCAGATGCCCTAAGCAGCAGTCATGATCCAGCGCTCCACCTTCAGGGGTTCTGGTTACTTGAGCCTCAAAAGGCGCCTGGCGAACTGCGTCAAGGCGACCGACCGAGGCTGCCTGCCTGCCTGCCTCCCTGCCTGCCTGTTCGGGGTGCCTGGTGCCTGCCCCCAAGCGCCCCCCCCCCCCCTTCCTTCCTTCCTCACAGAACCTGCATGTTGCTATGTAAATATGTACATACATGCCTACGAACAGCCCAAGGAAGCTGCACCTTCCCTGCTCTTGCTTGTTCAGTGCAACCCACCCCCCACCACCCTCGCCTCGGCCCGCTAATCACGGGGTACATGCAGCTTCCGCGACAGCCCTAGGCTTTCTCAGGTACCGCTCGATCTGGACCGCAAACTTGACTTCGTCGTCGCAAACCTCACCTGTCTCTCCACCCCCGTCTTCGCGGCGCTCGGTTACGGCGTATAGCTAGTGCGCCTCTCTTCTCGCCAGGTAAGTTCTTTGCGGCTATCTCATCTTATCCTTCTCAGCCGCCCTTTTTTGCCTTCCGGGCCGCCTTTGTCTTACTCTGGCTGGCTCGCCTGCCTGTCCGCTCGTGCGGCTGGGCCGGCTTCGGAGGCACACGACGCCAATACTTGACCTACCCAAGCTCCTCCCATCTTTGTTCCAATGCTAACTCCCTCTCCACAAGGCCATACCCTGCCTGCGTCTCGCCGACACAGCAGGACAGCACGCCGACCTCAACCCGGCGCTGCTGCGAGTATCCATCCACCCCCGCTGCCGATCCGACCGCCGTATGCCCTCGACGCTCCCGAGCTGTCGGAGTTGCATCTGCATCCGGCATGGACAAGCTCACAAAGGGCTGGGTGCACCACCTGCGCAAGACGGCCCGCCAGGAGACTGCTGGCCGCGGCAGTTGTCCTCTCTGCGAGGCCGAAATCCAGCCTGACATTGACTCCTTCAAGGCCCATGTCCGCGCCGACGCCACACGGCACCCCAGCCTCGCCGACGATGCAGACATTGAGCAAGCCTTTCAGAACGTCACCATTCACAGTCCCCTGTTCGTGGCCCCCCTCCCCACCCCTTTCCGCCCGACAGCGCATTGACCACGTGTGCGCGCGCATATAGGAACAACCAGGCTGCTGCCAGCCGCGCGTCTGAAGCAACCGGGTCCGGCAGATCGCACAGAAAGCGGCCGACCCCTGGCCACCTGGATCTTACGGATCGGCCAGACGCCAACGACCGCTTAGCGGGTGCCGCGGACCAGCCCGACGCCGGTCAGCGCGGCAGCAAGAAGATTTGCTCCCCTCCGGCATCGGTGGCCCAGCAGCGGGGTTCCTCTCCGCCCACGCCGGGACGCAGCCGCGCCAGGCTGAGCGAGGCCGTTGGCGATTTTGACCGCGGCCATGCTTCGAAGAAGCTGGGCGGGCGTCAGCTCTGGAATCCCGATGATGATTCGCACCCCAAGCAGACTGTGGCCCGCCCATCCCAGTCGGCCTCACTCGGTCATCCGCGACGCCCCAAGGGTCATCGCCAGTCTCCGCAGCATGCCGCCCCACGCTCCGTCTCTTCCGACAGCTTGTCCATGTCGGAAATGATTCGGCAGCCGGAGACGCAGCCGATATCGCAAGAGCAGCTCGTTGCCGAGGTCAAGGGCATCTATGCCGGCTTGGTCATGATCGAGAGCAAATGCATCGAGTACGACAGCTCGCAGCAGGCTAAACGGCTGAGTCAGGAGCAGTACCATGCCCTGATTGCTCTCCATCGCTCGGTCCTCCACGAGCATCACGACTTCTTCCTGGCGAGCCAGCACCCGTCAGCGAGCGAAGCTCTGCGGCGGCTGGCCTCCAAGTACGCCATGCCCGCACGCATGTGGCGGCACGGCATCCACTCGTTTCTCGAGCTCCTGCGGCACAAGCTGCCCGGCTCGCTGGAGCACATGCTTACCTTTATCTACATCGCGTACAGCATGATGACCCTGCTTTTCGAGACGGTACCTGCTTTTGAGGAGACCTGGATAGAGTGTCTTGGAGATCTGGGCAGATACCGCATGGCAATCGAGGATGACGACATCAGGGACCGAGAAACGTGGACGGGCGTCTCCCGCTACTGGTATAGCAAGGCCTCGGACAAGTCCCCCACCACGGGCCGCCTGTACCACCACCTGGCGATCCTTTCGCGGCCCAACGCACTGCAGCAGCTCTACTACTATGCTAAGTCGCTTTGCGTGCCCATTCCCTTTCCGAGCGCTCGGGAGAGCGTCATGACGCTTTTCGACCCGCTCCTGAACTCGGCCTCCCATCAGCGCCTGGAGCCGGCCGACGCGGCCTTTGTTCGCGTGCACGGCATCCTCTTTTCGGGAAAATCAAAGGAACAGCTGGAGCCGTCCATGGACGAGTTCTGTAGCCTCCTGGACGGGCGAATCGGCAGCGCGCGCTCCAACTGGCTCGAGGCAGGGTATGTCAACCTCTCCCTTCCAAGTCTGCCATTTGCTTGTCACCCGTGGCATTGTTCTCTGACCCAGTAGCCAGGTACTACGTCGGCATCTCCCTTAGCTGCTCCCTCTTGGGATTCGGTGCCAAGTCCAACGTAATCATGCAAGCCATTGCGGAGCCACTGGGTGAGCCCGACGCCAGCGTGGACGAAAGCGGCGGCGCCGAGGCGGAAGCGTACGCGGGCGAGACATTTCGACAGGCCCTTTCGTTTGCCGTCCGGACATACGAAATCGTGCTTCGTCGCTGGGGCGACAAGAACACGCTGTCTTGTCTACACACCACCATGGTGTTCCTCCTCCACCTGTCCCGCTACCCGTCTGCCATGGCGTACATCGAGAACGAATACCCCTGGAAACTGACTACCATCATGCTCAACTACCTGCTTCAGACGATTGGGCGCAAGCCCAGAATCGACACGGAAGCGTTCCCGGGACCCGAGAAGGAGGGTGAGCCTCCGTATCCCCTTCCGGAAGACTATGCTCTGCGCGGGCTAGTGTATGCGCAAGACTACTTCCCGGATAAATGGTTCGAAAACGAGAGGATCGACGAGTCTGATCGATACCTGGAGCCTCCTTCGAAAGCTTTGGAGAGGCAGGAGCGGATCCTATGGATCGGGCGAAGACTCGCCAGCTCGAGCAAGTGGTTGACTTGGGACGAAGATGCCCGGCTGTTCTCGGTCGCGCGAGCGTACGACGTTGTGCTCGCAGGCCTACCAGACAATAGCCCAGACACATCAAAACGAGGGAACACGCGACCGAGCCAGGACGCGTGAAGAGACTAGATCCCTTCGCACACTCTACTTTGTGTCAGAGCGGCCAGCCTGCCGTCGTCGGAGCCGAGCCAGGAGGGCTTTTGAGCTGCTCACAAGGGCAGCCAGACAAGGCGAAGATTGCCGAAGTCCCGTCTCCGACTCCTGTCTGCCGCTGCTGGTGCGGCCAGAAGGATGGACAGCGCCAGTCGGGGCCCGTTGATGGGCCAGGCAACGTTCCAGAAGGAACCGAAGAGAGCAGGACGTGAGTAGCATCCGAGGCCAAGCCTGGAGGACGGATGCAGTGATCGTCACGAGGAACGCACCCACAGGAAGAGGTGACGTCGACTTTAAGTGCGCCATGATGTGGACGGGCTTTCTGTACTCGGGGCGCCAGGCGGTTACAGCCAAATTACCGTTGGTACTTGAGTCCCCATTCCCACTCAAACGCGTTGAGTGAGGCGGGCTGACCTGAAGCGACGACAGACGTCGAGCGGGAACGGCTCTTGGCTTAGCGAGGGGCAGCGACGGCCATTGATTGTGTCGAAAGCCGAAGGCCGGCGCCGTTGCTCTCGTCTTGTATTATGTTTTTTTTTGCTTGCCGTGAATAGGCTCTGCATGTCTCGTTAGACCTGGATAGCGAAGTGGGTATCATAATGCGCATGTGTATCTTGCAGGAGCTCCTTTCCGCCCTCTTTTCATCCCCTCCAATGCTGTATGTGAACCCCCAACGTCGCGTAGCATATTGTGTTTCGGGTATGGTTCATCTCGCCTGGAGCGGCTGCCTCATGTGCTCTTTCGTGGGTTCGTTGCCCTTCCCCCTTTGCCGGCGGGCATGCTTCGAAAAGATGGGTCAGTTCTCGAACAGACTTAGTTCCCAACGGAGGGAACAGGCCGGGCCCTGGAAGTGATACATGATGCATACTTTGTGCCCTTACACACGTTCGAGCACCTCATGCACGAACCGTCACCAGACGCATGCATATGCCGCCTTGCGAGTTGCAGCAGGCCGAGGCGAACAGGTACTGCATGCCGCCTCGTTTGCTCTCCTTTGTATTTTCCCTTTTTCGTCCTCTATTGATATCTCTTATTTAAGATATGTACTCTTTGCCTTGCCCTTTCTTGTTCCCCGTCGTCTCAGTGCATGAGAGCGTGGCCACGCGCAGACCAGTGGCAAGTCGAGTGTCGTCTCGGCAGGCATAGAGCGCAGGTCTCTTGCAAGGTCTTTGACGAATAAGACGTCGTATAGTAGGGGTACAGCAGCTCTTCAGCAAATGTCACTATGAGACAAGTGCCAGAAAATCCCTACACCGCTGTCTCCCCAATTTTGATTCGCTTAGCAATGCGTAGCTTACCATCTGCCGAGTATATACCTGTTAGAGTAGAGAAAGGACTTATAATACGCGTTAGTAACACCTCCAATGGGGGTGCCCCTATTTTGCATGGTGTAACGGTATTTTACCAGCTTGACAATACCCATCGCGGGGCCGTAACTAGCCTACTGTATTCCCATGAGGCGGCCAGGAGAAAAGAGGCTCCGCGGGTAGATGGGATGGTACACCCCAAGTATGCTTCGTGTGGGACGGTCTTGGGACTGCGTGCCTCTCTGATTTTTAAAACGGCTGCGAAGATGCTTGTGGGGACGTTTTGCCTACTGCATACAGCGGATGTAGCATGTTTGATACGAACCGAGGCGGGTTGGCGAGTCAAGCTATGTTTTACTATACACCTCTTCTATATATCCCCCCTAGTAGCTTTCCCTTACTAGCCAGGTAACGGGAGGCCGTTCGAACTAATAACTGAACCTACTATAAGCTTTATTTTTCGCCTCGGGACTACTTGGCCGTCTGGAACGTAGTGGGCCAGGTTTACATATTACTCCAAATCTGCATTCTGCTCAATACCGGCTTGCAGTAAGCCCAATCAACCACAGCCAGGCTGGCTTGAGGCTGTGAAAGGCCTCTAGTGAGTTGATACAACTAACTAGTCCCTATGCTGTTTACTATCAAGATAGAGAAGAAAGAAAGAAAGAAAGAGAATCTACTACATGAGAGCACAATAGCATTTTATAGCTTCGAGCCAATGGAAGGTTCTAGAAGCTAGGCGGCGCAGCCGCCGTTAAAGCGGCTTGCCCGTTACATTACCTCCCTCCCTTCCAACGTTTCCTCTTCCGGGGGGTCGTGGCAATCTGTGGCAAGATGACTTGAGAAGGTGACACTCCTTTTATGCTTCTTCCATTGCTTCCATGCATCGGTGTGTCGAATAGTAGTAAGGGGTTCCCGTAGGCTGCGAGTAATCATGCCATTTTACGAGCACCTTCTTATGCGTACCTTCCATTCTTTCATCCAGAATTCTTTCAACAAGGTACATCTTTTCGCCGTCCACCAGCACCGGTGGGGCACTCTCTGATCGAGTTTCTGCGAAGGCAATGGGTCTCCGGGACTGGCCGGAGTAGGTCGACGTGAAAGACTGGATGGATGCGCCCAGGCACATCCAACCTGTAGGCATGTGGGCTAACTTCCGCGAGCACTTGATATTTGGCATGTAGCCAATCGAGCTTCTTGCAGGGTCGCGATGTTTTGACATTTCTCAAGTTGAGGTATACCCAATCCCAGGCTCGTATCTCGGTGCGGCTGTCCTGTGCTTGTTGGCTTGCGCTTGCTGTATTTCCTGGGCCATAGCTATCGCTGCTTGCGCAAACTCCGTGGCGTCCTGTAGTCTCTGAATAAAATCCTCCGCTGTCGCTTCCCCCTGCGTCGTGTCTTCCGTTCTTCGATGCTCAACTAATTGGATTGGCTCGTTGTGGTAGCCGTGCATGAAGAAGAACGGACTCAGTCCGGTGGAGGTTGCTTCCTCTCGTTAATAGTCGCCATCGCGATTGGAAGCAAGTCTAACCAGTTCTCCTGCAGATAATTCGTCCATATCCGAAGAATCCTCTCTACCTCTTGGTTCATTCGTTCTGTTGCACCGTCGGTTTGTGGATGGTACGCCGTCGACAACCGCTGCTCGATGTTACGGTATCCACCTCCACATACCTTACGGTATCCACTTCCACATACCGTTACGTATATAGACCGCTTCCTCCTTTTCTTCAGTTCCTCTTCCTCTTCCCTTCTTCCTTAAGAAGTCGATAATTAACTATTCTTCCAAGTCCCTTCTGGTTATCCATATCGGCCTTGATCGTAACATATTATCGACTTCTTCACTTCCGATGGAGCGATATCTATCCTCCTTTGAACACCTTTTCCCTTCCAGCGGCACCCGCGACGTCTCGCATATTGCCCTGAATTTCAGTTACTTCTGGCATTGACTTTACTGAAACCTTGATACTTTTCTGGACGACTCTGATCACGAGTTCTCTGCCGCTCGGCTGCCTCGCTTTTCTTCCTCGCCACCCGTGACGCCCTAATCAGGCGCACCTGCACCGCCAGTCTTCACCAGTCGCCACAGTTGCGCTGCCTTCCACGGACCGACACGCACTCCCCGACGTTATCACCACTATCGGCAACTTTCTCAACATCATGTCCCAAACCAGTAATACCCCTGACGGCACAGCCTTCTCCGCCCCACCGCCCGTACTACCTACCTCTTATGACCCCAGTCGTCCCAAGGTTCGGCTTCCGAAATGGAACGGAAATCTCGCCGAATTCGACATCTATTCCCTCGGCTTGATGAACATCCTTGCCAACCCTCCACAAAAGAATCAGCTCGGAGATGAGCGTACCATCTGCATCACTATCTTCACCGAGTTACCCCCGAATGGCGCCAACCGGACCAAGGCTTGGATGAAATTGCGCCACACGGACGGCGCCTGGGATTCTGACAACCTCCTCAAGCACCTTAACGAGTCGTTCGAAGACAAAGACTCCACCCAACGCGCAGCCCGACGTCTGTATGCGGTCCGCCAAGGAGTGGCCCAGCCGTTTGCCCAGTATCGCCATGTCTTCGAGACATACTGCGCCGACGCCGACATCCTTGCCCCTACCGGCGCCGCCAAAGTCAACACTCTGCTCCGCGGACTTTCTTCGTACCTCCGGGATGCCTCGCCCTCCAGTTGGGCGTGTCATCTACCGATTACAACAGCTTTGTCACCATTGCCCAGGCTCTCGCCACCCAGTTAGAAGCACTGCCCCGATTTCAAGCCAACGCCAACGTTCAGAACCAGGTCGAATGGTATGACTCTTCCATCACCGTGGATCTCCCTGCCAACCGCACCAACGGCCCCACGTCCCAAGCACCTATCCGCACCCCGGCCACCCAGACCCAAGTTGACCAAGACGGTGACACCATGATGAGCGAGGTCAACCAAATCAAGACCAACTCCTCCGCCGACCTTGTCTCTATTGTTCAAACTATAGTGGCCGCACTGGCTGGACAACAACAAAATGGGTCTAACAGGTCCTCGTCCAACAACAACGGTTCGGGCCGCAGCAAGTATACCGAGGACTCTCGCCCTCGGGCTCCGTGGGTCGACCAAACCACGCGTGACCGCCGTTCCGAGAACCGCCAGTGTGTTCGCTGTGGCAAGACTCCCTCTCATCGCTTCAGAGAATGTGAATACAAGAGCTTTCCACCCAACGCCCCTGCCGGTGTCAACGGCGTCAACACGAAGGCGGAAAACGAGTAGCCCCTGAGAAAAATCGTGCTCAGGGGCGTGATGAAAAGGATGTTTTCGGTGAAGACCTCACAAAAGGGCCTACGGAGAAGGATATAAAGTTAGCAAAAGGACGGCTAGACAACACGCCGTTCTTGTTCGATGTGCTTATCAACAACACCTCGTATATCAAAGCTTTCTTCGACTCCGGGTGTCTCCCATATGCAGCTTTCAGTGAGGAATTTGTCAGAAAACACCACATCCCACGTATCCCAGTCGAGAAGCGCCTTCTCAAACTCGCCAAGCAAGACGAAATACAACACGCCATCACCGACATGGCTTTTATCACCATGGATATCGACGGCCGCGCAGAGCGTCTCTACGGCTATGTGATCCCAGGCCTTGAATTCGATCTAATCCTTGGAAAGGGTTGGGCGGAACGAAATGACGTCGTATACAAAGCTGGAAAGCGCTTGCAAATCGGCCGCGGCAACAGTCGCGTGAAGGTTCGTGAGTGGCTGGATGGACAAGCAACAGGTCATCGATCGTACCAAAGACCTGCGTGACGCGAGACTCGTTTCCGCCAGCGTCTTCATGGCGACAACGAAGCGCATGCGCCGCCTCAAGAAAGACGCCCACCTTTTCTCAGTTACCATCGCCGACATCAACAAAGCTCTCGCCAAGCTCAGCGAGAAGAAAGCGAAACCGACCCTTGAACAACTCCAGCAAGACGGCCGAATCCCACAAGAGATCAAAGATGTAGCTGGCGATTTCCTAGACGACGACGACGTCGATATCACACCACCGCACAGAGATATCTGGGATCATGCCATCAACCTCGAGAAAGACGACGATGGTCGTGATAAACGCCCACCGTTCGGACCACTCTACGAGATGTCCCGTGACGAGCTCCTCGTGCTACGAAAAACTCTGACTGACCATCTTGACAAGGGCTGGATCCGCGCCAGCAGTTCACCCGCCAGCGCGCCTGTCCTCTTCGCACGAAAACCAAGTGGCGGTCTTCGCTTCTGCGTCGATTACCGCGGCCTCAACGCCATTACGAAGAACGACCGTTACCCTTTGCCGCTGATCCGAGAGACCCTCCGCAACCTCGCCACTGCCCGATGGTTCACCAAGCTTGACGTCCGCGCCGCTTTTCACAGACTTCGAGTCCGACACGGCGACGAATGGAAAACCGCCTTTCGCACACGGTATGGCCAATTCGAATGGCTGGTAACACCGTTTGGTCTCACAGGCGCGCCCGCGACCTTCCAGCGCTATATCAACTCGCACCTCCACGACCTCCTCGACGAATTCTGCTCAGCCTACATGGACGACGTCATCATCTACAGCGACGGCGACTACCTTGACCACATGACCAAGGTCCGTACAGTGATGGAACGCCTCCGCAATGCCGGTCTTAAACTCGACCTCGAAAAGTGCGCTTTCGCCGTGAAAGAAGTCAAATACCTAGGATTCATCATCAAAGCCGGCGAGGGCGTGACGGTCGACCCGGAGAAAATTCAGGCTATTCGTGACTGGGAGGCGCCCACAACAGTGACAGGTGTCCGCTCTTTTCTTGGATTTGCTAATTTCTATCGGGAGTTTATCGAGACTTTCGCAGCTGTCTCTGAACCCTCAATAACCTTACCAAGAAGTTGACCAAATGGAATTGGGACGCTTCAGCGCAGAACGCCTTCAACAAGCTCAAGGAACTCCTCATCACCTCACCCGTCCTCGCGATGTTTCACTCCGACCGCGAGACTGTACTCGAATGCGATGCCTCCGGATGGGCCGTTGGCGCCGTCCTCTCTCAGCGAGACGAAAAGGGTAGACTGCGACCAGTCGGCTATTTTTCACGCAAATTCTCCGCTGCGGAGGTGAACTACGACATTCACGACAAAGAACTTCTCGCCATCGTCGCGGCAATGGAGCACTTCTCAGGCGAGTTACGCAGCGTTGACAAATTCATAGTCGTCTCAGACCACAAGAACCTGCAATACTTCATGACCAACCGCCGCCTCTCCGAACGCCAGGTCCGCCTAGCGGAAACACTCTCTCGGTACACGTTCAAGATCGTTTTTCGCGCTGGGAAGGACAATACACAGCCGGACTTCCTCTCGCCGCGCCCAAGACCTGCCCGCTAACGGCGACGACGAGCGCCTTAAAACCGCGAATTCCAGCTGCTTAAAGATCATTGGCTACCTCCACGCACCGTCAAGCATCACCAAGGCGACTACATTCTTAACCAACTCGTCAGCGCGGTACAGACGCGCCGCTCAAAACCACACCCATCGACGATTCTCAAGCCCCGCCCAGAGGCGCCAAACTCTTCTTCGACTCCGCGCTTCAGTTGCTCTGGGACCGCGGCCTGATCGAAGACGGCGAGTACCGCAACATACACGCCTCTGTTGTCCAAGGCAACGCCACCTTCCCTTCGGAATACAACCTTTCTGTCCAGGTACCTGACTGCGAAATCGACGACCGCGGAGCATTGCTCCGGCGCGGCGCTTTATGGGTGCCCAATTGGGAACCACTTCGGACGGCACTGATACAACAGACACACGACTCTCACATTACGGGTCACCCTGGGCGCGACGTTACGCTCAACATTCTTCAACGGAGCTACTTTTGGCCCCAGCAATACCTTATGGTTCGCCAATTCGTACGGAACTGCAATGTTTGCTCACGGTCAAAGTCGTGGCGCCACAGCCCACAGGGTCTCCTACGACCTTTGCCTATTCCGGACAGATTTCACAGCGAATTGTCTGTCGACTTCATGGTTGACCTGCCAGCTAACGGCAAAGGCCCCCGATTTCTGATGGTAATTTGTGATCGGCTGCTCGGCTCTTGTACACTGGAAGCTATGGATTCGATGGAAGCTGAGGCTTGTGCCGAGCGCTTTGTTCAGTGCCACTACAGATTCCACGGCTTTCCAAAGACGATGACATCTGACAGAGGCAGCAACTGGGTTAGCAAATTCTGGCAACGGCTTTGTGAACTCGTGCGCATTGAGCAACGTCTATCCACGGCATACCACCCTCAGACCGATGGCGCTACTCTTTTCCTCACTCACGGGTACCACGCCGAGCCTATCCAACAAAACCAAATCTCATCTCGCTCCAAAACCGACCCCAAGGCCCGTGCCGACCACTTCATTGCCCGCCTACGAGAGGGTCAAGAATTAGCCCAAGCAGCGAAAGCGACGGCACAACAAATCATGGAACACCAGGCGAATAAAGGGCGGCGGCCAAGTCAAAAGTTCGTTGTCGGGGAGCGTGTCTGGCTGAATTTGAAGAACGTTACCACCCCCCAACTCAAAAAGAAACTCTCGTGGACACAAGCCCAGTACAAGGTCACCAGAGTCATCGCCCTGACGTCTACGAACTCGATGTCCTTCCAACATACACCCGCGCTTCTTTGCTGACCTCCTTCGCAAAGACCCTAACGACCCTCTTCCATCACAAGTACAAGACGACACACAACCACCACCGCTACTAGACGGTACCGTTCCAGTGTATTCCGTGGAGAAGGTTTTGCGGGCAGAATGCCACCCCAAGGGCCGAGAACTTCTCGTCAAATGGGACGGATATATCGAACCCACGTGGGAACCACGTGACAACATCAAGCTTACGGACGCCTTCAAGAGGTTCGTGGCAACATACGGAGAGGGCGACGACGTGGGTGAAGACGAAGGCTCTCGTACAGGGTCTACGAGTAAGCGCCGCAAGACAAAAACACCAAAAGTGGTGGCTTTGTCGTATATCATGGGCTTCAGTGGGTGCGCTTTCAAGTCGCTTAGGGCCTTTTCTTTCTTCCCGGAGGAAGGGGTGATGTTACGGTATCCACCTCCACATACCTTACGGTATCCACTTCCACATACCGTTACGTATATAGACCGCTTCCTCCTTTTCTTCAGTTCCTCTTCCTCTTCCCTTCTTCCTTAAGAAGTCGATAATTAACTATTCTTCCAAGTCCCTTCTGGTTATCCATATCGGCCTTGATCGTAACACTCGATCCCTAGCATCTGACAGAAACTTTTCCACATACCACTGACAAACTGGGGACCCCGATCACTGGTTATAGCCGTTGGGATGCCATGGACAGGGTAGTGTCGTTCGAAGAGTCTTCTTGCAACCGCTTCTGTGGAAATATCGTTCAATCCTTCGAGTTCGACGCCTTTGGTGAGTCGGTCCGTGACCACCATGCAGTTCGTCGCGCCATCTTTCCCGACGGTGGGAGGTCAGTAATAAAGTCAATGGTAATTTCGCTCCATATGCGTTGCGGAATAGGAGCGGCTTTAGGAGTCCTTTCTTTGTATCCTCCAGATGGTGTTTCGTCCGCAAACCTCGCAGTTGCGCACAAACCGACGTACATCGCTAGCGGCACCCGGCCAGAAGAAGCGTCTCGACAGAGTCGAGTACGTGAGGTCCCTTCCAGGATGTCCGGTGATATGAGAGTCGTGAGTTTCCTGGATGATCTTTGTACGTAGCGGCTCCGAACCGGGTATCCAGACGCGTTCTCTAAAGCACAGCAGGCCTCTATTGTCTAATGAGCATTCTGAAATGCTGACAACCTTCTCCTTCTGTAAGTCTGTTGGCACACTCTTCGCTCCATCTGCTACCAGCTTCGTGAGTTCTTGATAAAGCTTGTCTTCTTGCCGTGCGGCGTGCCACAGCTGCTGTAACTCCTCATCTTCAAATATCCTGATCTCTTTTCCGAAGTTGATTTCCTGGGCACCCTCGGTGTTGGTAGACAATGTCGATATTGGGACCCTTCTAAGGTGATCATTTTGGAATAGCCTCATAATGCGTCCCTTTAGTCGTTCATCGGAGTAGTTGGCCGGCATATCCTGGTCCCGTCGAGAGTGCGTCAGGCAATCCGCCCTTGCGGCCCGGCCTCCATTCGAGCTCGAATTGGAACCTGGACAGGAACTCCGACCACCGCACTTGTCTCTCTGTCAACCTCCTTTCCGAGTAGAAGTACCTCAGGTTCTTGTGGTCCGTTAGGATCTTGAAGTGCTCTACTGCCCGTAGCTCTGGTTCCCACTGCTCCAAACATCTGAGAATGGCGAGTAGCTCCTTGTCATGGATAGCGTAGTTCGCTTCGGCTGCCGAATGTTTCTTCGAGAAGTATGCGACAGGTCGTACCAGTCCATCCTTATCATCTCTCTGCAAGAGCACGCCTCCCGACGCGAATCCTGAAGCGTCTGCTTCCACGATAGTCTCCCTTTCTGGATGGAAGTGTGCAAGGATCGGGGCCGTGATCAACAAGTCCTTGAGCTTCTCGAAGGCTTCTTCGCACAATTCATCCCAACGGAATGGCACGTCCTTCTTCGTTAGCCGCGTTAGCGGCTCCGCTATCACCGAGAACTCTGGCATAAACATCCTGTAGTTCGCGAATCCAATAAAACTCCTCACGGACTTAACATTCGTCGGGGTTGCCCATTCCTTCACAGCCTCAACCTTCTCAGGGTCGACTCGGATCCCACACTCCGCCTCGATGATAAACCCAAGGTATTTCACAGCCTTGACTTCGAATTCACTCTTGTTGATATCCAGTTGCAGCCCGGCGTCCATCAGTCGTTGGAGGACCTTGCCGACCTTGTCGCGGTGGTCTTGCAGGCTTCCAGAGGAGAAGATCAGGACATCGTCGATATATGCTGACACAAAATCGTCTAGGTAATCCTGGAGCGCGCTGTTAATGTACCGCTGAAAGGCTGCTGGTGCGCCTGTCAGGCCGAATGGAACTACCAGCCATTCGAAGGATCCATAGCGCGTTCTGAAAGTTGTCTTTTCCTCGTCGCCGGGGGCGACCCTGATCTTATGGAACGCTGCTATAACATCTACCTTGGTGAACCACCTTGCCTTGGCTATCGTTCGCAAGGTCTCGCTCAGTAAGGGCAAGGGATAGCGGTCCCTCTTCGTTATATGGTTCAAACCTCTGTAATCCACGCAGAAGCGGATGCCTCCGCCGGGCTTCTTCACCATAAGGACTGGTGCCGCGGCTGGCGAGCTGCTGACTCTAATAAATCCCTTGTCGAGTAGTTCTGTGAGAGTCTTCCGTAGTACCAATAGCTCCTCGCGGGACATGCTGTAAAGCGGTCCCCAGGGTAGGGGCTTCTCTCGGCCATGCTCGTCTTTCAGCACTTCGATCTTCAGGTCCACACCTGGCCGATGAGGGGGCAGCTGGTCGGCCAGTTGCTGAGAGAAAGCTCGAGACCACTTGTGGTACTGTGGTGGCAGCTTCTCCATTACGTCAGTCTTCGGTTTCGGTCTTAGGGCCTTGTCAATATCCGCCATCGTGACCGAGTGAACTCCAATGCCGCCTTTGCGTTTGTCACGGCGTGCTTCTGCTAAAAGGTTGCGGCCATGACATTAGAGACATCTAGCTGTGGAGGCTGGTAACGTCGTCGGTCTCGTACTTGAACTCCATTGGACCCGATCTCGAGATATCCTTCCTTCGCATGGATGTGAACATCCTGGTCTTCCATCCATCGTTTACCCAGGATCATATCCCAGTTCAGATCGTCGATGACGTACATGAAAACACGATGCTGCTGATGTCCATCGAGGTCGATCGACACATACGTGATCTTGTCGATTTTGACCTCCTTGCCGTCTCCCGCTGCATTCTCCAAGATGCGCGGCTGGACGCGTATATGTGGCAACTGGAGAGAGTGAAATGTGCGCTTGCTAACCGCGCCGTAGCAGAGGCAGCCATAGTCGACAAGAGATGGCACGAAGTCTGTGCCGTTCACCCTGACGTCTGCTATGAACGGTTCTCCGTCCATTTTTGCTTTTCCGCTCACATCCCATTCTCTCACAGCCGCCGCGTGTCCCTAGTCTGAATCTTCATCGTTATGAGAAGAAGTATCGTCTTCGGCGACCTCGGCTTTAGTGACCGCTGGTCGTGACGGGGTCACGGCATTGACCTGAGTGCGTCGGGTCGTGTTTGCGGGTCGGATAGGCGCAGCCAATGGACAGCGCTCGATTCTGCAGTTGTCTCTTCCACAACGGAGGCAACGCCCTTCACGGTAACGGGCGTCCATCTCGGCCTGGTCGACCCACTTGGCACGCTTGCCCAACAGCGCTTGGTCTTCTGGTCGCTTGGATTGGTAACCATATGTGTTCTTATCACTGCGGGTGCGCGCAGCGTTCACTTTCGCGGATGCTTGTAGAGTTGGTTCCCATTCCATCATATCCTCTCGTCTAACTTCGGTTTTCTGGCCAGGCTGTTTCTGGGCAGCCTGGCCTCCATGATTCTGGTGGTTGTCATAGTTGTCCGAACTCTTTGTGTTGCCTCGAGGCCTTTCCACTGACCCAACAATTCCATCTGGCTGCTCAGCGAATCGCACCTCCTCGCCAGCCCAACATAGCTGCTGATGGCAGAGGGTCAGAGCCTATGAGGGCTGCTTTCATTTTATCGTTTAGTGCCTCCTGGAGGTAGGAAATCTTGCTGTCATCTGGCCAATACTCGGCGTTGGCATTGGCGATCTCCCTCAAAGCGGGGGTAAAAGGACGTGAACGGTTCATTCTCTCCTTGCTTAATCGAATGCAGGTTGCGTGTAGCTCTCATGCTTGCGATCCCTCTCCCGTACAGCAATTCGAGGCGGTTGAGTAGTTCAGCAACATTGAACGTTTTCTTCTCGGTTTGCATCTCCACAAATGTGGTCACGTTGTCTTTAGCCTTGCCTTCTAGGCTCATGAAGATGTACATAAAGTGGCCTTCTGCATCTCCAAGGGCTTCTTTGTCGACTCGTAGCTTTCCTTCGGTTTCTAGTTTCCAGCTTCGCCACTGGGCCTTGTCGCCGCCGAATTTCGGTATGTCTCGTAATTTGGGGCGCTTGGTTGGGTGAGGGTTGTGAGTGGCGACCACACGAGTGTCCTCAATGGGGACAGCCGGGGTGACAGATGGCGTTGGCTCTAGGAGTTCAGACGAACGGGCTTGCTGGTGTTGTTGGAGTTCCAGGGCAATAAAACGTTCTTCAAACTGGGTGTTTCTTCGGGAACTCTCTTCTCTCAGACTTCGTATCTCGGCAACCAGGGCGCTGAGGACGTCCGGCTGCATGTTGTTGTTATCTTCGGCCATCGCGACTTCGCTGAACGCTAATAGTTCGACGGGACTCAGTTTGGTGTCTTCAGTGTCTTCGGTGTCTTCGGTGTCTTCAGTGTCTTCGGTGTCTTCAGTGTCTTCAATGTCTTCAGTGATCTTGATAGTATGTGAAAGGCCTCAGTGAGTTGATACAACTAACTAGTCCCTATGCTGTTTACTATCAAGATAGAGAAGAAAGAAAGAAAGAAAGAGAATCTACTACATGAGAGCACAATAGCATTTTATAGCTTCGAGCCAATGGAAGGTTCTAGAAGCTAGGCGGCGCAGCCGCCGTTAAAGCGGCTTGCCCGTTACAGAGGCAAGCACCGGCAAAGAAGATGTCCAGAAGGCGCAAGTCCTCGAAAGAGAATATACACTGCACTGTCGGGCAGATAGACTTGTAAACCATGACTCACTGAAGAGGGCAGAAGCAAGGTACGTTGGTGCAGTTTCGTACATTAGCAGCTTCTTGCGACGGACTGACCGTTTCGTCCGAGCTTGTTCTCCGAATCCTGGCCTTTTGAAGCGCCTTGGCTTATGCGTCTCGACCTGACCCATAAGTGAACTGTATCCAGACCTCCTCAGCTGTAATAATCCATGGTTATACCTTGTCCAAGGGAGCAAACTTTTAGTAAATCTCAGCTACGACATACTCGGTCGAAATACTCATAGAGGCAAGTTTACACAGTTGCGAACCGGAACTGACTCGTCTATTCCGAGCTGGCCAAGCCTATCTGATGTATTTAAACAACCGCTTCCGCGTTACCAGAAGATGGAACAATCAATCAATGGCTGTGCCGTTATACTTCATCGCTTATACTTACTAAGAACTCTCTTTATCTATCGGTCCCTCCCCAAAATCGCACATCTTCTTTCAAGATACAGTCTCCAACCAACTCATCCAATAATTTACCCCTCACCATTAGTATCATCGAAATGCGCGCTTCTGGCTTCGCGGTCTTAGCTGCGGCCACCACCGCCGGTGCCGCGCGGTTTGCCATGTACTTTGACGAGTAAGTGGCACCTGAAAGGCAGCTTCAGTCCAAGCTCATGCTTTTTGGCTGCGTACAGATGGCACAAGACGACTCTTCCTTCCAAAGAGCAAACGGCCGGCGTAAACTACGTCATCACGGCCTATGCCATGTCGGATGTCTTCACCAATGGCACCGACTACGCTCCCTTTATGCCGCTGGACCAGATCCGTGCACTTTTCGACCAGGGCACAAAGGTATGCATGTCCATTGGTGGAGGCGGGGACAAGACGGGCGGCTTCAGCGCCGCCATTGCCTCGGATGAGGCCCGTGGGAACTTTGCCAAGAATATCGCATCGACTGCTGATAAGCTGGGCTTCGACTGCGTCGGTGGGTGGTCAAATCGACATTATAAAGGAACCGCTTGCTGACCGAGGCGGCTGCAGATATCAACTGGAAGTTCCCCGGCGGCCTCGGCGAGGAGGAGAGGAAGGGAGAGGTCGAGGCTTACCCCAAGCTCCTATCTGACGTCAAGGGTGCTCTCGGCCAAAAGGAGCTGTCCATCGCGGTGCCCGGCAATCAAAACGAAATGACGGCCTTTACTTCGGAGCAGTGCCCCAACATTGCAAAGTCGGTCGACTTCGCCAACGTAAGCGCTTGGACTACGTGGAGAGGGTCTCGGAGAAGAACGCACGGCTGACGATTTGCCCAACAGGTGGTGTCTTACGGCTTGCAGGATCCAAGCCGCAACGAGACCAACCACCACAGCTCCGTCGAAGACTCGAAAAGCAGCGTCGACAGGTACACCCAGTGTGGTATTCCGGCTGATAAGCTGAACCTGGGCATCGCCTTTTTCGCCAAATTCAAGAAAACCGTCGGCACGTGCCAGGGGCCCCTCGGGTGCCCCATCGAGGATGCCGGGGGCAAAGACCCGGAGAAGGCGGGCGACGTCACCTTCGAGGCCGAGAACTTGAACGGCACCACCGAGCTGTCCAAGGCCATGGAGAATGGCCAGGCCGACAACGACCGGGGCGGCCAGTGGTGGTGGAATCCCGACACCAGCAAGTTCTGGACCTGGGACACGCCCGAGTTCATCGCAAAGAAGTGTGGCGAGATAGTCAAGGGGAAGCAGCTCGGCGGCGCCTTTGCCTGGAGCTTGGGAGAGGATAGCAAAGACGGGAGCCACCTCAAGGCCCTGCAGGATTGCTTCAAGGCCCAGTAGGTAGCGCCGCGCCAAGGCCTTTGGGAACTGTCGCTGGGCGAAATAGAATCCGGGTCTGTACGCCTTGGCCAACCGGCCCACAGGCTTGACGATCAAGGCGAGCAACGCATCCAGGCAGCGAGTACTTGCAGCGGATGAACGACAACGTTGGCGAGGGTAAACCTTCAATTCTAAGTAAAAGTCGGTCGTTGCAAATTCCCCGCCGCCCCCTACCGCCTTTCGCTTAGGCAAGCCCCTTCCCTTTTAGCCCGTCGCTATATATATATATAAATATATATATATAGGATTGCTATAAGAATACTTGACGAAGCTGTTGCTTAGTTAATTCTGTTCCCTTTTGCTATATTGTGCGCACCCACGGCGTGTGGCAAGGGGGCTCTAGTAGCGCGACGACTGCTTTTGCCCTCCTAGGCCGAGACCCTTACACACGGCCCCTTCCTACCGGAGGCCTGACTAGTAATCTCGAGCGGAGAAGAGGGCAGGTAACTTAATAAATAGGGATAGCTTCCTATACCTCTCGATAGCTCTCTATCCGTCCTCCTTAACTCTAATTAGATACCTAGACTTCCTCTACCTATTTGTGCTCTAGGATCCCTACTCATATTCAATCTATATGCCCCTGTGCCGCAAAGGGGCAAAAGCCAAAGCACAAGTGCTCCTGCATTTAAGAGATGCCATAAAGGAATCACGCTACTATATAACCATATCCGTTCCGTATCTAGGCCAGGACTATAACGCCGTTATTCTGCAGGCTGCTGCCGGTCGAATGATTGCACGCCTCTTCTATGTAGAGCTACTTTCGGTCCTGGCTTTTAATTCGTTCCCGACTGCTCTCGCGTGCGACCTCGGTGTCGTCTTTCCCCTGGCCCGCCGCTACTTGCCTTGATCACGGGCTTGCGAATCAGAACGATACGTGGATATTATCGTGGGGGTGACACCAGTCTCATTGAGTCATTTCAGAACCCTTATAACGTCAAGGGCACTCGTCCCATGTTCTGGCCTTCGCGGTTCCTCTCAAACGGGCCTTCGAGGTCCCTGTTTTAGTGGAGCGCCTTCCAGCTGCAAAAGCGGACGTTCGCTATATTATGGGATTAGAGCCACTGTGGTGGCCGCTATTGGCTTTGCGAAATATTACGCAACTGGCGTCGGTTCGCCGAAGTTGCCCCAACTGCCTCTTATAACAATGCTAGGGCCTCTTCTAGACTTGCACGCACACCCACACTAATCTGCTCGTCGGGAACCGGACGACGCAGCAGCGCGAGGGACGCCCCGTAAATCGGCCAGTTGTCCACACCCTCGTCCCCTTGCCGCAGTGGCCGGGCATGTCCACAATCCCGCTTACCTACCTGAATACATACGCAGGCGGACGTGATGCACTGCAGCCCTGAGCAAGGCTGAAATGCACGTTGGCACGGCTCCGTACCGGGACGACGGAGCTTGAACTGGATGGAGTATATTGGACAATTGCCCTTCTAGCCGTCATTTGCGTGGACCACTAATCACCCGCTCCCGGCGGACGGACGTGAGGCCGTTTCTTGTCTCATGGCCCCTTCTAGACCTGCGTCTGCATCCGACCCTCTATGCTTTTGTCGGCTCCGAATACCTGCAAGGAAGGGGACCTCCCCCGGCGGAGCATGTGAGAGTTTTATCGTGGCCGTATTGGCGAGCATGTGGTTAACGACCTCTCTTGCCTCCTCTTGCAGTGACTTGCCGCTATCGGTCTCCAACCCCCTCGCCCGTCTACCTTGCTAACAGTAGAGCAAACTCCCCAGGGCCCTGCCACGAGCTCACGCCTTGGAGGTAGTACATTTCGCTCATAGAGGGCAAAAGGAAGACGTGCGTCCCGTAGTACGCCGGTCCGTTGAACCCGTCCGGGTTAATGACCTTGCGCAGACGCTCGAAGCAAAGCACCTGCGTCAAGTAGTCACCCAAGAAGTCCATACAGACGGTGGCTTCCAGCGCGTTGATCTGCTCTGCGGTGAGCTGTGGTAACGGTATACCGCGTAATAACGGGTGCTTAGTACGAAGTTTTGCACGGGCCTTCTATAAGATCGTAACATCTACAATAGAAAGAGTAGAAGAACTTGGCAGAACTATTCAGGGGCTCGATGACCGAAACGATAGGCTGGTTGGCCGCTAAAGCGTGCTGAGCGTTACATCCGCGGTAGAGGTAGGCGATGTCGGAGGCATCGTGGCTGAAAAGGGGGTTGCGTGCGAATTGAGAGTTGGATGCGTACGAATAGAGTCTCTCTTAATGAATGCTAAAGATCCCGAGACCGGCAAGGTTCTAACTGACTCTTGGGTCATTGACGAGATGGTGTCGTTGCCAATTGCAGGCACTACCTCGTCATAAATGCTCGCAATAGTGTTTTCCTTACTTCTCAAGAACCCGGAAGTCGTCGCCTAGGCACGAAAGGAGCTTTATTTTGTTGTCGGAACCGGCAGGCTCATACATGTCCACCTATCGCAGCTCAAATATATTGAAGGTCTCCGCGAGTCACTACGACTGTCATTCGCCGCGCCCGGTTTCAATATTGAGCCCGTCCGAAGTTAAGGCCGGCATCCGGTGCTCCTAGCCAGGGGCAAATACCAGATCGCACACAACCTGCCCTCAACCGTAAACATACGTTGTGGTTGCCCCGCCGCCGCCGCAATTGACTTTCATATTACCAACGCATCCATACGGGCATCCTTTTGCTACGTCCACTTTCTTTACGCCAGACTTAACTATATGAGCCTTATTCCCGCAATAACACTCACGACCAGACCTTACGCCAGCATACTTATAACGAGCTCGCTGACACATGCCGACGCATTTATCTGGGGTCATATCTTTATAATGGAACCCATACTTAAGGTAAGGAAGTGCCACCTTCTTGCCGTTATTAGTCGCATAGCAGCCGTCAAATTTCCATTTGCCAATTTGTTTTATAATTTCAGGAGGAGCAGTAGCAGTAACAGCTACTGCAATAGTAAAAAGGGTAAAAGTTTTAGGTTGCATTGTAAAGTTTATAAGGAATGTAGGAGGTTTTTTCAGCTTTGAAAGAGAGAGAGGGGATTTGACACTATTAAAGAGAGAAATCTACTTAGTTAAAAGAAAGATAGTTACCTACTATTAAGTAGGCAGATTTTGGCTAATATTACACTCCGACTACAACCTTACATTCCGACCAGTAGTATTGCATTCCGACTACTAATATTACATTCCTACTAGTATTACATTCCTACTAGTATTACATTCCTACTAATATTACATTCCTATTACTCAGCCGAAGGCTCTCACGAAGACAGCAGGCAAGTGGGCATTGATTGTGTAACAATGGATGTGATCTGTTGTATTTTTCGTTGTGTCGGTAGCCGCTGGACGTGGCAGACTTCTTACGCACCGCCGGCTCCTCAGTTCACCTACCGAAAAAAAAAACAATATAAGGGTGTGTCAGACAGTTACGGCCCACACCCAGCACGACAGCGGCTGTGCAAAGCGACCTGAATGGCATCAGTCAATTGATGAGAATTATCTAAAAAACAAGAATTGAGTGAGCGAGCTGCAGGGAATTATGCAGCTCTTTATACATAAATAAAAGGCTTGTTGCCTGCCTACGCATTCCAGGCAACAGCGGCGTTTCGTAGTAATATCGCCACTTCATGAGTAATCACTTAAGCTTGATATGCGACAGGATGACATTGCAGCTTGTGTACAGTACATCATATACCCGTTTAGAGATATACAGCCCTATTCAAGCTATCATTCTCTAGGCTACGCGTCGGGAAGCGTCGGATAGACAGGGTTTAGATCAACGGCGTCCTAGCCAGGCAACGGATATGTCTCCACTAATTGCTTAACGCTATTCCATACCCATTGCACTTGATCTTTCTCTCTAGACACCAATTTAGGCTTTGCTGCGTGATATAGGGGTGCAAGGGCACTTACTTGTCCTTGCTCTGCAACAGTTCGTTGACCCTGTTATTAGAGCCGTTAGATGCTATGCTCTTAAATATAAGAGGAAGATATACATTCGCTAGGTTTCCTTTATTCTACCGACTGTTTGGTCGCCTTATGCGTCTCTTGTCTCCGATAGAGGGGTAGTGACTGACTGTGAATCTTAGAGCAATACTAAGTCTTCTAAGCTAGAGAGACATTTAGCAGCCGGTATAGATCGGCCCGCTGCCTATGTCACACTCACCTAGAGAGCCTCGTTTGTAAAGGGCTGGGTTCGCCGCTGTCCGCTGCCCTAGACCGTGTTAGCAGTTGACCCTAGTAGAGTACCGAAGTATAGATCGTAAAATAGGACTTCACACTCTGTGCGTTGGCTCACGGCGTTTAAAGAATGAACGGTCTGGTGTTGGGTCTTTATGCTTATTATTAAAGGATGTCTCACGAGAGAAATGCGATCTGCCGTTGAAGCTTTCCTTGTCTCCATCTTAGACAACAGATGAGACATATGATCAAGCCATGCAGTGACGTCTTCGACGTCTATGTATCAATGCGGGCGGACAACAGCGCAGCAACCGAGTCTTCAACAAGTGTGCATGATGGCGGAGCAAGTGATTACTGATTGGTTGAGAGCGATTGGATGTGCAGGCAGAGATCGAGGATCACATCAAGATTCTGGTTTTATTATAAAGAACCAATCATGGCCTCTGTGTTGAGTTGATCTGGAAGCTCGGCGTTCGCGGGCTCTTGCATCCTGGACTATGGCGTCACATGGGAGTTGGTGCATTTACAAAATCATATGCACTGCCATAACTGTAGCTTTGTTTCGACTGTCGGTTGCATCGGATCTGAACCATCAACGTCCTGCTGGGCTCGATGCGTCTACTCAAGATGCTGGCGCTTTGAATGGCTACTTGAAACTTCCCCATGGCAAGGAGGAAGGCGAAGCACGTCGGCTCAGACAGCAGTGTTGGAGTAATTGAATGCGCCGCTCACCTCTCCCCAGGCTCATGGCGCGATTGAGCCACCGAAAAGCTCGCGGCTTGTTTCCGTTCAAGTTGGTAGCGGACGCGAAGAGATTCCAGCATTTTACGCCAACGACTCGGCCGACCATGGTGTACAGCATGTGTATATCACGTTTCATGGCAAGCACCGCGATGGAGGCGCCTACTGGGCGATGATGAACGAGGCCATCAGGAGACGGCGCGGCAAAAGGGGATACGGAACAGACCGGAATACCGTTGTAGTCGCTCCTCAGTTCCTGTCCACCATATACAACTCTGACCAGTATACTGGCAACCAGCTTGCGTGGACCGACCTGAATGCCTGGCAGGCCGGCAGCAGGGCAAACCACCCGCCGAGGACCAAGCTGACTCCCATTGACGCCTTGGAGGCCATCGTAGAGACGTTTGCTAACCAGACAAGATATCCCAGGATGCAAAATGTCACCGTCTTTGGCCACGGTGGTGGAGGCCAGCTCGCGCAGCGGTATTCGGCTGTTGGCAAGGAAGCGCCGCCTCATATCCACGTCCGCTACATTCATGGCGATGCGTCAACCAGTATCTACTTCACCAAAGACAGGCCGGCAGAGCAGGGCAGCACTTCTGCGTGCAAGCGGTACAACACATGGCGGTACGGCTTTGACGAGTTCCCAGGCACGTCGGCAGGCTCCAAGACAGCCAAGGAGTACTTCCGGCGGTATATCAGTCGCGACGTCGTCTCCATTGTCGGAGTGAGGGATGTGAAGAGCAACGGCGACCAGTCATGCATGGCCAAGCTGCAGGGCGGGAGGAAGCGACGGGGCCGCAATCTGGCTTGGTACAAGTATGTCCACGCCCTGGCACAGACGGGCGAGGACGTGGACGGGTTTCCCGGGCAGTTTGACAGTCTCCCCGACTGGAGTGCGGCTTCCAACCATAGCATCAGGCTGCGTCTGACGGCTGTGGAAGATGTTTCGCATGATGCAACGGGCATTCTCGAGAGCCGCGGCGGCCAGTCGGCGCTATTCAGCGATGGCCATGTCGAGCTTGGCTGGCGGCCTGGGCATCGTGGCTCGCTGTAGCAGGACCATATTACATGTCCGGGGATGTATCTGAAAGCCAATTCTTGGATGGAGCAGCCGTGGAGACTGGGCTCGGGAGAAATGAAAGGCGGAGTCGATGGCTGCCAAGGCGGCGAGACCTTGTTGGCCACGAGAATGAGACAATTGTGCGCCCTGGGGAAGCACAAAACTCTCGGGGATCAACAGGTGCGAGCCAACAGAGCAGAAAGAGTGGCCCGGTTGACGGCGCGTAACACAACGTGGTGTGTGACGCGCCGTGATTGATTCAGGATTGCGCGGCCGGCCGCTTGAAGCGGAAATGGATGGCCGAGCGGCAGCCCACACGACGAGCTAATCACAGGACGGAGTGCCTCCCTTGCCTTGCCGGCTCGTTTGCCGTCTCCAATTTGTCTCTTACGCAAAATATTAGAAAAATAAAAGGGGAATCCGAAAACAAGCCGCGCGCCCGGGATTGGCGCAGAAGCGGGCAGCACCCACCATCCTGAATCAATATCAGCATAATCAAAACTCTCCCGCTCCACACCCATGGCAACAGAGGAAGAACGGGACCGGCTCGGGGCCGACGACGTGGCCGCCGCGGCAGATGCGGACGGCAAGAAGGCGGGCGAGGAGGCGGGCGAGGCAGCAGCCGGCAACGGCGACGGCGACGGCGACGGCGACGACGACGACGACGACGGCGCGGCGCCGACGACGCGGAGCGAGATGCGCGCCTACTACCTCTACTACGTCGGGGCCAACGGGCTGGCCCTCTTCAACTTCGGCCCGTCGGCGCTGCAGAACCTGCTGGACCAGGCGGCGGCGGCGTCGGGCGGGCTGCTCGACTTCGCGGGCCGCCGGCGCGACGTCAACAGCATCGTGCTGCTGGCCAACGGCACGTCGTTTGCGCTGCAGGCGGGCCTGATGCTGGGCATCGGCGCCTACGCCGACTTCGGCACGGGCCGGCGCTGGGTGCTGCTGCTGTGGTCGGCGGCGGCCTACGCCATCGGGCTCGGCTGGCTGGCCGTCCACGAGCCCGGCCGGTGGCGCGCGGGCCTCGGCCTGTACATTGCCGGCCTCATCGCCTACCAGCTGACGTTGACGTACTGGACGGCCGCCTTCCCCGCGCTGGCCCGCAACACGCCGCGGCTCCGGGAGGCGCGCCGGGCCGTGCGGCGGGGCCGGCTGCCGCGCGCCGAGCTGGACCGCCGCGACGAGCTCGAGCGCAGCCGGCTCAGCAACGTGGCCTTTTGGCTGCAGTCGGTCGGCGAGGTGCTCATGCTGGCCGTCATCGTCGGCATCATGCACGGCGTCGGCGTCGACGGCAGCCCCGAGCGCAACAGCTGGGGGCTCTCGGTCCTCATTGCCTTCGCCACGGCCTGCTGGCTGGGCCTCTCGCTGCCGTGGTTCGTGCTGGAGAAGAGCCGGCCGGGGCTCCGCGTGCCGCCGGGCCAGACGATGCTGACGGCCGGCCTCTGGCAGCTGCGCGAGGCCCTGACGCACATGTGGCGCCTCAAGCAGAGCCTCGTCTACCTCGTCGGCTACTTCCTGCTGGGCGACTCGCTCAACACGACTGTCACCGTCATCGCCACGCTGCAGAACCAGGTCGTCAGATACAACACGCTGACGCTGACGTACCTGCTGCTCGTCGGCATCGGCGCCCAGGCCGTCGGCATCGGCGCCTTCTGGCTGGTCCAGCGCCGCTTCGCCATCGGCGCCAAAGCCATGTTCAACGCCGTCATGGTCGCCATTGTCCTGCTCGACGGCTGGGGCATGGTGGGCAACTGGACCGGCCGCTTCGGCTTCCACAACCCGTGGGAGATCTGGCTCTACCAGGCCTTCTACGGCCTGTGCGTGTGTCCGTGGTACAGCTACTCGCAGATCATCATCAGCTCCGTCACCCCGCGCGGCCACGAGTTCCTCTTCTTCTCCGTCTTCAACATTGCCGGCAAGGCCTCGAGCTTTATCGGGCCCTTTATCAGCAGCGCCATCATCGACGCCTCGCCCGGCGGCCGCAACAACAGCGCCCCCTTTTACTTTCTCTTTGCCCTGAGCCTCGCCAGCGCCGCCTTCCTCTGGACCTTTCTCGACCTGGACCGCAGCGCTCGCGAGCAGGAGGCCTTTCTGGCCGAGGAGCGGCGTCGCCTCCGACCGGCCTCCGACGTGGTGGAAGTGGACGCGGGCGACGAGGGGCGTCATCGGCCGATGCCTTGAGGAACGAAAGGCCTTCTAACGTGCCCCGCAGACCCCGCCCTCTCCCCCCAAAAGTTCTCCGCCCCTTGATTGGTCCCTTGTGATTGGTCCCTCCTTGCCTCCCTCCTCGTTGGTCGCTGCCCTTCCCCCGGCTTCTGTTGCCTTTTCGCGTGCCTTATCCCACCACTAGGCGCCTCCCACCCTGTCTGCCGCCTGCCGACTCTTCCCGCCTGCCGAACTCTTCATCGCGTCACCTAGCGCGGCCGCCTTGACTCTTCAGCATCACCGTCCAGCCAGCGCAACGCCTCCTCAACGGTCCTCTCGCTCAGTACCTCGAGCCTGGCCTGTGCGGCAGTCATCTCCTCGGGGACCCGGTTGCCCACCAAGTCTCTGTCCCGCACCTTGGACACGAGCATGATGCCGTCTAGAGTTCGGCAGCGCGATAGCTGCACGTACAGGCCGTACGGGTCGCACTGCGAGGGCACCACCGTTCCATCCATCTTCGTCGTCCGTTTCCTCGCAGCTCGAGGGCCACGCGCTCCAGCGTTTTGCCCTGCACCTTGTAGTCCGTGCACGCGAACGCTGCTGCGCACGGCAAACCCTTTCGGCTGACGTCGTTGCGTTGCCACGGCCTTTTTCGCTGGCACTGTATCTTAACGGTCATGGGTGTCAACAAGATCGTGCCCGGCGGCATCCCGACGAAGTGGAGATATCTCGTCGTCTCCGATTCGAGAATGATCCCGCCGGCGGCCCGAAGTGGATCGTCATATCGGCCGAGATCCGATGCCCCGGGTACGCCTTGTCGACAATGACCTCCACCGCCGAGTAGCTCGCGCCGTTCACTAGCTTCAGCCCCTGGTGGGTGTTGTGGTTCACGACGATGGGCATCCCGGCCACGAACATGAAGACGGCCGGCACCGGGATCGCGCTATCGTCGCCCTGGTTGAGTATCATGATCGCCTCTTCCTCCGTCGGCAGCTCCTCCTTCCACTTGTGCTCGGAGATGAAAATGCGCATCGTCGACCGCTGCTGGACCCGGAACGCCAGGCTCGCCTCCATGTTCAGGTTCCACCGATTCCTATTGAGCGGCGTCACCACGGTGATGCCCGTCTCCCAAGGGATCCGCCTTCCTCCCGGTAGCACCTTGAGTTGAGGAGGTTTAGATCCGTCCGATCCTGCACGCCTAGACGGATCCGCTTCAGCAGCCTCTGCAGCTCCGGGTCGCCGGCGGCGCGCATCTGCTCGTCCAGCATGACGACCGTCGTGAACCTCTTCCACAGTGCGTGCGCTTTGTCGTGCTGGTGACGCTGCTCGGCCTTGAACGAGTTGTCTACGTCCCACGAGATGGCCGCGCTAGGCAGGACGATCGACCTCTCTTGGACCGGCCGGAACTGCTGAAAATCTCCGCAGAAGAGGACGATGGGGATCCCCCCGAAATCTTGCCGCGATCCGCGAAGCCGGCGAAGCCGCTCGTTCACGGCGTGCAGCGTCCGCGCCCCGAGCATGCTCACCTCGTCGATGACGAGCACATCCTTCTCCTGCCAATCCATTCGAGACTGGCCGTGGATGAACCGCTCCGCCTGTTTCGGCAGCCGCACCGTCAAGGTCTTTGACCATGTTCGCGCCCGGCCCTTGGTCCTTGGTGAACCCGCAGGCGGAGTGGATCGTGATGCCGTTGATCCGCGCCGCCGCAGTCCCCGACGTCGCCGTGATCAGCAGACGATTCGAAAGGCTCTTTTACTGAACAGCTCGACGAGTGCCTCGATGATTCGCGACTTGCCGGTACCGCCCTCGCCACCGACGAACTGGCGCAGCTGGCAGGCATCGCCCCGTCGGTCTGCTGCATCAAATCGAGCTGGCGGCATATTATCAGAAAAGCGATGGACTGCCTCTTGTTCAGCGTCAGCCGTGTTGCCAACACCTTGCCCGCCGCGAGGAAGGAGGTTGATGGGCCAAACTGAACGTCCATTCCCGCCCCTGCGTCGATAGCGGTCTCGTCGGAGTCGGCCATCGTCATTTCGACCTCGTCCTCCCCGAAACCGGTCATCACCCTTCGCAACGCTGCGCGGCGATCGCTTTCCCAGGCGGCGGGCGTGCTTTGTATCCCTTGGATCATCCTCTCCCTCTCCTTCGAGGCACTTACCTGCTGCGACTTGATAGCCTTGACCTGATCCTGCGGCGGTAGTGCGGCCCCGGAAAATACCCGCCCTGGCATGCTTAACCGCCTCTCCTCGTTCGATCAGCGCCGTGGCCTCGAGCTCGGCCGTCGAGCGCAGCGCCGATTGCTGAAACCGACAGAGCTGCTGTATCATTGCCATGAGCTCCGGCGACTTGGCCGTCACCTGATTCGCTCCCACTGCACCTCGGACGACGTCGATGAGCCGCGTTGCGTCTCCGATGCTGTTGGGCTGATATGTCGCTGCAGACTCCGCGCCCGCCTCGCCTGCTCCACCCTCCTCGACGTGTGCGACCGTCGGGTCGCCATCGCCGGACGAGGCTGCCCATTGCTTGGCGTCGCGTTTTGCGTCTTCGGCGGATCGTCGAAGCAGCTGCACGTTGTCGACCAGACATGATATTCTCGGGGCCATAGCGTCTCGAGCCCGCGCCCAGATGCTGTTGATCTCACCTGTTCCTTCGCCCAGGAAGGACTCCCACGGCACGAACAGCGCAAGATGCTGCACGGCTGCCCTTCAGGGGGTGGGTTAGCCTCTCCGATAATGCCCGCTGACAGAGCAGTTGCCATACACACCTCCGGTAGCACGACTCGTCATCGTAGGTGAAGTCCTTGCTCAGGTAGCCGTCGAGGCAGACGGTAGCGTGCTTGCCCGGCCGCCTGAGCACCTGAACCCAGCGTCGTCCCGGCGCCCATCCATCCTCGAAAGACATCTCCCTGCCGCCCAGCTCTCGTCGTTGCCGATGCGTTTCAGTCTGACGATCGATATGTAGTCATACAGGCATAGGCCTTTCAGCAGCTCTCCCGGTGCTGGTACGCCTCGACGTGGGAGATTCTCAGGCCTTCTTCTTCGACGACGACCGACTCATCCAAGGTGTCATCCGTAGCCGCAGCGCCACTGGCTTCTCGGAGATGCCGCCATCGCCGAAAGACTTCCCAGTACAGCAGAGAACAGTTCAGGTACGCCCACGCGCTGCTGTCGGTGAACTCGGCCGGATATCCGAGAAGGTGAGCGACGACCTCGACCTGTGATAGCGGACGCTCCGTGAACACGCGGTTCGCCACTCTCATCAGGAACTGTCGCGTCCTGTTCCCTTGACAGGGTCATCGGTGGCAGCGTCTCCGCCACCGTCCCGCCCTCCGTTTGCCGTGCCATCACCTGTTGAGGCGGCCAGGAGCTCGGCCGCGGCCGCCACACGCTTCCACACCGGGTCCTCCACCTTGGTCGCGTAGTTCGTGACATAATAGATGAGGGCCATTGTCTTGCGCTGCGTCGCAATGAAGGAAATATCATGGTTGTGCCGGAGCCCGACAGCAATAGCCTCGTTCCATCGATTGACCATGCTGTGTGTCCTCCGGATCTGCAGCACCCCGTCTGCCGTGAGGGCGGTCTTGTCGACTAACCTCCATGGCGCCTTGAACCGGCAGAGGTCCCCTTCCGCCCTCCTTTGCCCAAGGAATACTTCACACAGGTCGGGCTATGCGTGTGCACCTGCGTCGCGCCGGCACAGAAGTTGGCCTCCTCGATAAACGCGGCCGAGAACTGCGCGGCGTTGTCCAGCAGGAACCAATACCGCCTGTCACAGATCGCTCCGCTTGCACGGCGCAAAACTTTCCTGGTCCAGATCCTGCCTTGCACGTCAACCCGGCCCCACTTGGCCATCAGAAGAGTACTTCAGGCTCCCGGTGGCACATCTTAGGTAGGCATTCTTACCTCTGAGAAGACGCTATCGATGTATCGGACGATTCGCTCGCGATACGCCGCCTGATCCTCCCCGTGGATGTCGGCAAGCATCGAGCTGAGATGCGCGTTCCCGTGCAGCCAGAGCAAGCCGTGAACATGAAGCGCCCTCGTTCGTTCGTCTCCACGGCGCCATAGTACTTGCCGATGCGCCCGAATACCGACTCTTCACCGACCTTCACGTAATGATCGAAGAACAGCTTCATCTCGCGGTGGAAGAACACGGCCGAGCTCATGGGATCCGATATCGCCAGCCGTGCCCGCTTATACGCATCCCCAAGGCCTTCTAAGAACTCCTCGGCCGCGTCGGGATCGCGTGTGCGGTATGCCGCCAGTCGCAGCTTCACCGGGTTCGTAATGTCGTTCGGGTTGATGGTGAACCAGATGGCCGGCACGCCATATCCGACGATGAGCGACTGGATTTTCCGCCGCATATTGAGACGGACCTCTCTCGACATGGGCTGCCGGTGGCCGTAAAGCGAGAGGCTCCTGAGAAGCTCCTTCACGTCACCATCGGTCGTCTTACCCGAGCTCTCCAACTCGACCCTCGCCGCCGCTAGCCTTTCTGTGGTCATCGAACGCACGATGCGCTCTACCTTGCGGAAGTTCTTCCTCCCACACTCAACATGCTGACCCGGCGGTTCCTCGACCGCACCCCATGTTGAAGACGAGAAATGCGAAGATGTGGTGCAGTGCAAATCGCCCCCCATGGCGCCGGAGCACGATCTCGGCCCACGCCTGAAGGTTCAAGCTTCGAGACGATACGGGTCTCCGCGGCCGCCTCTGCCTCGACAGCCCTGCCTCGCAAGTTGGCCGTGACCTTCCCGCGTCGACCATGGTCTCTTCAACCAGCCTTGGTCCCCAACGCCAAATGGGAACAGGGTCGGGAACGTCCTGGCAAAGAAGGACGCCTCAAAGGAATCGGTAAACTCACCCCCGCGAAACCCGGATGTATGGCTCACAACCACCGTCGCCACGCCCCGAACCCCGGCTAGGGACCCGACCCACGCCTCGGCCCGCACGGCCGTCGTCGGCACCTTCACCAACAGCGTCACAGGCAAACTGCAGCTTCTCCACGTCCGCGACGTCTGGCGGTCCGTCGAGCGCGAACATGCCAGAAGACGTCACCTCGTTGATCGCTGGAACGTTCTGGTCGGGGCAGGCGTCACTTCCATCGCGAACCGCGCCTTCTCCGTTGGGCCCGTGACCTTCACCCTGGCCGCCGGCTTCTTGTCCTTGGTTGAGCAGGGCGAAGAGCTCCTCGATCTCCACCGGCCCTCCTCGTCCACGGCGCGTTCCGTGGGCGGCACAACGTGCGCCGTCCGCGCTTTCTCCCACCCAGACGGCTCGTTCCGCTCCATACGATCGCACACCGACGACGGTACCCCGTGTATCGAGTCTCCCAGCTCTCCATCTCCGCCGCGTCGATCTCGATCTCGGCGTAGTGGGGTTGTTCCGCTTCAGCCAGACAAGGGCCCTCTCGCCCACCCGCCGCCTCACCGCCAAGAGACTCGACAGGTCGCTCGGTGCCGGCTTCTCCGCGCCCTGCCACGAGATGGATCTCGTCCAGTGCTTGCAAAGGGGTGCGGGAGCACTTTGGTGGCCAGCTCCTGCACATTGTTCGGAAACACTGTGATGTGGCCCTGACATGCCTCGGATACTTCACGCTCTGTCTCTGCCCGCCCGGAATGCTATATCTCGTGACAAACCCGTAACATGAGTTCAGCGAGATGAGCTTCTCTTCGACCGGCGTCAGTCCCTTGAGCTCATCGGGGAACATGTGCTCGCAGCCAAGGCGACTGTGAAGGTGGATCGCCGGCGACAGGCTCCTGCGCGCCAGGCATCGGCCACACTCGGCGCACACCGACACGGACTCGCCCTCAGGAAAGCAACTCCGGCATGAAAATGGTGAGCGGCCGCCCTTTGGTACGCAACTTGACAGCCAATGATCCCATGTAATCCCCTCAACTCTCCTCTCGTACACTTGCGGTAGCACACCATGCAGGTCCGTATCGGCAACGTGCTCGCATCGTGGAACGCCTGATAGAAGTCTCGCACCGTCGACACCTTCCTCTCGAGCGGTATTGGCGTGCACCACGTCTGATCGTTAGACAATCTCTCCTTCAAGGCAAAGTCTTCCTCCAAAAAGCGCAGCACACTCGCCAGGTCTTCGGCCTGCAGCTCCCGTCTCCTATGCCTTCCGATTCCACTTCGGACCTGTTTTATCGGGCGCCCATCCCGGCTAGGAAGACGGGCTCTCTTCTCCCGCCTCCGGGACTGCCTCTGTCCGCGCAGCGAGCCGTCCGCTGCCTCTGCTGCGCCATCGTCCACACCCACCTGTGCCCTTGGCCGCCGAACCGGTCCCCGACGGAGCTTGGGCAAACCCCATGCAATCGATGCTGCAAATTGCGCCGTTCGTCTTAGGTCTTGGAAAGTCGTATCCTTGGGCTGGATAGGTCGGAGCGTCGGTCCCCTTTTCGAACGAACACCCGGGACACCGCCGGTCGCCGCCTTATCTCCCTGCCCGTCACCTTCAGGACCCCTCTCCTGGGGCAAAAACGGCCGATGAAGGGGCGGACTGTCAGAGCCCACTGCCCCCTGGTCTCCACGTTCTGTAGGCAACACGAACCTCGGAAGCGGACTCGGTGACTGACGTTGCGCGGAATTTCCGCTGCTGACCAAATTACGGGACTTCCGTGCTCTGCTTGACCGCAAACCGCCTCGCGGCGGTCTTCTCGGCAGTGACTTTGCGATCGCCCCTGCATGCTTTCTCCATGCGGTTTCTTCGACCGCAGACTGCTTAGGCTGAATCAGCCGGAACGTTAATGCTTCATTCGCCACTGATCTGTATCTCCCGAACCGCCCCAACCTTGTCTCCCGTGCTCCGTGCCCTTCTCGGGAGTTGCCCTGTATCATCTCCGCACCCCGAAACAGGCACTCCCGTTCCTACCCTCTTCTCCATCCTCGACTGACAACGAACAGGCTCCACGGTGAGCGGCCGCCTCGCCTAGCTTCCTGCAGGACTGTCCGCCATGCTACTGCCTCCTCGACGTCGACTAGCGTGGATTGGCAACAGGCTAGAAAGTTTTGGCTCCGGAGCACTTCCACTTGGATAATCTCGCTTCTTGGCGTACACTATTTCTTTCCGAGTGGGAAGCTTCTAACGATCACTACTCTGGCCGTGGCATTTCTTCCTTATAATGCTTGCCTATGGTACCGAAGCGATGCAATACTACTACCCTTTGTAATCCCCATTTACCCTCCCTATGTGCGTCCACCGTCCCGACCCTCGGCTGGTCTCCACGTGCGACCTGCTACCCCAGCTTTGCCAAAGGCGGCCCTTCCATCGCCGTGCTCTCTTTGCGCACTCCAGCCAATCCCTGGCTACTGCCGACCTCCGGCACATGGGGTGGCCGCGCCAACCGCCCGCCGCACACTTCCAACCATACTCTCCGGCCCTTCCAACGCCGTCCCACCCACCTTGCGCATCAGTTGCTCCATCAATATCTGCCACTCCACCTCGTCGAGCAACAGCCAAAAGGCTGCCGGCGATAACATGTCCACGGTGTCCTCGTGCAACCGGACTACCCGGCTAGGTTTGCTCCCTCGCCACCACCAACGTCGCATCAACGGCCTTCATGCTAAAGCGACAGCCAGGATCCCCCTGCCTGTCCTCTTGTAGTCGCTAGCCACCGGAGTCTCGACTTGCAAACCCTCTTGGAGAGTTCTCGTGACCAACTCGCATCCTCCTCCTCAGCTCGTCCCCTATATCCGACTTCACCGTGTCCCAATAGTGGACTCGACACGGTCGGCACCCGCCTCGCTCAGCCGCACGCAATGCCCCCCTGCAATACTACCATAGCCTCTTTCTTTCCTTCACTCTCATTCGTTATTGTCGCCTTTGCTATCTACTCCATGCAACGATGACACCGAAGGGTACTGCTGGACTTTCTTTCTCCGCAGACTTACCCACACTAACCTTACCGTTCGCCGACCTCCAACTTCTCGCGACATAGCCATCACCCCTACTCAACTTCCAACCCCCGGCTCCCTACTTCACTCACGACCATAGAACCAGATGGTCGAGACTGTTCAAGAACCTCGCCAGCTCATTCCCGCATACCCCCGCTTCTAATCTATCACCTAGGTAGCATTCTCTGACTCTTAAGTCTCCCTGACCCTAGCCGCGAGCCCTCTTTCGAGCAGCAAGAAAACCTGCTTTATAGGATGCCCACCTCCACTCTGCGTAACCCTCATTTACACTTCCACGGTGACTACATCTGCCATGTTCTCACGATGTCGGCCTCCCAGCTCAACGTCGATACCTCGTCCTCCCCGCGGCAACCTCTTGACAGCCAGAAAAATGCTGGCGCCGACATGTCCATGATGGCCTTTGTCCAGCCCGGCTGCCCGTCTAGGTTCGCCTACCAGAATGAGCATCGTGTCAAAGGGCTCAACGCAGAAACCCTAGCGAGGGTCTTCCTTCCCACGCCCTCATGGCTGTCGACTCCGGAGTATGCAGCAATCCGGTCAGATACTGGCAATCCATCGACCTGCATCTTCTTCAGCCTTAATATTTCCATATACAACCAACAGATAATCTCCTCGGAATGGACCGAGCAATGGTTCTTCATGGTCGGCCGTGTTCATCCCTTTGCCCTGACGTGGGAAATCGAGCGACGTGATGGCTTGAGTCGGACGATGATAACATCACAGAATACACCGTCCCCGCGCTTATAGTCCGCGATCACAGCTACCAACCGTGAGTCTATGCTCCAAATCTCTCTGTCGCCACTGCCCTCCTGACGATATCCATAGAATTGTCACTCGCACCTCAGCTCGGTGGATACTTTCCCAACGATACAACCCATTGTCTCCTTCACGGGACCTGTCATCGGCTCCGGCCGCGACCTCCTGCATGGAAACTCGGCTGCGGCCCTTGACGACACCCAGCTGAGCTGCTGCGGCTTTGTCCAGCTCTCCACCTTTATTTGTCCTGGGATTCCCGGCAAAACCCTTCAAGGGCTTTCGCCCTTCCAAGTTTTCGTCATCTTCCCCATTCACGCTAATCCTTGGACCTCCTATGCAAGAAGATGACCGAGAGGCGCGACAGCCAGTTCCAGTCGAACGCTCTCTTCACCTGTACGGGCAAAATCGCCGGCTTACTGGATCACCAGATCATGAAACATGCCCCGGCTTTCGACCAAGACTATATCTTCATCGTCGTCCCCGACACGTGGACTTTCCACGACAAGGCCATGTCCGACCAGGCTTCTGCAACACAACTACTGCCGACGACACCCAAGAGCGCGGTCGGCAATCCTCGGACTATAGCGTTGCGTTGGCCAGGTTTACCTCTACGAAGAAACCCAAGGCCGCCCAAAGCCCCGCCTCCCCCACGCCGCATGCTTCTGGCCCAGTCGATCCCCTTATGCTGGCATCAAGTCGGTCAATGCCCGATCCCTACCAAACCCCAACCAAGAGACCGCGACTTTCTCCCGAAACTTCCACCATAATCACCGACTGTGACGGTCAAGACTCCCCCAAATCCGATACCTCCTCCTTTCTGTCCCCGGAAGACCCCGCAGAGTCAGAGACGGACACCGAACAGGTCAATCACCAAGACACATCCGCCTCTGGCTCTATCAGACCTCCCGCGTCGATATCTTCCCGACCACTGCGCGCCCGACGTCCGCCCAAGAATATTCTCTAAACTTTAAAGCTTCAAACGAAACAATACAACATGACAACATGTCTCATCATCCTCAAAATCAACTGCCAAAGGCTCGAATAGCACATTCTCTTCTCTTCTTGTTCTCCTTTTCATGAAGACGATCAAGTCAAAACTTCCCAATATACTCCTTATTCTGTTTATACCTACGACTTATACCGGTAGCACATGTAAATTTTCCGAGCCTTCCACTCGCCCAGACATGCATTACCCACTCACATCTCTCTTCAACCCTGCCGTCTCTCCACGCCCTTTGAGTTTGCGCCTTTTAAACAAAATCTCCCTCCAGCGGCCTAGCCTGCCTCCCCGACGCTCTGTCTCGGTTTCACTCACGATAATGCTCTACGTCTCTCGCCGTGTCTCGTATCTCGACCTCACTCTTCTTCCTGTCTCCTATCTACTGTCGCCAACTCTCTCTCTCTCTTCTGTAGCCAACTCTTCTCCGGTTCTCTTGTCGCCAAATTTCGTTCCGAAAGGCTTCTTTGCGCGAGCCGCGGCTGGCGAGCCTTCCTCTCGTGTTACCGTAGGCAGCATCCGCCATGGTCTCCCGTCATTGGTTGGCTTGCTAGAGAGGGAGATGGAGGGGGGCTCGGCGATCCCAAAGCCCGACTTGCGGATGTGCCCCCCCCCCACCCCCCCCTTTCCCCTTTCTTTGCCGGTCCTTGGTTTCCTTTCTTATTATAATACCGCTGCTTATTACATGCGCGCTACTCTGGCCGTGGCCGCTTGGCGACGCCCACACCACAAGAGTTCAGGGGGCCGGCTGACGTCCTTGATGACGCTCTGCAAAGTGAGCCGAGTAGCCGGACTGACTCACCGTATCGCAGCCGGCAGGGCCCTTTGGTTGGATCTCAATGAAAAGCCTCGTCCCCGTCGCGTCTTCCGAAGATGCGGCTCAGCCGTCAGCACGGCGCAGTTTGTATTCGATGGCGATGCCTCTCGGAGCCGATCCAAGGCCCGGGCACTGGCCTCTGATGACGCCCAGACGGCCTTGGAGTCTCGGGCCTCGGAGCCGTAGCAGTTGCCCGACGTGACTCAATAATCGTTCCGCCCCAGACCGTGGACTTAAACGAAGCATCTCCCCGCCGCTTCCACCATCCTTTTGGGCCCCGTCGACCACGACTGCTTTGCCTTTGGTCTCTCGAACCAGTTGAATGACATAAAAGAGCCACAAGTATCCCTTGTAGCTTGTGTTTCATCCCCCTCACCCTACCATGGCTCCCCTCAACATCCTCATCTGCGGCGGCGGCATCGCCGGCCCGGCCGCTGCCTACTGGCTCTCCAAGCTCGGCCACACGTGCACCATCGTCGAGCGCCACCCGGAGCTCCGCGCGCACGGCCAGCAGATCGACCTCCGCGAGCAGGGCGTCACCGTGGCCCGGCGCATGGGCATCCTCGACGAGGTGCGCCGCCGGGCCGTCGACGAGGAGGGCACGGGCTTCCTCGACGCCCGCGGCCGCGTCGTTGCCTTCTTCGGCCGCAGCGGCTCCGAGGAGCACCAGAGCTTCACCAGCGAGTTCGAGATTATGCGCGGCGAGCTGTGCCGGATCCTGTTCGAGGCCACCAGCGACCGCGTCCGGTACCGCTACGGCGTCACCGTCGACGACTTTGCCCCCGTCGGCGACGGGTCCCGCGTCCGCGTCGAGTTCTCCGATGGCCAGGCGGCCGAGTACGATCTTCTCATCGGCGCCGACGGCCAGGGCTCGCGCGTGCGGCGCAAGATGACGCCCAACGACTCGTACCGCGCCTTTGGCGTCTTCTGCTGCTACTTCAACATGGCGCGCAACGCCGACGACGAGCGCAGCCGCTTCCTGCTCTGCTCCCCGGGCAAGCGCCGCGTCATGGCCACGCGCTGGCACTCCAAGGACCTCGGCCAGGGCTACCTCATGACTATGTCGCACGCCGACGAGATGCGCAAGGCCCTGCAGTCCCACGACCCAGTCGTCCAGCGCGACCTGTTTGCCCGCGTCTTCCGCGGGGCCGGCTGGCAGTCGGAGCGCCTCATCGACGCCATGCACCGTGCCGACGATGTCTACGTCTTCGAGGCCCTGCAGGTCACCACCAAGCCCTGGTCCAAGGGCCGCGTCGTGCTCCTTGGCGACGCCGCCCATGCGCCATCCTTCTTCACCGGCATGGGCACCAGCCTCGCCCTCGTCGGCGCCTACGTTCTGGCGGGCGAGCTGGCCCGCCACGGCGACGACGTCGCGGCCGCCCTCGACGCCTACGACGCCAAGCTGCGGCCCTTTGTCGAGGAGACGCAGCAGCTGGCCCCCGGCTTCCCCGGCATCATGTATCCCGACTCGGCGTGGGCTGTCCGGCTGACGCACTGGATTCTTGCCTTTGTGGCCTTCGCCAAGCTCGACAAAATCATAGGCACCCTGTCGCACTATCTGATGCCCGAGGGCAAGAAATGGAAGGTACCGGACTATCCGGAACTGGAGGTGGCAACGGAGTCGTCCCCTGCCAAGTGCTGAGGGGCGCGTGAAGCTTGCTTGATTGATATGCCATTGTAATATTAGCGCTGACATGTGATGCCCCTTTGGTTTAGTTTCACTTCTACACGAATGAAAGGACCCGGAATTGAAAAAAAGAAACGTGGCCCCGAGTGATCAAACAGTGGTGGTTGGTAATAAGACATGAGCGACCTCGACTGAGCTGGTGAATTGCTTCGCTTCGTCTGTCCTTCGGCATCTCGACGCCAAGCAAATTGCCCTGCAGTGTCTTATCTATTCATGCCAAGTCGTTTGGATGTAGTGGAAACAAAGTTTACATCGCACGCCCCCGCGCCGTTGGCGCCTCGCTCTCCCTATGCTCATATTTTTGGAGGCACTGTCCGGCAGTAGCACGACGAGCGTATGGGCACGTCCGCCTGTGCCAGCGCCGCCTTTAACCGTGGCTCCACGGCGGCGGCCTCGGCTGTCCTCCCCAGCCTCAGCAGGCATTCGTGGTATCCGTGCAGGGCCCACACGTTGTTCGGGTGTCGGTGGACGCGCGGGAGAGAGTCGTCGAGGCCCAGGTCGGCGCTGTAGACGGCGCAAGCCTCGTCGGCGCGGCCCTGCTCGAGCAACAGCGCTCCGTAGGCGTGGCGGGCCGGCTGCATCCAACCCCACGGCTCGTCAAACGGCAGCTTGTCGTACCGCGCGATGGATTCGCGGAGGTGCGCGAAGGCGGCGTCAAAGTTGCCGGCGCGGTACTCAATCTCGCCGTCGAGCATGGCCTGGGCAACGCAGAGGATGTCGATGCACTTATTGTTGAAGAGGGTGCGCGTCGGCTTGACCCGGGGCACGGCCTCGCGGAACAGGCAGCGCTGCTCGTCGGCCTCGTCCACCCGGCCAGTGGCGGCCAGCGCCATACCCCGGGCGTAGTGGACGAGGGCCGTGGTGACGCAGTAGAGCTCGCGGTCGCGGGGCAGCTTGATGGCCAGCACGTCCTTCCAGCGGCCAAAGCGGATGAGGGCGTGGACGCGCATGGCCAGGAAGGCCTCAAGCCAGTCGGCCATGGGCGGCGACTCGACGCGCAGCAGGTCCTCGGAGACGCTGGCCTCGAGCATGTCGACCGTCTCGAGCGCGACGCGGGACTTGCCGGCGAACATGGCCGAGTAGAGGCGGAAGTGGTAGTCGTGGCTGCGGTAGAGGGTGTAGAAGTTCATGGGGCCCTGGCGGACGAGGAACTTCTGGTCGGCGCGGACGGCATCCGTGTTGGCGACGACGGCGCGAGAATAGTCGCCCACCAGGATGTCGAGGTGGCTCGGCATGTGGTTGAGGTGGCCCGAGTCTGGGACCAGGCCGCGCAGCTTGTCGGCGGCGGGCATGGCCACCTCGGGCATCTGCGACATCTCCATGAGATGGATGTATAGGTGGAGCAGGCCCGCGTGCTCGTCGCCGCCGTGCTGGGCGAGGGCGCGCTCCAGCACCCGCCGGACCTCGAGGGTGCGTGCGTCGGCGGTGGGCAAGCCGGTGCGAATGTCCCACAGGTTCCAGGGCGTCATGTTCATCATGGCGTCGGCGTAGAGGGCGGCAACGTCGAGGTCGTCGGGGAAGCGGGCCGAGACGGCAGCCATGGCGTCTGCGTAGCCGCGGTTCCAGATGCTGAAGTCGGGCTTGGCGGGCGCCTCGGGGCGCGGGTAGCGGTGCCGCAGGGCGGCGATGAGGGCGCGCTCGACGGGAGAGGCGCCGCGGGAGGCGGCGGAGCTCGCTCGCTCGACGGCGGCGTGTGTCTTGTCGGCCGTGGTGCGCCGCTCGCGGCCGCTAAACAGGTCCCAGGGCTTGTTGTAGTTGGGGCCGAGGGCATAGGCCAGCCCCCAATGGGCGAGGGCGCAGGCCGGGTCGTGGGCGCCGGCGCGCTCAAAGCACTTGGCGGCCTCCTCGTGGTTGAAGCCGTAGCACCAGACCATGCCGCGGTCGAACCATCGCTGGGCGGCGGCGCTCGAGGTGGTGACGGGGCGGTGGAAGCTGCCGAGATCGTAGTAGCCGTCGTCGTCGCCGCCGTCGTCGTCCAGCGCCGCCATGTTGCCGTTGCTGCTGCCCAGGCGATGCTGCTCGGCGCCTGCTGCCATGGACTCGACTGCGATAGGACGTTTCTCGGTGCCCGGCTTGGCGGTGTTGGAGTGGGCGGCAAGATGAGGTCGGAGTAGGCGGCAAGATGAGGTCGTCGTGGGCTTGTCGTGGAGGAGACTGGCCATGTCTCGCCTCCCCCTTCCCCTACACACCCCGGTACTTGTCGGTACCTGAATTTCCCCGGCCCACTTCCATGTTCGCGGGGCCGACTGGCGGAGCCGGGAGCGGAGCCCTTGTCCCTCTTAGGCTACTCCGGCTTCCGGAGGCCGGCCGACTCCAGCTCCATGTATGTTGTTTTGCTGGCTTTGCGGTGGAAACCCACGCGAGCTCAGGCCCTTCTGCATACCGAACAAGGTGAAGTGCCTTCTCCTCCCGTCATGTGCCGTGTCTTGGGACGTAGACTCTCCTACGCCTGAACCCTGGACCCGATGCCGTTCGTTGACACTCGCCCTGTTTCACGTCTTCGAGCACACACACAGGCCTCCAAGAGGCCCGGCTGTAACGGCATGTGTCATTGGATGCATCGCCCAAGGAACAGGTGTTTATGAACCTGATGGCGCCGACTTACTCGGCTTGAATGGCTTCATGTACGCCCACAAGTGAATCACGTAAAACCGCATCAGATAGAAAAGCTGCTCTGGCCACCACAGACAAAGCCAATGGCACGCATCTGCATAGTTGCTACAGGCAGGGCACTTTCCTTACAGGCAGACGCCTCCGCTTCAGCCCGTCTTCTTCCGAGAAGTCCTCTTCCCCCGTCCAATCACATAAGGAGTGTCATCCTTGAAGATCAACCCCGGCTTTCTTTCGGCCAGATCCAGGAGCATCTCGGCAAAGTAGCTGTTGGCCCAGGCAAACCAAGGCCGTGTAAAGTCGCTCGAGTCGTAAATGTGGATGCTCTCGTGAATCAGACCGAGGCCAGACGTGTTCTCGACGATAAGCGACAGGCGTTGCTTGATCTCCTCGTCGTCGTCGCTACCATATATCCCCGAGATCTGGGACATGGGCCACGGATTGGTCGCTTTAACGTGTGGTCCGCTGCCAACATGAAATAGAACAAAAACCCAGTCAGCAACTACTCGTGCTACACGTCTTGGCGTGGCGCATGCCATTCGACGTCGACATGTCTCTAGAGCCTCTGGGATAAGACTTACCCGATCCCTGTAAAGTTCTTCCCAACAGCATAGTAAGGATTCGCACGCGACAACATGGCGGCTTTGGTCTTTTGGTACGTCGAGTCCTCTCGCTGCAGGAAGCCCAGGTAAGGCAGGGAGACGAGGCTTGGCACATTGGCGTCGTCCATGATGTACTGGCCGCCGTAGCCGTTGGTCTCGTAGGCGAAAATGCCGTTCGAGGTGCATGCATGGGCCCAGATCGCATCTCGAATGGTACTGGCATACTGCTGCAACTTGCCTGCGAGATCCGGCGCCTCGCCGACTTCGCCGAGCATGGTGGCGACGTTGTCGAGCTCAACCGACATCATGGCATTATCCGAGGTGATGAAATCTGCCGGATAAACTATTATTAGAAAGCCTTCCATCCAGGGCTAAGCTTATGTTGCTTCAGGCTCTCGGCTTCCCGCCAGGGAGGCAGAGCTGAGTGAGGGAATCCTAGAGGAGACATACTGAAAACGCATACATCGTCAGACGGCCGGAAACTCGACGCCACGAGCCCGTTCGCCAGCTTGGGCTCCCCGTTGCCTCCGTTGGGAACTGGTGCCGCCAGGGATCCCGCCGTGCCCGTCCAATTGTAGTAGCTGACAAACTCCCAGTCATTCGCCCACGAGCTCTGCGATTGCTCGTGCAGCACCTTGAGAATCTGGTCCATCGCTGCCCTCCCTGCTAGGCATGAGCATATGTATAGGAAAACGGGCTACTCAATGGGCCTGATGGACTGACAGTTGTCGTTGATAAACGATGAGTCTTTCGTGTTGGCGTAGTAGGATCTGCAGATCTTCAGGAAGCCTGCGAGCGAGTCGAGCTCGTACTAGTACGGCAGGCCGCTGTTAGCTGTGTGGAAATATCACTCTTCCATGTGCAAGCTTGAGCATTCCAAGGACCAGCCGCGATTGTACCTTGCATTCAAACACCGTCTGGTTGTCGACCGGTCTGCGAGCGTTCAGTATTGCGTAATTAGTCTCGTTTTTTATCTGTCTTCAGGGCTTGCCATACGGGTTGACAATCACTTTTGTCGCGAAATCCTACCAATACTCCTGTTAGTCATAAACAATCTTGATACTATGAAGATGACGAGTTGAAGTCTACTGAAACTATAATGGCGACAGTCCCGAAACTCACATTGACACTGGGCGACAGGCCGCTCTCCGGGGGAGGTTGAAAGGCGCCTTGCCGACGACGCAAGGATTCAGCATGCGGGTTTCAGTCATATGGGCAAGAACGATCAGACTCACCACAATAGGGATACTGGGAGATGTACCGCGACTCGGTGTTGATCACGGCCTTGACCAGCGCCTTGAGGTCATCGTCGTGAGGCAGTAGCTTGTACAAGTGCGCGAACTGGTTCCCCGTGTCACGCAGCCACTGCGCACTGGCATTGTGAGTTCAGTCTTCATCTAGCTGAAAGTGTTGGTTGACTAACGTGATGTCCTGGTCAAACCGACGACGTTAGCCGAGTGTGCTTTGGGAAGCCGAGGCCGGTGTGCCTACACCGGTGACAATAAACGCCAGGTTACGATCCGGGTCAAAGTATTTGACGGTGGTGTCCAGTGTCGAGGGAAACGTGTTCTCAAATAGCCTGGCAAGATCAGGATCCCTGAGGCGGACTGCCATGTCGCTGATTACTTTCTGCATTTCCAACATCAAAAGCCACATCAGCCAATGCCGTGAAACTCAAGCCCGAATACCGGACATTCGCCCAGAGCTTATCTGGGCGAAGGCAGGACTTGCCTCGACAGCAGAACTGTTAAACGTCCGGCACTCCGGGCTCGGCCTCATGAACGGCAATGCGAGCGGGCCTGTGGAGAACGGGCCATGTGGCTTCCGCGAATAGTCCGCGTAGTCCGGGCAAGCGGCCGGCGTACGGGACTGGGCTTCAGTCGGCGCAAAGCTGACGAGCAAGCTCAATATGGCGAGGAAGGCGCTTCGCAAATTCATTGTCAAATGCATCGTCTCCGTCTTTCCCATGACCGCAGGACTTGAGAGGTGGTGAAGACGGCTCTTTCTTAGAAATCACGGCAGTTGCCACGAGACAGGTCGTGGCCTTTCGTCTCCCTCCCTTGAGTGTCTCTGGTCGATGTCTTACACAGGCCACACACAGAATGGAGTGATATACAAACTCTGTGTTCGTGCTAGTAATACTTCGTACCCGCACAGTTCATGACTATCGCCGTTTCTCAGCGCTCACGACGTAAAAAGAGGAGCAGAGGCGGGCGCGCGTGCTCATTTGCTGGATCGGATGAGGTTGGATGAGTGCGGGGAAAAACGCAAGGGGAAGATGGAGCCGAGACCGATAAGCCTTTAGAGTCCACAGCAGCAGCTTGAGTAGAGTCCTGTACACGACGACATATTCCAAACTAGGTTGTGGGTGAGGTGATACATGGTGTCACAGGTCCCGGGGCCGGCTGACCGGTCATCCGGTAATCGGATTACCGCCCCGCCCCACGCAAAACCATGTCGTTTTCGAAGGTTCGTCCCTGCGGGGCTGGCGTTTTCTTAGTCGGATTACCGCCATCGGACGGCAAAATCGAAGGTCCACGCCCGCGGGGCCCTGCGCGAGACCTTCGATTTCGGTCTCGCTCACGCGCGTTGCGCTCCACCTCCCTCCTCCCACCTCCCGTGTCAAGCCAACTGGCCTGCGATCCCGGACGTTTGGCCGGCCTCGGTACCACAGGGCCAACAGCTACCGGGAGACCTGGTCGATGAAGGAAAGCTCTTGCTCTTCATGAAGGAGGTAGTGGCATCACGTCCTCCAAAGAAAGGAAAGAGGGTCGCCGATGAAAGAAAACGACACCTCGAGGCTCAGGAAGCCAAGAGGGCCGTGAAAAGACGCAGAGCACCATCAGGTAACAGATGTTGATCACGGGATGTGGTCGTCGGACTGAGCCAGCCCATCATACTAACACCCAGCTTCCCCCAGCAGATACCATCGTTGTAGGCGGCGGAGGTAGCGAATACGAGTCAGACTCCGACTTGGAGTTGTATGAGTCCACGCTCAAACTACAGTATAATACTGTACGGGGCTACGTCTCGGCCATACAGAAGCTTTACGACGAGCAGAAGAGCCGGGAGTCAATCCTGCGGCCCGGCCACAGGAGTGGCACTGAAGGCGCTCAAACGCAGCATTCTTGCAACGACTTGGAGCCGGAAGAGGAAGGAATACATGGACAGGGGAGTTGGAACTCTGAGAGATGTGTATGCGCCGGCGCAGATACCCGACCACACCAACGTGGCATGGTCCGAGAGAGATCGCCTGCGCCCTGAGGACGCAGGTGGACTTTCTGCTCGGGAACCACATGCTGCTGCGGTCCGGCAACCGCCTGCCGATGGAGTTGGCAGACTGCTTTCCCTGGACTTACCCAACGAGGGCTTCAAGGCCCAGGGTATACCACAAAGGCGCTGGTTGTCGTGATGAACTGTGGGAAGACCAACCAGCACGGCCGCATGGAGTATGGATCTGCTTTGCGGCATCGAGATCCGCGATCTTGTCTCATCGGCGCCCTCGCGTTCTGGCTTTTCTGGCGCTGGCAGGTAGAAAAGGCGGAAAGGTTTCCGTCTTCCAAAGAAGCGAAGACTGGTATGAAACGAAGGTGCTCCGCCGATCGGCGAAGGAGCCTCAAGGTAAGCGTGATGGCATTCACCGGAATCCCATAACTCAGAGGGTGCATCGACCCTTTCACTCACCGAATATACAGCTCCGTTGTCGGGCCAGACTGCCCGAGAATGGACGTCCAGGTTCTACAAGAAGGCCGGCATCAAGGTCTCCAAGGTCAGCCACGCGCCTAGAGTGGCGGCGACGCAAAACGCCGACATGGCCGGAGTGGATGAAGGCCAGGCATGTCATCTGCCCTAGGCAAGCCGCCAACCCCCTGGCCTGGGCTGACCCGAACTATACAGATCCGCCGAGCCGGTCGTTGGAATAACGGAGACCAAATGACCGGCTGCTATCTGACTTCCTGCCTTTCGAATTCATGAGGGCCGTGGCCGACTTTGACCCTGAATGGTCGGGGTCTTATTTCGTGCCCGGGCCACCGTGAGGCCGCCTGTGGTGCTACTCGTGCAGGTCTGGCCTCAACTCGACAAATGGAAAGAGGCCCACAGTAGCCCTTTCTCAGATCTCGGGGTGGAGCAGAACATGGCCGCCGGCGCCTTCTTGGAACTCCTGGAGTGGCTTCGAGAGGTGCTCCTGCAGGACGCTGTCTTCCTTCGCGAGTCCTACCCCGACCATCCTATCTTTCAGGATCCGGTCTTCTCTTGCCCCGAGTTTGAAGCGTTCGCCAGCAAAGTTCAAGACACATGCACACGGGACCACGAAGACAGCCATACCACGGTCATTCAAAAAGCGATCCCGGTGGTTGCGGAGAAGCTGCGCACAGTACTGACTCAACAGGTCGCAGCCGAGCAGTTAGCTGAGCGAAGACATCTAGACCTTTTGGGGGCTTCTTACGAACTATGCACAAAGTTGGATGAGTTTGCGCAGGCCACCTACACCGTCACCTTCAGCCCCGGCCAAGGTGCTGCAGGTCAACATGCGGAGATCGCGGGAGCTCATCAACAGAGGCGCCGCGCTCCACGAGAGACGGTCCTCAGGTCCGAGATAGGCCCTTCGCAAGCGGGCGGTCCGACATACGCTCCGCTCTCTAGAGCAGCAGCAGGGAATGGTGCAAGCGGGCCAGGGCAAGCCCCAGGAAGAGCGCATGGCGAGCCGCCTGGGCCGCGCGAACCTCCGAGCTTCAAGCTCCCCGTTCTGTCAAATCTGTACAGGAGCTGCTGCGTCTCTGGCGGCAGGGCTGGGGCGAAATGCCTTCTGTGGATTCTCTTGAGCGAGACTGGGGTGCTCGATGGCGGCCATCTGCAGAGAAGAATTACTTTTCCACGCGCAAGATCATCGTCGATGAGGTTCGGAGGCGGGCCCAGTCGGACGGCTTAACTGAAGATATCGTGGCGAGGCAAATGGACGAAGAACGTGGACCCAGCTCTTTGGATAAGTTGTTCAAGGCCATCCGAAAGGACAGGCAAGGCGAAAAAGGGACACAAACGTGCGTCGGGGCAATTCAACGTCGGTGGTAGCGAAAAGTCGATGGCGCAGTGATTTTGAACACCCGTCTGATAGAATGACGAGGACCTTGGCGGCGAAAGTGCCCCAGGCCGTCAGGGCTGCGTCGCTACAGTCAGCGGTAGTGGCCTGTAGACAGGGTATGCATCCGCTAAGCGCCGCTGTAGCTCCAGCGCGTCAAGGCTAGAAAATGCTTCAAATCACCGCAACCTCGCAACCGACAGGATGTAGGACCTTAGACAGGGTGCATTCTGATCGCACAAACGCAGGCTATCCAGTCGAACTGGTTTTGTCGTCGTCGGTCCCGGCTTTCGCGCTTTATGGCGCTCCGAAGATGACATCAACCCGGCAGAGGTGATGTCAAGGGCAAGCGGGTAATCGGCGGTAATCTGCGGGGTAATCCGCTGACCGCCCACCAAAGCCGGACCTGTGACATCCACTTGATGTCGAGCGCTGGTGCGTTCGCGCTGCTGCCGCTTGCGCTGCTGCTCATGATGTCTTAGTGTTCGGTTTGATGATCTTAGCAAACGTTAAAGATCAAGTGTGCGATAGGGCACGCCTAAGAGGTCAGCGGCTGAGGCAAACAACTAGGCACGGTTGACTGAATAGAGTGGGCGCCGGTCGGGTCTTCGTAGTCAGTCTTGCGTTGTAGCACTTCTTTCTTCGCAGAGCGACACAGATCGTGAGGATGCGTTGAGGAAGTCTCTTCTATCTTGCTGCTCTGAGGTTACCAGCCAAGGTAACAACTGATCAGTGTGGATAGGCTCTAACTGAGGTCTCAGTTGGGTGATTGATGATCGTGATGATGTTCCTTTTTCTTCAGCTATCTAGACCATGCTGTGAGGTTTGATAGGTTGTGTGCGTGTGCGGGTAAACGTTGTTCCCTGCTGACGCACGTGATACCCTCCTGCGATGTGCGCTCTATCGTACAAATGATCAGACAAGTTCATTGTTTTTCATCCGACCCCGCCTCAAATATCCCGCACTTCGTCATGAAATGGATATACGACTAAACACACCTAAGCGACAACAATTTAATCTACGCAAAACGCTTTGGCTACATCAACTCTACTCGACGTCAAGCCGACATCAATCTTTACTGGTCCTTGAATGTTCATTTGGAAGCGCCCATATCTAGTCACTAACCGGGAACGTTCCACGGAAAAGACCTTAGCGACGTCTATGATCTATCGAACTTATTGACATACTCCCTCGCAAAAAGATCAGATCGATTCGGGTACAGACGATGGCTTCTGGAGTAGCCCATATCCCCGGCCTTAACAAGGCTCTCAAGGAAGAAGACCTGGATGAAAGTCGAAATATGTAAGAATCAAGACCTTTGAGACCAGTTGGCTATGGCTAATTCCCATAGCTATAATGATCTACCGAGCGACTCACAACAACCAGAAATTCTCGAGTCACACATACGTGACATTGCTGCACTCTTCGTTCGTAATAGCGCTCACGAGATATTTGGCATCCATCTAGCTCATGGTCACTTCGCTATACCCAACAACGCTGTCTTGCTCGGAGCCAGTTTTGATAAGCCTCGCTGCCGCTGGGCTAGGGCAACTACGATACAATTGATGGACCTCAGTGAAGTCCATGGGCACATATTCGTTCTTACAGACCACGGTTTTCATCCATACGAGTATCAAATGGGCCCTGTACCCGATCTGTCCGGTGTCGATGGGGCCTTCCTGCAAGATCTTGCCAATTATCTGGCCACAAACAACCTGTCGATGCTTGTTGGACTGCAATTTATTGACCAAAATCCCGTGTCCATGTTGGAGCTCGTTCTTCCACAGGGAACCGTCATGCTCGACATCTCGAATTTGAATGGATGCGTCCCCACCAGGCAGACTGGCTGGAGGTTCGAAACAGAAAACGGCAAGCCTCGTGTCTGTAAACCAAACGAGACGCATGGCCGTCATGCCAATGGTCATGACATTTTTAACGAAGGTGCACCTCACCCAAAGCTAGAAACCATTGAGGATGTTATGACCGTGCTAGCAGAGAAAAATATTATCCGTCAGTAGCTTGGGCTGTTCAGCCCCCACATTATACCGAACTTCGAGTACATAGTCACTATGACTCTTGCGGAAATGGAAGGCTGTTTGTTTTGCCTTTGCTTGCCTGCCATGTTTGCACAAGCAAAGCTAACCAATGGTGTCACATTCGCTTGCTCCGTCTGCCTAGCTCTTTTCCCATTGCTTCTGACACCCATAGTGTGAGGAACGATCTCTTCTCTTGATTAGTATTGTGTATGTGCTTCGGATTTGTAAGCCAAACTTCCCAGACCTGGTCGGTACGAAACAGAGCTTCTCGCGCGTCATTTATGTCAACGATGAAGACATCTCCCTCATACGAATTCGATTGTGTTTTCGATATTCCTTTGCTGGTCGGTTGCGTGGCATTTGAGAAGAGATGCGACGGACCTCGACTCGGCGCTGCCTGATCGCGTAATGCAGCCTCCGCGGTCGCTGATGCACCGCTCTGTTCGATGTCATCATACTTTCGTTTGCGTATGTTTAATCGTAGGGCAGTGTGCTCTATCGCAGTCAGCCTAGACATCCTTCGGTAAGCCCACAGAGTTATTACTTTGAATGAATGTCTCGTATGACCCGTCGTCGTCGGGGTCCTCGAACTTGGCATCAACAGCCTTGTCCACGTCGGGGCGATATAAGAGGCGAGCAAGTGCACGACGATGAAAGAATTCTTCTCCATGTCTCCGCAGGACCTCAAATTCGGCGTCATCCAATTTGATGATTTCTTCCGTGGAATAAGATAACCCGCAGAATTTTAGAGTATCGCAATCCAAGTCGCGCAGCTGCCGGCGCCTGCCTTCTTCACGACTATCCTTTCGGAAAACGAAGCGAATGAAATGCTTCACTTTTGTAGCTTGCTGCTTCGGAAGAGCCTTGTCCGATGGTTGCCGTCGTAACAGGTTTGCAGTACCCTGTAATGATTTCCGAACTTCAACTCTCGCTTTCAACGATGAGAGTTTCTCAAATATGTTGTCGAGAAGGTCTTCTGGACCATCAATGTTCCATAGTTCATTCCCTATCTTGTCGATGTCATGTTCAATCCTCTGGAGCAGGTCAGCAAACATATTGCAACCAAGTGACACCATAAATAAAGGAATGCTGAGATCACTAGAGTGGTTGAAGGGAAAGATGGTGGAGAGCTTAAGTGAGCGAAAATGAAGTGTCCCCAACAAGGTGAGCACAAATTATCGACACCAAGGAGGGGTGGAAGAAGGAGGTGAGCAAAAATATACGTCACGGACGAAGGAAGCGACGATTTCAGGCACCATTGAGGTGGCCGCACCTGGGCGGGGCATTCAAGGCAGCAACGCGGGGAAAGTAGCCTGCTCGGTGGTTAGCATCGATGAACAGGCCCATGCGTGAATGCATGTCAGACGGAGAGAGACCTATAATGCCCACTAATATCGATAGGATATCCACAGCGGGGTTTTGGTCATCCAATAGGGGTACCCCTATTTTGCCATTACTCGCAGAGACAACCCAAAGAGGTGTTGAATCGACCGTACATCGGGGAAAAGCAATCCGCCTTTTGAGGTCACCAGACAGTGATTTGTACGCAAATCCAGCTCCTTTCCGCAACAGGCCGTACTTACGAGAAACAAAACAAAATGCAGCATAATTTATAACATCCAAGCTGCGCACAGGAAGGATTCAGTGATCGGCGGGGAGGTCAAGGATGGTGTCCAGCGGATGAGTTGGGCAGTGAAGAGGGCAAAGCAGTTTTGAAAAAGGCGATGGAGAAGATTATTCAGGTGACAGAACATGCCAGAGGAGCCGCCCAATCAACTAGTTATCTCTTCCATCTCAGTAATCTGTCTTATGTCCATTTCCTTCCCGCCTGATCTTCCAGCCTTTCACAATGTTAACGGACAAACAGCCCCAATGAAGGGAGATCAGGGAAGACCAGGTGAGAGCCAGGTCCTTGGCTCTGTGAGCCAGTACGAGGCCCGGCTTGCGGAGTTGCCACAGCTAGACAATAAAATCACGCCTCCCTCCGAGCTGCGCTGTTGTCTCAGGAATCACCCACTGTAGAATGAAGCAAAAGCGCCCTTCCCCTGTATCTTTGAGCTTGTTCGGTCCATATGATCCCCCCAGAGAGCTCATGCTGTCGCCTCAACTGACGACGGATCAGACCCGGGTAAGTTGACCTTTCCGCAGGCTCATGGCATTCCGACCTCCTTCGCCAAGGCGCAATTAGACGCATGCAAGCCATAGTGCATAAACCAGGCTGTATGCACTGCTAGTGATGCCGATCTACTGGATGGCCTCATACCCGGGGGCCAACCGCATAGACTAGTTGAGGAGGTGTCGTTCCACCCACCCTACTCTGACCGGCCGTTTCAATGTGTAGAAAGCTCGTCCGCCTCATATATGTAAATCATCATAACAACTATAGTCCAGTCTCAAGGCAATGATGATGTAACCTTACTATGCACAAAGCACCCCATCACCACCTCACTTTCGGTATGTCTGCCCGTTTGCAGAGCGACTAGACAACGTCCTGTGGCTCTCTTCATCTAAGGTTATTTTCGAAGTACCGGTACCAATATTCGCTATTTTGACTTAACATTATATAAAGCACGTCTCGTTCCGGGCAAAGGGTGCTCATATGCCTTCTCATCTCTTTAAGTTCTAATTCCGCTCTCTCCACCCTTCAAGGTTGCCGCATTTCGACATGCGGGACGAGATCACCACCAGGGAGGTCACCGAGGCCGGTGTCGTGTTTGTAGTGACCACGGTTTTTCTGGGCCCATACCTATACTGGGTGATCAGAGTCAAACCACGAGAAGCTTCGTGTAGGCGAAGCTGGGCGCTGATATCCACTGTCTGTCTCCTCCTGGGCACCGGACTAATATTCGCCGCTTTGTTTGGCAGTGCAAGAAATGCACTCTTACCGGATATACTTGCCTACCCCCTTTTCATAGCTTGGAAAGGAGCGATCGTGTTGTGTGTCGACATTGTCGAAGTATTTCCTCATTCAGACACTCCTCGCGATCTAATACTGATGGCTTGCAGCTTATTCAAGTTGTCGATCCCCTAATACACGCCTGTTTCTCTCACTCCGTCAAGCCAAGTCCCTCTATCAAGGCTAGGATCACCATTTTCGGACTAATAATTGTCTTCCACCTTCCCTTTATTGGGGCGATCGTCTGGCAATTCAGGCTATATGGCGTCGAATACTGGTGGGCTGCTCCAATGGTGTCTCACTTGGCCACCGTTGTTATGGTTATGGCGATATGGAGGAAGACACAGCGTTTCCGTCGTTTTGACCGGCACTCTAACCAGCCGAAGCCGAAGCAGCCGACGTCAAACCAGGGGATGCCGTGGCTTGGGGCAGTAAGCGGATTGGTGTTCCTAGCATCATCTGTGCTTCTAGTGTGTTCTGTGACTGGTTGGGTGAGACACCAGTTTGGAGGTCAGTGTGGGCTTTGTCTAGCGATTTTAGTCGTGCCAGCAGTACCTCTGGACAGTATGATGAGAAGGCGCCAAAAGAAACGGGTAGAAAGAGGGATGCAATTGTCTGTGGTAACAGACCCAAGCACTGAACGGTCTACGGAGCACCTGGTATTATTCTGAGCGCTGAATCAGACAGACGGTAATACATCACCGTCCGCGCTCCGCCTGTGGCTACTACTTTCAATTTAAGCGTCCCAAGTTTGGGCCACACGCAGATGCCGCATTTAGGTCGTGCAAACGCTCCAAGTAATCCTTTCAAGTTGGAAGCGCGACGCAAAGGTGCCTTCCAAAGCATTAAAGAAAGCCATGGTTTCCGCGTAAATCATCTCGTGCGTATGATATTCGGTCCAGTTACACTCTCCTCAACCGAAGTACCTACGTTGGTTCACGCAAATTTCCACCAGTCGTCTGAAAGACATGTCCCAAAGAAGGACCCCCTCGGACTCGCAGAAGGGCTCGCTGAGGACAACCGGTTCGTCTCGCCCTAAGATCCACGCAGTGGAGAGTGTCCAGACGTCCAGATATACTCCACTTACCTCCACAAATGACGCATCAATCGGATTCCAAACTCTGGGGGGCGAAGAGTTCGCCGCGCACGACTACAGTTCTGAACTTCTGATGGCAGTGAAAGCGGCGAGCCGAGCATGAAGTGGCGGCTGTTCCACCGTACGACACCTAGGGAAAGGCAACGGAAATCACTCATCACGCTTATGGTGGAGAGTGCATGAAAGCAACAGTCAACCTCAGACAAGGGATTTAGCGAGGAGCCTCGATTCAATTTTCTGCATGCTCAAGTCGCATGCGACCCCGGGAAAACCCGGGCAGTTCTATCGCCACGAACGACTCACCGCAGTATGCTCATGACCGAGTTGACCGACTCACTTAGACTTGGACTCGTGTTGGAAAGGCGGCAGGGGGCACTCACACCCGACGCCGTCTTGGATCATCGATACGCCTCGCATGATTCGGTGACCCAAGGGCAATTCCCCGACGAGTCTCGCATGAAGGCGAGCGAGGATGCAAATGCCAGCTTGTGGAACCGGCGTTTCTTAGACGAGATATCTAAGGACTACTACCATTCATTCTAAGGGCTGGTGAAGATATAACAATTCAACACTCCTCCACGGCTGGTTGCTTGCTCCTCCAGATTTTCTGAGTCCGCTGTCGCTTATGCCCTTGCCCATGGCTTTGCCATATTCTTTCAGGCGCTTGATATTCTGTACTCACACCCCCGGATATCCCGCCATGGTCTCTCCGCTCGCATTTCCTGGTGTGTCGTGACGAGTCCGAAGGAGAAGACTGAGAAAGGCTGATAGTAATTCTAACAGGCTTGCAGGGAGGGAGGTCAAGTTCCATATCAACCTGTTTGCCTCGTCCGTTCTCGACTGTGCCGCTGGCCTCTACTTGATGGCAAGTATCGGATACAGTGACTCGAAAAACGAGCCCAGTAGGAGGACAATTCTCCTTGTCATCGCCGCAAAAGGAAGAGTAATCACTCTCCTCAAGATCGCTAGGTGCAATCAAGGGCTGTATATTTTGTGTAGGTGACGCTGCAATCTCGCCTTGCGGATATTTCTCTCGACAGTTTGCGGCGTTGAATTGGCTTTCGGTATCCGAGAATTCTGATGTGGGCGAGGTAGGACAAAAAAGCATATCGAGAGCACGGAGATGACCAGTTTGTCCACAGGCGATCGATTCAGTGGGACTCATATTCCCCTGAATAGTCGAGGCAGTGTCTGTCGACATGGCGTGAAGGAGGGCTTCGTTGGCTTTCGGAGAGTTGCAAGAAAATGAGAAATAGGGAAACTGGGACAAAGGGGGGTGGTGGTGCCTACCTCCTTCACTTCCTACACGAGTACCGTATGAGACGGGCCGCCTTGGCCGGGACGAGAGCTCCAGCGAATCATCCCGAGAACCCCCAAGGCGCAGCTTTGGCCATCTCATTGCACATATCGTTGGCTGGGATCATGCGCCTTCCTCCACTTCCGGGCTGTGGTCCGTTGTTGCTTCGCTGACGCCTGCCGGCCACCCCTGAGATGGTTTATGCGTCTTTGACCAGGTTCAGCTTCTGCATCTATGCGCCGATCGCATCCGCTAATGCTGCAAAATTACGAGTAGCCAACTTCTCTGTAGGCGCAGGGGGCGAACCGAATCGTGCAGACTACCGGTAGTCCGCAGCCTCCCCTGCGCCGGGGTTCAGGGAGGGAACGCGAGGCAGGACTTGTCCGTTAATTTCTATTCCCTCGTCGTTGATCCAATGTATGACAATGTACATGTACTAGCTGGAGCTCCAAAAGAGCGGTTCTAGAGAGCCGTCAGGGACACCCCTTAGGGTGGGAAAACGAGACATCGCGATATTTTCACGCTCCGCGTGTTAGACGCCACCATAAACTGTTGGTGGCTACGGTACCGGCTCAGCAGAGACTTCCCCCTCCCAGAAGCGCGACCCCAATTTGACCGGAGGAAGTATCCCATAAACTTTAACCTTCCGTAGCTCAAAGATATGCCGAGCCGTAACGAGGGTGGCTTAATTAAGTACGTACAAAAACTTTCACCCAGGGTCGCTCGTCCCTTATCGTCGTTACGGCGCAAAATGACTATTTGAGACGCCAAAGTGCATATCCAACCGTCCCCTGTCCGAATACCCGAGAAGGCTGCAAGGACTGCGCCATGGTTTGCATCCGTCTAGATTATAAAACGATTGGAGCTGCTGGAGCAATTCATCTGACTCTTTCCGGAATTCTCCTTGCCAGTCTACTGTAACTTGTTAATTTTCTCATTTCTCGATCTCTTACACGCCTACCGATATTCTACTTGGGGACGATTTATTCTTTGTTTTTACAATTTCCCGGTTCATTCATCAAAGAGAGCAGCCCCAAACAAAGGAATATCGAGCCAAATGTCGACCCTCGCAGTAAGTGATATCAACCCAGGTGATACCGTAGGCAGGAAAGGCCTTAACTAACAGCAGAGTCCCTTTCTATCTCTCTGCTCTAGCGCGAGAACAAATTAGCCCGAATTCGAGACAACCAGAGGAGATCGCGCGCCCGACGGAGAGAGTATGTCCAGGACCTCAAACGGCGACTCAGAGAATACGAGACTCGGGGCATCGAGGCCTCTACTGAGGTCTCGATGGCCGCGAGAAGAGTAGCCGAAGAGAACAAGCAGCTCCAGGAGCTCCTCAACAGGCATGGCATTAGTGACGACCACATAGCCCGTTTCTTGCAGTCCGGCACCTTGCCACTTGATTCCAACCAAGGTCAACCCTTTCACGCCGACGACCCTAGTGCCGCTGTCCAGTCGCTGCAACGGCTCCTCATTCCGCGACAACTGGTCAGTCTAGATGAAGACTTCTCCCTATATTTGTCGAGACAGTCGATTCGGGACCCCTCCACCACCGGGGGGTCGACGACAGGTTCGTCCGTCTGGGAGCCGTCGCAGCTCGTGACATCCTCGTACGACTATCAACATCATGTGGGCGTGGCTACCGCAGTAATGGGATCGGCTGTTCATTCTCCGTATCCATCGACAACCCCATTGAGTCGCGCGAGCGCCACGCGACCAGGCCGCGTCTATGGCGGGCAACCGTCCCCGTCAATGCACGATAGTCCCGGCCAAGCCATGGTAACAACACAGCCTACGTCTACTGGCGGCCGTACGGTAATGCACTCGCATTATTCTGTGCCTACTTTTCTAAACGCGGCGATGCCACATTATGATCCCCCAGGGAGCACCTGCTGACACGCGTTGATGAGGATCCGCAGGGGTATATCGCCGATTCCATTGGTTGTTTTAAATATATATTGAAGATTGGCACTGTTGGCCATGCCCTTACCGATTCACTAAAGCCTTTTATATCCTTCTGTCTGTGGACCAGGGCAGCCCCGTTAGGGAGGACCTGGAAGAAGGATTCCTGGCCTATGTAGCAGTATCGCATGAGGACTTCCTGAGTAAGGAAGGCTACCCCTTTATGCGTGGGTAGAGCCCCATACTCAGGAGGTCCCCAGAAGTCCCTAAGGCCTCCTGTATAAATAGCCCCTTCAGACTGCCCCATTAGAGATAGAACATGCATCTTGAATCTAGCTGTGGTGACCCCCTTATTCCGATGTGTATTGACACAACATTTCACCAGCACCGTCATATAAGAGTAGAACAGACCTCCCGATTCCCTGTCGAGTTTCTTGTAGTCCCTGATGTGAGCTCCAGCAAATCATCCCGTGAGTCGCAGCTGCGACTCTGGCCGTCTAGTGGCATCTACCTATCTGCCCAGTTTAATCATGCGCCTTCCTCCTCTGTCGGAACTGTGATCTACTAGTGCTTGGCTGATGCCTGCGAGCCGCCCCTAAGAGAGAATGACTAGCGATTGGCCTTACTCTTCGGCCACCCTTCCATCAGATAATCCTTGCATCCTTGGCTGGAACACCGTCAGATTCTGCATCTATGCGCCGGTCATCCCCTCTCTAACGTCATCAGGTAGTCTTAGGTCAGACTAGCCCACAGGATCCCCCGTACAGAGGGTCAGGGGGGTGGACCTGAGGCAGGATCACGCGTTGATCTCTATTCCCTCAGCCTAGTCCGAAGCAGGGCAATATATATTGAACTTGAAGTAACGGAAAGTGTCGAGGCTTGCAGGGAGGCTGCCTGCGTGGCAAGGGGCGGGATGCTCACGTCGGGATTAACAGCTTCAAGGAGCGGGTCAAGTTAGTGAACAGTGGTTGCACGACGTGATGGTCACATTGCGTCTCCAATCTGCAAGGCATGGTCGGCCGCGTCTCGGAGATGATTCGTAGGAAGGGAAGGTCGGCCCCAGGGTCGTGCCCGGGGAAGCCGGTATGAACATATGGCGGTCTGAGGGGCGGTCTCGACTCGGGCTAGAGCCGGCGTAGCTACCCGCTCCGTGGTGTCGTTGGCTGGGAGATTTAACGCCGGGGAGAAGGGGGTGTAGGGGGAAGGTTTGCAATGGAGGGGGCGTGGGAGAGGTGCTAGACGATGAGGCCGGATTCTGGCCACTTGATGCACCTCATATTGCCTTGTTGCTCTAGCCTGTAGCATCAGCGAGATATATCCTTCACGGCTGAATGAAAAGAGACGTGTAACGAGGCTGGGGAAGGCGAAATTGACAGGGAATGATGGCTGCGACGGGAACCGCGTTGCTCATATCGGGCACAACGGGAGTAAGAAGTAGTACCTCAATGAGACATGCGTTACATTTGGGACAAGAACTGGGCGTAATGGTTGGAGTTGTTGGTTACCTCCAATCATCCAGCCAGCCCCTGACGACCGTGACGCGCGCACTGCAATACAACCGTGGTTCTCTCCAAGTCAGGGAAGCTTTGCCTCGCCAGCTCTGTTCTCATCCACTCGCCATCGATCACAGGCTTCATTTCCCGCCGTAGTTCTCTGCGGTAGCCATACGTCTTGCCTGATCGATCTTGTACCAGGCTTGCCGTCTGCAGTTACGCCGCAGGTGACACCACTCGACCTATAATATTTGTTCTAGACTATAGTGGACGTTAAGTTATAAGAAGGGTCGAGAGTCGCCGACGACGACGGCTCCTGGTCGCATTATCGACATTATCGACCCTCTGAACCGTTTCCAGAAGTCTTTACCGTGCCTTACATACTCCATCAATTTTTTCAGCGAAACACTATGTCAGCCCGAGCCTCCCATGGATCTAAAACGGTCTCTAAGGGTAAGTCTAGCAAGGACAAGTCCAGCAAAGACAAGTCCAGCAAGGACAAGCCTAGCAAGGACAAGTCCCGCAAAGACGGGTCCAGCAAGGACAAGACCGGCAAAAGTGCTAGGGATCCTGAGCAGGAATCTATCCTCAATCTGTGGTGTGCTATTTACAATCCCGAGTTCGGCAACTACTACCACTGGGGTTTTGCTGTCTCCGACGCGACAGGCTCGGACTGGCATATATTCGAGGTTACTCAAGAAGTAGAGGACGGGGCATTTACAGCAGTGCACCGACGAAGAAATCCAACTAGCTCATTGAGGTGTCGTCGACCACTTACCTTCTTAGGGCAAATGCATCAAGGTTGGTGGACACACATGGTACAAGGAATCAGACAAATGCCCATCGGCGAAGCTCCAGCCTGGAACTGTCAGGACTATGTGATGGAAATTTGGAATATGCTACAAGCACACCAGATGATCAGCGACCAGACATGGAATGAAGGGAGACAAATGATGATCCCTTACTTCGGTCCGGACTTTGGTGGTAGTAGGGATGATGAGGAAGATGACTATGAAGACGATGACTATGGGGAAGGAGGTCAGCGAGTTGTGTCTGAGGAGTTTGTCTACGATTCCGATGCGTAGAGCTTAGGGTACTAAATATTACTTTCATAGGTATTTTAGGAATTGCAACGAGAATATGCCTATAAACACCTACTAATTAACACCTACTAATTAACACCTACTAATTAACACCTACTAATTAACACCTACTATGTATAGTAAAAGAGAGTAATACTACATCCATATCAAACTGATCATAGGGGTATATAGACTGTCTCAACTATTGACTAGACTCCGATCCCATAACCTATCTACTAACCATTGATTTGCATATTGCTGTGGAGACAAGCTGTCAGGCAAGTATGCATACCAATCGTCGTTGTCTCTAGACGTGAGATTGTTAGTTATCTTCACAGATTCCCAATACTCAGGGTAGAAGCCGCTAGTTTCCCAATCTATAATGGAAACCACCTCCCAAGTTCCGTGCTCTCGTTGCTCTACCATAATGTTTGCCGGGCGGATGTCTCCATGGGTCATGACACATCTTGGCGACGCTAGAGCAAGGCTTCGAAGGAGCTGAGTGTACACTGGGGAAGCCGACGTTGACCCGGAAAAAATGAAGTCCTGGAATTGCTCGGCGTCCCTAATGGGCTCCTTGTTGAAACGAAGCCCTCGTCTGGCATCCTTGCATCCCTCCCCTTGGACGCCACCTAACGGCATATCGCTTGGTTTTGATAGTGACCTTAGCTGAGTAAATAGTCTGTCGAGCTGGACACCGATAGACTTCTTATGTGTGTCGTCTAGACGCGGCCAAGCTCTCTCTAGATCAAGACCTGGCACGAAAGTCGTAAAGAGGAGACAGAACTTTCCGGTCCGAATCAACCCGTGAGGTCGTGGGGCAGGGAATGCAGGCAGATGTTCCTGGAGGAATAGCAGCGACCCGAGATCGGTCGATGCTGACTCTTCATTGGTGATTTTGACAACAATGTCCTGGCTCACTCGGAAGACTGCAGAGGCTGCCCCTGCCCCCTGATAAATGAGTTCACCTCCATCTAGCAGCTTCGTGATAGCGCGAGGGAGGTCAGAGTCGCGAAGCAAATCATTCATGTTTGCCGACAGCTTGAAGGTGATTTCAAATGGGGTCAGAGAGATATGCGAGCGTATGTCGTCCTCCTGAAAAACTGTATTTGGGCGCTGGACAACTGGGAAGATTAATGTCAATTAAACCGTAGTATATAATGGAGTGCAACTTACCTTTTTTGTATGACTGCAGTGTGGTGGTATAGTTCACTGGCAGTAGGGCCTCAAGGTTTGCTTCAGGATCCTCCTTCAATTTTGCTTCAAGCCCACGCAGCAGATGGGTGTTCCACTTGGCAGCGAGCGTGATAGGTTTGCGTTTCAGAACGCGGTTTCCTCGCGATTTAAAAATCGAGGACTCGTGTTTTTTGCTGTCCATTTGAAATAATGCGTTATCTGGTTTAAGTAGCCGAATGACGTTGCGAGTCTAATGTCGTAGTGGACTGGTACATAAAGAGAGGCGGAATGTGCCTACTTTATAGCATCAATAAAAATGACGCGGGCTCCGGCCTGGATTAACGAGCCTCCGCTCCGTGGTGGCGGAGCATGTGCGCTCTAATGCTTGATCCGAGAACTGGCTTCTACTCGGGCCAGCCCCCACTTTAAGGGGACTCGCTTTGGCTCACCTACGGTATGGTATGGATGATACTGGGACAGGATCAGATCGGACGAACTCGACAAGAAGCCTGAAGCGAACGCCAGCTAGGCATTGAGGGGCCTCATCATGGAGACGCCGGCTGAGGCCGTGATCATGGTGGGGCGAAGCGCGTCGCCTGCGTCGACACCCGCGAAAAGATCGACACGCGTCGTGAGGCCAAGCACCAAAATTCGAGAAGCCGCGCGACAGCCCGACGATCTGGCTGAGAAGACAACACGCGCAACTAGGCTTGCAACGCGCATTGCCTCGGACGATGTCGCCATCAGTGACGCGACTGAGCGGCGCAAAGTTGCCAGCAGCAGCAGTGGCGCGAACGAAGGCCGAGCCATGCTCCAGAAAGTTCTCGAACTCTTGAGCGAGTCACGTCAAGAAACGCAAAGCTCAGCCGAGCGATAGATGCGCAAAACGAGATCATATCCAAGCAACAGCAGATGATCCAGGAAATGGATCAACAAGGGAAAGAGATGAGAGATGAGCTTCGTCACATCCGAGCGCAGTTAGAGACCCTGGCTACGCCCGCATCTTCTCTGCAGAGCAGTCCGCAGATGTCGTATGCGAGCGCTGCAGGGTCATCGCCGACGATCCAGACAATGAACCGGGGCACCGTACCAGCAGCTAAATCGGCACGAACAGCCGTCAGCGATAGTCTCTACTGTACGGTGGACACATCACGAGTCGAAGAAGCGAACAGGTGCCAGACGCAGATCGGCAACATCCGAAAGGCCATAGAGAGCGACATGAGAAAGAGTCAGAGGCAGGAGACTTGGAAATGCGCAGCGGTCGTGACAGACGCTCGAAACCCCGACGGGATCAAAATTTTATGCAGAGACCAAACCGAGTTGAAGCAGGTCAAGGAAGCAGCGCAGAAGACGGTAACTTCGGGAGCCAGGGTACTGAGAGATCAGCTTTACCCTGTCAAAGTCGACAACACCAAGCGTACCGCAGTGCTGGACGCCGAAGGCAACGTTCTGCCGGGCGCAGCTGAGGCGCTCGGAGCCGAGAATTACGTCACGATTGCCAAGATCACCTGGCTTAGCAACAGAGAAAGCCAAAGCGTACGGGTCAATGGTGATCTATGTCACTAAAGAGAGTGACGCGCAAAGACTTCTGGACGGCGTGTGGTTCGATGTTGCGGGAGAGTCCGCCTGCACCAATGTTTTTGAACGCCGCGTAGGACCGATTCAGTGCTTCAACTGTCAAGAGATGGGACACAAGGCGTTTTCATGCAAGAAGCCGCAAAGATGTGGCAGATGCGCGAAAGCAGAACATCACCACAGAGAATGCAAGGAGACAGTGCCAAAGTGCGTGCCCTGCGGTGGACCACACGAATCGTACAGCCGGAACTGTCGGGCGCGGAACCCTGGGGATGAGACGCAGGCAGCGTCTGGCCCTTCGGGCTAAGCAGCGGAAGTGAGAATCCACTTAGGATCGATTATGGCACTAACCTTCAACAATACTAACACACAGGTATTCGACTTCGATTTCGACAGACCGCGCTTCAGCTGCTGAAGGTAGGACGCTGAACACTTGGAGAAATTGGCCTTCAAGCAGGCCTGTCACGGAGCGAGTAGCGGCGAGGTTGGTGTAGCGTATGCTGACCCGTGGGGCTTAAGGTGTTACGCATTAATGTATTGAAATGTCTGTAACTTTTACGTCTAGGCCCTATAGGAGAGATCCTCCGGGTGAAATACACATACATACATACTAACACACAGGTATTCGACTTCGGATTTCGACAGACCGCGCTTCAGCTGCTGAAGGTAGGACGCTGAACACTTGGAGAAATTGGCCTTCAAGCAGGCCTGTCACGGAGAGAGTAGCGGCGAGGTTGGTGTAGCGTATGCTGACCCGTGGGGCTTAAGGTGTTACGCATTAATGTATTGAAATGTCAGTAGCTTTTACGTCTAGGCCCTATAGGAGAAATCCTCCGGGTGAAATACACATACATGAAACAAACCTCACCAAAAATCTTATTTTTGAACTGCACATATTTCGGCAAATTACGCCGATAAAAATATAAAAGCTACATCATTTGAAAGAGAATTGAACACAATAATCGGTTCTTTGTCTTTTTATGACGCGACCAAGGCGTGTGGTGCGCTGGGGAGGCCCAGATACCTTGACCTCAATCACCGAAGCTGTCCCCGTCTCCGACTCCACCACCTCCTCCGATGAGTCGTAATCCACCACAACGGCTTTCTTTGGACTCCCAATTTCGGGGACAATCTCACCGGCCGCCAAAGCTTCGGCGAGACACATGAAGCGTCCATTTGGGTTAGGGATCGCTCTTCTCTTTCTTCCTCTCTTCAGCCTGTCCACTTCCTTCTCCAGCCTAGCAATTTTACTACCATGTTCTGCTAGTGTCTGTTCTTGAGTTTCCCAGCCTTTAGCTATCTTGGCAAATCGCCTCCGAGTCGTAGGTATTCTGTTCTTGCCAACATCTCTAATATGGCGGCTGGATTTCGGGGTGTCGTCGGAGTCCAAAAACGGCCTATATTCCGGGGATGCCATAACTTTGCCCTCTTGGATCTCAGGATGCCCCAATGCCTCGGAACGCGAGATTGGCCAATTTCCAGTGGTTCTCCAACCGGACAAGATGTTTCTAGTTGTCATTCCCGTTTGACGTCCCGTGGCATACGCACGTATAAAGTTGACCTTATCAACAAACGCAAAATCCGTCAAAGAAGCCAGTCTGTCAAGCTCCTTCCGGTAGGCTGTCATTATATGATTGAAAACACCGTTTTATAATGGCTGGAGGCCATGAGAATAGTGAGATGGAAGATAACAACAGTAGACATCGTTCAGAAAGCACGCAGACATCCACTTATTTTCCCGCCAATAAGTAGGGGTTTATTGCCATAAAAACGAAGGACGAACCGCTTCATGACTCCCAGGTCCATCCAGAATGACAGGCCTGGACTCGGAGTCGTCGTCAGGTCGCCTCTGAGGCAAATGGACTTCCTCAAGCCCCTCAACGGCAATGTGGTTGTCCGTCCATCCATTTGGTGAAGTTATGCAGTTCTAGTTCGCAAATCCTCCAAACTCGTCCTTAAACCACTATGCCTGAAGATCTTTGCCCTTAAATATTATGCCAGGAACCAAGACGCGCCCGTCAGCGGTGATGGCCTCTATAAATAATAAAAGTGGGCTCTAGTTAATGGGCCCTTGGTTTTCCTTATCGGGCCCTTAAAGTGTGGCTAAAATAGTCACATGACTGTCGCGTCCCTTTCCCCGCCAAAACATTAGCCGCCAACTGTGAAAAGCTGTCAATACGGCCTCCGTACTCGTGCACGCCCCACTTGTGGGTGAGCCAAAGCGAATCCCAAAGTGGAGGCGGGCACAGTAGTCAATGGTGCATCCAGCTAGAACGCGACAAAGTTGACAACGCGCATACAACGCACGCCAACGTACGAACGCACGAACGCATACCAAGGTGAGGGCATCCCCAACGCACCAACGCCGCACCGATGAAGTCACCTTTCCGCCGCAAGTTCGAGACCTGGCAAGCTGCTGCAGAGAGCGCCGTAGCTGCATTACGGAGCGAGAGCCTAATCAGGGACTGTGTCGTTGTAGCGACGTAGCCTCGGGCATATGTTCCACGAGCCTGTTCAATTGCCTCACTCATTGACATTACATTAAGCACCCTACTTTTAACGGCTCTACGTGAAATGCAGTTATGCTGTCGGGCCTATGACGCCGGCAAATGTGTGCACCGGCGCGCGTGCAAGCAAAGCCGCAAAGTAGGTTTGACAGTCCGCCACACTTTCAGCCACACTTCAAGGGCCCGATAAGGAAAGCCAAGGGCCCATTAACTAGAGCCTAAAAGTGGTCCAACTACCGGACTGGGGTCCCTTGAGAAGAGCCTTCTGTTGAGTGTTCGAACTTCCAACCACCAGACTGTCTAGACCCAGCAAAGAAATCGGATTAGCTTATATCGCTTATGGAAAGTTGATTGCATACCAAAGCCCGACATAATCCCCCTTCATCAACATTCACGGTGTTCTCCGGCTTAATCCACCCGTGCTCTGTCTCCCTGACGTCAAAGTACCAGTGCACTACTTTGGGAGTAAATGAGTCGAAGCTGTTGGCTTCCTGACGCTTACCGACCTTGCTTCTAAGTTCTGGATGACGTTGAGTCAACTTTTCTACCCAATGACGTCCCAATCTTGAGTCGCAGCCTTGTTGTTTCAGAACGGCAACAAGGCAGGCGCGGATTGACTCTGGGACGGAGGGTAACTGTCAGAGGGAGCAGACTGACGGTCTAATCCGCACACGTATAAACTCCGGTGAAAGAGGCAGGTTAGACACAGGGACTTGAGTCAGGTATCGATACAGTAGAGGAACATTGCCCTAATCGGGATACACAGGAATTGGCCCTGATTCAGGCCCTCCACGGGTCCCAGATTGGTATCTATTCGTATAAATACCCCCTCAATGTCGCACAGATAGATAAAAAACATGCATCATCGTTTGGACTCAATTGTGCCTGCCCTTATCCTTCCGCCCGCGCTCTCAGCTTGCTGAGAACAACCATTTGAGCACGGGTCTCTTCCAAGTTATAGACATCCTCGTCAAGAATCCCCCACTTTTGTTTCGTCGCCACGAGTCGATCGTACCATTGTTGAATCTTTTGCGGGTCCTCGCATTTGGCACGTTGGTGATCGTATCGGCGAGAGTGCTGCGCCTTGGTTTAGTCGTGACGGCCAACGAAATGCGCATCC